TTGGGAGCTTCGTATGGTATTTGACGGGGAAGGACGCTCTGTTGCAGCCGTGTCTAGCAGAACTGGCGGTGTGGTGTTGACAGACCTTCAGCTGGCGAGACTCGATGGTTTTCTGCTTGCACTGCCCAGTGAGCTCGCCAACGTGAACGTCAATGTTGCGACTTCTGCCGAAAGCCGAGAGACGATACGGCCGAATGATGTTCAGGCGATCCGGGACGAGATATTGTCAAGATGGGCGGCAGCCGAAACCAAGTCGAGTCAAGTTAAGTTGAGTTGAGCTGTCTGGCACTCAAAGCGAAGACTGAACACACGACGTATTAAAGAGACCACAAGAGGCATCCGCTTGGCTCAATCCGGGGTACATCCGACCTGCCGTATGTTCTTCGTCCGGCGGAAGGACGCGTCGCTCGTACGAGTCCAGAGCACACGGCACAGAATGTATCGTCATGGCCGTCGCCTTCTCCGTCGCAGGCCAATCGCGCGGAAAAGATGCCGAGGTACGTGAAGGCCGACCAGTGGCGTGCGTTCGGCAATTGCGTGGCTATTACTGGATTGCACTGACAGGGCGAAAATCGGGGGTTGTCGCTGCGCGAGACTGGGCGCAGGTATTGACCAGGCTCACGTCTCCGGCATTTTTCTAGAATCACTGGGATCCCATATGTGCGCTGTAGGAATTGTGCTGCATCGGATTGTGCGTCTCGTTCGAGAGAAAAGAGCGTTGTACGGAGTACTTGAGTAATCCATTAGTGAGACCGTGAAATCTCCAGGTGAAGTGAAGGTGAGGGCGATGTGAACGTTGGGTCAGCGTCGCGTGTCGCGATCATCAGCAACTCAAGGAGAAGTGCAACGATGCAGAGACGTCTGAGCGCCAGGTCGGGAACCATGGCCGTCGGACAAGGGAATAATCTTCCTTTCTTAGCAAAGATATATACCATCAATATGTACTCATCGCAGGCAGCTTTCAGTCCCATGCCCCACAGTAGCCTGAACTCCATTCATGCCGTCCATGCCTCGGGTATACAAAACGTCATCCTCCAGAGATCAGCGTGTCCCCCCCATATCCAAGCAATTCGACAATAATATTGCCGATGGTGGACAGCGACCACAGCAGTATCACGCCAAGCCCAATCTTGCGGTCCATCTTCCAACCGTTCAGGGGCACAACGATCAACAGCCCAATCAGTGTGACCAGCAGCGTAACTCCGGATATCATCAGTGTCGTGCTCACTTCAATCTCGTACGGTTTGTATTTGATCGGCTTGTGGGGATGTTTGGCGTGCTTCTGTGTGGCCTTGTTGACGGTCATATACAGCCCACCGATGCCAATCCCGAGCAGGATGTTCAGCATCGGACCACCAAAGCATGCCGACAATGCCATGACGGGATAACCGAGTTTGGCGACGGTGATATCCGCCACCAGATCACCGCAAGAATTGCCCACGGCGAAAATGGTCAGTCCTAGGATGGCATCCGACATGCCCAAGATGACGCCGAAAGCCTTGAGCACTCCGACCACTTCGTTGGCAATTGTCGAGATCCAACCTATGGCCACGGCAAATCCCAAAAAGCACAACAGAGGCCGGTACTTGGGCTCTCGATCAGGACTTGTCAAGGACAAGAGTATGAGGAGTAACACCAGTGAGAACACCAACGAGCCTAAAACCATCTTCACATATAGTGTGGTATTGAGATTGTCATCCATGTTGGCCCAGGCGATGGTCACCACAAAGAAAGGTGCGGTGAATGCTTGCAGGAATACCAACCACCGGTTCCAATCTTTGGGCCCATTGACTTCATCCACGTCATGCTTGGGGCTCTTCACATAGTCTGACATCTGTCTCGATATTCCCGTCCCATGTGGATGAGGCGGGCCGTCAGAAGAGCCTGGCTTGGGAAGTGACCCCGGATCAGCCACGACATGGCTGTCTGATCTGCTACGGGGCCCGCCGCCCGGCGTCAAAAGCGCTGGGTCGGGATCTGGCAGTTTGTCCTCCTTTGGTTCCACAACAGGAAGTGTGATAGTGAGCAGAAATACACTGGGAGCAGTAACCAAGCCCAGGATTCGGTCAATGTGAGACTTCTCACGCCAGCCATAAAGAGTCGGGAAAAGTGACGCATAGATAACCTGAGGGGCTGGAAGATATCGATAGGGCCACCAGGCGAACCTCCGCAGGGGCTCGTCCTCTTCATCCGGGAGCAGTCCGAGATGCGCAGTAGACTCGGGTGACATACTGGGCGCAGGAAGGCTGATGCTAGGAGGCCGAGAGCCAACGGGGGTGAGAAGCATGGGAGAGTCCACGTAAGGGGGAAAGTCTTCGAGTCTCAACGCTCCTTTCGAATGGTCGGGGTGCGGTGTGTGCAAGATCGGGACTTGCAAGGTCGGGCCACTCCGTGGCGGTGACTTGCCGCTTCGAGAGCCAGACCGGTCCTCATCATGATAGTCTGGGCGGCGGAAGGTCGTCGCTGGTGGTGCCAGGAGATTGGCAGATCTGGGATTGACGGCATCTGGTTGCAGCGACCCAGTCTCCGGCGGCAAGCCTGAGGAAGAAAGAACGAGCTTTGGGGATGGTGGCCTCTGATTCAATGGCTCATTGAGTGTTTTCAGAATATTGGCACTCGGCCGGGTGTGTTTGGCGGCTGGGTGCGGCGACGACTCTTCGCTGGCGAGCGCGTTCTCGGAGCCTCTCTCTGGAAATCTGTCACTCAGGAAATCCGTATCGATGTGTAGGTGTGAGGCGTCGTTGACGGATACTGCTCGTGCGCGACGGGGACTCTCGCCTTCGACATTCAAATACTGAGAACTGACGAGCTCTGGCTGGGAGGCACCAGGAGGCGCAGTGGCCGGAATAGGAGTCAGGGTGGACGATGCGTCGTCGGAGTATCTTCGAAGACCAATAGGCTGGGCATTGGTCGCTTTCCTTTCCAACGAGGTCATGAGGGATCTGAACTCCAACGCGCCTATCAGACTCGGTCGAATCGGGGTCATTGTATTCCTTCGTTCGCCTCGAGTCGGTCGACTGACTCTCATCTTACTCTGTAACTCAGCCAGGTATCGATCTCGCGCTTCGTCGTCGTCGTCGTAGTCATGAACTTTCCATGCCGGTGTTCCAGGGGTCCGTATGGTCGGGAGAGTGTCGCTGGACTGACCGCGTAGGAGGCCTGTGCGCTCGCTGGCAGGGCGCGATTCCTCGTCCTCGTCGATTGGAGGGGCCTCCAATTCCTGCGTGTCTGGGATATGGTGATGCAACCGAGCTGCAGTCTCCGCAAGCCTCCTCTTCCGCCGCCGGGTCAGCCACCAATGCCAAACCACCACAAAGATCACGTAGAAAATGTAGTAGACGACCATGGTGATACACTCCCAGAGCCGCAAACTCCCGTCCGACAAGAATACCAGACTAAAGCTTGCGGCCACGGCGAAAAATCCAACATCTCGAATGAAGCTCTTCCTGGCGACCTGGAATGGTGCGACCAACGCCATACTGCCCGCAACGACGGCGGAGATGAAGCTGGCAGCGCCCACCAGTTCTCCCACCGCCAGACTACCACTGTTGCTGCGCATGGCTGCAAATGTGGAGAAGACATCGGGACTCCCATTGCCAAAAGCCAAGAATGTGACGCCTGTTAAGCTCTCGCTCATGCCCAGAATGTTTGCAATCGTGCTCAGATTGATGCAGAGGAAATCGGAGGCGGCGATGCCAATGGTGCTGAAGAGGAGACTGACCCATACCACCAGGATGAGGAAGGCGACGGGTTGGGCCTCGGACAGGCTGCAGTAATAGAGCCGGAGGTAGGAGATCAAGCCGGCTTCTTCGTCGGGGCAGTTTTCTTTGATAAAGGCGCACTTGTCCTCTGCATGATGAACGAGCCGACACTGAATAGGAATCGTTAGCTTTGCGCATAGCTAGATGTCCACCGGCAGATCAGCGTCGTACCTCGAGGTCGCGTGCTTCGAGGCTGCGCACGGCCAGTCTCTGCGCAGAATGACCGTGACTGTGACCGGAGTCTCGAACGAAGCTATAGCAAGCGAGGAGAGTGATGATGAAGGCTGTCAGGTAGAAGGCGCGGCCTTGCTGGCGCACTGGGCGCATTCCTCGTCGTGTCATGGCGGCCTTTGCGCGGATATCTCATACTGAGTGCCGGGGCGGATATGAATAGCAGGTCATCTGTTCAGTGGCGACAGAGTCCAACGCGCATGGGAAGGGCGAGGTCGGACAACGGCCATGAGCAATGGTGATATCCAAGATGCAGACAGGACGCAATCACCCAAGGGCTAGGGATAAATTCATCGAATGAAGGGGTCTCACTCCACTATGCAACAATGCAAGAAACAAGAGATGCTAAACTTGGTAAAGCAGCACTGAGATCACGGAAGGGTCTGGGGATGCTCGCCCCCGTGTCTCGTCATTGTGCATCACTTATGGTGATTTGTGCTGGGTGGCTTGCGACGAGCCAAATGCACAGCCACAGATCCGCGGGCATGGTGAACATTTAACCGTTGACTGGCAGCCTGTTTCCCTTCGTTTAGCGTCCAGTGAGGGCGGAATGTTGCAACGAGGGGATCTTGTTTCTTGCTTCTTGCTTTGGACCACCGTGCCGCCTCAGGGCTTCGTGCCATGTCGACCAGTTCGGCCTGAATTGAAATCCAACTCCTTACCGCAATGCTCGTGTTATGATATACTTTTTCCAACCATCTAACACGGCCCTTGACTCCATCCCCATCGTTGAACACGACTTCGACCATTGTAGGGCAAGCAAAATGCCAAGTGAGTTCGATCGAAGAGACTTGCAGCGATCCATCCATCCCGACAGGCGCCTCATGCCGAGGCTCGTGGTCGCTTCGGGATGGGAGCCGTTTTTTGATATTCCCGAACTCCTGGCCACCACGAAACTGCGTCGAATTTGATAACATCTTGCTTGAGAATCGAACAAGTGTCTTTGCAGAAGATGGTTCTGTGAGGATTCTCGTTTCTTATCCTCGTCCTTCCGTGTTGCACGCCACCATGGTGTTGCCCTCTTTCGCAGATGTACTGCCCGTCAAGCAACTTTCTTCGCATCAGTATGCTCTCACTCTTGAAAATGAGTGGTGTATAGGCACAGGTGAGACTCAACAATACTCCAGCTGGCTTGGGCCAGGAACTTACGAACCCTGGGCCATAGTCCCCAATGGAGGCTACGTCACGTCGGCGTTCCTCGTCGTCGCGCGAATGCACATGTCCCTAACCCACCGCGCCCGCTCCTCTCCACACCCGATAAACCTCCATCTCGAGTTCTTACGGCGCACGTCCGTCGGGCCCGCGATTTTCACGGTGAAGGACGTGAAACTGGGCTCTCGCATATCGAACCTACATATCACTCTATCCCAGAAACAAGACGCCAGCAGCGATGAAGGCCCCTATCAGGACGAAGCGCAGGGGTACATCACGATGAGCAATATAGCCACGGAAGAGGGGTTGAGTCTCGACACGCAATACCCCCTGTACCCTCCCGCCTTGCCAGTGAACGTCTCCCTGCTGGCCTCCCAGGGCCAGGACGAGAACTACACCCACCGCGCGTCTGAACCGTTCCCCTCCTTCCGACGCGCCGCGCAAAACATCCAGATCTTCCTCGTCCGTCCCGAGAGAAAGCCCGCGCCCGACAGATCGACAGGGCGACCCCGCGCGATGGTCGAGCAATGGGTCCGCTTCACGCCGAAAACACAACGCTTCGACGGCGCCGTGGGCAGGTGGACGAACGATGCGCTAGGTTTCCTGGTGGATATGTTCCCTCAGGTCGTGGAAAGTTACGTGAACCCTTTCGTGGAAGAGGCGGCAATAGGCCAGCACACTCAATCGGATCTGAAACAGTTTCTCTCCTCGAATGAGCCGAGAGCAAAGTACTGGTATCCTACTCTGGCGTTGAATCTGGACGTGAAGAAGCTCCTCCCCGACGAAGGGGTGGAGTGGCTTTTCGTCCGGGTGAAAGCGAAGGTGATCAAGAATGGACGCTTCGACTTGGATATCGAGGTTTGGGACGAACAGGGAGAGTTGGTGGCTAGCTCGGTCCACGCGAGTTTGGTCATGGATGCGAGTAGAAATATTTCGAGGAAGAACGGGAGTGGGAACGGCAAGAAGAAGGATTCAAAGTTATAGGTTCCAGTGTTGCAGGCCGGTCAGCTCGGCTGCGTTTTTGCATAACGATGCGGCAATATGGAAGACGATGTCCCTCTTTACATGCTTGCAAGCTCGAAATGGGATATACCAACCATCTAGACATCTGGTATAGTGAGCCGAAGTTCCTACAAGGTCTGGATTAGACGACCGTGGGCCCGCCTAGCATTTATACACACCATTTGCTACACAGTACTTGTAGGTTGAAGAAATGGCATGGGCACGCAACCGTAGATAAAAAGCATATCTTTGTGGATCCCCTTTGTTTAGTAAGATGGACTGGATTCGTAGTATGCTATATGCTCACTTTTCGACAGCCTCTCCTCATATCCTTCACACGGTCAGACGCTTCATTTCTCATTCCTTTTTCGTCTGTCACATAGTGCTGTCATCTGCAGTGTCGTCGCTCGTGCCTCATAACTATATTCTCCCTAGTTCGTCTCCTCTCCTTCGCCACTGACGTCCAATTCCCTCATCTAGAGCAGGGCGGCAACACCCAGTCCAACGACGCCAGCAAAGCCAGCCCACTGCTGCTTCAATGCAGAAGCGGCACCAGTGTACGATGCACCAGGTGGGGCAGCGCTGCTCACGGCCGTGTAACTCGCAGGTGCGTAGCTGGTAGTCGTTGCGGGAGTTGCAGGCGGAGCAATGGTTGGGGACGATGTGAAGGTCGGTCCAGCAGGCGGAGCAGAGGCGCTGGCGGTTGGCAAGGTGATGGTGATGCCTGCAGAACCGCAGTACTGTTGCGCAAATGCTAGGGTCGCTGTCGAGCTGCAGGTCAGTCGGGGCTTTCAGAAGGGAAGAGTGCAAAGATCGTTCGAGAGCACGAACCTGCTTGGTCAGCGGCGCTACAAGCTGTGCTGATGCATGCTTGTACATCGGTCAAGAAACTGGTTGCCGAGCAGACGCAAGCGGCGTCCGTGGCTGCACAGCCTGTACCGCCAATGGCGTTGAGGGCGCATGTCACCTTCAGTGATGTAAGCTCGTCTGTCCGACGCCGGTGTGGAGGCCCGTACGTACCGCACACGATGGGAGAGTCGACAAGTCTTGCGAAGCTGCAAGATGGAGGAGAGTCGAGATGCTGACGGCCGCGATGGAGAAGAAGCGCATTTTGACCGCTGGTTTGCTGGTTTGCGAGTATTTTAGTTCAGAGAGCGTATAACCTGGCTGGATATTGCGTCGATGGAGCGGCCGTTCAGAGGAACAGTCCAGGGTGAGGTGAGTGTGAAAAACGAATGTTCGATCAGAGTCAGAGAGCTCAGGTACTGAATTACCGTTGTGAACCTGCGATCGAAAAGAGCTAGAGAAGCAGAGCAGGTCCGATCCAAGGTTTATAGCTTTCCCTGTTGTCACCGAGTGGTCTTCGGGCTGCCTGTCTGTACATGGATAGCTTGATGGCCACTCGACTAGACTTACCGTGAGCTTTAGAAGCTGCCTTTTCAGGAAAGGACGTCGCTTCCAGCATTGCGAGTGCGAGGCAGTCGAACCCCTCCTAGGCAAGCGTTCGGGTTGCGTCGTAACCGTCGTGCCTGGGAAGCTTCGCTGGAATCCCGTGTCCAGCTGGTCCTGATGCAAGCCACGATATCCGAGCAAATAATGACAGCAGAGCACGGCTGCATGTCTCAGGCACACGATGAGCGAGACTGGACGCCGGGTCCGAAGCCGACAAATTGAGAATCGGTCAAGTCGACAAGAAGCGTTTGGTGCCGTGCTCGCTCGCCACCAAATCATGCTCCAATGATCGAGGGGTCCTAGCGGGTGTGGAACGATCCCGAGAGAAGCTCCACGCTGGCTCTCGGTGGATACTGTAGGCGGGCATGCGGGGTAAGAGCACCCACCCCGAGTTTAACTTGACAAGCGCCATAACTAATGACTTAGCGTAGCCCAGTCGTGCCCACTCTTTCATGCAAGCGTAAATCCGTAGAAAGGTGCAATGGAACTTATCACAAGCCTTACAGTTTCTTCTTAACAACGATAAGCTTAGACAGCAATCAGGTCTCCCTTCTTGAGCATTGTAAGCTGATTGAGGATCTTCTCTTCTGTGGCGCCCGTAGCCACAGCGTCCTGCGGGATAATTAGCTCGGGTATCCCCCTGTATCTTGTGGCAGGCACAGGACACCTTTGGCCACGGATGCCAAAGGGCGGCTGTCGCGCTACGCGCTACGGCAGTCGCTCGCCGCAGGGACCTCGATGTGCGAATTCTCATAAATACACGCCGAGAGTTCCGTGATGTACTCCGTACTTTGGTGTGGGAGACTCTGTTCAACCACACCCGAGTGGATGCAGAACCCGGTGGGCATGTGGTGATCCGACATTGCTGCAGAGTGAGGCAGGTGAAATAAGCTTGGTCATGGATGTGTCGTATGCTCAGACACTTGGTATAGGATGTTTCCAGGCCTGATAACCGACCCATGCCTGGAAGATGGAAACAGCAAGGCCGAGTATTCCGAGAATGATGGCGATGACCACACCAACGAGCGTCGCCATCATGACATGTCTGGCGCCGCTTCTCTTCTCGACCCATTTGTCAACCATGCTGCGCGGCGTCGGATTGAGGAGCTCGTCGTAGAGGTCCATGAGCCTAGAACAGAAATGCTGGTAGATGATATCATTCTCGTCGTCGGATCGGTGAGGGGCGGACTCAAAGCGCAAACAGTCAGCGTCAAAGCCGGCTTTGGAGACCAGGGACCGCAGGAGAGACTGTGACTGTAGGTCCGGCGGAAAGAGAATTCGCTGGACAGAGTCGAGGGACTCGAGCGTCAGTTGGCGTGGAATGTTTCCTCTGCAACGGTCAGCCTGCACTGGGTATTTTGTTCGGAGTGACTAGGGGCGGCACCTACAATTCGATGGCTTGGCTGAGAGAGGCATTCGTGGAGATAGATCGGCTCGCGATCAGGTGTTCGGTCAGAAAGGCTGTGTGGTGGAAGATCAGCACCACTCCGAGCTTCTGCTCGAGCTTCAGATGTTCTCTAAGATCGCTCGTCGGTCGGAACTTCAGGCCGGCGATCTTTTTGAGTCTCTGTGCCGTCAGGCTGGCCTTGATCTCCAATGAGCTGCCTGTATTATCTTTCTCGCTAAGCGCTGGGTGGTTTGTCTTCGGGAATGCTTCTGTCAGGAACTGAGAGAGCGAGATCTCCCCGCGCCACGGCAGAGGTCTTATTCCTAGCTCGACCGAGTCCGAAAATTGCCTTTCTGCAGAGCAATTGATCATGGTCATGGCTCTGACCGCGAGACAGACAGCCCTGTCCTGGTCAGTAACGGGTGGCATAGGAGCATTGCCGCTGTCTCGATTCGAGAAATAGTGCTGCGTCACCTGGGAACGGGGCACATCAGGCTGAGTCTTCAGCACTCGAATGATCTCGAACACATCCTCATGACTTCTCAAGGCAGGATGATTGCCGGGGAGGAATTCAGGGGCGTAGCTGGCCGTAATGTCCTTGTAGAATGCAAAATATCGGGCCAGACGGTGGGATCGTGGCCATGGGCACTTCGGCGGAATGCAGCCTTGTCCAGCTCTGCACCGCAGACAAATCTTCCAGCTCCAGAGCACCTCGCACAGTTGCTGAAGGTGTCTATCTGACACGTCCTCCAGAGGGAACGGCGACCGCGAGAATACCATTCTGCTTGACAGAGTGCGAGGCCAGGACGGCGGGGGGCTTGTCGAGCACTGTTGTCTTGGTCATGGATGCCGAAGACTATTCTCCGTTGAGGCGCAGCTTGTGTTCAATATGCCTTCGCTATCATGTGAGGCCCAGACCATGTCACGCTGGCTGCTGTTTGGCTCTCGTCATTCGCTGCCTCGCTGTGCTGAGCTGGCTGGCCACCAACATCCAGTGGGGGCTGTGTCCGCTGCGCGGAGCCACGGCGCCGAACAGCCAGTCCATGTTATCTTTCCGTTGAAATATCATACGCGCTCCTCCCACTTCTCCGTCAGGAAACGGAGGAGCGCATAGGTGATGAGGTCTCCTTTGAGACATTGCTGATGATCAGTCTGAGGGCTCCTAGAAACTCGGAAGAATATGAGGTCAACCATGGGCGGTGTTCCTCCTGAAAGCACGACCGGTCCCCAACCCGCTCCAATCAGTACGTCGAGGGGAGATACGAGCGCGGCCTTCGATGGAGCTGCGGCCCCCTCTACAGACTCTGGCTATGGCAGCGCGTCACTGACGCCGCAGCCCCTCGAAAAGACCCCCAAGCCATGTGATGTTGACGGCGGCGGCAGCGCAGGCCGAGTGCTGTTTATCCCCGCCGGCAGTGGCAACTTGAAAGAGTTCAACAAGCCGGTCGACGCAGCAACCATAGCTCGGTTCAGAGATGTCCTCGAACGGGTTGAAACGCCGTTGCTCCGCCACCTGGAAAAGCGCTCAGTAAAGCGTGAACCGATGGCGCTGAGGCTGATGGTACTGGGGCGCACGGAAGAAACCGCCAAAGCCTGGATTGTGGTATTGTGCCACGAGACTGGTGCCAAACGGGCCCGAAAGTACTTCGAACAACAACATGCGAAGGACGTCATCCGACCAAAGGACTCATCCATCCCTTCCTTTGACGTTTTGGTGGTGGGCCAGTCTCCGAAGACCAGAGGCGCTGCTATCGAGGTCTATAGAGGGGATCCGGGGGCTTTCCCTGCTCTGAGCACAACACTCTGTGGCGCACCGATCAAGCTTGTCAATGACACTGAGTACCAGCTCGGAACCTGTGGGGGTCTCATCAAGCTGACCTCCCACAATGGTGATTATGCTTTGTACGGTATGACTGCCCGCCACCTAACAGATCGATTGGAAGGTATAGATCTTCCGGACTCAGCGGCAATTGCGGACGACAGCGATCGCGACAGCGACCATTGGGCCCTCGAGGACGAAGATGAAGACGAGGACCTCGGCGACCCTGGCAACCCGTTCGACGCAAGCGGGCCTCCTGTACTCGGGCCGGCCTGCGGCCTTGACGAACGGCCACTCTCTGGGGACCCGTCGCCGGGGCCTGAGTCGTGGAACAGGATCGGACAGATCATTGCTCCAAACGTTACGGAATCTCCTCGGAACCCACAGGACTGTGACTGCGCACTGATTCGCATTGAAGACCAGCATGAGTTGTACCCAAACCTCCTCGGAGGTTTGATAGGCGATCGCCACTACCGCGCAGGGGACTTCAAAGTGGGCGCGGTTGATCTTATGGATTCAGCAACACTCTCAGTCGTCATGAATAGTGGCGTGCAAGGAATCCAGTCCGGAGTGATGTCCTCTCTGCCCTGTCGAGTCTGGCTATGTTATGGCAGAGACTTTGTGGACGTGTACACCTTGAACTTGGAAAATGGCGCCGGTAAGTCCATCACGACTACGGAGTGTCCAGTTTGCTGACACCTTGTGCAGAAATTCGTGACGGCGACTCGGGGTCCTGGATCCTCAATCCATCTCGGCTTGAAGTCTACGGACATGTCGTCGCCTCTGATATCTTTGGAGCAGGTTATGTTATCCCCATGACTCGTAGCCTGGAAGATATCCGACAGATATTCGACATGGCCTCAGTCGAGCTCCCAACTCTAGTGGATGTAGCTTGCAAGGCATTGTCGACGGACTCTCTGGACGACGAATATGCGGATTCAGCGGTTCTTGCCTCATCTTCTCGAACACCAAACCGCCCTGTCAAGGTAAGTCACCACAAGCCAACGGCCACCTCACCTCTGAAATGAGGGAACATACTAACTACAAGCAGGACGATTTTGAAGCCGAAGAAGCCCCTGACGTTAAGCCCCCATTTTCCTCCCCAACGGCGGCGGACCACCCAACCATAGCGGCCACCGTCTACTCACCACAAGACTCAGGCTATGTATCTTATCAGCCTTCTGCGAGGGCGTCTCTGAGAACAATGCCTTGTAGCAGGCGCGGAACGCCTAAAGCGCCAAGAATGGGGACGAAAAGAGAGTCGAAGCCCAGCACGACGACTGATGATCCAGAAGACCTTCTAGGCTTGAGGGCGTATTTCGAGTTTGACGACGATGATACTTATGACTCAATTTTCGAGGACATGATAAACCCAGAGGATCCCGGGCAGACGCCTACTTAGGTAGCTGTGTAGTTCTGGATGGTCGTGTGTGCTAAATAATGCGGGCGGATTATAATGTGTTGGTCTAGAGGTGTATAGTCATAACGACTGGGGGGCGTTCGTACAAAACCATGAGAACAGCCCTAGGCGATGACTATATCCATCAGAGTCATGAATGCATAGGCATACCCTGCATACAAAGCCTCCATACGTGTGTCCCTCCTTACCTGGAGAACTGCCCCGGGAGTCAAACAGTTCGGGCGCATGGGAGTAGTCAGTGTTGATACGGTATTCATTCGAGAGATTCAATCAACAGAATATAACCACATTTCCTCCATCCTACATCCACGCCAGGTCTGTTCCACACCAGCTGCATACGATTGACCGGAAGAGCATGCTTATCCATTGGGTGAAAGGGATGGTTTCTTATACAGCCCTGGGCGAGAGTAGATTGAACATTGGGATCCGTCCCTTCCTGGTTGCCGGTGCAGTTTCTCGCTTGGACACGAATTCCTATACATATCCCTTCCCTTGGACTCATGGTCGTCCACAATGAAGCTTCTCGTCTATCGTTTACGGTCTCATACAGTATGTTTCCTTGGCTGAAACCTTCCCGTGGCTTACATATCATGTATCACGAAAGCCCCGTCCTTTCCCTCCGCCATTTCCCATCAGAACTTCTCCCTCGCGGGTCTCATATCCAACTCTTGAACCCACAAGTCACAGGTCTGCCGCATACAATCCAGATACAACCGTCCCACACTCTCCGCGCGTATCTTCTCTCCCAGCAAGACTTTGGCCCTCTTCTCCTTCGTCGCCGCATCATCATCACCCGCAGCAGAAGAGGCATCAGCATCCACGATTCCCCCATTCGCAATCGCATGCACAACATGCACCCCTCTAGCCGAGTACTCCCTCGCCAGACTCTGCGCCAACATCCTGACTCCGGCCCTACCCGCACCATACGCCGCATACCCGGGATTCGTCCTCAACGCGCCCAGCGTGCCCGTGAAGATTAAAGTCCCTTTCTTGACCATCTCGTGCTCCTCGCCGCTCCCAGGGTCTCCGGGACTGACGCTAGCATTGGCGCCCGGATACTGGTCCAAGAACCACTTCAGGGCGAGTTGGCTAAAGACCATCGCGCCCGTGACATAGACCTGCAGGGACTCGCCGAAGCGGGACGAGGTCTCGTCCTCGAACGCCGTCTTGTGACTATGCTTGATACTCCAGATGGCGAGTTGTAGTTTGAGGTCCCCGCCGTCGTCGAGGGAGGCCGCCCATTTTCGGACGTCGCGGAACGCGTCGTTCAGCCTGGTCTCCGTGGTGTCGGATTGGAAGGCTTTGAGCACCCCGCCGCCGGACTCCTGGGAGAGGCGGTCCGCGAGGGACGCATCGCCGCTGCGCGAGAGTAGTGCGACGGCGAGGTTCCCTTGTGAGGGACGGGCCAGCACGCGGGCGATGCCCGCTCCGGTGGTGGGACCGGCGCCGAGCAGGATCGCGAGGCCCGAGGGTGGCATTTTGGGGAAAGGGGTCGGTCCTACTTGCTCGTGTTGACGGAGAACACGGTTGGGCTTCTGTATACCCTTGATACGAAAGGGACGCAACACGTTTGGTTATCTCTTGGACGGGCCAGCTACATCCGACCAGAATACGACCTGGGATTGTATACGTCAGGGAGGAGAACCACCCCCCCTCCTCCCTTGTTGGAGATGGAGGGAAGTACGGGGTACATGTATGTACATCGTCATATCGGTAAAAGGACCGAGCATGGCGGTTTCTGGCGCCGCTTCTCGCCTCTATGTCACCAGCCACGTGGCTGGTTTTATCGAGTTATGGTTGTTCTCCCGGCATCTTAGCTAGCGTGTTATATCACTGTTGTCTATAGGTGATGGCTGTTCTCACAGCATCTTAGCCAGCGTGTCACCGTTGTCCATAGGTGACGGGCTGTTCGTGGTCTTCGGTATTTAATTGGCAAAGCTTCTAGGCACAGAATAGGCACCAACCCTCAAGATCACGGACCGCCCTATCAGCGATACGGCTTGGGGACACCAAGACTGCGGTGACATAGAACTGCATACCACGGAGTAACGAATACTGTAGGTTTATTAGCACCCGAGATACGAATACGGCCCGGCGGCAACGGTCGGCTTTGGTTAAAGTACACAGCATATCTACTGTCCGTCGTGAGTCTTGGTCGGCTTCTCCTTCAGGACCAGGACGGTCTACCGCTCGTCGAGCCCAAGCACCATATCCCATCTCATCTACAAAATTACAATCGTTGCTCTGCAAGCTGAAGCTCCCTTCCGAGATGTCAGCCACTGAACAAGAAGATATCAAAAGAACGTTCCACGGCTCCTGCCACTGCAAGTTCATCACATACACCGTTGCCCTCCCCCAGTCTCTGCTCGACAACCCCAAAGGCGGCCGCTGTAATTGCACAATCTGCCTCAAGCAGGGATTTACGGAGATCCGCCTCCCGCGCTCGGACTTCCACCTGATCTCACCGTCATCGCTCTCTGAGTGCAAAGACTATCGCATGAATCCTGAGCACAACGTCCACAAATACTTCTGTGGCACCTGCGGCATCCATGTCGCCGCGGAGGGGAGCTTCGAGTGGAAGGGAGAGACGGTTGAGTTCTTTCAAATCAACGTGGTGACGCTGGAGCAGCCGCAGGAGGGCTTGGATTTGAGTCAGTGGAAGATGTGCTACTCGGATGGACGCCACAACAACTTTGAAAATATCAGGGATGATGTTCCATGGCCGGGCGGTGTGCTTTGAGGAGCACGAAGCTAGAGAAATCAGGTTTGTGCCTATGGCTTAGGAACGAGTAAGTGTTGTCTTGTTGGCCTAAATGTGATCCGCCGGTCTGTAATGCTGTAGTGGGAATGTGGCCCGTCAGACTGCTAGGAGCAAATGTATGGATGTGGATATTGGACTACTTCTCCGTGTGGTGGGAGCGCGCCAGTGCTAGAGCAACCACGAGCATGCTGAGGATGTTAAGAGGCTGATCTGCGCAGTTTTCTTTCTTGGAAATGTCGCCAGGTGTGCTTCAGAGCATGCCCATCTCATTGAAGAACGTGGTCGACGTCTGAACACGGACAGTTGAAACCGGGTAACCCATTGCTCTGCTGGCTGATTCTTCCCCGAATTGGGCGCCGATGTGAAATGTGTGATTCTCAGGACTGCTTCTTTTTGGAACAAGGGAGTACGAAGGAACTGTGAATGATTTACTTGTCATCTTTTGTGCTGCCTGCCCTTGCCTCGACAGGGTTATGATCATCCACTAGACGTGAATCGGAATGACTTTTCACTGCCGCTTGTAGGAAGGAGACTAGTCGAGACTTCGTCATAAGAGGGAGAGCTCCTTCCTTGGACCAGCTGGGCCAGTACTGGCGGAGGACCTGGAACAGGCATCACCTTGAAGGTGTGGACAGCCGAGGCACAAGGAGGCCCGTTCGTAGTCTGCGCCCTAAGTAGCAGCCCTGATTTCCTTGATGAGCCAAATCAGGCGTGGATGGCAATGTCAGGGGAATCCAGAGTGCCCGCGGACGACAGGGGCTACAAACTGGACCAGAGCCATCGATGACTCTTGCAATGGCTCCGTGCTGTGAAGTTGGTCGACTTGCCGTAAGGCGGAACAGGCACCATCTCCGCTGTAGTCAAATGAGCCTCCCCCCAGATCCTTCCATTGACCTGGCACGGGTAGGTAGGCAGAAGCACGAATCTGCCTGCGCCCTTGGTAGAATAGTCGCGGTGATCTTCCGTGTCGGTCACCACCACGAACTCCGGTGGCGACCAAATCAGGGGGTGATCCGACGTGCCGGGGATCGTCGTCCCGATTCGTAGACGGTTGTGCCGGGAGTGCATTGCTGAGGCCGCAGAGTCCTGTACGAGTAGCTTTCGATCGCGAGGAGCAGGTGTTCCCCGGCGCCATCTGATTCATGCTCCGATCTGTGCCCCACTAGGTCCAGCTTTTAACATCGCGGCATCGTTTGGCGAAACACCTGGCAACACCACGAAGGGTTAATGGATCAACCTGATACGCTCAGAACGGTAATAGCATTTCGGTCTGCTGAGCCATTGCTCTGTATCTTGAGTGCTACTCGAAGCATCATTTATCGCCTCAAACAGATTCGCAGTACGCTAGATAGGTAAGTCACCGAAGCCAACAGATCTTGCGGCTATCGGTCATTTGGAAAGAGACCCAATAAGAGTGTGACAACTGTACCAAATTAGGGCGTGCGTTCGATCCGCTGCTCTCTGCACGGCATAGCGACTGCTCGGCTTCCGTCTTCTGATTGCAGGGTTGGTGTCGAGACCACAGCGATCTCCACGGCGTCGATTGCCGTTGTGGAGCGGCTCGGGGATACATTCACACATCCCCGCGCAAGATGATGTGAGGCTAGAGCGACGGGATGCGGTCCGTCAAGAAGCAGGAAGCGATGAACGCTCAGGACGGCCGCCCGGGAGTCTACCTCTGAGATACCTTCCCCAGAACCGAAAGTGATTCTCTCCCGCCCATTGGCCTGGATGACGGGAAGCTCGGGGACGTTTAGAGGATGAGTTCAAGTAACGTGCCTGTACCTCCGTACACGACGTAGAATTGGGTCTTCTCCTGGGGGAGCTCGAGAGAAGGCTACCTGCATGCGCTTGAGCAGGGATTCGGCTGCCAAACCAATCCAGGTGCTCCGCCGAGCTGTGGTGTGATGAAGACGACGAGCGCAAAGGGACCGAGAACAAGAAAAAGCTGAGCTCGCAGGTACGTACCTCGAGCCCAGACGCTAAACCGCCATTTCCGGAGAGGTTAGGCGCGAAACAGCTGATCCCCGGCGCCTAACCCGGGTCTTAGGCACGCCTACAGCCCTAAAGCACGTCAATGCAGGTCCTTACTGGCTGAGGCGCGGCTGGTTCCTTCTCCGCTGTCGTTCAGGGCAAGCTCTCGAGTCTTGACCGTCGCCTCTCCACCAGGGCAGGACCCCACCGGAGTTACATGTACTCGAGCACTTTCACACACTTCCACAAGCCCTGCGCCGCTTCCGTCTGTCGCAGCCCAGATGTCGCACCTGTCGCTTGTCTCTCACCTCTTCTGTCTCATCGCATATACAAATGGGCAGTGCAGGATAGACAAGCGATCGCCCTTGTTGACTCATTCGTCCCCGACGCCGCTTTGAAAATCACTCGACGATCTATCTCTGCCCTTCTCGCTACCTACTGCTTTCCTTGCTGCTCATATCCACGAGCCATCTTCGCGGCAACATGTCTTCCAAGCCCGTGTCCACCGATCAGTCCCGGAAATGGAGCGCCTCCACGTCCTTCAACCTGACCGTCCTCATCTCCGGCTCCGGCACGAACCTCCAGGCGCTCATCGACGCCTGTGGGCAAGCTCCTCCCTCGAAAGATAGGTCCGCTTCGCGTCGACCCCTCCCAAACGCTCGCATCGGCCACGTCATATCAAATCGTAAAGAAGCCAAAGGATTGGTTCGTGCCCAAGACGCGGGCATATTCACCACGTACCACAATCTGGTGCAGTACAAGAAGAAATTCCCGGATTCAGAGGCGGGCGTAAAAGCTGCGCGGAACCAATACGATGCAGACTTGGCTCAGAAGATTCTCACGCATATCCCGTGCCCGGATTTGGTCGTCTGTGCAGGCTGGATGCATATCTTGTCCCCAGGCTTCATCAACGCGCTAGCCTCGGCCCACGTGCCCATCATTAACCTACACCCGGCATTACCGGGACAATTTGATGGCGCAAATGCCATCGGTCGAGCATACGAGGCATTTCAAAGGGGCGAGATCTCGAAGACAGGGGTCATGGTCCATTATGTGGTCGACCAAGTCGACCGAGGAGCGCCTATCCTGGTCAGGGAGGTTGAAATCAAGCCGGGAGAAACTCAAGAAGAACTCGAGGAAAGAATCCACCAAACAGAATGGACTTTGATCGTCGAAGCTACAGGCAAGGTGCTAGCGGACCTCGAGGAGAAGCGGAGACGTGAAAGCTATTGAGCGTCTCTTACCGGACTCAGGCAGAAGGGCGCGAGGGCGGCAAAGTCGACTTTTACAGGACAAGCGCGGTGTTTGGTACGGAAATTTGCACAATCTCGAACACAGGGAGTAGATGGATCTCGGCATGAGGGGTGAAGGGGCCGGGCAAGTAGCTTGATCCCAAAACCCCTCTGCCACACAAAAGTCAAGGGAAGGAATGCAAGAGCTGAACTCCGGTGGGTATGTGAACCTATGAGTGGAACGAGGATTCACCCAGTGCTTATGCTTTGAACGGCCGAATGAGATAGATGGGGATGAGAACACAGTGAAAGAATGAGAGTAGACACGGGATTTTCCGGAAATCGGCCTTCAGCTACTGTAAGCAACCTTTGAAATGGAAGAAGAAATACTGTACCTTTCCGAGTTATCTTCACCATATATCTACCGGTACCATTGGTCGTGTGTTATACCACACACATCACAGCAAGGCAGGCCCACGGGTCGTCCTTAAAAGCACCCAACACCTAGCCACAGCTATAGCCGAAGCCGTAGTGATCGGCCTAGTACGGGCATAGCATAAGCATAGCCATACCTAGGGCACAGGCATGTCGAACTTTATGTCAGGCATGAGTTCCCACGGCTTCCCACACACGGTACTCCGTAGGTATGTACCTATTTCTGCACATTCAAAACCACCTCCCGACTGGAGTCGACACATATACTCCGTACTGTAGTCCGGAATACACATACTTAGCTTTGCTGGTGTGCCCCTCAGGAACCGAATGACAACTGTACATAACGTCGTTGTACTCCCTCCGTCCAGTTCCACCAGTTCAAGGGACACCACATGCAGTAGCCTCATACTGTAGCAGAGACTATGTTACTACTGGAGCTGGACAGACAGTCCTGGTCGGGCGTACTGTATCTCGCTTGCTCCCTTTCACTTTCACTTTCACCTCCTATCGACTCCTCGCTCCCTCCCTTAATTTGTACCGCGGCCTCCCAAAATGGGTATATACGGGGTACATACACCCACATTCACTTACTCCCGCACACACAGTTCTGTTGATTGTGATTTGCTGCGGAGAAAGCAGAGAATTCGACGCGTTTCATGGCATGGCATGGCATGGCATTGCGTTTGGCAAGTCCTCAGAACGAGGAGGACACCGGAACATACGGTATGTACGCTTCAGTCCAACTACTCAAGTATTTTCTGTAATAATTGCTGTGGTTCCGTTACCCGCACGCGCAAAGGGTATCAATTCTCGTCTCGTCTCGTCTCATCGCTATCCTTTTTCCTAATCTCTCAGAATCACAAACTCCAAAAACATAAGTCGCTGAATAGAACTCTGCCCAAATTCTCGTTTCCATCCCACAGAGTCCTGAATCCTACCAGTGCCGCACCTGATCGGACTGAGCCGCCTGCGCAGTAAAAGCAAGTCGGATTCTTGGCCACAAGAATCTCAAGTCGACTTCGATGCTCCTTTTCCTGGGGATCAGGCGGTTCGAGCGCCACTACCGCTTTTCCTTCACATCATCCCCTTCCACAGCAGGAGCAGGCGAGTCTCGTTGTTTGCCCTTTTCGTGTTCTGCTGCGCCATCGACGTTACGATCATGGAGAATGCTCTCCGTGTTGACCTGCTGATCGTCAACTACATCGCCATGATGCTCATCTCGTCCCCCGTCCATGAACTTGTGCATTTCCCTCTTGTACCGACTTTCTTTCAGGGGCCCATCCTCGCCGGCTTCGGCCCTCGCGTTTAAATCCTCTTCGTCAGAACTGCTCAAGCTCGACATGCTCAGGTTCTGCATATACATGACGGATTTCCCTCCCGTACTTGCTTTCTTCTTCTCAGTCTGTTCTTTCTTGAGGGCCTGTTGGAGCTCCGCGTCGGCTTGGCAGTCGAGTGTTTTGATCTTCAGGCCGGGAAGGTTTGCGCTGAGGTATTGATGTAGAAGAGGGAGCTTTTCAGCATTGGGTCGGTAGGTACCGCTGTCATTGTCGATTATGAGTTCGTAATGCGTCGGATCCGTGTCCTTTTCGGGTCTAATGTTGTTGCCGGTGGGTTGAGGTCGAGGAGAAGAAGGGGCCTTGTTTGCTTGACACGTGCATCCTAACCTTGAGCATAATTTACTCGTGCACCCTTGACTCGTGCATGCTTTACTCGAGCCTTCCTCATTGTCCTTCTGTTCTTCGTCGGGCGGTGTGGATGGTGGATGTGTTTCCTTCTGAGGATCAACTGTCGCATCGTTCTTGTGCATCTTGGCATGCTTAACGCGTCGGACGAAGAACTCGCCCGAAAAAGCGATATAGATGCTCACGTCGCTGTGCATGGTGTGTTTGCTCAGCAAGTCGATTCCGAACTCCTTTCCCGTTTCTGTGAAACGAAATTGGCCATCGAGGGTCAACACGTATGTGAAGATCCGTCCTCCTTCGTCGTAATGTACGAAATCAAGGAACTGCTTGGTCATTTCGAGGCATGGTTCGGCAAAGGAGCCGTATTTTGTCGTGCGATCGTAGTTGTAGATTCGGCTGTGCTGATGGTGCAAAGCGCGATTCAGGAGGCGCCCACGGATGCTGTGTGAAGTGAACATGCCGGCTACAAAGGGCCGGAATTCGACGTAGCGGTGATAGAGCTCTGCCGGGACAGGGCCGCGAAATTGCATCTGAATGGATTGGAAGCTGTCGCTGAGTTAGTGTCTGTAATGGGAAAACGTTGACGGAGTCGCTCACTTATAGCGCTCTACCTCCTTCCCGTCTTTGCCTTGCTCCGTGTTTTTGGTACCTGTTATCCGCCCGATCAAGGGCGAGTGGTGTTGCGACCACGGCAAAGGGCCGATGGTGTACACACGACCACCGTTCTCTGCGTCCGTCCTGCCTAGATTCTCCACGCTGACGATAAGATCTCCATGTAACTTGACTCTCCTGGAGATGAGAGCGGCGCATCCACGGAGCGTGTAGGCTCTTTTACTCCCCATGCGCTTCTTCAGCTGGAATTTTTTGTGCGAGAACCCTTTCCAGTTGTCGTCGATATGAGGCACATCGACGTGAACATTGCCGAGCCGATCATCAGAGTCGGCGGGATCCTCATCGTACAGTCTGCACTTCATATGAAAGCCGTTGGCGGGAATATTCGCAATAATCCATTCCGTCTCCCACTCCGGGTCTGTATTTCGATGTATCGTGGGCGTCCTCAATTTCAAATCTGGATCCTGTTTGTGCCTCTTAGGCAGGTCCGTCTGGAGAATCGCGAGAACATATGGGTCGGACGACAGAGTGCCAAAGTCTGCAAAGGGCAGATTCTCCGCTTTGTGGAATGTAATCTTGACCGTGTAACCAGGCGGTGCTCTTGGAACGGGCGTGTCATCGAAGCCACCCGCTGGCCCCTTCTTCTCTTTCTTCTCGGAATTGTCGGCGCCAGCTGCGCTGCGATATACCTGCTCGAGCTTCTCTGTTTTGTCGGCCAGTTTAGGCCCGAGTTTGTCGGCTTGGTGAGGGATCACCCCGTCCTTGCGCAGGACGGGTGCCTCGGAATCGGTGTCCGCCATTGAATGGTGCTCACTTGTTGCGGTTGATCTCTAGGTCTGGAACGCGTGTGCGGGCGTTGATTATGATGGCATACCGAAGCTAAATAGGCGCATTGACTGAGGATATGACTGTCCACAATAGGTAAACATACAATCACGCAAGATAGACGAAGGAACGAGAGACAGTATGAAGGATTGCGCAGGCAATTATGGCAGTTCGCTTAGCAACGTGAATCCGCAGGAGCCCAGTTTAGGGCGCCATCAGCCCACAGCGGCATGGTGGGTGGCAGGAGCGAATGAGTTAATTAGGCTTTGGGGGGATGGCTGACGCACGCCTGTGGGCTTCCTCCAATGAGTGAGTTGGGCTTGCGGAATTGCCTATGGAGCCCGTTCGCCCTTGACTGGGTCTCGGACGGCAATAAGCATGACAGGGCTGGCTCTCCAATAAAGCTTGGCCGAAAGCTTGGTACTAGCTGGGGTTCAATTTCCAGCTGCTGTGGCATTGCCTCATGCATCGGAAGGAAATCCTGTCGACGGCATGGGGGACGCGCAATCACCAGTCACGACTGACATCATCCTCTGCAAGACGCAGTTGAGCATCGAATGCTGTCAATTCGGAGCTACGACCCACGGGACACTGAAAGCAAACATAACGACTGTGGTATTCAACTCCCTCGTCGCTTGTGGCGGGGGCTAAGCAAGATGCACAGTCAGAAAATCCGAGACACGACATACTCCTTCGCTTCATGCAGATAATACCCCGTCAACGCCAGCGCCATGCAACATCGAGACCAAAAGTCCATCCGTGCTGCGATCATTCTTCGTCAAGTAATCTCAAAAGCAAATCAGAGCCCGGCCCAGTAAGGCTGTCTCGCATTTCCTTTTCTGAAACAGCGCTTACCACCTGCTTGTCGTCCATTCCTCCTCTTCCTGATCTAGAAGGCGTGTTGGTTGGGGTCAGCAGACTTGACGTGCGCCCGGATGCTTCTTGCACCAGGCCGAGCGTCTCCAGGCTAGCCACCACATCCCGAAACTCAGTGTTCTTGAGCGGTTGCAACAATCCTTCGTCACGCTTACACAAAGCAGCATATTTTTCGAACAACTCTTTAACGGTAGGTACTTTGGACCACGACTTGGAAGGAGTGGTGTAAGGATCACGGCGGAATCGTCGGTTTTCCGAAGCCACCAGCGAACATAGCACCGCTTTCTGTTGCAAGTTGAGTCCGCTTAAACGAGAAATAGTCCCATTGTTGAAGATGCTTGCCGCGATCTTCGCCACATGTGCGATTGTCGCCCTTGGTGCCGTCTCAAAGGTGAGCTGTCCGAGTGCTGAGCGCTGGTCCCTGAGAGGTGATGGGAAACCGATAGTGGAGGGCATATTGCGGATTTCGCTGAGAGCCGTTTTGGTCGGTGTTATGCTCTGTTCCTGATTCATCTTCATCAGGGTTTCCTGTTCAATCTGGTCAATGGCACGACGGACCAGACCGAATGCCTTTCGCAGATCACCGGTTTGAGACGATATTTTCTTGCCAGCTAGCTGAACAGCTGCGGGGTGCATCAAGGGGATGAATTCCGAGCCAGCCGCTGTCCTGTCTGGTACAAGAGATCGAAGCTTTCCGCAGATGATGGTCGAAATTTGCTGTGCGGAGTATGGCAGAAATGGTAGTAGTTGTGGCTTGACATTTCTCAGCTTCAAACGTGGCAGAAACCGATCGGTCAGGTCCAGAGCGTTGGCGATGCCGATCAGAATGAGACAAGAGGAGGGATGCATAGCCCATTCGAAGATGCTGTACAAGACATCGCAGTCGCGATGGAGCAGTGTGTCAATCTCGTCAAGCAACACCAGATACATGCTGGAGTTCGCCTTTTTTGTCGTGAAGAGTTTTGCCAGGCTAGTCTTGCTTGACTTGGCATTGCTCTTGGTTGAACAAAACGCGTTGCTGAGTTGGACGAGGGCCTCGCTGGAAGATTTTAGCGAGACACAGTTGACGATGGCGGTCCGGACGTGTTGCTCCGAAGATTCGTGGATGATCTCTTGGACAAGTGCACTTTTTCCAGTGCCGGGCGGCCCGCTCACATATGTGCAGCCGCCAGTCTTGGATTCAAGAGCTTTGGAAATGAACTTCCTTAACTGGCTCCGTTCTGCCTCTCGTCCAATAATCTTTCCATTACTGGCTTGGGTGAACAATTGTCGAGCTCGGGAATACACATTTTGTGACTTTGGTGTAGATGATCGCGACGATTGAGGCGTAAGAAGCCCACCCGCAAGGCGGACGCGGTGCTTCGGGGTACTGGGAGTGACAGCAAAGACATCCTTGAAGCGAGCAGCTGTTGGAGTTGAGACATCAAACGGTGGCAGGTTCTCGTCGGAGGGCCGAGTATCATTGTGGACGAGGTTTACAGGACTGTCTTGGACAGTACGCTGCGACCGTCTGTTACGTGTCGTGACAGGGCTTGTATTCGTTTCTTGCCCAGCAGATTCTGGAGATGCATCTTCATATATCTCGGGTACTGAGCGTCGCGTTCGTCTCTTGGGAGAAGGAGCTACATTCGCGACATCTGCAGACACATTCGGTCAATTGCATTCACAGAATCCCAAGGGGTGGGAAGCTTTGCGTACCTTCTGTATCGAGGACCTTGCGAGATCGCTTCCCAAGCACTGTAGCAGCCATTGGAACGGGTCGTCGCTGCTTTTGTTGCGGTGGTGGTGGTTGTACGAGCAGCTGAGGAAGGCACGAGGAATGCGGATTTAAGATAATGGGAAGGCGCGACTCGCTCTGTCATTTGAAAAAGACGCGTTAAGTGGGAAGGCGCGACTTAGCGTGCAGGCGAGATTTAGCCGCGGCTTCCCAGCCTTGCCCGCAAACTTCAGCCACGTAAGACCCCACGCGCCGTGTCTGTGGTCTGCACTCCGCCGTAGAGCTGCATGGTGCCTGAGTCTTGGCGAGTTTGGCGTCCACCGTGACCGTGACCGAAGCCGCCTGTTGTCATGTCGGCCCGGTGAGTTTTCGTCATAGCCAGCGGTGCCTTGTGGCTCTCCATCACTTGGTGCGCTGCCTCGTGCTTGAGTCGCCTCACAACACCAGCAGGGTGGCTACTCCAGTTTGCTCTGACACATGGCATCTTCTACCCTTCGCTACTTGCTTCTTCGTCGTATTTCGCAATAACGACGTCTTCCACTCTCATATGAACACTTTCCTCTAGCCAACGGCCCAACCAGGGGAGTCATTTAACCAACTGCCTGCAACCACCGGTCTCCGACGCAACTGATTACCACGAACCGAACCTCCCTTCTAAGATGGATGAAGCCATTGCCACCGTTGTCGCGGTCTGCGGGACGACCCCAGAATTGGCTGCACAATACGTTCAACTCGCTGATGGCGACCCCAATCAAGCAGTGCAATTGTTCTTCGAAAATGGTGGCGTTGACCTAGCTGGACCGCCCTCTGGGCCGTCGTCGCGACCTCCCCCTCCCTCAGCCTCACATCACACCGGCGACGCGAGTGATCCTATAGACATCGACGCTGAAGACACCATCTCAGACGACAATGATCCCGAAATCACTGGTTTTCGAAAGACAACACAAAGATCAGGTGCAGCCTACGAAGACGATGAGGCTATGGCACGCAGGTTACAAAACGAGATGTACGGTGCGGGCGATACGGAGGAAGATGTACGGGCCCCCATTGCTCGGCAAGCCGAGACGTTGGTCGGGGGATATGGAGGGGGTCTTGCAGCAATGGGTGGCCCCACATATTCTTCAGCTGTAGAAGAACGAATGCAGGCTATTGAGAGGAGACGACATCAAGGTCAGTACCGCAGTCGTCATCGCGCGGTGGTACACTAACGCAGAGATAGCCCGCACCGGGATTTTCAATCAACATCAGCCAACGTCCATCTGGGATCAAGGTGCTTATGCCAGTCCAGATGCCCTCTCAGAATCCACGGGTGGAGCATCTGAGGCCTCTGCGAGATCGACTCGACTTGCCAGACTCTTCCAACCACCGTGGGATCTGATGTACAAAGGCGAGTGGGAGAATGCAAGAGCCGAGGGCAAAGAACAGAAGAGGTGGCTACTAGTTGACATACAAGATCCTTCAATTTTCGACTGCCAGGCACTGAACCGCGACTTGTGGAAGAACGAGGGCATCGTGGAGACTGTTCGGGAAAACTTTCTGTTCCTGCAGTACAACAAGGACGACCCCAGAGCGTCACAATACGTTCAATACTATTTTCCGAACTACGAGATTGCGCGCGAATACCCTCATGTTGCCATCGTCGATCCCCGAACAGGCGAGCAGATCAAACTCTGGGCACGCAAAGTTCCTGCCGCCGCGGAGTTCTTAATGCAACTACACGAGTTCTTGGACCGATACAGTCTTGATACGCATGCTCGGAATCCAGTCGCAAAGCGGAGGTCCGAAGCTAAGAAGGAGAAGCCGGTTGACCAGCTCACGGAGGAAGAGATGCTGGAGAGAGCGTTACAAGCGAGTCTCGCCGCACAAAACGAAGAGCAGAAAGCGGCGCCGGCAGAAGATCCAGATGACTTGACCCGAAGTGTGGGAGACTTGCGAGGCGCTCAAACGGTGGCAAATAACGATTCAATGGACGTCGACAAGAACGGCACAGAGGAGACCGCAGAGGCGGCCGATTTTGCACAGATCCCGTCAGATCGTCCTCATACAGAGCCGGCTGCAGGACCGGGTGTTACTCGAGTGCAGATTCGGCACCCAGGCGGCCGGATTGTTCGACGGTTTGCAGAGCACGATCCTGTGCAACGAATCTATGAATACCTCAAGGCTGACCCACTGGAAGGCAAGGCCGGTTCTGTTTTCGAGTTGGTGTCAATGGGCAAGAACCTGATGGGCGCTCGACATGAGACCATTGAGAGCGCCGGTCTGAAGAATGGAACGGTCATGGTGGAGTTCGTGGAATAATTATCGTGGGGGTCGCTACTGGGAGGTGTCTGCACCCCAGCTTCTTTCTAGAGCTGCTATTGAGCTGGTTTGACATGGCGTAGTCTCGCCTGTGCGGTTCTGAGATAGGATCGAATAATGAGACGACATGAGGAAAGTTCTCCCAACGTGTTTCTGAGGCTGGGATTGGATTCCATCATCACTGGCTGTCACAGTAGATTCCTCGGTGACGCGTGCAGCCAATCGGAGTGACCATCAACAACCCGGAAGGGAAGCTCGTAAACACCGGTTGTCGAGGTGTTTCATCTGCACCTTGATTACGGCTGAGCTCCGACCTGGACACGGGCGCGATCCCGACACGAGCGACGCGATCCACGACGTAACGAATCTAGACGAACGGTTGTGCGAGCAGTCGCGAGAGGAAGTTGCGGGCAGTGCCCTTGCACATTGCCGGCAGCAGGACTTGCCCTGCCCAGTGCGCCCCTAGGAATTGCCAGTGCGGTTTCCCCGGCACTCGACGTTGCACATAGAATTCACCAGAACCTCACGACCTCTCCAGTGCGCCTTGAGTCTGCGTCCTCATGTGAAATAAGGACGCGAGCGCGCACCCTCTCGACCCCAGTTCTGCGCCCATCTGCTCCTGCAACCACGACCTCGACTGCGACACTTGCAGACCCTAACCTCGAGTAAAAGGCGGAGGGGCCCCGTCGCAGCACAATGGACCCGGAGGAACTCTACACCAAACAGAATTGCATCGGAGGTGGGAGTTTTGGCAAGGTATACAAGGGAGTGGACAAGCGAACCGGCCAAGCGGTGGCTATCAAGGTTATTGACGTTGAGAATGCCGAAGACGAGGTCGAGGACATTATCCAGGAAATCTCCATCCTGTCCGAACTCCAGTCCCCCTACGTGACCAAGTACCATGGCTCCTACCTGAAGGGTTCCGATTTGTGGATTATCATGGAGTTCTGTTCGGGCGGCAGTTGTTCAGACCTCATGAGGCCGGGCCTGATACACGAAGACTATATCTGCATCATCATACGCGAACTGCTCATGGGCCTCGACTACCTGCACTCTGACAAAAAACTACACCGAGACATCAAGGCAGCCAACGTTCTGCTGGGTCAGAATGGTCAAGTCAAGCTCGCCGACTTTGGAGTGTCGGGCCAACTCTCCGCCACCATGACCAAGAAGAATACCTTTGTGGGCACGCCTTTCTGGATGGCTCCGGAAGTCATCAAGCAATCTGGGTACGATCACAAGGCAGATATCTGGTCACTCGGCATTACAGCTATCGAGCTGGCGCAAGGAGAACCGCCTTATGCAGACATCCACCCTATGAAAGTCCTGTTCCTGATACCCAAGAACCCCCCACCACAGTTGCAAGGCAATTTCTCGCGCACGTTCAAAGACTTTGTCGAGCTATGTTTGCGGCGGGATCCCAGAGAGCGGCCTTCTGCGAAAGAACTGCTGAAGCATCCGTTCGTGAAGAGGGCCAAAAAGACGACATACTTGACCGAGCTGATTGAGAGAAACGAAAGATACATGGCAACCCGCGGTGGCCGATCGTCCGACGATGAGGACGAAGAGGAAGATGTGCGGCCAGCATTCCATGAACCAGAAAATGAAGACCTGTGGGATTTCGGCACAGTGAGGCCGGTCGGCGGCCGGGGAGCTGGACTTCGACCCATGAACGACTCTGCTGCTAATGCGCGAGCTTCAGCAGAACCTGTTGCTATTGCCAAGAGCAAGAATGACTGGGACGAAACTGTAAAAGTGCCCTCGTCGCCGCAGAAGTCGCCAGTGAAAGCTGCATTTCCACCTACGCCAGCGAACATACCATTGCCTCCGTCACCAGTCAAGGTGACCACATCAGCAGCCACCGAAAAGCCTATCCCGTCGGCATTACCACTCTCGGTTTCGGCGACACCCAAGACGCCGGCTGTTCCATTGACAAACAAGGCGCTGCCTGCTCATCCGCAGAGAGATAGCCCAGGGTCGAATGAATACAACAAAGCATTCCAGGCCCAGTTAGCAAAGGACATGGGATTCCTCAAGCTTGACGTGGGAAGTAGCCCGAAGACACAACCAGCCCAGGCACAAACACCTCCAGGCAAGAAGGCACCAATGGTAATTCCCGAAATTCCACCCTTCAAGGGAAGACCGGGAAGAGGGGAGGCACTTCAGAAAGGCCAACAGACACCGCCATCTAAGGCTGTCCTATCGTCGTCGTCGTACACCGGCGAATCTTCAGCAGGCCCTGCCTCGATTGCCAACCAACAGCCACTGCCTCCGCTGACGACAAAGACCAACGGTTCGCAACCTTCAGAACCGGCCACACCGACCAGTACATCCTCGCGGCCAGCGGAGGAGCGGACAGACCAGGAACTTACTGCTTTGAACTCAGTCCTGATCCCCGCACTCGAGGCGTCAATGCACCGGCGAACGTATATGCTCAAGGAACTTGCACGGACGAGCAAGCTGAGCTCCTCGGCAGCCGCGGAAATGCACCAACATCGAGTCCAGGCACACGAAAAGGTCAGAAAGCTTGCTGCAAAGGCGGCAGGTGTATTCTACGAGATTCAGAAATGCGATGAGGAGTGTCCAGTAGGGATGGGGGGAGGAGTGACCGAGTTTCTGGAAGGTTTTCTGGAGGAGATACTTGTGAGGGTGGAGGCCGCCGACGAGCCTGACCCTGCTCCTGGAAGGTCGTAACTGGAGGGACAGCACGTCGATTTCCTATGGGTTAGCCCACTGTATGTTTACCACATGAGCGAGGATGGCGGCGGGTGAGAGCCATAGTATGGTGTGCATGGCTAGAACTGCATCGTTCACAGCCTCGTCGTACCTTTTCAGCCTTATGACGCGTTGTACGAACAGACATTGATCAAAGGTGACGACGCGTATTTTGAGACAGATGAAACTGTTGACACTGGTCGTTTCCAGCATTGCTGATGTAGTCATGTGTCCCACTTGAATGATACTTTCCTTCCTGCGAAAGCTTTGTGCAAGCATTGCTAGACTCCGCATCTTCTCCAAGATTGATTCATTAGCATGGTAAAATGGCTACGAACACCACCCAGAGCAACCTCGTCCGCCTTGCGCCCCTACAGCTCAGCGAAGTGCCAGTGCACGCATCTCTCCCATGCTCGGAGGACACCACGCCACCCGAACTTCTTCCCTTCCTCTTGACGCTCCTCGACGACGGGATCGACTTCCTCTCGTCCACCAGCTTCATTGCGAACTTCAAACACCAGTCCACCAAAACCGCTCTCCCCAGCGAAGCGAAGGTCGACGTCCTGACATGTGACATCGCCGCGCGAGAGTTGGAGCAGATTGTGAAGTGGGACGGCGGCGCAACGACGCGAATCACGGCGGACGACAGTCCCAATGGCGCACAGGGTCAAGGTCAAGGCCAGAAAGCCGCGGAAGAGACATACACCCGACCGGGACGGAGCAAGCCGCCCGCTCGCGTCCTGAGCGGCGGCGAGCATTGGTTCGCCCGCAAGTCGGTCCACAAGGACCTCTCGTCCAAAGACACGACCTCGCCCGGAAACGCGAGCTGGCAGGAATTCATCTACGGCCTACGCGACAACCATTCCAAGCACGAAGAGGATTTCACGCCGAATCTGTACGACGCGCACCACGTGTGCGATTGGAACGGCGAGATCCAGCGTCTCGAATCCCAGGGCAAGATCGTGGGCAAACACGGGAGGAAATACACCTGCGCCACGATGGCCATATATGAGATGTGTCACGCCACGCCGCCGCCCACCTCTGCGCGCTGCTTCCCTGTTCTGGTCGCCACGGCGTCTCTTGGCCCGGACGAGTTTGTCGCCGTCACGGTGCCCGTGACGCTTGGCGCGTCCGTGTCTGCCTCGTTCTACTCGTCCGGCCGCCACGCCCAGGAGGGCAAAACGCCGCAGCAGCGGAAACCTGTCGTGCTGGGGATCTACGCTGCGGTCGAGACCGTGAAGCGACGGCCCAGAGAAGGCGCCGAGAGGGGCGTCGAGGGCAAGGAGGTCGAATGGATTATGGCGACGGCGAGTGATGCCAAGGGGAATCTGCCCATGTGGGTGCAAAAGATGAGTCTACCGGGCATGCTTCCCAAGGATGTCAGCTATTTCATGACGTGGATCAAGGGTGTGAGAGACGACGAGGTTGAAGCCGTCAAGGTGGTATGAGACGAGGAGGTTGAAGCTTTCAAGATGGTATGAGACGTGGAGGCTGAAGCCGTCAAGATGGTATGAGACTAGGAGATTGAAGCTTTCAAGGCGGTATGAGACTGCGGCAGGGAAGCCGTTCAACCGCGGGCGCTACATTTTAATCCCTTAATTGGCGGAATGCGACTTGAACTCTACAGGCGGCCAGATGCGAAAAGGCGACTTGAAACTCTTCCCCCATACTGGGTACAAGATCCGGCACAGAACACAGCGTTGGTCTCTCCACGGGTAGCGCGATACCAAGCCAGATCACGGAATCTCGACCTCAAACTGTTGGGTCTGGGAAGTCAGCCACCAGCAAGCCAGCCACGCTATTGACCACCTTTATTTTTAGCACGCAAGAACAGACAGAAGACGTTCATAACGTCTACCGAGCACTTTACTCCACGTGCGTGCATAACAACCAGGGATGGCCTCTCCACAGAGTACGACCGACAATGGATGGATGGATGGACGAGCCGGGAGCCACGTGCTGAGGACCCCATTCGGCTTTGCCATGTCCTACCGATGTTCGAGTCACAAGAGGAAAGATTGGAAGCAAAGGGAAGAGAAAAGTGACTCGCCAGTCGAGCACGCTATGGATTGGGCTAAAGATTCAGGCCATCATCAATACTGTGCCACGACTATCACCACCACCACTTACCGCATTTCTTCCGACGGGGAGAAAGCATCCTCTACTTCTCTCCATATAATCGTCCTTACAGGGTTCTTCGTAGAGTTCGGCCGTATGATCGGTCATGCCGGTTTTACGTACGGACCTAGGTAGGTAGGTATTCAAGATCGCATCAGCGGCATGTAATAACGACCCGGGACACCAATTGTATGAGTTTGAATATTCATGTGCATTCATTGTGTGGCGTTATCTCGCGTGGCATGGCGTGGCGTGGCGTGGCGTGGCGTGGCGTGGCATGTGCAGACACGGGCACGGCATATCATGTCATGTGATGGCGCATGCACTGGCAGTCGCTCGTCTTTCCGTGCCGAATGAAAGACTGGGCTTTACGAGGCGCGGACTCGTGTCAGCATGAGGTATTATACAGGACTTACGTCGTAGTAGGTACCCGTACGGGCGCCACCGTGTGGGCGGAGTAACTCCTCGTACCTCACCTAGCTGCACTCAGTACGGAGAACGTTACTTACACGAGACACAGCGCCACGACGGCGCAAGAGATCCTGAGGTGCCGCACGCTCCTGTATACCTTTGTCACCAGTGTGACTGCGTACTACGAGTACTAAGTACTAAGTACTTACTTACCTAGGTACCTTGGGAGGAGGTATGAACCCTAGGTAAGTACCTAAGTAAAATCCTGCGTGCCGAGTCATGGTGGACCGTTGAGGTGGACTGCGTACTCCCTACATTACTCTGTACGGAGTACTTCTACGGAGTGGTCGTCGTACCTTGTCTTGACCAGCCAGCCAGCCGTCAGTCAGCCCATCAGTCAGTCAGTCAGCTCGCCAGCCAGCCAGTCAGGGTTCTGATTAACATCGTGGACAAATACACAGTACATTCAGAGTACATACCTCGTACCGTGCAAGTACTCGGTACACATACAGTACCTAGGTACCTGAGATACCTACACGTAGCCACGCGCTTACACAGCATCTCTGGGCGTAGGGATTACTTACCCGTACCACTACCCTGGGATATATTAGGTATGTAACTCCGTACTCCGTACTCGTACTGGGTAACTCCGCAAGCACCGTTTCCCAGCCGAGTCGGTGGACACACAAGGTACCCGCAGGACGAGCCGCCGACGAGCAACGAGTAAGACTACGGGGTAATTAAGCCACAGGGGATTCCCCCCCAATGGGGTAGTCACTGTGTGCGTTCATACTGGGTACCTAGGTACTGATTTGATAGGCACGGTAAGGGGGCAAAAGGCGCGCTTATTCGCAGCCCCAGGCCAAGGCAGCCATCCATCTGAATCGGGTGGGTTCTTTCTTGTTTCGGGAAGGCCAGGCACGTCCAGGCCACTGGTCTGGTACCCAGTAGGATGAATGAGGTTTCTCCACTGAGTAATAGTGTGCGTGCGGCCGTGAGATACGAATTCGCCCGCCCTCCTGCCCATTACATACCTCAATGCTAATTGTGGGTCCCGAAACTCCCGCTCCAGTGCAGTCGTATTTTCCGATGCTCGCTAAAACGGCAAATGGCCCTCGCCCTAGCCTTGAGAAAAGAAAGCGCCTGCCTTGGTCTCGCTTCCCTCGTGCGGCCGTTCGATTCCTGGGCAGGAGTTGTGTCGCAGCGACATCATGTACTCGTACGCTGTCAAGTACCATAGATGCTGTCATGAGTGAGTACGTAGGCTCATCCCTCGCTTTTCCCGTCACGGTCTCCGTCTGAACATTCACGCCGCCGGCGCCGCCAACTCAACCCCTTCCCTGCTCTTGAACTGCACGACGGGGCCCACCCGATCTGATATCAGCCAATCCCTCAATTGATATTCGTCCTTCCTGTGTCGTCCTTCGCCGGTGGCCCACTCGACTCCTCCGCCTCCCTCGCCTGTGTGGTCGCCTTCTTTCAACCTCGTGTCGAACAGGAACATGACCCGTGCCACTGCCGTGTACAGTTCCATGTATGCCATGTTCTTGCCTACACAGCCTCGCGGGCCGGAGCTGAAGGCGTGGAATGCAATCTTCGCGACTTCCACCGACGTTGGCGTGACGGTGAATCCTGCCGTGGCTGAGGACTCGGGCCCCGGGATCCATCGTTCGGGAATGTACGAGAAGGAGTTGGGGAAGTAGGTCTCGTTGTGATGGATGGCGTAGATGGGGACCCCGACTGTCGTGCCGGCGGGGATGTGGCGACCATCGATCATGGCACCGCCCGGGAGGACGAGGCGGTCGAGCAAGCCCGGAACAGGAGGGGACATGCGCATCGCTTCGTCGATACACGCTCGCAGGTACGGCAGGTTGGTCAGTCGGGCCGAGTACTTGATCTCCTCGACGTCGGTGAACGCCGTGCGGATTTCTTCCTCCAACTTCTTCAGCGCCCTCTCGTTGCGCGTCAAGTAGAAGAACAGAGCTGAAAGCGCCGTGCTGGACGTGTCAGAGCCGGCGCCGACAAGCAACGCCGCCTCCCCGACGAGATCCTTGGGCAGGAACGTCTCTCCGGTCTGTGGGTCCTTGGCGCGGAGGAGGTAATAGAAGAAATCCTTGCGTTTGTCCCCTTCTGACTTCTCGGCGTCGGCCTTTTCCACGGCGAACCGCTTCTCAACTAATTTACCAATGTCCTGACGGAAGCGGACTTTGTTGATCAAGTTCTGGGCGCCTGTGGCCCGGCCAATCGCGGACAAGTGGTGAGGTTTCATGAATGGGAAGAGCAATTCGCGGGGAGGGAGGAAACAGACCTTGGCATCGATCAGCATCTTCGAGGTGGAAGACGGCGGGAGGATGTCACTTACCGCTTGTAGAAACCGGGAGCTCGAAATCAGGAGCTCCATAATATAACAGCCTCCCGTCTTCATGGCGTCGAAACTCGCTCCGAAACAGAGCTCTCCCAGGACATCGATGGTCAAAAGCGTGGACCAGTGGCCCATATCACGGTCCTTGCTCCACGCCGACTTCTCTTCGGTGTTTGAACCGTCTGTTTGGGCGAGATATGCGCACCAGTCGCGGATTCGTTCGACGATGTACTTGTCCAAATTGCTCATGGCACGATCCGAAAAGGCGTTGTTCAGCAGTTTCCGTTTGGCCGCATGGAGTTGACGGTCAGAGACGACGTGCGTGGTGATACCAGGATTGATCATTTCACCAGCATGAGTCCAGCCTGTTTTGACCATGTTGGCTCTTCGGTCGGTGTAGATGTCATTGACGGCCTGGGCGGTTCGGAAGGAGAGTTTGTCAGGTCCGAATCGGACAATATCGCCTGCAGAAGTGCTCTGTCAGTTGTGTTCCTTTTGCTCGCGAGGTCCTGGTCATACCGTATTTCTCATGCAAAAGTTGTAGGTCGACATGCCTCCTCCCGGCCCACGCGGATTTGGCCTCGGGCCACTGTGTCAGCCTCCATAGTAGCGGTCCAGGGTATTTGGCGAGAGGGTGAAAGTAGAGACGATAGATCGAGAGGCCAAAAAACTGTCGTGGCGCGTTAGCATTGAGCGGAAGAGCAGAGCGTCGTGGTCCTTACGTAGACGGCATTCGCTGCGACGAGGACAGCGACAAAGTCCAGCACTGAGAAAATGGCCATATCGAGAACCTGCACACAGACAGCAATCTGTCTCACTCGAGGTTCGAGCCAAGGAAGAGGAGCGTATGACGGGTATATATGCAGGTCACAGTCGTGCTCCTACTACCTCGTTGCGATTAATGCCATCCAACGACGCTCCTTCCTTTGTGAATTGTGCCCATGGAGCTGACCATCAGGCTTACCGGGTCCTCCTAGGAGCGAAGGGTGGATAGACAGATCCTGGACACACAGGGCCCTGTCGAGCGAATCTAGCGCGATGCACCGCTCTCTGTATGACGATGACTGGATAGGGCTGAGGCGAATGATGAAGCAGGGTTCAGGCCTCCGTCAAACCCGAAGGCTACACTGATTACCTGCCGTCCTATGGACCGTTCACGAGTAGCCGATTCCAGACCGCGGCGTAAGACACCTTCTTCGGCATTGACGTAGTTCAGTGTTGCGCGCATTTGTGCACAGGAGGCACATGTGGTGAGATGAAAGTCACTCATCCTCGAGAGTTCGAGTACTCGGTCAAGCGGCGAGACATGGAACTAAATCGGAAAGAGGGAAGGATCACAGTCGCAACGACTGGCGCTCGAGGCGTCCCACCATCGAAAATTGTGGGGAATGGATCTTGAGGCCTTCTGAGAGTCAGCAACTAATTAGTCATGCGCGACTGGAAACGTTACTCCGTACCCACATTGTTGTGCGTTACCCTGCGTGCTATTCCACAAATGCAGGTTGCGTTCTGATACAGAGTACGAAGGCGCGCAGAAAAGGCCTTTGCTATGGGAGTAGGAGAATGACATATCTATGAAGGACAGTTCATTTTCGATGGGCTGTCCTTGGTAATCGCGCCTAAAGCATTTGTTGCCAGATAGAGCACCCTGATTGTAACCCCCTCCAGGTGCAGGGTCCGGGCTGTGCTGGGCTTATCTTTGGTGGCAAGCCCCTAGGCCATTGTGCGAGCACTACACGGTAGAACTCATGTATCATCGTGCGATGAGGGTCTTTTTGGTCAGCACGGCAACACCTTGTCATTATTGCGATTCTTCGGTCGGTGCTGCCCATGGCGCCGGTCCTTGTTGTCCAGGCGATATTGTGAGCGGAGACGATGGTACGTGACCTTTGCTCGGCTTTGTCGGAATGGTATGAGCCCCGTTCCGAGATGAGAGCTGTAGGATCAGCTAGACTGTAGGTGAAGTCATGATTGGACGCCTTTGTTGTGACTCTGCCTTCTGTTAGCAGTGTACAACACCGAGTTCTGGGTACTGAGTACTCCGTCGGCGTCAGGCTATCGGTGGCCAAGCGGCCGTTTGGCCGCTCAGTGACAAGACCATATGTATACGTAATCAGCCCGTACGGCGTATCGCGCCCACCGATGAGTTTTTTATTGACAGTGCCTACCGTGGGCAAGGCGAGAGAGAACAGAGAAGCGGAAGCCACTGCTATGAGTACAAGGGCAGACAACCTCCGTGATTAAAAGATGACTCGGTGTCCATCCGTTAGTTCCCGCACAGATGAGGTGGTAGTGGGAAGTGGTCAGAGGAAAGGAACCTTGCAGAATGGATCCACACCATAATGCCACAGAACTAGTGTAGTACTCCGTACATCTATCCCGGAAGTCGTCTAGTGAAACATGCTTACGGTCCTTTGCTGCTTTACATAGCCAGCGGAGCTTTGCATAGCGGATGCTCTCACATTGGCGGGCGAAAAAAGGGCAATAGGTGGCGCTAGGTTGGATATGACGGAAGCAAGGCTAGACTGAGTACGGAGTATTGCCTGTTATGATTTACGATTCGTTCCGTGGGTCTAGTGATGTGCCTCGGATGTAACTCGTACTCGTAAGCAGATGGATGAACGAGCGACTCGGCTGAATGCAGATCCCACAGGCCACAGGAACGGAAGAGCCGCCGGCAGACGCTGCCTAGAACCTCCACAGTAGGATCAGGTCGCATGCTGGGCAATTAGGCCTGTCGGATTGGATACGCACTGATCGTAACTGGACAACGGACGAAAGAGCCTGCTGGGGCATTTCGCGCAGCATCCATCAATCCGGGGGTGCGGGTGTTAAAGGAGAGCGGTTAGTTGCAGTTAGTCATGGGTTACTTATCTCTGAAGGCGAAAACGGAACGTGAAGACCTAGGCATGTTAAATCACGTAAGTCACGTGATTTAACACGTGATTTAACACGTGACCATTTGCTGAGGTGGAGGTGCATGTGAAAGTCCACGTGAAAGCCAAAAGTGTAGCGTTCACCGGCCATTGACCCGGCCTCCCGGTCATTTGAATTGAAGAGCTGTCACCCACAGAGTGGCCGTATGCTTCACCGTAGCTGCTTTTCGTGCCTTCTCGACCTTCTCCAATCTGTCGGACTGGCAGCACCACAACCACCACAAGCACCACCCGCCCAACTTGCCACTACCCCAACTCTTCCATGTCGGTGGAGCGTCCACCACAAGTTGAAAATGGCCATGTGCGAAAACGGCACGGAAGGCCATTGCACTGACCTAGACCTAAACGCATACAAGCAGGAATTCTTTGGCCTTTTGCATTTTCGATTTGTTCGTGAGAATTGCATACCCCCGATCCCCGTTTCGATCTTTCCCGCTTATCTTAGAACGAGCTCGTCACCATCATCTGCGGCAGGATTACTTCCTTGACCAAAATCTCGCAACAGAGCTCAAATACACCCTCAGCACATCGGCATAAGAACCATCATGGATCTGTCCAAGATTTCCGGTCTGGGTTTCGTGGGCTTAGGGGCCATGGGACTCCCCATGGCCGGACACCTTGCAGCAAAGCTCCCTGAAAACGTCCATCTCTTCGTGTATGATATCAATCAAGCGAGCATGGATCAACTACACCAGGATTACCCTAATAGAATAACCAAGTGCTCGGGGGCAAAGGAGGTAGCGGACAAATCGGTAAGAGCGACCATGGCGACCTATTTCCGGTGATTCGGGCGTCCGATTGCTAACATGTGCACCAGGAAGTCATTTTGACCATGCTTCCGGAAGGAAAACATGTTCGATTAGTATACATGGAGGGCGGCTCCGAGACGATCTGCTCGAGTGACGTGTCGGGAAAGCTGCTGATTGACTGTTCGACCATCGACACGGCCAGTAGTCTGGCTGTGAAGAACTACATCAACGAGAAATTTCCGACCACATCTTTCTACGACGCGCCCGTCAGCGGAGGTGTGGTGGGAGCGCAGAAGGGAACGATAGCGTTCTTCCTGGGTTGCGACGGCAACGATGCAAACCTGCCTCAGGTCACGCACCTGCTGCAATTGATGGGCAAGGAGGTGATCCCGTGCGGCGGGCCGTCGAAGGGGCTGGCCGCGAAGTTGTCCAACAATTACTTATCAGGCATCATTGCGATTGCCGTCTCCGAAGCCATGGATATGGGTATGAGGTCGGGCCTGGACCCCCGCGTGCTGCACAAGGTCTACGGAGCGGGGACAGCGCAGAACACCATCTGTGACCGATTCTGTCCCGTCCCAGGTGTCTATCCCGAGGCGCCGTCATCGAGGGGCTACACCAACGGGTTCAAGGTGCAATTGATGCGGAAGGACTTTGGGCTGGCCTTGGATATGGCGAAACGGGTAGGCGCAAAGAACGTGCTGGGCGAGGCGGGATATGCGACATACGACGGAGCCAGTAATGATCCGAGATGCAAGGACCTAGACTCTAGAGTTGTCTTCCGCTACCTCGGCGGCAATGAGGACTGGCAAAAGGACGCCGACGAGGCTACGGCGAGCAAGCTGAAATAATCGGCTCTGAAGACGGAGTCGCACCACGTGTGCCCTTCAGCCTTACATAGAGACCTCTAGCCTCGACGTGTATGGCGCGCCCTGCTCAAGTCAAGTTGACCACGTGTGCCATGGCTCTCCTTCCCAGCGCGTGTGTGTGTGTCTCCGTTCTGGTCCTTGAATCCGAGGCCGAGAGCAAGACAGGGCAGGAAAAAAGAAGACCCGTGCGAGACCCGTGAGAGACTTGACCAAAGACCCACCGAATTGGAGAAGGTTGGAGAAAACGAAAACCAGACGCGTGCGGAGCACCGCAGAGTTACCGATAGCGGAGCGTCGACGAGAACATTGGAGGGGTAAACAGGTAAGGGGACGGAGTATCTGCGACAGTAAATAAGTACCGAGTAGACGTAGGAGTGAGATGAGGGGTCTTTTGTTTTTCCTGCCCACACGTTTTCTTACACCGACAGACCCCGTCGAACGCAAACGAGTCCCATTACAGACAGCACAGCACAAGAGCAGCAGCACGACAGCAGCACGATTGTCGTCACCAGCAACCAGCAACCAGCCAACCAGCCAACCAAGGTACCCTACCGTACGTACCATACGAGGCCGAGAAGGAAAAACCCGTGCCCAGACCGAGACTTTTGTTATTATTATTTAAACCATGTCTTCCGACCCAGCCAAGGCGACCTCGAGCGTCGACCCCTCCCTGCGGCCCCTGCACGAGGGTCTCTTTAACGCGGGTCTCGCGGTGCGTCGCGCCGTGGTGGGCGACGCGTACGTCGACCGCGCCCTCACAAACGGCAGCTCCGAGTTCTCGCGCCCGGGCCAGGAACTGGTGACGGAATTCTGCTGGGGTTACGCGTGGACGCGGCCGGGCCTGTCGCGCAGGGACCGCAGCCTGCTGAACATTGGCATGTTGATGGCCTTGAACAGGGCCCCGGAGCTGGCCGTCCACGTCAGAGGGGCCCGGCGCAACGGCTTGAGCGAGGAAGAGATCAGAGAGGCCATCCTGCATGCCACGACGTACTGTGGCGTGCCTGCGGGAGTGGACGCCATGAAGACGGCCGAGGCCGTGTTGAACGATATGGCCGAGAAGGGCGAGATGGCGAGAGAGTTGGGCGCCAAGAGTAAGGATGCATGAACCTGGACAAGGCCAGACAAGAAATGAGATATAGATTGATGCGGAGTGGCACAGAGTCGTGTTATGAGGCCAAGTTTAGAGTCTTTCGGCTTGAAAGCAACAGACCGTACGAAGTACAATCTTCGTGACTTGCATGGATATTACGATCGGAGAGAAGAGCAGCCTCTGGCATTTGAACACGATTTTCTAGTCGCCAATGCGCCATCACCTTTCCTTTTTGGCTTTGCTATACAATACGTGTGAATTATCTGTCTACTGAATGCCCGAACAGGCTGTCGGTTGAGTCCCTACTTTTTGCCCAACCTCGCTAACATGCGGCACGAAATCCAAAAAGAAGGCGATTGATAATCGATTTTTGGCGGCTGTCGCTCTTGCTTGTTCATACGGCATCAGCCGCGATACCGTGCTTGTCTTTGGTCTCGGTCTCCTTCTCGGTCGCAGAAGGCTGTGCTCCAAAGGTCTCAGTCGTGCTCTCCGACTGGGCCTTGGCACGTTCGAATTCCATCGATGTGGCTGCCGTGGTGGCTTTGGCTCTCAGTGCGGCTCTGATCTCGGGCAGGGAGCGATCATTCCAAGCCTCGTAATCGCTCATGCTCAGTGGGTACAAGACTTTGTTTTGTGCAGCAGCAACGAAGTCGTTCGTGGTTGGAACGGGCATGCTCGTCAAGACATCGATATCAGAGGCCAACTCTCGGCAGAAAGCATCGAGGGGGAGGTCATTGACATCAACACCAAATGGGTTCTCAATCTCGTAGCCGATAGCCGCAAGTCCTAGGATGATGTACGCTGCAAGCATTGTACCAAAGATGGTCATCCAGCCCAGCTTGCTGTAGAGCTGGAAGGGCAACACCAGGATATACACCCATGTGATTTGAGAGATCGAGATGGAATACGCAATGGGAACAGGTGTATTGAGCACCCTTTCAGTACCGGTGAGGATGTCGGCAAGTTGGACCAGGCTGTTCATCGAATTGCTCTGGTGGATCGGAAGTGTGAGCTGGCCGTTGGTGCAGATTTCCTCCAGATAGGCGCCTAGGTAGTTGAGGATCTCCAGTGGAAGGTTGCCCAGGTTTTCACGCGAGCGCTTGATCACCTTCCGAGGGTTCGAGTGGGCAAAAGTGACGCCAAGGTATTCCCCAGTGGCTTTCCAAGAACTGACTTTCTTCGGCTTCAGTTTCGTCTGGTCAGCTTCACCAGCCAGGGTGTGCAGGTTCCCAATGAGCGGTTGGAGGTCCGGATAGTCAATAGCGGGTTCGAATCGAAGACGATGCTTCAGCGCCACGGCGAACGCATTGATCAGATTCAGAGCCGTCAACTTAGCCAGGACATCGGCCTTTGTTTGCTCCTCGCCTTCATCTTTACGTTCTTTCGTGTGGATCCAGATCATCCTCGCCAGACTCCTCCCCGTCACCATTAATTGTGCCCAGTACTTCCGACCCTCTGAGTATCTTTCGTAGGCGGTGGAGGAACGGAAAGACAAAGCCAAACCGACCACGAAACCGGTGATGGTGAGCAGGACCGAATCGAAGACCAACTCGTGTACGAACTTTGATATGCAGGTGAACAGAGTAGCCCAGCAGGCGACAAAGAAGAGCGGTAGGATCATTTTAGGGACAACGCTGCCATGAATCCGCAGAAAGAACGGCCATTTCGAATGGTGGTTCATATCACGAGGCCCAACAAACAGGTCTTCAAGATCCATTGAATTATGCGTTGGAGCCCGTAGTGCTAGAGGTTTGAAGTCGGGGACTCGGCCGGGAGAGAGGAGCGTATTGGGATCGTTCGAGCAGGTCGAAGAGGCGAAGTCGGTGACTGTTAGTTTGAGATTCTTGTTATTTCCTTCCATCTTGAACACGCTCGCTCGAGCAGCTGAATGTCAACGCAGAAAATCAAGCTAAGGGAGAAGAATGGGCCCAATCTTGGACTTGGAGAGTATCAACTAGACGAATCCTGAGGAATTATTGCCGGTGATCAACACCAGATAGAACGTGCAAGAGGACAATGAATGAAGGATTGTCGAAGGATTTCTCAACAAAGGGTTTGAAAGCAATCCTGCGAGCAACAATGCAATAAAAGGTCGCCAAGTGGTGACAGGGAAAGCATTGGCACAAAACGGTCCGCAAGGCGTGTCGACACGGGGCTAGTGTAGCCATGGGTTCGGTATGTAACTGCGATGCTTCTGGTGCTGACTCCGACCGGCTGAAAGAAACGAACACTCAATTAGGGATAGTGAGCATGACATCCTGGTCAAATGCCATGTTTGTTCCAGGGGCCAAGTAACGCCATCTAACGGAGAAGCTGTGTTGGCTGAAATTCGTTGTGCTACCGCCAAGGTCTTGGGGTTTGAGCTGAAACAGGAGGAACGGAGGGTTCTTCGAATGGACTTCAGCCAGGTGACTTGATGCATAGCCTGGACACATGGTAATTTGTGAATGGAGGACTGGCACCAGAAGATGCGGATGGAAATCGGTTGTGAAACCAGGAGGCGAGAAGAGATGGCAAAGTGGACGGAGCTTTGCCATGGCCAGGCGCAGGGGCTGAAGCCAAGCTTTGGTAGCGGCGGTTGGCCTCGCCGGTGGGCGGTTCCAGCCCTGACCTATCGTTTTTGTCGCTCATCCCCGCATGGATCCGGTTCTTAGGGTTCCCTAATTTGTACAAGGTCCAGTTCCTTCGTCTGCACACCGAGAGGTGAGCTTCGGCCAAGTAACAAAGCCGAACGCTTCGGCCTCCAAACTTGTAGAGACGCCACCGTACGTGTACAAATTGAGCAAGCTCGCCAGCTGACACACCTCCATAGCATGAGTGTGGTTCTCAGATACGAACCCTCGAAATCCTCTCTGCAAAGTAGTGCGGACCGTTTATCACGTGATATGTCAGCAGACTTCAGCCCAGCTCTGCGCAGTCTCAACGAATAATCGTGTCGGCTGCACGCAGGTGTTTTGTTGCGTTTTGCTCAATTCATCTCCGCACTTCTTGCCCTCGAATGGAAGGACAAAGTGCTCGTATACGAACACGGGCCTTCATGGTGTCGCTTTGGCTTTGCTATCTGTCGGCGGCTGGCCAACGCTGTGTATGCATGGACTGATTGATCATATGAATGATGAAGTACGGGAGTACAATGATGGAATTCAAAATTGCCCCAAGCTCTCCTGAGTTCGCTCATGCTTTGATCACGCTTGCCAGAATACACAAGCCACGCTGAGTATTGCTTTCCCCCAGCGATCTTCCCAGTAGACCCCAAGAACATACCTACGTCGAGTTGAAACCAATGATGCACTGCATGCAGATCACTGATCTAATCGGCGCCCACGAGTCCCGAAACTGTACGAGTTACTTGTACTCGTACAATGCGGATGTGTGTTTCCGACCTTCTGACTCGGCCCGAAATTGGGGTACGATGCTGCATCCGGCGTGATCTGGGCGCTGCCTCTTTCAACTTAGGGCGTCCAAAAACGACTAAAGGGGCTTGACTGCAAGGGGCATCGCCACCAACCGCTGCGAAACCGCTTCTGGCGGTTTTCTGGTAGAGACACTGCTGGGTTCGCTCCGTGCTGCCTCGCCAGCCTCGACGCGCACTGATAATTCCATGCGGTTGGTAGGTGACAAAGTCTAATGTGTCTTGTTGGGCTTGCCTTTTCTGGGCAGAGTCGACGATTGTGATGAAACATCAAGTGACAAGATTGCAAGGCCTCACTGCGCGAAAGGGACCACGTACGAAGGACGTCAGGTTGATCACTTAGTCGGCGGGTCACTGTGTTCCACTATACTGGAGGCCCATCCCAACAGGCGCGATGCTGTTTCCTTGGCCAACGCGGCTCAACTTCGTCGTCGTCATCATCATTGTCGCACTGATCTTGTTCTACACATCCTTCCGGGCACCTATTCCCAAAGAGCAAGATGTCGTCGAAATCCCTGCTACCCCTCCCACCGGATCGAACACGAAGCCAGCGACGAAGTCGAGCTATGTCGATGATTCGATATACCAAGTGCAGAACGAGACGCTAGGTTTTCAAGAGATATACATGATTTCCCTGCCCGGGAGGACGGACAAACAGGATGCCTTTGCGATGCAGGCAGCGTTCTCGGACATCGCATATACGCAGATGGATGGAGTCTACGGACATGAAGTACCGGCGAAGGCTTTACCGCATGTGCGTGCTGCCTATGCAACATACCACTTCGCACACCCTGCTAACTACATCACAGACGATGGACCAGGCGGGTAACGTGATCGGATGTTGGCGTGCACATATGAATGTTTATCAACGGATGGTGCATGAAAAGGTGTCTAGCGCCCTGATTTTCGAAGACGATGCCGACTGGGACGTGGCGATTAAGCTGCAACTCGTACAATTCGCCAGAGGGTCAAGGTTCATCACGAACACGACCCAGGATGCAACACCTCACTCTCCCTATGGCGATGACTGGGACATTCTGTGGATAGGCCATTGTGGTACTTGGGTGCTTCCTGACGACAACCGCCGGTTTTTCGTCATTCCTGACGATCCTACCACCGAACTACCACAATTCCGGCATGACAATGTCGACCAGCCCAAGATGACTCCTTGGGAAAAGGGTCCCGATGGTGGAAATCATACGAGGATAGTCTTTCGTTCCGAGGGAGCAGTGTGTACGGCGGCATACGCCATCTCCCAAAAAGGCGCACGGAAAGCTCTTTACCACATGTCAATGGTCCCGTACAATAGTCCCATCGACTGGGGCTTGGCCAACCTGTGCAAGAATAAGGAGTACAACCTCACTTGCATATCACCGTGGCCTCAACTTGTTGGGGTATCTCGACCAACCGCAAATACAGCCAAATGGAGCGACATCGGTTATGGTCCGGACGATCAGAGACAGGTCGAAGAGGGCCAGTCACTACATCTTGTGTATCCCATGCGTCAGAACATTCCAAATCTGCTTCAAGGGAAGGAGATCTTTGACAGCAGGTATCCCGACATCGCCCCACCCAGGAGCATTAGAGAGATTGGAAGTGCAGTCGGCCATATTGAGATTCTGGAACCCGAGGACGTGCCTGAGCTGGGCTGAAGACTGAAGCCTTGCAAGAGGAGACATATATTCCAGTTTAACACGGCCCAGCTCTGGAAGGTCTCCTATCAACGATGAACGATGAAATCAAGTGGTGTGACCTAACCACGGAAAGGGAAACCTCGAACTCAAGTCACCACCCTTTTGGGTACCACTTGTCGCCGGGAACAAAGTTCTGAGACGAGAGTCGGCTCGAGAAGGTCCCGGCCTGAGCGAGTTCCAGAAAGACGGCATAATGCGCGCGCCAGAGGGACAGTCCCGGTACTGCTTGAAGGGGCTTTACCAGAGTGTATCAATAAGCTGTTACACAGCTGTCATGCCGAATCGTCACACACCCTCGTCGGCAAATGCGGTCAGCATGTTGCGAATGCTCTTGGATTGGCATATCTGCAGGGCCGGTAAAATTCGCCCTTCCCCACTCGAAAAGCAACGAGCGAACAGGTGCATTTCTGGGTAGACCACACGCGCAAGCGAACAAGACTAGTGAGAACATTTTTAGGGCTGCTTGCTTGCTTGAAGATCTTCATATTCGCTTTACAGCACTCCGATCCACAGTTGTAGACACCCATCACCACTCCGGCTTCCAAAGGGTACGTGACCGAGGATGCCAGGCGCGTCACTATCACGAGGAACGCGACATGTGTTTATCGATAGGTAAAATAGGCTAGGGGGATTACTCAGTAGTGCCCGGCATGGTTCATTCGCGCATTTAGGCTTGCTTAGGCTTGCCTAGGCTTGCGCCTCGGCGATTTCCGAGCGCTGAACGTCGGCGTAGGCGTCAGGGATTTACTGGGTAAGGACATGCTCTTGCGGACCAAGACTTACCCGAGGTCAGAGTGAGCCTGTCCTGGCTGTCAGTCATCCCCTCCATCAATGCAACCACCAGGTCTGCGAAAGAATCACGGGCATACTCGTACTCGAGTATCCGTCCCTATCTTCAGATCTCCAACCGACCGACTTTGGCGAGTCTGTGATGGCGTCGGCGAATGGCATTGGCAAGCCGCATCCTCTTCTGGGACCAGCTGGACCCGACCGTGCATTTCATTTGCGAGCCGAGACCTCCACCAGCTATTCCACTGCACGAACCCCTGAGGCTTGTCCAACTCTGGCCAGATTCAAGCCCATCACAGGCATGAAAGATGGGGAGATGCCACACTTGGCGTCACCCTTGCCTTTCCGTTGAACTGAAGAGAATCCCTTGACACCGCAGTTGTAGTCGAAGCTGCTCCCTTGCTGTTGAACCATCTGTCGCTGACCTTAGCCGCTCTTTTCGTTGTTCTTCGTTTAGCATGCCCTCCGATCTACACACACGAAGAGCTTCCGACACATAGTCCGAAGCTTTGTGCCTGTCGCTCGTCTCTCCCTTCGGGTCATGGGAAACATGGACTCAAGCCCGTCTCGGAACGGAAGCCCTCTGCAGCAGATATATGGCTCGCGAAGGTCATTACGATGGATTGCATGCCTTGTTTTGGCGGCGCTCGCCATCATATACATGACCGGATCGACCTACGACCCTGCAGCAATGGGCAGTGGCCTTGGGACCAACACCAGCACGGGCTCCGGCTCCACGTCTCATACCAGTTCGTGGAGACATTCACACAAGAAACAGGCGAAGTCACTGCGACCGGTCGAGCTGATGAAGAGACCGATTTCCCGCGACCTACAAGCGATCCCTAAGCTGATTCACCAAAGCTGGTCCTCGACAGAGCTCCCTGCGAAATTCGAGCGGTGGAGCGCCACGTGCAGGCAGCAGCACCCTGACTGGGAATGGGTGCTGTGGACAGATGAAGACAATGAAGAGCTGGTCAGGACGCACTTTCCATGGTTGCTCAAGACATATCTCGGACTGCCGGGGGTGATATATCGTGCAGACTTGGTGCGGAACCTATACATGTACATGTTTGGCGGGTGAGAAATCCATCTCTGGGATTCGTGCATGTGGAAGCTAACCAGAGCACAGCGTCTACGCCGATTTGGACGTCGAATGTTTACGACCTCAGGATCAAATGTTTGCGGAGTTCAATGTGTCCACCATCACTCATGGAAAACCCAAGTCACAGGCACCAAATCTGCCGAAAAGTGGCCGAAAGGCGTTCTTTGGACGCATGGGCACAGACACAGGCTCCTCAAACTCGATTCCCAATGCATGGATGGCGTCCACTCCGGGTCACCCCTTCTTCCTCATCGTGTTGGAGTCTGTCATGAAACAGATGAGCGAGGGTGATACTGACTCGGTTGAGGGTGCCACCGGGCCTGGAAAACTCTACGACATGATCAACGAGTACAACGAACCCGAAGGTAAATGGGTTGGAGAAGCCCTCGACAAGCATGTGGCTAAGAACCCGACCGCCAAACAATTCAACCCACGCAAAGGCCTGAAACACTCTGTTGAAGTGCTACCGTTTCAGTACATCTATCCTTATTCTTGGGAGCGCGACGGCGAGGCGTTTCGGGAGATCTGCTGGGCAACAAAGAACGACTTTAGTGCCGAGAGGTGTAAACAATTACTGGCAACGGACCATTGGCCAAGTTATACGATTACCTACTGGAGTCATACTTGGACGAGCGGTGGTCATGATGAAGGAAATGTCCAGAAACTTGACCAGGATCAGTAGAAAAGGAATCTTGTTCATCGGTGGCATAAAACCTGGGTATTTGGCAGGGATTCGGTGTACAGAACGGGCACTGCTTCAAGACACTTCTATGGGATTAAAGATGAGCCTTCCGAATGATGTTTGCGAAGGGGTTTGGCGTGTTACTGAGTTGGGTTTGAAGCGATATTGGGAATCGAAGCAAGCGAGGCATGTCAATCGTCCGCACTAGCCAGCTTGATTAAGGTGAAGGAATGGAGGCTCATGATACTGCAAGATACATACGCCATGTCTCTGGCATGCCAGCCTTGTCGGAGTTGTCAGCTTGACGGAAAACACCGACATTTCGATTCTCCCATGCCACTCCCTGCCCAAGGATCATGACAATTTCGCTGATCGTGAAGGTGCGTCTTACCTCTAGCAGACAGATGCGCTATCGCAATCAGCCTTGGGGTCCGACATCGTGACACGCCGTGCATCCAATCTCATCCCTGTGGCCCATTGAGCTGAGTGGCTTCCACCGAATACGAAATCTGCCCGGTTGATAGAGGAGAAATCTACGCCGTCAACTATACCTGAGCTTACTGCACACCTCGTGACGAGTCAAAGACTGCTGGGACTGGTAGTGGTGCTGTGGAGCAACAGCGCCCCGTTCCCCTCGACGCCTCGATCCATATTACACACATCCCTGCACCCGCACAATGCCATACCACCATATTTCCGACACAATCCAGATCAACTACACGATCCACCATCCCGCGAGCAGCCCTGCGTCCCCGGCAAGGCCGCCTCCTCGGCCGTGGATCATCCTCATCAACGGCCTCGCCGACCCGCAACAGACCTGGTCGGCTCAAGTCCCCGCCTTCACAAGCGCAGGGTACACGGTGCTCACGTACGACAACCGCGGCGTCGGCCTGTCGTCCCGCCTGTCGCACGACCATGAAGTCTACACCGCGGCCACCATGGCGTCGGACTTGCGCCGCTTGGTCACCGCCCTGGCCGTTCCCAAGCCGTACCACGTCCTCGGAGTGAGCATGGGCGGGATGATCGCCCAGACGTACGCACTGACGTACTGTCTTCCGGGCATGGATGGCCAAGGCCAAGGCGAAGGCGAAGGCGAGGGCGAGAGCGAGATCCTAACCCTCACACTGGCGTGCACGTACGCCGCCCCCGGCCCGTTCTGTAGCCGCATGTTCGCCCTCTGGCGCGACATGGCCCGGCGGATGAGTGTCGCGGACGTGATGCGCGACGTCGGCCTCTGGGCGTTCACGCCTGCTTTCTTCGCCGACGAGAGTAAAAAGGCAGACGTGCAGGCCATGGAGGCCGAGATGGCGCAGATCGACACCGAAATGGGTCTGCGGAGTTATCTCGCGCAGTTGAACGTCATCACCACGTTCGACACGCGAAGTGTGGTCGGGAAGTTAGGGTCCGCAGGTGCGAGAGGGGGCAAAGGCATGCAGATACAGGTCGTGGTCCTGGTTGGGGAGAATGACATTTTGATCCCCGTGAGTTTGTCGCGCGAGTTGCATGCTTTGATTGAGGGGAGTGTCTTCGTGAGTACGCTGGGTGGACACGCCTGTATGTGGGAGTTTCCTGAGGCGTTTAACACGGCCTGTTTGGACGTGTGGAGGGGAGGGGGGAAAAGGGGCGTGGTGTGAGATGAAGCGAGCGAGTGAGCGACTTTGGAAGTCGGTTGAGGGGGGAGGGTGATGCACGAAAGCACGAAGAACGGCATTAATAGGCACCCGGCAGTCAGCAATCGAGCCCTGGAAAGGTCGTAGCCTCTCTCGTAGACCACGTCTTTCTGTACACAGTAACAGTAACGCGAGTCTACAGCTACAACTTTGCTCCCTCCCTCTTCTGCTTCTGCTTCTGCTTTTCTCGCTCCTCCCTCTCCATCAACGTCTCATACTCACGCCTCACCCGCTCGGGGATGCCCTCCTTAGCTGGTCGGCCCAGCACGCCTCCCTCATTGACCACCCAAACGTGCATACTCCCGCCCACGGCCTTGACGGCGTCATCGCCCCTCTTGAATACCCCGACTTCATACACCACGCTCGTGGTGCCCAGCCGGGCGACGCGCAGCCCGACGTCCACCATGCCGGGATACTCCACGCTGCCGAAGTAGTCGAAGTAGGTGTTTGCGATGATGGCGCTGTGGCGGCCCTTGTTCATGGCGTAGCCGCACCGCTCGATGAGGAACTGGTTGGCGATGCTGTCGCAGAGGACGCCGTACAGGGGGTTGTTCATGTGGCCGAAGACGTCGTTGTCGTTCCTGCGCGAGGATAGACTGTTTTAGTGGGGGCTCTCAGGACGGACAAAGGACCTCGGAGTAATAGGAGAATCATGATTGTGATGAATAAGGAGCCCTGTTTCTCTTTCTGCTGCTTCTTCTTCTTCTCTCTCGCACCTCGGCTTGGCTTGACTTGCGTTCAGCAGCGGTGCCGCCGCTATCATCAACACCAACGTTATTCCAACAGACTCACGTTCGTGCGTACTTTTACATCTCACTTACCATCTTAATCGATATTCCAGGCGGTATGGATAGTCTGATAGTTTGCGTTTCCGCTTCGAAGCGATATCGAGCCCGAGCATCGCTGCAATTGAAGTGCACCAGGGGTGTATATGCAAGTGTGTAGGACTGCGAGTGAGTACGGAGGTATGTGCTCAGTATGGGTGGATAGACGGATGCTTAGATGGAAGTATCTCAGCCACACAGGCCGGAGAATCGAGGCCACTTTTGTCCTGTATTGCCCTGTCCTGAACCGTCCCGTGCTGCCTGGTTTGACAGTCGTTGATACAAAGGTTAGTAACTTGGGAAGAACGACGTCTTGATTATAGTCGGGCCAAGTGTACGACATCAAAGAGCATTGGTGCTGTACGGAATAACTTGACGGGAATCGATCACGGAGGGCTCGTTGGAGTTAAAGCGAGAGCCTCGGCTGATGACATAAGGATTCGGCATCTAGACCAATCACCAATCACCTACCAGTCAGCTACCACTGCGGTGCCAGTCGCCTACAACTCACTCACAACTCACTTACCACTCACCTGCCACTGACTCACAATTCACTCACTACTCACCTGTGCTACTAATGAGTACCATGAGTAACACGATGAACTGGTAAACTATCCAATGCTGACAACACAAACTTCTGCTACCTCGCCCGCTGAATCACCTACAACTACAGCCTGTGTACGGAGTCCCAGAAGTCACTTTAGGCATATTTGGTCTCGAATTAAGTTCAATTACTGTACCCCGTACTGTCTTCACATTTTCGGATCGACCATGAATTAAGGTCTTTCGAATACATCTCTCCGTGACACCCGTTTCCTAAAGATACAGCCAGTCTACCCATGTACCCCAGAGTTCGCCTTCATTCGCCTTGCTGAAGGTGCCTACTATGACAAAGTGTGCTCATGGCTAAATTCATCGCCTCAAGGCCCGTCCTCACCGACGCGAAGACATGTTTGTAAAGTCGTCCGATCCCAGACCACCGCCTACTCGGCTCCTCGCCGTGCTGGGCATGACTTGCAGACCGGTGCTACCGACGGGCCCACCGACCGCGACGCCGATTTCGCTTTCGGCCGGCTGGTTCTTGGGGTGCATCCTCTTCTTGTCCTTCTCCTCGTCGAACTTGGCCCGCGCGGCCTTGGCAATGTCGTCGGTGATGGTCACGCTGTAGGTCGGCGACTCCATCGACCCGGAGCCCGGACCCGAGCCACCCGGACCGTCGATGGGCACTTTGCGCACGGCGGTCAAGAGCGCGCAGATGAACTTGGAGCGATGCTGTGCGCGGACGTGGTCGGACGCGAACTTGGCTTTGTGCTGGAACTCGATGCGGAGCTCCAGCTTGGACAGGTCGGCGATGGAGAACAGCTGGATTTCCAGCTCGGGCATGAAATCGCGCCTGTTCTCGGCGAGGAAGTTGTGCATTTCGCCACGCAGCGTCTCGATGTCGTCGAACGAAGTCCCCACGTTGACGTTCAGGGTGACCTGCTCGCGGAGTTCCTTGGATCGCGTCAGGTTCTTGATCCACACGCCGTTGATCACGCTGTTGGGGATCTGGACCAACTGCTTGGAGTGGACCTCGCGGAAGACCGAGTACAGGAGCGAGATCTTGACCACGTCCATCTCCGTGTCGTTGACGTTGATCCGGTCGCCCACATCGTAGGGGTGCTTGATGAAGACGGTGATGCACGCGGCGAACAGCTCGCCGGCCGTGCTGGCGAAGAGGAACGAGCACCCAGTGAAGGCCGACCAGATCTGCGTGTAGTGGTTGGCGAGGTAGTCGGAGAAAAACGCGGCGTAGATGAGGAAGATGAAGATCAAGACAAAGACGCCGAGCACGCGGTCCAGCACCTTGATGGCGTCTTTGACGTTGTTGGCGCCTTCCCAGATGGTCTGGCGGTCAGAGGCCACCTTCTTGACGAGTTCGACCATCTCTTCAAGCGTCAGGTCGCCGTTCTCGTCGGCATCGACTTTGGAGTGGATGTACACGGCTTGCGCCTCGCGCCCGGGCCCCAGCATGGTGGTGATGGCGGCTTGGTCCAGCCTCGTCTCGCCGAAGTTGGTGAAGGAGTTCCAGATCCGCCGGGCGAGAGCTTCAGCGCTGACAGGCCTTTCGAGGGCTGCCTCGACAATGGGCCCTGACGCCGTCGGCATGAGGACTTGCTTCCCGGCAATATCGCTGACCAAGTAACCGACCACGGCCGTCAGCTTGTCGGCGGTGCTACTCAGGTTGGACATGAACTCGGCGGTCGACTGATCTTTGGACCGAAGCCGGCCATGTCGGTCCTTTCGGTAGCCCTTGGTGTCGTGGATATCGAGGTCGTCCTCCAGAAAGCGCTGATGGTTGTCGCAGAACCTCTGTCGCGACACATCATACATGGTCTCGATGGCGCGGCTCAGAGTCTTGAGCTCCTTGATGTTGTCGTAGAATTGCTTGCCGTGGTAGCTGACGCTGACCATCTGGATGAGCATCCTCTCGACCAGATACAGCGCTGTGACGCCGACGGTGGCCTTCAGGACATTATGTAGGGTGTGCAGCCATTTGATGTTGCCGGCATGTTTGGCGTGGAAGGGCTTGTCGAACACGTAGATCAGGGACCATGACGCGATGGAGAGGATGGCCCAGAAGAACAGCGAGATGGGAATCTCGACCGCCTTGAGGACCAGCCAATATTTGCGGATGCCCGTGTGGATGGCGCCACCGACGGTTTGGAAGATGATGGGAACAGCCTGAGCCAGAAGTTTGGCTATCCACAGGAGGACCCAGACGACTTCAATCCAGATGAAGAGACCCAGGAGATGGATGCCATCCTCGTCGGTGGTAGTTGTGGTTTGTTGGTAGACTGTGGATGCCGTGTTGTTGTACGTTGTGGTGCCGTTAGTGGACGTGGGCTCGACTGAGGTGATGTTCGAAGAGAAGATGGGCGTCTGCGACTCGGTCTTGAACTTGCTGATGATCTTCTTGTCCTTGTACACCGTGGCACACAGAACGATGGGGATGGCCAGCAGTATGGCAACTGGGACAATGTAAATGATGTATCGGACGAGGACGTTCCTCCGTATCCTCTGCCATTTGATGCCGAGTTGTGTCAGTCCGTCGTCGTCGTTGTCGCTGTCAGATAGCGGTCTTGTAGCTTGTGGTCTGTTAATGGGGCTCGAGGATTTACGTGACAGCTCGACGCTGCCACTGGGATAATGAGTCGACTGCTTCTCCTGGTAGTCGGAAATGTCGTCTTGCACCGTGACAATGGGCCCTTTGCCAGCCATTTTGGACGATGAGGCGAGATAGTGCTCGGTGATGCTCGCAGGGCCGTAGATCGAAGGAGACGCTGGTCAACTGGGCTATGGGCACTCGGCGAGGTATTAATCAGACTCACCTGCTCGACAATTCTTACCTCTGGCACCGTCCGCAAATTAGACCACGCGAACAAGACACAAAAAGACACTGGTCTACGGCCTGTCCGCGCGCCATCGTCCATGCAGCTGTCAGAGGCCACGCTCTGGTCTTGCTCCCAACAGAGCGGCAAGGTTTCGATCTAGACGTTTCCAAGAGGAGCATCCAGCTACGGCAGCGCAAGCCACAAACGTCCAGAAGCAGTCGGAAAAAGTCAAAGACACCACCACGGAGGGAGCTATGGGAGAAGTACTCCCATATCCGGCCTCAGCTCTGAGTAGTGTATTATGCAGTGGGACAGGAGTCCGTCGAGTAGCCGAAAGGATGGGGTCGTGATCATGGTTCAGCCGTTCCTTGGCCGAAGAGCGAGGTCGAGAGGAAGCGAGCAGACTTTCTCACACGTGGCGGCTGAAGGCTCCTAACGAGGCCCTAGACCTGGTCGAGCAGCCAGAGCTGTTCATCCTCCCCATTGTGGCATGACTTGATGTGGAACGAGTCGAAGCGAACAGTGCAAAGTCTGCTCCTTTTCGTGTCCAGACCGCGGGTGGCTGAGCTTGGCTTCACGCCAGCGTCTGCCATGTGTCTTTCGGGTGCTGCAATTTCCACCTGGCATCTGTCGAGGGCCTCTTTCGGCATTCTCTGCACTATCGACAGCTCCCTTCCGCTAGTCCAGGGCCCTGTGCGTGCGTGTCTCGCGTGACCCTTCCTCACTGCTCAGGGTCGCACAAAGCGCTCCGCATCCAGCTGGCCGGACGGACGCCACCACGGCATCGCCGTCAAACCTGAGATGTCCTCATGCACGTGGAAGACACCACGGGCAGCGTTTGCATCATGTCCGACCAGCTGAAGATGTCGTCGCCTCTGATATCTGGGAGATGACCACCGGCTGGCGGAGACGGCAGCGGCAGACATGTCGACGTATACCAGCGACGGGTTCCACGCGTCGAAGCAGGAAGGCCACGTCCAGATCAGAGACGCCGACGAACAGCGGCGGGGCGCCCCGGAAGCCGGCTATGAAACGCCCTTCCAAACCCTAAAGAATCGAGTGCTTGATGCCATTGAGAAATACTGGCTCTTTGAGTTCTTCGGATGGACCTTGGCGCTGGGCTGCTTCATCGGCGCCGTGTCTCTTCTCGCCGTTCACAGTGGCAAGGAATCGCCCAACTGGACATTGACCGTGGGTGCTGGCCGATATCACAAAACTTTTGGCCTCACCGTCAACACTGTCATCTCGATCTTTGCGACGGCCTTCAGCTCGGGCATTCTCATTCCTGTGGCCGCCTCGATCAACCAGCTGAAATGGGTGTGGTTCCAGAAGGGGCGTCGGCCTCTGGCACACTTTCAGAAGTTCGAGTCTGCTGCCCGCGGTCCTCTAGGCTCGATCGTGCTTCTGTGGACTCTGCGTTGCCGGTAGGTCCCACGACACACGAGAACGTCTTGCGAACAAGGGGCTGACATTACAGTCGCCTGGCATGTATCGGTGCCGTGATTGTCCTTGCTGCCCTTGGTGTTGGCTTCTCCTTTCAAGCGCTGGTTGTCTACCCGCTCCAAGCAGTGGCCGTCGGTACCTCAGCAATTCAAAGAACCAACAATGAATGGCAACCCATCAGCGGTAAGTTTGTTGGCCGTCACAGGCTTGTGCTACTACTCTGACAGATCCCCCCAGTTACGACTGAAGTCCCCGGCAGTGTGATAGGAGCGGTCTATTCCGGCATCTTCCAATACTCGAGCGTCTTCTCGAACCGGCGGATTGTCGATGCGCCGGAGATGAAGGTATCCTGCTCAACGGGTAACTGCACGTGGCACGAAACGTATACCTCGATGAGCTTGTGCACCCAGTGCCACGATATCAGCTCCTCGATCCGCAGCACCTGCGACACCGCCCACGTTCCCTGGAACGAGTACTACGGCAAAGCTGAAAACTCGACCACCGCGACCATCCCCGTGCAGTACTGCAACTACACGCTCCCCAATGGCCTGGAGGTCTCGGGACTACCGTCTACGAACTTTACACAACTCGCCATGTCCAGCAACGTGGCCAACTCGCCGCATTTCAACGCGGATACCACGGTCTCTGTGCTTTCCGTCGTCACCACAGTCTGGGGCGCGAGCAATCCCACTCCCGAGTACGGCACTTCCATTCCCCTGACGCACGGCATCTTCAGCAAGGGAGCCATGGAATGCGGCATCTACTATTGCGTGCAGAAGTTCAACACCACCGTCTCGAACGGCACGCTGGACGAAAGAGTCATAGACACGTACGCGACAGGGCGGTACAGCACGGTCGACAATGCGTACGTCCTCGAACCGCCTTCCTCGTTCACCAACGTATCCACGAGAGATGACCCCAGCGCGAACATCTACTTGACGCCGAACTTCGTCTCGATCAAGCAATTTTTCAGCACCTTCTGGCAGGGCAACTGCAGCGTGACCGAGGCGGGCAGTGCCAACCCCCAATCGCCCTGCACCAGCCAGATGGCGCTCCTCCTCATCCGCGAATCCTTCGGCACCTACCCGGCCATCTTGTCCCGGTTGGCCAAGGCGATGAGCTACGCGATGCGCCTGCAGTCGACGCCGGAAACCCGGCCCGCGGCCCTTGGCGTCGCGTATCAGCACAAACCCCACGTCAAGGTCCGGTGGGCATGGCTGGCCCTGTCGGCGAGTCTGCTCGGCCTGGCCCTCGTGCTGCTCGTCGCCACGATCGTCATCACGGCCCGGGAGAAGACACTGCTGTGGAAAGGGTCGAGTCTGGCGGCGTTTTCGCACCCCCTGACAAGCGACGCGCGCGCCGCCGTGAGTGAAGCCACGAGTCCGCGCGACGTGGTCAGGATGGCCGAGAAGATGGAGGTCAAGTGGGAGCCGACCGATCGGGGGTTCAGGCTTGTGAGGTCTCATGAGGCGTGACCCGCGCCCGGGGGCCGATACGATGATTACGATGAGCGAGGCATGAGGATACACCAGAGTAACGACAGTGGAATGGATGACGAATTACGAATCATGAATGATGAAGATAACGGGATGGGAGCGGGATCATTACTGTTTTCAACGCGGCAATATGATTCGAGATAGGTCTTGAGCCTTCCTTCGGTGCTAGGCACGACACAAGACATGATATCCATTCTTCGATTCAGTCTGACCTGGTTATTCCCCTCCCTGCCTTGACATGCCTCGCCCCTGGTATTCCTGGCCGGTCAACCTACGTACGTACGTACCTACTACAAGTACAGAGTACGAGTGCCCCGTACGCAAGGAACGTTGGTTCAGACCTACTGGGCCACCGCCGCAGCAGTGACCAACCCCCCCAGGGCGGTGACCAACCCCGTCGGCCTGTCTCCATGCCTGAAATACCACGCACTGCTCCCCCAATAGACCCTAGATGAGAGGAAAGCGCGTGTTAGCCCGAGCGAGCGAGCGAGCGAGCTAGCAAACTGGCAGCGAGCAAACTGGCAGCAAGGAAAAACCAAAACTAGGTAGTGAAAAAGGCGAACGCGAAGGCGAACGAAAACAAGACGGCCCACTCACGCAACCAACATGCCCAGGATCGCGCGGTCGATCTGCGTCCAGCTCGCGGCGGGCTTCTTCGACAACTGATAAGTGTACAGCGCGAGGATGGTGAAGAAGGCGCTGCCCTGGTACCAGCCTGCTTTGGCGTAGCAGGCCAGCAGCGCGGTCAGGGAGCGGAAGGGAGGGAGCGAGAACGTGTTGACGCCGTGGACCTGGTGAGTAATGCCCAGTCAGACAGACAGTCAGCCCACATCGAGACGCGGATGTTAAAAGGACGAGCAGAAGAACAGGCATGGGACGTGGCGAACGTACCGTATGCCCGACGGCAACGAGGGCGTGCGTCACGCTGGCGGCGAATGCTGCGGTCGACATTCTGATGTACACAAATGGAGACTCGAAGACGCGACTGGAATTCTGGGTCAGAACCGAGAGGTTGGGCCAGAAGCAGCGCGGATCGGCTCTGGGTCGGTGTCCTTTGTAGATTTAGATATACAAGTCCAGGCACATGCACAGGTACAGTAATGAGGTAGTGCGTCGAGTCGGGTCTGCACGACGCTCACGGTAAGTTACTAGTCCGCCGCTCGTCTTGCAGAAGGGAGGTGAACTGTCGCTGAGACTGTACGGCTGATGTGGGAGGTGACATGTCGTATTACACCCCCGCAACTTGCGTGTCTTGGTTCGGATTACAACCACCACGTCCATGTCGGAGCCGAGGCTCGTGCGTGTCGACGGGACGACAAGGGCGGAGCGGAAAATGTAGAGGCGGAGGGATGTTCGGCCGCTCGGGTTTGACGGCGTCTGCAGGGTCTGTATCGCGAAGACGGATTTCTCTACTTGTACACTCCAACCCTCTGGAAGAAAGGGCACTCGGACGACTGCAAGAGATCACACGGAGACAGAGGTGTAGATACCTTCTTGCCCTCGGGACTTGGACCTTCCAGAAGACGCCCAACTGATTGCAGCTGGGGCAATGAATCATACAAGGCTCTATTCTTCAAGAAAGTCATCTTCTCATTAATCCAAGTGTCCACGCTCCTGTCCAGAACGCTCAAGAGAAATTACACTCGCAAGGCCTATCGCACACAGTCGGCCATTCACTTCACTTCCGCCAGGAGAAGACATCGATGCCCACGCCACGAACACCACGACTATCCGCGGGAGACTTGGCCTTTGCAACGACGTCCTTGGCTTCCTTCTCCCGACACAATCGAGCGTACTCTTTCTCGAAATGGGTAAATGCCGTGTTAGTTCCGCTAAAACTTTTCCGGGACCTCTCTCCTTTTGCAGGCTGCGAAATAAAGGCGATGGCCGCGGGCGTGGTCGCCGATCTTGCTTTGACGACTGGCGAGGGCCGTTGTGGCCTCACGAATGATTCAGATAAACGATGCAGCTGCGCCTGAGCTGTGCTGGCAGGGGCGCGGTTCTTCGGTTTCGATCCTGGTGGCTTCGGCGTCGGCTGCGGAAGACGTGTTATCTTCGGGGACAGACATGGCGGGGCACTAGGGTTTACTGCTTGCTCGAGACTGGAGACCTGAAGAAGGCTCCTATCAATATCTGCGCTGCCCAGCTCTGGCGAACGTCTCAGAGCAGCGTTCTCACGCCATTTTTCAATACCCTCAATCGATTCTTGGGACAAAGTCGCACCCGCCAGTGGCTCTAGGGGGGCACTCTCGAGAGACTGCTTTTGCGTCCGCATCGTCTCGAACCCCTCCTTCGTCAGTGGCGGTGGAAGCGCACTAATCGCCAGTGCAGAGCGAGTATCGGGTGATGGCGACGCCCCGATCACACTATTGTCCGCCATGTTCGATCTTCGCAACTGGTTGCGACTTGGTAGCCTCTCCGGAGTGGCGAATTTGATAATCCGTTTGTGATGCGACGGATCTTCAACGCATTCGTTAAAAAACTTTACAAACCCCATCACTTCCTTGTAAGGTTGATAACTGTGATAGTGGTGGAATACTGCATCGTCTAGAAGGGAGGAATGTATTTTGTTGGGTTCATCGTTCAAGACACCCTGGATGAAATGATATGACCGGCGAAAATCGTCCGCGTTGCCCTCATAGTCAGGATAGGCCGCACGGTATCTGGCAAAGGTCTCCTCTTCAGACTCGTTAGCCACGGCAGCGGAGGAATGCAGAGAAGCGGAGTCGCCCGGTCTGAGTTTGTCTTCAATATTCCACACCCCACTGTAGGTAGACTGTCGGGTAACAGGTGTCGACGACGGTCGCATATCGACTGTAGAATTCCGTATTCGAGGCTGCGCTGCAATATTCAACGGTGCTTCATGTAGCCCGCTACTGCTTTCCACTTCCAGTTCCGATGACGAGCTCGATTGTCGCAACAGGGCCTTTGGCTTGCCGATAGCCTGCAATTTCTCGCGACGGTCAGCCCTCCTTTTCTCGAAGATCGCCAGATAATCCGGGTCGATGGGAGTTGTCGGGGGACTCCTTCGTTGCTTTTTGGCGTGAACACTGCTCTCTCCCATGCTACCTCTTTTCCTTTTTGCGGAAGCCGGGCTTCGTAAGCTCCCTGTACTCGCGGTCGCTAAACTGGCTTCTTTCACGGATTCTTCCGGATGTCTCCGTTGTTGAAGAAAACGCTTGGCGTCACTTTGACGACTAACGTTCCCAGCTTGGTTCCCGTCGTCATCTTGAGTCTGTTCTGTCGTTGACTCGAGTAACTGTACCCCAAGGCCTTGCACGTCTTTTCGCCCCTTCGAAACCACAGGTTGGTCACCAGTGCGACACGATCCTTGCGAGACACCGGAGACACATGAGACCGGTCGTGAGGTTTCCTGCTCAATTCGCCCCACAATCGCCGCCTGCCGCGGAGTCTTGATCGGTTGTACCAGTGATCGGCTGTTGGCCGGTGCCGAACCACTCTCACTGCCGGCCTCACTGGCCTTAACAGTCTCGACTGTCGGTGCAGCCCCAAACTGTCCGCTGGCGCCTTGCAAGGAAGCTAGTTCATCCGGGGTCGGGGACGTGTAAGTCCCTGGGACGATACTTGATAGTGGATCCTCATTGTCGGTACGACCACTCCGCGGGGATGGAAATAGTGTGACGCCTTTACTCGGGTAGGGTGTCCTTTTCACTTGTATTTTCTTGGTACTGCAGCTGCCTATCATCCGCGAAGAAGAGGAAGGTTTGTACGCCGGATTGCTTCTGATATCTTCTGCATTGTCGTCCGAGGAGCGAACCATCAGTCGCGTGGCCTCGTCGCGCTGTTCGGAAATGGGAGAACGGGATCTGCGACTGACATCGTCCGCGCCAGACTCGGACTTGTCCTTCTCGACCTCATGATGCTCGTTAATACAGACCTCATGCGAATTTTTGCTACTGAGCCGAGGGCTCCTCAGGAATCTTTCAGGACCGACAAGCTGTCTATTCCCTCGAAGATCCACTGGAGGACTACTCTGGGGCAATGTTGTTATCTTGTGTTTGGGAGGAGGTGGACTGGGAGACAAAGCTTGTGACTCTGCTGATCCGCTCAAAACGTCCTCGTCAGACTCAACCGATCTCTGTCTAAGTCGGCGTTGTTGAGTAGGTGGACTTTGGGACCATTCAACCTCGGCCTGACTTGGATCTTGATCATTCGACTTGGCTTCGGTCGGGTCGTCATTCCGCCCTGGCAAAGGGGATAGCTGCGTTGGCGGCAGATTGACAGTTTCTACTGGTCTCTGGAGCGTGAGAGGATTCTGGGCTTGTTGATCAGCTGCGTTGCATAGCTGTTCCAGCAAAGGCAGTGGCACTTCTCCTGGCCGTTGTACATGGCCAACAAGCGGTGGTTGCCAGCTGTCGCCAGACTCGAGCAGTGACTTCAAGAAGTCTTCTTGGTCTCGAGGGATTTTGCAGACATATCGGGGGACATGTCTCCTTCCCCGAGCCTGCACCCGCCAGCGTTGGAGGGACCCAGCCGGTGCACCAGTGTTCCCAAGTTGAGTCGTAACACGCACTGGCCTCAATTGCGCGCATTCGTGAATGTTGTCCTCGCCGTTAGCCGTCTGCAATGGTGGCGCAGAGAGATCAATGTTGGCCACAAGCTCAGTGGTTTCAATGGGACTGCTGTTTTCGTGCTTGTCGTGGTTGAGAGCAACATCAGGAATTCTAGAAGACGAAGGGTGGGTTGAGTGAAGTGAAGTTGAAAGGCTGGCAAGCGGTGTTGGAGATCTCGCCCTTTTCGTGGCAGACAAACCTGAACCGTTTGAGCATGGCTTCACTTCTCTCCTCTGAAGAGACCGCAAATTCTCGACTTCGTGAGTCAGCTTCGAATCAGCTGAGCGCGATGATGGTGAAAGTCTCGCTAGGTCGGCCATGTTGATAGCAACAGAGGGTTGGGTAAAAAATTGGCACTGAGAGAGGTCCTCCTCGTCTTCTTCACCGACTCCTACATGCTTGTGTGGACTGAACGGTGCCTGAGAGACGATTGATTGCGGGCTGTCATGCAGCGTGGGGTTGGACACGGCGCAGTTATGATCCTTGACTGTCTGGTATCTGACCATGCTGTCCAGTATAGCTTGTTCTTGCATCACAGGCACCCCAGTCGCATGCTCCTCGGGCAATTGATATTGGTCATCCACAATTGCCCATTGAGCAACTTCGAGCAAGGGCTTCGGCGGATTCACATGTGTAGTGACTCGGATGACAGGAGCTGGGAGGCGCAACACAGTCCCGCACTGAGCGCCTGCTTGAAGAAGTGCTGTAACGTTGTCGCTTGCGAAGACGGCTTCAATAGTGTGGGCGCCATCTGATACTTCGCCTCGAGGTTCTCTGATCCCAAGTTGAGGTACCTGTTCGTGTTACTACTTATTAGACGAGGCGAAGAAGAGGTCGAATAGACCGACCTGTAACAGCCGGGCCGTTCTGACACGTCTGGATGCTTGTGTGACTTGGAGGACGTCGTCAACCTTGCGAAATGAATACTGGTTGTTCGGCGTGCCTCCCAGTCTGTGGAACCAGGCGCCGAGACCTGACTCAATGAACTCGGCCAACCAAGGCTGCTGCACGTCCATTGAGCTCGAGCAATGATAGAATAGACATATCTCGTGGCGTCTGTGCAGCTGTTGTGCGTCTGATTTTGCTCACGACCGCACCCTCGTAGCTGCGCATAGTGAAAACGCGCTCAATTTGACGCGACTGCCCGCGTCACAGATGACTAAGCCACAGATCGACGCCACATCTAGACGCCACTATCAGCCACCCCGATGATGGCATTCATCAAGCCCGTTTCTGGTGGGTGTCTGGTGCGTCGCTGCACTCACCATTCATTCACATCACACCATCCACTAGGTAGGCTGCTACCAACGCTGGCAGGTGTCCTCTTCGCTGTGGCACATCGGCCCTATCCGACATGAGTCGATGAGCATGAAGCCCTTCGAATATCAACACAGCAACCGTCTCACTGCGGCCGACAGGCCTCCAGATTGACGCTTGCCGAGACCATGATGGCTTCTACCAGTACTATCCAGGACAAGGACAGCCAGAAAGACAAAGACAGAGATAGCCCCTCAGCTTCGTCGATATTTCTTCCTCTGGGAAGGACCCGACGCCGGGACTCAAAGGCATCGTTGTCTCACGAACTCGATCAAGATGCCCTCAATCAAGCCCTCAACAACATCCATACCGCCGCCTCTCAGTCCAACAACCTGACCGTCTTCAATGACTATACCGACCCTCCTACCGCTGCATCCCAAAGCGAGGGCAAATCTTTGGCTAGTGAAATACAGGGTGGCATATCTGGGTTGTACAACAAACTGAAGGCTACAGTCGGAGCAGCGAAAGATGTGGATGAGCAGTATCAGGAGACACAGCCCGCCTTGTCCGTTATCGATGACCGAGCCAGTTCCACGTCCAAAATCAGCTCCGGCTTGACATCCAGGGCTCCCTCGCCTCGAGTGACGGCCTCGGATCCGACACCACCTACCGAGCCTCCCTCTTCGAAGGTGTCGTCCAAGCCCACCAGTATCTCCAGACCCTCGGTTCCGTCAACCCCAGCCCTACGTTCACCTACCGGCCCTCCACAGCCATCGTCCCATATTGTCGATCCCTCCGTGACATCAGTCAATATACATGCCATCGGCTCCGCAAATCATTCAAGGACCGGGTCTACACTAGACGTGGAATCCCCACAGCAACGAAGTCTTGCGGCCAGTGCTGACAGCGACAGTCTTCGGAAAGCTCTGCAAAAACCATCGAAAGAGAGCTCCTTCTCTGACAGAGCAAGCAGTAGTCTCACTTCTCCCGTCCTGCACGCCCGAGGCACCTCATCTTCGCATGAGCGGGGATTGTCTCAAACCTCTATTAAGGGCCACTTTGGCAACACAGATGGCTTAACCAGCCCGCCGATCCTTGTGTCCCCTCAAGCTGAGAAACCAACGGCTCGTGTGGTGGTTCATAGAGGGGAAACTGCCCAACACCCCCGACACATAAACCCACTGGATCTTTTGGCCGAGAATGCAGCACCTTCGAAGGGCGCGAGCGCCTCCCATGCGAGATCTATCGAACACCCGGGCCTCAAGTCGCCTGGCTTGATAACGTTGGAGCCGAGGCCGGCCGACAAACTGGCCCCAAAGATAAGTCAATCACGCTTACCAGGCTTCTATGTTTCCCGCACCACTTCATCAGATTCGTCAGTATCTGCTGGTGTGCTACGTGCCAATCTAGACCACATGGACGATGATAGCCGTATCCAGTTCGTAAGTCGAACTCATCAAGCCAGGCCAATTAGCAAATTACGCAGTAAATTGCTGAGCAAGGAGTTCTGGATGCGCGACGAGAACGCCAAAGATTGTTTTCATTGTGGCGAACAGTTCACCACCTTCCGAAGGAAGCATCACTGCCGCACCTGTGGTCAGATCTTCGATAATAAATGCACTGTCCTTATCAGCGGAAGCCACTTTGGGTCAAACAGCCCTGTTCGAGTCTGCAAGCCTTGCCAATCAATTATAATGTCCCATGATGACGACGATTCCTCGGATTATTCGATTGAAGATCTGGCACTCAACGACCCAGTCCCTCGACCACGAACTCCGGAACCGCCACCCCTCAACCGCGCTTTGGCCCGATTTGAGGACGATAACGCCTCTGTCACCTCTCAGTCCCTGGAGCAGATGGCTCGCACTCCCACCATGAACTTCCCCTTGCGACGGGCTTTCGACGGTGCCAACCGAAATTCGGCGATCCTGGAATTCGACACAACAGATCGGCCGCTGCCTCGACCTAGCTCCTCGAGGTCGCTGAAAGCGACTCATTCCATTGGCCACACGCACAAGAGACACCACTCAAAACACCAACACATACGTAACTTCAAAGCGTATCACGAAGACAGAGCTCCGTTCCAGCGGCGCACTGCCGATGAGGGCATCAAGGAATACAAATCTTCAGCTTTCCACCGAGACAGCATCATTGACCCCGATCTCGCACAATATCTTTCCGATGACCCTTCCACCGATGAAGAACCGTCTATCGGGGAAACTCTGAGTCAGGACAAATTGTCCCGCAGCGGACATGACAGCGACAGAAGTGCAATTGGCGGCCTGCTGGCTGCGGTACGCAAAGGCCGCTCGCGGCTCGGAGATCGAAGTATCGCCGGCTTTCTCAATCTGGGAAAAGATTCCGATGAGGCAAGTATCACGTCTTCCCGCAATGTTGACGCGCTCAGAGGTTCGCGAAAGCGTAATCTGAGCGTCTCTAGTAGTATCCACCGTGGAACGCCGAGGACCACCAGGGAAAGACTACAACTTATCATTCCGGGGAGCCAGGATGATGCTCAAGATGCTTATTTGGAGACGCCGAGCATCTATCATGGGCGGTCGAGGATGATTCGAAGTGCGTCAATGCACGGAATGGCCGCGCCAGCCATGGAGCTCAATCGTGCAAGTATTCAGCATGTGCACAGGATGCTTCAACAGTTTCTCAGAGATGCCAATGTACCCAGAGTCCAAAGTTGGGAGGACGCTCTTGTCCCTATCCTGCTGAAAGCGACTGATGATGTTGACCCTGACGTTCAAGGAGGAGACGATATTGATATCCGCAACTATGTTAAACTAAAGAAGATCCCTGGCGGGCGGCCTGGAGACACTGCGTACATCAGTGGTCTCGTCTTCACGAAGAACGTCGCTTTGAAGAGCATGGCCCGCTCTCTCACTAATCCCAGAATCTTGATCATCACGTTCGCTATCGAATACTCCAGACACGAGCCGCATTTTATGAGCCTGGACCCCGTGATCAGGCAAGAAAAGGAATACCTTAACAACCTTGTTGGCCGCATCGCTGCTCTCAAGCCTGACCTTTTATTGGCTCAGCGAAACATATCCGGCCTTGCTCTTGAGCTGCTCGAGAAAGCGAACATTACGACCATCTTCAATGTCAAATCATCGGTCCTGGAAGCCGTATCGCGTTGCACACAAGCTCGTGTTGCGCAGTCCATGGATAAGTTGACCTCGTTGGCCGATCCGTTTGGAAGCTGCGACTCCTTCGAAGTCAGGACTTTCGTTGCTGCCGGTCGAAAGAAGACGTATGTCTATCTGTCAGGATGCCCGCCACAGCTTGGCTGCACAATCGCTCTCAGGGGAGCGGATGAAGAGACTTTGTCCAAGATCAAACGGGTCACTGAGTTCATGGTCTATGTGGTCTACAACCTCAAACTTGAGACTTGTCTGATGCGCGATGAATTTGCATTGATACCGAGCGCACCGAATATCGGTGCTGAGGAAACAACTGCTTCATCAATGAACATGGTCACCAAAATTGTGAATAACCAAAACGAAGCAACCTCGCAAGACAGTGACACGGGTGCCGAAAAGACAGATGCTCGCCTTCCTGACCAGGGAGATGTCTCAAATGCTGAAGTCATCGCTCTGGAGAAAGAAGGACGCTTCAATCAGTCAACCAGGACCGATAGCACAGACTCGGTGCACATACCCGATGATATACCTGTCCCCACTTTCTATGAAGACCTCGTACTCAAGCACGAGACTCGCATTCTCTCTGCGTCACCCTTCGTGAGGTTTATGCAGCCTTACCTTCTCATGCGAGCGAGAGAATTAGAGAGAAGGGTGGCGTATTTGAAACGACTACGCGACCAGGATCTGACGGTTGAGCAGACCTTGGAAGAGAAAGGCAAGAATTCCAAGTTCACATTGATCCACCCCGAGATGGTGCACCGGCCTCTCGCAGGAGCCAGCAGAAAAGTTCGAGAAATCATCCACGCTGTTCACGACGCCGAGTACGAGAAAGCCGCTTACAACTATGAGAGCCAAAAGAAGCAGTGGGAGACATATCTTTCCGGCAACCGGAACCTCTTTGATCCTTTTGCTCACCAAAATATCGTTGTTTTGTTCAGCCTGGTGTCCACAGCGACGTCTGTTCCCTGCTCCGGCCCGGATCTACTGGCTTTCAGTTTTTACAACGAACATGAAACAGAAGCCGAGTTTGAAGCCGACTGTACTCTCGGCCAATACGTTGAAGACTTGTGCTACCGAGCCACGGAGATATGCCCATCAGATGCCTGCGAGAAGAAAATGCATGAACACCATCGCCAGTATGTCCACGGAGAAGCACAGATCACAGTATTCGTGCAGCCGTATCCAGCCAAGATGCGTGGTTTCCAGGAAGTCATTCTTATGTGGAGTCAGTGCAAGATTTGTGGCGTGGAGACCACCGTCACTCCCATGTCGACCAGCACGTGGAAGTATTCCTTTGGGAAGTACTTGGAGCTTTCATTCTGGAGCGCAGATTTGCATGCTCGCGCGGGGATCTGTCCACACGACCTGCACAGGGACCATCTCCGGTATTTCGGCTATAAGGACTTCGCCCTCCGTGTGCATTATGACCCGATCGACCTCCTCGAGATCATCGTGCCCCGAATGAGGCTCACGTGGAAGGTCGATAATGACTTGAAGTTCCGCAATGAGATCTTCAGTCGAACAGAGCATCGCATCACTAAGTTCATGGTCTCTGTGAAGCTACGTCTCAAGAATATCAACATCGAGGCGGTTGAACCTGAGAAAGCCGACGCATGCCGTGAAGAGATCGAAAGACTGACAAAGAAAGCCAACGAAGAGCACGCGGCTCTTATCAAACAGCTGCAAGAACGATATACGAACTCAAGATACTGGGAAACGATACCGCTCAATTCTGCCGTGCGCGCAACGCAAGAGAAGGTTACTGAATGGGATGATGCTTTTGCAGACTTTGAGAGAAATTACTTCCCGACAGAAAAGGACATTCGAAGGCTTGCCACATTACAGCTCAAGAAGATTTTCCTCGACCGCGATGTCTCCGTGTCTTCTTTGAAGTCCGACGATGAAGGCACAACCACCCCTCCCATTGAAGAGGTGATTGATGAAAAGGATTCCCTGGCCGAGAAATTGGCAATCGAGAAGCCTAGCAGATTGTCACCCGAAAAGACGCAAAGCTTCCTTCAAAGCGTGTTGGAAGAGCATGCTACTTCACCGCCACGAGAAAGAGAAACCAGTGTCGCGACAGTGGCAGAGGTTACCAAGTCTGATATAGAAAATCTTCCATCCATGCTCGAAGGACCTCGAAACATTGAAGATGTCAAGCACCTGGATCTGGCGATAGCGACGCCGCTCCAGCCAGCAACAGTGCCAGGAGAAGATGTGCCTCTGCAAAGCACACTCAGTCCCAAACTAGGGCAGGCCTCGACGTCAGGTACAGAAAAATCAGTGATCGTTGAGCTGGACGCCGACAACGAAAATCTGGAAGCTGCCGTTCCTGTTCCACCCACTCCTCCAGCCGGTCTACTCCATCCTGGCTCTTATGGTGCCGTCCGAAGTCCGACATCGAGACGCACGCCAGACGCGAAGTCCACCTCGCCATCTCTTTCTCGCGCCCATTCTCAACCTGCCGGAGCTGTTACCTTGCGCTCGCACGCGGGTCAGGTATCTTCAAACACTCTATCGGCCGTCAATGCTATGAACGGGTTCTCCAGGCCAAGCCCAGTGATGTCCGCGAAGAGTGGAGACTCGGAAGCCAATATTCCGGAGAAAAAGTTGTCTGAACGTCTCGGTTTCTCTCAGTTGAAGAACAAAACCTTCACCAAGGGTCAGTCCTTAATACCGCGAGCCGTGTCACACCGCAAAGATTCCCGAGTGTCAAACCTTGCAAAACATTTTGAGCAGTTGAGCCGCGAGTTTGAGAGAGAGCGGATCCGAGAAAGAAGGCTTCGCGCACAGAGGACCATGCAGTCAAGGGTCTACCCTTTACCGGTTTCCAAGCCCATCGTCGAAGTTTTCAAGGATGTTGACGAGGCTGTGGACGAACGAGGTGACTCAGACGATGTCTTCGGCTTAGAAGAAGAACGCCCCAGTGATGAGTCAGGCAAAGCAGCAACTACAGCGGAGGGTATGGCTGATGTCGCTTCGCGTGAAGAGGGGTCTGGTGTCCTGGCTGAAGAACCCCCAGCCGAAGCCACGGAGAATGAGACTGATGTGCAGGCCTCAACAGCGGCGTCCGAAATTGAGGAGAGCGACGTTGATGAACCGGAAGAGGAGATATTTCTACCGGATTCCCCCGAAGACCTGATGCGCATGTCACAGGAGGATATCGACCTTAAGGAGCTTCCGAAACATGAGCGGACCTCGCTGATGAAGATGCTGACCAATTTCTGGGCGGAGCGGTCTTCGAGTGGCTGGACGGCACTGGATTACCCACTGGCAGCATCTGAACACATATTCGCCGATTGCGACATCATCGTGCGGGAAGACGAACCTAGCTCTATCATTGCATTCGCGCTGGACTCGGAAGACTACAAGACCATGCTCGACGGTATGCAAAACGAGCCACCACAGGACGACGGCGTGGTCGACTTCATTGGGCACGTCCATGCTGATCAATCCGAAGTCATGCACTCTCTTCTGCGAAAAACCGGGAGACACTTGAAATACCAGTTCCAAGAAGGTCCGGCCAAAATGCTCTGCAAGATGTTCTTTGCTGAACAGTTCGATGCCGTGCGCCGCAAATGCGGTGTTGCTGACAGGTTTGTGGAGTCGCTCTCTCGCTGCCTCAAATGGGATTCCAAGGGCGGCAAGACCAAATCGCTCTTCCTGAAGACGCTGGACGATCGATTCATCCTCAAGTCGTTGTCGCCGATCGAGACCCAGTCATTTCTCAAATTCGCGCCCAACTACTTCCAGATAATGTCCGAGGCCTTCTTCCATGAACTGCCCTCTGTGATTGCCAAGATGTTTGGGTTTTACCAGATCATCGTGACCAACAAAAACACGGGTCTCGAGTACAACTGGTTTCTGCTCGTCATGGAGAACCTCTTTTACGATCGCGTCCCGACACGGATTTTCGACCTCAAGGGAAGCATGCGCAACCGTAAGATGAACGCGACAGGCGAGCGCGGCGAAGTCCTCCTAGATGAAAACATGGTCGAGTTCATCTATGAAAGTCCCCTCTTCGCGCGGGAGCACTCCAAGAAACTTTTGCGATCGTCGGTACATAACGACACGCTTTTCCTGGCGAGGCAGAATGTGATGGATTACAGCCTCATGGTCGCCATTGATGACACCCGCAAGGAACTTGTGGTCGGCATAATCGACTGCATACGTACGTACACGTGGGACAAGAAACTTGAAAGCTGGATCAAAGATCGCGGGTTGGTGCCGGTTCGGGGAGGGGGGGCGAAGGGACGGCCCACAGTGACAAGTCCAAGGGAATATAAAAAGCGCTTTCGCGAGGCGATGGGACGATATGTTCTCGAGGCGCCAGATTGTTGGCACTTATTTCGCCGGGAGGGGAGGGAGAGGGAACGGAATGCGAGGTTGCTCACAGAACGGATGCCTGAGGGGGGACAGGATGGCGATGAAGTGCAGATTCTGTCCTGAAATGCGGGAACACGCATGAGTCAGCGGCTATGTGCATGAGACATGGTTGTACAGTTGCAAGGGGTCAAGCATCATTGAAGCAAGCGACATTAGCGAGTGGCGCATGTTGGATTTTGACATTAGGAGGCAGAATCATTGGAGCATGGTACTTGCAAGATACCTGGATACAAGGCGGCGACCGGCTGCCTATCCTCATGAGTAGAGCCACTCAGTACCACGATCAACCTTTGACTCGCCACGCCCAAGCGACCATGCTCGTGAATATTCTCCCTCTTCATTTTTGAGCACGTATCGAGAAGACGACGTGGACAGAGGTGAGGGAGGTTCCCCTCTTTTGTGCAGCCTTGTCGTGCCTTGCGCAGACAGTTTAGCCGTGAGCGTCAATCGCCAGCGCGAGAGCGTGGCCGCCGGAGCCGGCGGAACAGTTGTTCCAAAAGATGCCGAATCAGGCCGGAGCCGAAATGATGATTCTGAATTATTAACACACCACATCATTGACTCATCACTCAAGCTGCATTCACTTTGAGATCTGAGGGTTGTTTTCGTGTAAAAGGGTCTTTTCCGGCGCATCTGCGCCCCCTCTTTTCCTTCATTTCCACCTGTCTGTCACCTCCCAGTAGGATGGAGGGGAGGAAGGTGGTGGTTGTTGGCGCTGGGCCGGTCGGCTCGCTGGCTGCGATTTATGCTGCGGCGCGTGGCGCCACGGTAAATGTATATGAACTGCGGAATGGTAGGTCAAGAAGTCCTGTCAGTCGTCTCTCAGGTCGTTGTCGTGTCTCCCTCTCTGGCTGGGTTGACCGCTCATATCCTGTCCGAAGCCGATCTGCCCATTCAACGTCGACTTTCGCCAGGAGTCGATCTACTAAGGACTTCAATCTGCCTCACATGTCTTATTACGCCCACGCTGTGTCCATTGAATGCTACTTGCCGCTGTTTTCCCAACCTCTCTCCTTGTCCACTTGGCCGGACCTCAACGCTGACGATGTCCTTCGCAGACCTGCGCAACGAGGAAACGACGCCTATCAACTTCACAAAGTCGATCAACCTTGCTCTGTCTGAACGTGGAATCAACGCGCTTCGGTCGGCTGGAAACACCCATCTGCTGGATAAGATCCTGGATCGGACGATCCCCATGCACGGCCGGATGATCCATGCCCGCACCGCCACTGGCGCCCTGTCCCAGCAGTCCCAAGCATATGATGTTCATGGCCGCTTCCAACGCTCTGTTGACCGTGGAGAGCTCAACAAAGTCTTGCTCGACCACCTGGATTCCTTGCCTAATGTCACATTCTTCTTTCAGCACAAGATGACGGGCGCTGACTTCCGGAACAAGAAGGCATGGTTTGAGGTCATGGACAAAGACAGCACCAGTGCCTCCGGACGGGCAAGGGAGATTGAGGTCTCTTTCGACTTGTGTATTGGCGCTGACGGTGCACACTCTGCTACTAGGCACCACATGATGAAGTATGCTCGGATGGATTACCAGCAAGAGTACATCGACTGCTTGTGGTGTGAGTTCAAGATGCCACCATCCAAGACAGGCGACTTCGCAATCTCTCCAAACCATCTGCACATTTGGCCGGCCGGCAGCTTTATGTTCATCGCTCTCCCAAACCTCGACAAGTCCTTCGTATGCACGCTGTTTGGGCCTGTGGAGCTGTTCTCCAAGCTTGAGAATGGGTTTGACGCGGATCTGGTGTCGACGTTCGACAGGTACTTCCCCGGCGTGACGACGTATATCCCACCTGCCGACCTGGTGGCGCAGTTCAAGCGCAATCAACACCTTCCCCTGATCAACATCAAATGCTCGCCCCATCATTTCGGAGACAGTGTCGTGATAGTAGGAGATGCCGCGAATGCGATGGTTCCTTTTTACGGCCAAGGGATGAACGCAGGATTGGAATCCGTACGGGTGTTGTTCTCGAAGTTGGACAGTACTCTGAACAGGGAGGAAGCTCTGGCCAGCTACACGGCAGAGCGCACAGAAGATGCTCATGTCATTGCAGATTTAGCTCTGGCAAATTACATTGAGATGCGATCGTCGGTCACCTCGCCTTGGTACAAGTGGCGCAAGTGGATCGAAGAGCGGCTCGACAAATATGTGCCTAGCTGGGGCTGGGCAACCCAGTACTCCAGAGTCAGCTTCAGCAACATGCGATACAGCGATGTGATCAAGAAGTCGAAAAGCCAGAAGCGCACACTCACCGTCCTGTTGCTGGTCACCGCTGCGGCTGGTGCTACGTTGCCGGTCGCTGGCATCTGGTGGTGGTGGCCATTACTCGGGCTGAGGTTCCGACAACTTCAAAAGGCATTCAGCATCACCCGTGCCGGGCGCTGAACACTGCTTCGCTTCACTCCACTCCACTTCATTTCGCTGCTCTACGCCGGAGAGGACCATCCGAGTGATATGGCTCTGCGATGCCGTGCCTCGCGCTCGTCTTGGTGCCCGTTCGATCGACCCAACCTACCTTCTGTCAGCCATCACTATCTTGCTCTTATCGCCGGCTCAAGATGAGCAGAGTCCGAAGCTCCGCCGTCGCCGCCCCTCGTGTTCATGCTTGCCATCATGGCCGAAGAAGAGATGTACCTCCACAGACTGGCGCTTCGTCCGCTACTTGCATAGCACGTACGCTTCACGGTACCTAATCGGGTGAGTACAATATCTCTATCATTCATATCAGGCCTGGCGGTCTGTCAAATCACACCTCAATTGAACTATGCTGAACTGAATTAACTAAGCTGGCCTGAGCCACGCTGACCCAAGCCTATCTACCAATTCCAGATCCTGACCATCATCCCACGGGCCCCGTCGCTTGAGAACCAATACCGCCCCAAGCAGGGAAACCCTCCCTAGTCCTAGGAAACCCTCCCTAGCCCTTTCAGCCGACATTCTCCACCAAGTGATACCGACAGGCTGGAACATGGCCTCGCTCATCTGCCACGCACGGCCTCTTCCTAACGTGGAAGGGGCACTGGCTTTCCCAGTCCCCCCCCCGGCCCCAGCACATATCGCCACGCACCCAACGACGCTGCGAAATGACTCTCCCAAACTCCCACAGCCGAACAGGTTTTCTCGTTGGGCACAACGCGTCCCTGGCATCATCGCGCCCCCCATCCATCCAGCCAATACACGCCCGCCCGCCCTTCTCTCGGACCCGAGTGTCCCGATAACCCCCAACTCCGCCCCCGTTCAATCATACCGCGCGCCACATGCCGCCTGTAGCCGGAGGCGCTTGAAGTATAGAATTCTGCCCGTTCCGAGGCGTTGACGAAGACGATAAAGATGACGCCGAACGGCACCATCACCGGTAGAGTCAGCACCGCGGACCCCGACCGTGAGTGACCTGAATGACCGCTCGTCTACTAGGGGGAGACTATTAGTCAGGGGTGCACGTGCATAGGCATAGGCGGTGGAGTGGCGACGCTGAACCTCGTGAACGGGCAGCTGGCGTCTTGCGTCTGGCATCTGGCGTTTGGCAATGAGGTTGCCCGTCTGGTGGGGGAAAACATGGTCTACCATGCGTGTGGGTGCGGTACCAGGGTGAGGAAGGTCATATGATCCGGCGACGTTACAGTTGGGCTGGCGGATTAGATATGTGGGTGTTGGACTAGGTGTTGCGTGAGGACGTGTACGGGTACGGGTACGGGTACAGGTACGGGCCACAGACGGGGCAACGGCGTACTGCAAGTGAGAAAATGCGCTCGAGCACGTCGTGGCATGGCGATGGGTGTTGATTGCGGCAGCATGACCAATAAATGAGACAAGCGGTGGCGGTGTCCAATGACCGCCATGTCGATAAGACCTGCGTTGTTTTCTGGGCTACGTCTCCCCAAAACTGCTACCCATCCGTTGCCTCTGCTGATTGTATGACGGGCGGACGCATGCCATCCAAACCGGGCGAGGATGTATTCCCTCCCGGCTACGCGTCCGCCCATGCTCATGCTCATGCTTTGATTTTGTCCCACCATCATCCTCATCTCGCTCTAAGTCATGTGCTCATCATTCATGCTGTTCGTCATCATTGCAGATTTGCCGGATTCAACGAGCTCATGCCGCCCGTTGCATCTCCCGCTGCGTCTCCCACGTCCGTGTCGTCCGGTAGCAAACCCATGTTGTCCATCTCAGGTGCGAGGCTACCTTCAATCCGGCGACGAGCCTCCTGCCTGTCTTTCAGCGTAATATTTGCTTCGTCCTTTTTCATGTCCGGCTTGTGTGGTTCCGCGTTCGGCGAATGACCGATGGACATGCCTACGCGGATCTATCTCCTCGTCAGTATGATAGCTGAATATAAGATCTTCAAAGGAGAACTTACCAGTGTTTCCAACGCTCCGCTACTGTTCGCAACCAGGTCCTCGTCATACACCATCCTTCCCGGCTCGAAGAACAGCAGGATCGTACTGCCTCCGAACTTGAAGTATCCAAGCTCTTCAGCTCGCTTGACTCGCTCGCCGGGTTTTCGTGTGATGACCGTCGACCCGACCATCATGGCGCCTATACATACGTACATGACTCGACCATGCGCGACGGAGTCGATAGGCACCAAAACGCGGACATTGTCGCCGTAGACATCCAGGGCCGATCTGATAGCCATTGGGTTGACCGTATAGTATTCTCCTTCGATGGCCTTTGGCGTCCCCAGAACACCGTCAACCGGGATGTGAAAACGGTGATAGTCTTGAGGAGCAAGTCTGAAAATGCCCATACTACCACCTTTGTATCGTTTGGCATCAAGCGGATATGCGTCACCAAACAGTTTCTCAAGGCTGTAGTCTCTGCCTTTGACCCATATGCGTCTGGCATCATCAATCGTGTTGAAGACTACAGAGCGACAATCGGCTGGAGAGGTGATGATCTCTGGTCGATCGGGTGCACTGCATGGGCGGGCATCAGGCTTCAAAGCGCGATAGAAGAACTCGTTGAAGTTCCTGAACTCGGAAGTTGGCAGCAGAACTTCCGACATGTCGAGTTGATGGAAAGCAATGAACCCTGGGATCTGAGCAGCCGAGGCAGGATCGTCGAACTTCTTGCCTTGCTTGACGGATAATGACCTGAGCATCTTCTTGATTCGCTTCTTTTCCATCTCCCCAGCCCCCAAGCCTTTGTAGAGCAGGCGGATACCAATGCGAACATAAACCGACATTCGCTCCTCATTGATCTGTCCAGTAATGCGGTCTTGGACAAGTATGTTCGCGCTGTTAGCGCCGAGTTTGTATCCTCCGTAGCTGATTTTGGTGATGACCTTGGAGTACCACTTGCGCTGAGCTTGGCTCTGTGTCACAAAGCCACCCATGACCAAGTTGTTGACTTGTCTCCAGTCAGAGCTAGCACAGGTAGCTATGTGGGTTATGATGTCGGCTTCGGTGCGTTTGTTCAGTTTCGGCTGGTGGCAGATCGGACACTCACGAATCTCAATGACATGCTCTTCGTCTGCTTCTTCTTCGGCCAGATCATTTCCTAGTAATCTGCCTTCCTCGCCAGGTGTCCCAGTGGACTCTTGCGGGATGTTGGGCACTTCAGCATTGACTGGAGGATTCTCTGGTATCACATCATGGGATACCTCGGTGCTTTTGATTTTCTCCAGTTGAGACTTCTTCTGGCTACTTCTCTGTAATTGTTCCTCCAGACAAATGACCGCTTGGTCAAAGGTCAGGTCAACCTCGCCAATGTCTTCATTTTCTGCGGCGAATCTCCTAAAGAAGCCGTCGATGGTGGATTCCCTCAGGGTGGAGCCCAGCGTGTCCAACATGGTAGTGAACTCGATCTTACTGATTCTCCTGCTTTCATCCACATCATACTGCTTCAGCATGGCCCGCCAGAACTGCTGTCGCAGGGCTTTGTAAGACAAGTATTTCCCTCGAAGATGCAGTTCCGGACTGTGCTTGGCTTCCCACCGTTCTTTGTTTTTCAGCTCCAGAGGAATGACGTACGAGGTCATTGTCGGATCGTCCGCCGGCTGGGCGGCAGGAGGGTCAAGGCCCGAGGCCTTTGAACCAATCGAATTGTTCTCCGAGGGCATACTCGTTGGAGGAGGGGGTCGAAGTGCTTCATGAGTACTTAGGTTCGACAACGACACATTCGAATCCTCCTTCTTCAAGCCTGGACGGCTCGACTTGGAGAGGCTGCTAGCTGATGATGTACGTGACAGTGGAATCCGGAAGCGGCCTTTCTGCTGTACTGCTGGCGAGTACTCGGGTGGCTCAGGCAGATCGTAGAGACCTGTTTCTGGGTCCTCCTGAGGAGCGTTGGCTATCATCTTCTGAATGGGAAATGAAGTCGAAGCCACAAAGTCGTTGCCCGACAAGCTGTCCCGGTCAATGACGCTGAACGTCAAGGAGTAGCCAGTCTCATGCCGCATGATCTGGAAAACCATCTTCTCGTTGTAGATCGGATTCAGATTGTGTCGCACCACCTTCGTTCTGAGGACTTTTCGACCCAAGGCGACAACGACAAACGGATCCATATCGAATGATGTTCTCGTCATGTTTCGTTCGGGCGGCAAATCGGTGATTTTGATGACTTCCATGAAGAGGACGCCATTGACATCGTTGTCGTCTCCCAGGAAGTTGTAGGCTCTGGCAGCGATGGATCGGCGCCGCAGACGGGCCAGCCTCTTCTTCTTGGCTTTTTTGTCGACAAGCGCCGATTTATGGGGAGACTCATTCTCGGTGACTGACTCCTGATCATCATCGAGATCCTCGGGATCTAGATCGTCGTCCATGCCGGGATCGTCCAGATTGGAGGAGACGCGGGACAGTTCGTCGTCCTCTTCTTCAGCTCCAAGGTAGGCCTGGAATTTCTTTCGAATCTCTTCGGGACTGGCGGATGGGTTGGCCGAGTCGACCAGAGAGAACTGCATGTAGACTTCGCCCGACACATTGCTTCCTTTCTTGCTCGCCGGGCGACGGGAGTGCAGCTTGTACCAGTGCGGTTGAGTCTGTATCTGGCCGTTGGGGAAAATATCTTCGATGGGAATATCAAACTCGCCCATGTAGTCCTTTTTGAAGCGATCTTTATCCCAGCAGATGCATTCGAGGAGGGGAACGCCCGTCAGAGGCATATCGAAGCATATCTTCCATTCTGGATTGAGCGTCTTGGAAATGGAGGGTGTCGACTGTCTTGCATTGCCCAGAGTGACGACCAGGTACTGGAACTGTTAGCTCAAGCCCAAAAGCACAGTAGACAAGGCACCTACAGGATCGGACGTGCCAGACCGATCTTTTGCAGCCAGGTTTCGGGCCTGCGGACACCATTAGTGCGGCCCACGACGTCCTCTAGTAGTGCACCGGTACCTTTATAACGTAAACTTTAAGGATCAATGGTTTCTGGTCGACCAGGGCAGCAGTGCTGTTGTTGTTGCTCCCGAGTCTCGGTGGACTGGGCCGTCCCCCACCATCGCCATTGGAACTTGCCCCATTGCCAGATCTCTCTTTATCCTTGTGCTTAGCCAGTGAGCTCAGACCTTTGGGCAGTGATATGTGCACCATCTCGATGTATTGTGCTATGTCTCTCCGGCCTTGTTGACGCTCACGATTGCGGGGTTGCGGACAAGAAGAGGAGGAGACTGAATAGTTCAGCTGGAGCTGAAGTGAACGGCGCCAGGGAGGGAACTGGGGGCGATCGCCAGGGAGACGCTTAACGAACGGCGAGGGTCGTTGTCGTGGTGCAGACACACAGGATACGATTCACCGGGAGATGACACCTGAAACAGGTTGGACGACAAGTAGCGTGTATGGTTACGTTGAAGTGTGTCGGTCTGAGGGCTGGTGGGGACGGACATACAGTTCAGCGTTCAGTACGTGGAGAAGCAAGTGTGAATGATGCCATGGCAGGAAGCTGCCCGCATTGCCCCTCGTGGTGCTCGTGTCTTCCCAGTTGTTCCCCTGTCACCGCAGCTTCAGGTACGACTACGTATGCAGCCGTTGTTGTTTGCTTGTGACTGGCCGACTTCTACCTGTAAATCTCAGATCAAGGCACATTTGATCAGCACTCTTGTTCAGCTTGCTAGACGGTTGCCAGCCGCTCGCACACTCGGACAGAAACTCGGCCAAGAAGGACGCATCATCAGCCTCGCCCACTTCACCCAGCCCGTCCAGGTACCGGATCCTTTCCGAAGCCCTGTCCGTCCAGCAGCCCACTATGGCATTGGTGAGCTTGGTCCAGCGAGGCGAAGTCGTATGACCCGCAGGTGAGCAAGAGGGGACTGGCTATTTAGAGAGTTGGGGCAGCTTCTTAACTACTGAGTACATTTTCGAAGTCTGTGTCGGATAATCGCAGCCTACCAGCATCCTTTACCTGACCGATTTCGGACATTATACAGGAGAAGCAAAATGAGCATTGGCATGCGCAGGACATAATCCTCGAGGCAGTCGCACGATGCGGCCGACGCACGCCACTTCGTCCAAAATGCATTGCAGGCAATATCATTTCGCATGCCGTAGATCGTATTTTGCAAGGGCGAGTGCGAGAAGCCACACCTAGCAGGATACTCCATCGTTGGCAGATACTATCTAACCTCCCTGCGCCCGGTATCTGAGACCTCGGGCAGGAAGTCTCCTGCAGTACTTTCGACCTTTTTCTGCGCTTTGAGGCTCCGCAAATCGTCTCCTGGAACAGTCTTCACTGTAAGGTGATCAGAATCCTTTTCCTCAACGACAATGCCACCTCCGCTGGCCATTGACATCAGCTCGTCGCTTGCTTTTGTTCGCGCTCCGGTCTCTTTATTCCAAACCCAGCCTTCTTTCAACCACATCCAAGTAAGCCATGCGCGCAATTCCTTATCCAATGGAACGACTCGCTTCCACTCGGGTTCAAAACTGTCTGGATTCTCCGCACCCTCCCCGTTCCAATTCTTAGCGAGGTTTCTCAGCCTGTCACGACAGAACATGCGCCAGCTATCGTGTGAGTAAGGTCCGAGCCCTGGCAAATGAGAGATCTCCCATGCCACGCGCCCGTCATTGTCATCCAGAACTTCACCGTTTCCGACGTCCCGTCCATCGCCTTTCAGAGGGTAGTTTTGCTTCTTGTATCGCTTCCCACGTTCTGGCGGCTTCTCGAGCCAGACTTTCGACATGGCAACGCATTTCCGTGCTCTTTGATTCTGAAATCCCAATCCATAGATGATGGAAGTAACATCGCTGACTTCAGCATTGGCGAGGTCCGTCGGCGTTGGGTAGCGCGACATGAGTTGGTAGAAGACCGGCATTGCTCGCTCGCCTGGCGTCTTGTTCAAGAAGATGGTCGCGATGAGGAGACGAAACGGGTCGTGAGCTAGGCGTTCCTGCATCAAGCCAAAGGTTCCGTGGGACAGAGGCGGGAATGGCAGGGTTGATAGGAATGTTAGTCGATGCTTGTGTGCCGCGGCGAAATACGGTGACTTTGTCGGCACTCGCACTCTCCCGGTTTTAACCTTGATTGCCTGTACCAGGGAAGGGAATCTGGGCGACGTGACATCTGGCGGAAACGGGTCAGGTCCGATATCTTCGGGAACATCGGTGAGGCTCGAGTCAGATGAGAGCTCGTCGATATTGAGTCCATAGCAGATCCGGGGCAGGCCTGGTATCACCGGAAGCGTGCTGGTCTTCGAAGAATCATCCTGGTGCACGCTCGATGCATCGTTACTTTTCAGCTTAGAGCCGCCTTGCTGGTCTTCCTTCTGCGGCAAAACTTCTTGCTGGTCATTCTTTGGCTTCTCTGTCGGAAAGTGCCTGGAGATGTAGGTAATCTTGCGACGCGTCCCGGCTGCTTTGCGCTTTCTTATCACTTTCAGTGCTGGCTGAGCCTCGGCCTTTTCCCGAGAGTTGTCATCGGCGGCAACCATGCCCAGGTCATCGGCTGGGACGACTGGCAGCTCAAGTTCTGAGAACGGCGAAGGAGGCGGTGACAGGCCGCGATGCTCGCTCGACATGGTCGATGAGGTCATCCTTGTGGCGTCCCACGGGGAACTCGTATCTCGCTACGGAGTATATGTGCGGGAGTTACAACAACGGCGTCTGTTTGCTGGGGCATGATATTCTCCGTAGATTTTCATTTTCTCAATGCATAAGAAGAGAACAGGTTGAAGTCAGTCGCAGCCACGTATTCACTGCTCCCCACGATGTGATCTGAGGCAACAGGGCCGGCAGCATTATCGGTGGCCATTGCTTCACCTCCTCCACATCAGATTGCTACTACGGAACTCAAATATGCCTTCATCCGCAAATTTTCTCCTGTATCACAACGCAGCATGAGTCCTGCGACGCCTAAGAAGTCTTCAAGATGTTGTTGTCGACTCCCCAGACCGACAACCACAGAACCAGGGCTGGGAGTGCCAAACTTGGCCAATCAGCTTCGTGGCTGACGCGAAAGCGAGGCGCGCAATTTCCTGCTTCAGATGCGAAGATCCTCCCGCTGCTCACACCAGGTCGCTAGGTACTCGGTACTCTGTAGATTCTGGACGATGTCTAGTTGACGTCCGCTTCCCTGCCGCTTGCGCTTGCTTCAACCTGCAAATTCCTACCTCAAACGACTAGAGGCTCGTTGCGACGACTGCAACTCGATCTACTACACATGTTTTGAAGGAAACCGACTACAGACATGGGCGAGGCAGAGGAAGCAGCCTTCGATGCCGCGAGGACAGCAACAATTCGACGCAAGCCTGTGCCAGTACCACAGCAGCCGCCGTATCCAAGCCAGAAGCGAGGTCTCCTGGATCGATGGAGGGATTACTCTCGCCGGACTAAGATCATCGTTTTGGTGGTTGTTCTCGCCATCATCGTCTTGATCATCGGCCTCGCAGCGGGCCTGTCGACCCGCAAGCACACACAGAATCTCCCGTTACCCTCAGGCAATGGCGGCCCTTACACCGGCGACCTCACGTACTACGAACCTGGTTTGGGTGCATGCGGCGTTACATCCCAGAACAGCGACAAGATTGTCGCCATCTCGCACATTGTCTTCGATGCTATTAGTGTCGGGAGCGATCCAAATGCAAATCCGCTGTGTGGCAAGAAGATAAGAGCAAGGAGGGATAATAAAAGTGTGGATCTGACGGTCGTGGACAGGTGTACTGGCTGTCAGCCTAAAGACATCGATGTCACCATTGACATCTTTGCCGGTCTCGCCGACGTTGACCTGGGCAGGGTGCTGGTAGAATGGAACTGGTTGGAGAATGTCCCTGCTAATGCTCAAGGCTGATACCAACCCGGCAATGGGTTGTGTATCGTCGGACTAATGCCGTCTCAAGATGTCCGAAGACTGCTGGAGGACAACGAGATCCATACTCGCGACCAGAAATTGTCCACCCTTGCGGTTTCTCCCTCTGAAATATCTTCTTCTTCTTTTTTCCTGGGTCAGGACCAACAGAGTGGAGATCGACGCCTGCAAGATCGGACTTCAGCGTGGCCTACCGACGGAGTTTCAGCGAAGACATTCGTGCTTCCTGGCCCGACAGCAGAGAAGCGGAAACCATCGTTGAAGAGCGTAGACAGGGAAGTATCTGTCGAGGATGTCGATTGTAGCATTGGCAGAGGACCAGCAGTATGTCCACTCAAATCTCACTTGGACACATATCTGACACCTGTGAAGGTCGAGCGTCACCCTCGATGTCCTGCACGATGTCGCCGCACGAAACAACATCCGGATCACTTCTAAGGCGGATGCTGAAGCCTTCCTACTTGTCCTCCAATCGGCCGATGTGACAGCGGCAGTTGTCAATAACCTGCCTGACTACGTTGATCCTAGGCTTGAGCCAGTTCCCACCCAGGGCGGACGAGAGTATTGGAAGGTGAAGAACAACAGCCACAATGCCTGGAGTCACCAAGCAAGTCTTGTGGCGGAGAAGCCAGTCTCAGATATTCTTCAAGGGCGGAAGATCGTCATGAAGGACAATATGGCTGTGGCTGGACTGCCACATACCTGCGGCACCTTCCCTCAGTTTGTTTCCAGGGATGGCACATATCCGACCGCGACTATTGATGCGCCTATAACGAAACGACTGCTGGAAGCTGGAGTCACGATTGTCGGCACGTCTACATGCGAGAACTACTCCTTGACGCCTATGTCCTATACTTCTGCGAACGGACCGGTACACAATCCGTGGCTGCGCGATCACAATGCTGGAGGGAGCACCAGTGGCGGCGCGTTTCTCGTCGCATTGGCCAATGCTCGTGCTGCCGGGGTGCCTGGCTTGGAAGACGCTGGCGACGACGTTGAACTCGCTATGGGCGGAGATCAAGCGGGTTCTATCCGCCTACCCGCGGCATACTGTGGCATTTATGGATTGAAACCCACGCATGGTCTAGTCCCGTACACGGGTATTGCGGGACTTCACCCCATGATTGACTATACAGGTCCCATGGCAAGGAAACTCGAGGACATTGCCACATTACTAACTGTCGTCGCCGGATATGACGGCCTCGACCCTCGAATGTCACCTGAATCACCGCTCCGGCAAAATGTCATCGACTATTTCACGGAGCTGGCATCTACTCCAAATCCCGGCAAGGGTCTCAAGGTCGGCATCATCAAAGAATCACTTGCATCCCCTGGCACACAACCAGAAGTCTCGGAGACAGTGCGTGCTGCTGCAATCAAGCACTTCGAAGCCAGCGGAGCGACAGTATCCGAGGTCTCGGTACCAATGCATCTGTCAGGACCTGCGATCTGGACAGCAGCGACACGGGCACATCTTGCAGGTTTGGCCATTGGTGGCCGAATTCCTGACGTCCTCAGTCATAACATCCCACACCTATCTCTGCGCTGGCCTCCTGATCAAGAGATGTACGATCTCTTGAGAGTGGCGAACCCCGCCGTGATTAATATCATATTTTGCGAGACGTTCTTGAAGGAAAAGTTTGGTCCGGAGGTGCAAGCCAAAGCGCATCGCCACGTGCTGCAGTTGAGAGCGGCCTATGACAAAGCTCTAGAAGACTTCGACGTCCTTATCACTCCTACAACGCCAGCGGTCGCGCCTCCACATCCAGATTTGCGACCGGAAGTCGATGGCGGTAGTACTGTTATGGACAAGATCAAACTAGCTGTTGGAGCCACGAATAATACATGCCCATTCAATGCCACTGGGCATCCAGCTCTGTCCGTGCCCTGTGGCTGGGCACCAGCAAAGACCGGGAAAGGAATGCTGCCTGTGGGTATGCAAGTGATTGGCCGGAAGTGGGACGACCTGGGTGTTCTGAAAGCCGCCAAAGCATTTGAGCTTGGAGGTGGTGGCCCGGGACCGTGGCCGGGGCAGACAGAAGTATAGGCCATCTCCAGTGGTTGATAGCCTGTGCCTAGGACCTCTTGCGCGTTGCTGGAATGGGAAGCTGTTCACCGAGTGCAGTAGACCAGGGCGTCTCTAGAATACCGCATTGTCTAGCCTGACAATTGTGCATTGCAGCGGAATGGGTAAAATTAGACCAAGGTGTTGCAGGTAGAGGAGTGGTGAGTGATGGCCATGCAGGCGTTCCACTTGTCAATACTCCGTATATTTCACCTTGATTCCATAAGTGCATGGGAATGGAAGCCGAGCTCGCGTGCAACTGGTAGTCGCCAGGTGCGTCTGAATGTTGTCTCGCTCATGAATGATACTTAGCAAGACAGCGAGGCCATCTTCGTGACTATGAGCCCTTGAGCGTCAAGCAGCGCAGTGGCAGTGCCAAGACTGATTCTGGTTGCACTGTACTATTGTAGCTGTGCTGCTGGCTCGTCGACGTCCTCAAGCTGTCATCAAGTCGACGCTGAAGCCAATACAGTACTCTTCGTCATGTCTTCAAAAGCCGATTCTCCGGAGTTGCCAGAGACGCCTGTCGACCCGCCTCAACGCCAGCGTCCGAAGCCGCCGCGGATGCTGGCTTGCGTGCTCTGTTCGCAGCGCAAAGTCAAATGCGACAGGCAATTGCCCTGCTCTAATTGCATCAAGTTTCGCGCGCAATGTGTGCCAGCAACGCTCGCTCCGCGCCAACGCAGACGCAGAATCCCCGAGCGGGAGCTGCTGGACCGGCTGCGCAAATATGAGGAATTGCTTCGACAGAACCACATCACGTTCGAGCCGCTGCACAAGGAGTCGGCCCGTCCGTGCACCAACGAGGCAAACAACGGCTATGACTCAGACAGAGCTGATGTACTGACAGTCGAAAGTCAGTATGAAGCTAAAAACATCCTGCAGAGTATGACCCAGAGCCTCGGGGACGCCGTCAACGACAGCGACTCCTCGCAGGACGACGCGGTGCGAGTGATGGCCATCAAGGAAGCGTGGGAACAGTCTAGTGAAAATGCCGACCATCTGCTGTTTGGCTCCAGAGGAGCCACCGTCGACGTTTCTTCTTTACATCCAGACACAGTCCAGATATTCAGGCTATGGCAGGTATACTTGGACAATGTAAACCCGCTGCTCAAGGTCACACACACCCCGAGCATGCAAGGACGCATCATCGAGGCCGCCAGCCATGTCACAGCCATCGATCCTATTCTAGAAGCTCTCATGTTCAGTATCTATTGCACTGCGATATTAAGCCTCTCCGAGGAAGAGTGCCAGACCATGGCTGGTTCTTCAAAGGACCAGCTATTGACGAGGTATCAGTATGGCTGCCAGCAAGCATTGCTCAACTGCGGATTCCTCCGAACAAGCAACCGCGAATGTCTCACCGCGTTGTTTCTCTACCTGGTAAGTACTGGCTCTGGTCAGTCTCTTGCCTTCGCTAAGGTTGCAGATCTCGGTGCAACCGAGCACAGTTCCGCAGTCTCTCCATGCGATGATGGGCGTCGCAGTGCGCATTGCGCAGCGCATGGGCATTCACAGCGAGTCAGCTCTCGTCGACTGCACCGTCTTTGAGGCCGAAATGCGCCGACGACTATGGTGGGCTCTTACGCTCTTCGACAGTCGCATCACGCAGCTCGCCAGCTCGAAGACAGTAACGCTGGACCCGACCTGGGACTGCACGATTCCTCTCAACGTGAACGACTCGGACCTCCGCCCAGAGATGAAGGAGCCGCCGGCCATCCAGGGAAGCGCCACCGAAGCAATCTTTGCCGTTGTACGGAGCGAGGTCGCTGATTTTATTCGGTACAGCGAGTTCCACCTGGATTTCACGAGCCCAGCTTTGAAGACCATTGCCAAACAACAGCCCCGGGTTGGTACTACCGCGAAAGCTGCTAATCTGGTGAAACTGGAGGAGGTGATCCAGGACCGGTATCTCAAGTCCTGCGACCCGGATAACCCTATCCACTTCATGACAATTTGGTCTACGTGGTCCAGCTTGGCAAAATGCCGGCTCATGGACGGCTATGCGAAGTACTCGAGTCCAAGCCTGCGCTGGACTGGGGAGCAGCGTGAGGCTGCCTTTTCGCACGCGTTGACGATGCTGGAATGCGATACGAGGATCATGAGCTCCCCCCTCAGCAGCAGGTTTCGCTGGTTCAATCACTTCTACTTTCCATTCCTAGCGTACATCCACGTCGTCCAAGATCTGAAACGGCGACCCATGAGCGAGCAGGCAAGGCACGCCTGGGATGTCATGAGCGACAATTGCGAGGCTTGGTTTGGCGCGCTTTCCACAGATGGAGATAGCCCCGTCTTCCAGATGTTTGCCAAGCTTATCCTCGAAACGTGGAACGCGTGTGCGAAGACCGCTGAGCAATCAGGAGAGACCTTGGTGCCACCCAGGATCGTCTGTTTCCTCAGAGCTACGCTGACGCATATCGCGGAGGCTGCACGGGCTACCTATAACACCGAACAGGTAGGTGTCAGCATGAGTTCGGCAGTGGACGAGTTCCCAGTGTCCATGGACCCCGTGGACTTCAGTGACCAGAGTCAGCCCATTATGACGGACTTGCAAGGTAGCAATGCAATAATGGAATCCGAGATGTACCAAGGCCCCCATATGAGGAACCAGTTGGAATGGGCTTCGTTGGGTGGGTGGCCCGGCTGGGGCAGCTTCTGAGCTGGGCAACGTGCCAGCTGTCCGGTTGACACTCCTTACGCTACAAGTTCACTGAGTCCGAGAGACACGTATTAGTGCCAGCTTTCAGGCGTCATCATACCAGGTGACGAGCGACGACCTGGACACGCTCAAGTCCGATCGGCCGGTTAGGAAAGCAGAAGCCCCGAGAAATGGTTAGCCGTGGCGAATCGGGGCTTTTCGAATCACATCAACACCAACGGACCGTCCGCAATCATCTCCTCCCTGGCGAGACTTCTGTCCGACCTGTGCCATAGCCAATGTCTCTACGCTCGCTCGGGTTTTGGATTATCCCTAGCAATGGTCGTGAAATAGCTAGCGAAACCCAGAGTAGTACTTACATCTCCGGTGCAGAAGCTATATTATGAGATGAGCTCGCCGCTAGGCAACATGTCGTGAGACAACCCGCCATCCGAGACTCTCTTGTCGATCGACTGACAATGGTTTCTCCAGCTTCTACCTCCTCTAACTCCGCCAAAGATGTGCCGGCAGCTCTGCAGCCCCGGCCGGTTGACAACCAGGCGGATGGGGAGAAGAAATCCGAGCCCGCCAACGAATATGAAGATGCCGAGAAGAATTTCCAACCAAAGTCTCTCAAGTTCTGGACGATTATTATCGGCATATTTCTATCCGTTTTCCTTATCGCACTGGTGCGTCTCCCGTGGGACCTCCTCCATGGATACCGAGCTCATAGACACAGGATCGTACGATCATTGCAACGGCCATCCCCCAAATTACCGACGACTTCGACTCGATCCAGGATATTGGCTGGTATGGAAGTGCTTACATGTTGACTTGCGCCTGCTTCAATCCCATCTCCGGCCGTGTCTATCAGCTCTACTCGACGAAATGGGTTTTCGTGGCCTCGATTGGACTCTTCGAGGCCGGGTCGGTCCTCTGCGGTGCCGCTCCTAACTCTGCCGCCTTCATCCTCGGACGAGCCATTGCCGGTTTAGCATCGGCCTTCATCTTCTCGGGCGCTATGGTGCTCACACTCCCGCTGATCCCTCCAAGCAAGCGGCCTGTTATCAATTCAATGTTCGGCATGGCATTTGGGATAGCGTCCGTGATGGGCCCAGTGGTGGGCGGCGCTTTCACTGATCATGTGTAAGTCAGGTAAAGGTCCAGTAAGGCTTGCGTGCTGATCCGGTCAGGTCATGGAGATGGTGCTTCTACATCAACCTACCAATTGGAGGATTCACGTTGCTCGCGGTTCTCCTCTTCCTGCACCCGGAAGCGACAACGAAGAGCGAGAAGCTCACTGCGATGTCCCAAGTCAAACGGCTTGACCCGATCGGGATTCTTTTCTTCATTCCATCCATCGTATGCCTCATCCTCGCCTTGCAATGGGGCGGCTCCACCTATTCCTGGTCGGCACCAAGGGTAATCGGCCTTCTTGTGGCCTTCTCGGTCTTGTTCGTCGCCTTCGTCGTTGTCGAGGTCGTGACACCAGATACGGCGATGGCGCCGACCCGTGTCGTCCTCAACCGGTCCATTGCCGGCAGTTTGACCTTCATGTTCCTTCTCTCCGGCGGCATGATGTCTGTTATCTATTATTTGACGGTTTGGTTCCAGGCAGCGAAGGGAGATTCGGCAATCCAGGCGGGCATCAGCACCATCCCTCTGTGTCTTGCTTTTGTTATCTTTGGGGTCCTCGCAGCCATCGTGACGCAAAAGATCGGCTATTATGTCCCACCAATGCTGCTATCACCAGCTCTTTCGTCCATTGGCGCGGGTATGCTTTCGACTTTGTCGCCTGGCTCCGGGCACAATGCCTGGATCGGCTACCAAGTCCTCTACGGCTTTGGTGTTGGCTCGGGCTTTCAGAACTCGGTCCTGCCAGTCCAGTACGTTTTGCCCCGCGCGGACGTCCCGATCGGTCTGGCCTTGACGTTCTTCATGCAGCAGCTTGGTGGCTCCGTCTTCCTCGCTGTCAGTCAGAACGTTTTCTCGAGTAGCCTTGTTGGCAACCTGTCGGGGACTACCGGTCTCGATGCTCACACCATTGTCAACACCGGTGCGACGGATCTTCGGAGAGTCCTCCCCCTGGAGCAGCTTGGTACAGTCGTGCGAGCATACAGCCACGCGCTGACACGAGTGTTTCTTCTCACGGCCATCCTTTGTGGGTGTATGTCACTGGCTGTGTTACCTGTAGAGTGGAAGAGGATTCCCGGCAAGAATGAGTCCAAGGGGGAACCGCACTCCCTGGATACTGAGACGGGGCATAGTAAGAAGGAGGTGAGAACGGAGGCATGAAGCTCACACTACCCATATTAGAAGATGTGAGAAATCGGTCTGTAACGTGAGGAGGGTCAACTGCCAGACTCATACCAGAATTGTTCCGCATCCTGATGCCGCGCACCGCCACTTACGCCACACCGCCGTGATCGATCTTGCGGGGAATCCTAGTCCCTTGGCGTTCTTGGCAGAAGATCATGACGACAGCGTGGCTCCGTCGTCATCCGCATTCGGCACGGCCAACCTGAGCGCGGCCTGCCACGCCTGCTCTCAGCTTTCCACTTCCAACTTTTCGTCTGTTTCCCGAAAGTCGTCAAACCTTCGTTCATCACTCGTGCCGTCCTTGCCAGACTCCCCGCGGCGATCGAGCCCAGCCTTGTCTCCGCCTTACGGATATGGCCCGATCTCTTCCGGTCCTGATTTGGCATGGGCGTTGCTTTGAAGGCGGGAACTTATGCTAAGATATGGTCAGCGCGTCTTTTCTGGGCATCTTAGTCGAAGGTCTATGCTTTCATGCCTGGCTGTGGCTGAAAGAGCTCCAGTCCAAAGGAAGGAGGCCGATACTTTAATTGGTCTTCCTGCGGTGAACAAGAGCTTCCTATCCCTTGCAGAGAATACATCTCGTCATCGATATCACGCCTACGATGTTGACTGGAGCATCCTTATGGGAGACAGCCGTGTGTGAGAATGTTGTGGTCCGATCACTGCTGAAGATGGTCCAATGCTCCAAGACATTGGCGTGCTCAGCGGGCCATGCTGCACCCTTGGAAGGTTCGAGTTACACGATACCAAGGCAGTGCTTGCGTGGCAGCAACCGACGAACCGGATCAAGACACACCCGCTTGTGGTGAGAAGCTGTCAAATGTCATCCGTGTGAAGAGGACAACCCCTCCAGACTGGCTCTCAAATACTGTTCACCGTGCTCCCGTCCAAGCAAGGTCTCTCTTTCCACTCCATCCATCCTCCGTTACTGACAAGCCAGCTTCCCACGACATCCCAGTATTGTCCCTCCTCATCGTCCACGATGTTGTTCAAATCGTTGGCCATCAGCGCCCTTGCGGCTGGAGCTCTTGCTCAGGATCTCACCACGTTACTGGCGAACACCACTGAACTGTCCAACCTAACTACATACCTTGGGCTGTTCCCCGATCTCGTCGGCCAGCTGTCGTCCAGCCAGAACATCACACTGCTTGCCCCTAACAACGAAGCCTTCTCCAGGTTTCTCAACTCTTCCGCGGGAGCGGCACTGGCCCAGAATGACACGGACCTCATTCAAGCTTTGTTCACCTACCACGTTCTTGAAGGCGCATACCCCAACTTCACCGACGTCCAGTTCATCCCGACCTTGCTACAACCACCTCAGTTTACCAATGTGACTGGAGGTCAAGTGGTGCAAGCAGTTCCTGGCGACAACTCAACGTCATTCTTCTCCGGGTTGCTCAACAACGCAAGCTCCACCGGCGCTCCACTTAACTACAGTGGCGGCGTTATTCACATCATCGACGAGGTGTTGATCATCCCACAAAACGTCTCGGAAACCGCGATTCAGGCCAACCTCACCGCTGTCGCAGGTGCCCTAACCAGTGCGGACCTTGTAGAGACAGTTGACTATCTGACCGACGTGACTGTCTTCGCTCCGAACAATGCCGCTTTCGAAGCTATTGGCTCGGCTCTCCCTAATCTCACCACAGAGGATCTGACCTCGATCTTGCAGTACCACGTCATCCAAGGCACCGTGGGCTACAGCAATCAGTTGCAGAACGGCAGTCTCATGACTGTCCAGGGCAACAACGTCACCATTGCCGTCGTCGACGGCGAGGTTTTTGTCAACAGTGCGCGCGTGGTCGTGGCCGATGTACTTGTCGCCAACGGCGTGGTCCATGTCATTGACAATGTCCTCAACCCGAACAACGCGACTGCTACTGCCGACCCCTCCCAAGAAACCGGCGCGCCTGCATTCAGCGGTGCCAGCTCGGCCAGTAGTGTGCCCTTCACCTCAAATGTTCCAACTCCCACCGCCAGCGCGGCGACTGAGTCCGCTCCCGGAGCTACTGGTGCATCGAGCAGCAGTTCTGCAGCTGCGATGCCAATGAAGACCGGCGCCGTGGGAGCTGCTGCTCTCTTCGGTGGCGCGGCCTTGGTCATGAACATGTAAAGGGGGGAAGAGGTCTGCAGGACGAAGAACGCAAGCACGAACTGCCATGATACGCGATGCGATAAGGTTGGCGTCACGCCCAGATGAGGGACCAAAGTGCGGGGACATTCGCTGACCTGGCCTTGGATCGTGCGTGGACGTACTGGGTACCGTGTAATGTGTACTGTTGTTCGTACTCGAAAGCCACCATGTAGTGAAAATGGAAATGCGATGTTAGCTCGATCTCGCGATGCGTCAGGCTCCTGACACTCTCATAGGATGATCTCTGTCGCAAGCGAAGTGAGCCCTGGATGAGCCCAACTTCGAGTGCGCGCCCAATCAAACCGGGCAGCGAGACTTTTCTATTTCCTGCCACCGCCTGCGCCTCGGCCACCAACGACATCATCGCATCGCAGCCAGGCCTCAATCGTCGCCCGAACCAAACCACAACGTGACACGACAACAAGGCATGGCTCGATCCGTCCGTGACTTTCTTGACTTGGCTTGAATTTCGTTCATGTTGGGATCTCAGACCTTCACTGCCTCTGCAACCGCTGTGACATGGTATTTGATCTTCGCCGCCTAAGCGCCGTGTCACTCCACAATTAACTGGCCTTGGGCGCAAATGACACCCACGGTCTAAGCGCCTTGAACGAGAACCACCTGCGGCCGCATCATGCACCTTTCCGTCCATAACCATGCCTTCCAAAGTACGAGATAGCAGCGCTGAGCGCAGGCGCGAGAAAAAGGAGTCGTCGCGCATCGACAAAGACAGAAGGGACCGGGACCGAGAAAGAACCAGAGACCGAGAAAAAGACAAAGACAAGGACCGAGAAAAACACCGACCAAGCCGCAAAGTGTCGACAAAGGAGAAGACATCCTCGAGAACCTCCATCTCACCCGTCGATGAGAAGAGACGCTCCTCGATGCCTGGGAAAATCGACGATGGCTCCCTCAAATCCGAGTCGAAGTCCAGCCTGCCGTATCCCTCGTTGTCCAAAGAGCATGCTCGCGAGACTCTGGGATTGAGCCATCGACCTAACCTGGTGAACCCCTTCACGCCTCCTGCGACCGATTTGAATGCCTCGAAAGACAAACTACCCTCCTCCAAGCCCTCCACGACCGCCAACAATGCCCCACCCAGTCCGCCCCTCACCGAGAAGCATTCGGGCACAGGGAAATGGAAGCCCAATGCAGGGAAGCCCGTATCGGTCGAGACGATACAAGAAGAGAAAGCCTCGCAGACCAATGGAGATTCCAAGACTACGCCCAAGGTACGGACAATGCCCAAAACAAGGGCGGAGAATGGGCACCTACGTAGTACCTCCGAACTTGGTACGAATAGTTCACCCACGAGAAAGCCTCGAGACACGCCGGGGTCGAACTTGAAGACCTCAACGCCGGTCTCGACGATTGTGCCTCAAAGATCAGTGAGTCAGCCGACGAGGACCGATTCGCCGGCCACCGCCACGAGCGCAACGAGCGCTACCGGCTCGGGCACGAATCTCAGCTCAGAAGCCACATCAATAGCCCCAGAACAGCCCAACATACAGCGACCTGGGTCAAAGATCCCTCCTGCAGCCATCTATCCAGATGGTCCTGCCATTATCCTTCCCCAATCGAGGGGTGTGACTCCTATGGAGGTATTTATCGAGGACGACGAGTCGGTGATAACAGGTACACCGGGCGGTGTCTCGCAGACTCCAGGACCTCCTCCACCACCCCCACCGCCCGTGCCAATCACTGTGCCCAAGGTCGACTACCTCCTGCAGCACGGTGGACTACATCACTCGGTACCGAAAAATCTCCTGCTCGCAGGTAAACCCATGGCAATACAGCAAGCTCAGTCTCCAGGGCAACAACCAATCGTGGTTGCGAATCTCTTCGAGCCTTACATCGGCCTTCTCGACGACTTCGAGAAGGTCATCTCCAAGAACGGCTCATTGGCCGTGGCGACGGGATATCGCTCCGTAGCTCGACGACTGCTCGATCGACTCGAAGCCGTTTTTGCACGTGATATCTCCTCTGAAGCCTGTCAATGTCCGATGTGCGAGTACGACGGGGCCGAGGACGTAAGGGGCGTCAGTTGGGGCGAAGTGCTGGAACTGGTCTCTGGGAGAAAGGACTGGCCGGCCTGGCCTCCCTTTACGTTTACTCAGTCGCCTGTCGGCCTCGGCATCTCACTCGAGCTACACGTCCCGATGCAGCAGCTCGATATCGACGTTCCGGAAGAGTATCGAGACCACTATATCCGACAGTCGCGGAAGACCAAGCAAAGCGTGGATAAGTGGCTGAACCGGCAAGGCGACAACCCGACCTCACCACCCGAGGAAGTGGACGACGAGACTCTGACATTCGCCATTCTGACCCATCTACCCGCTGAGCAGAGACCCATCTTCAAGGATCTGTTGGGCATCGTCGATCGACCTATCGAACCCCCGAAACGGGTGCCCACACCCGAACTGGAGAAGCAGAATGGTACGTCTCGCCCTCCCGTACCCACGCCAACACCGACACCGGGCCCCAGAGCGCGACAACCACATATTGCCGTCGCATTGCAGGCGATCCAGCGGCTATATCGCCTAAACTTCCAACCGCGAGACTCGGAAGCCGCGCTGTTCCTCCTGAACAACCCGTCTCTACACAACGCCCTGGCCACGCTCGCCGCAATTTCAAACGACGAATGGGACATTTTGATCTCCGGGCGCTTCGACGGGTTCTTGAGAAGCGGCGCCGAAGACGTCCCGCTGCCTGAACACCTCCCTCCGTCACGGGGTCCGACGCCCTACCGACCACCCACTCGGGGCACAACACCGGGCTATGGTCCTCCTCAGGTCAACGGCGCAGGCTACGGGTCCCGACAAGGCAGCTATTCCAGCGGATACGGGGCTCCCAGTGCGCAATACGGAGCACCAATCGCCTTTGACGAGGAAACCGAACTTGCCACGCTGGCCGAGATTGAAAGAGACATCTACGCGGGCATGGAAGCCCTCGAGGACGCGTTCGAAGCACTGCACAACAAGGCCGAGGTCGTGCGTCGGGCGTTGAGAGAACGCTCTGCCGGCCTTGCTGCCGCGGCGCAACGGAGGAGAGGTGCAATGGGCGGGGGCATCGAAGTCCGCATGAACACTCCCGCAAGTGGTATCCTGCCTACGGGAGAACACGGCTTCGGAAGATGGGACGCAGAAACCGACGATGGTCTAGGCGAATGGGAAGGACTAAGTGAGATTGCGCCGGACGACAGCGCGAGTAACATCTCGAGTTCGCGCAGACGGAGGCCAAAGAGGCGCAATGAACGGCGGACGCCGGCTTTGATCGAGGAGGAAGATGAGTTCGAGGACGGTGTGAGCGAGGGGACGGCAAGCCCGAAGAAGAGATGACCATTAGCACTTGCCCCGTTTGACGATCAGTAACGAGGATTTGAGGTTGACCCGGAGTTATCTTTGGTTCTTCTCACGCCTAGTCTAGTCCCGCTGCGTGCAGTGCATTTATTGGAGTACGAGGTACAGCATGTATGGGTTGGCTGGTGCGACTCCAGGCTCAGATCCCAGACCAGAGACCACAGACCACAGACGACAGCACCCGGATGGCCAACGTATGTAGTGGAGGTGTCGATAATACGTGTTGCAGCGAAATTGAGTTGGACCAGCTTGCGCTCAGTACTCGTACAGTAGAGAAGAGAAGTGGTACCTGGTAGATACCTTATTGCTGTCAATCACATACGACTTATGGAGTACAGGGGAAGTTTGACTCGATATGGTCTTTACTGAGGTGTGTGGGTGCGTAGGCGTCACGTGAGCCCGCAACACTCATACGGAGAAGCACTCGCCACTTGCGCAGTATTCAGGCCGTCCATTCCAGCGAGCTCGCCGGTTTGTTGCACTTCCGGCATTGCCACTTACATACCTGCTTAGTACTCCGTACGGTAGTTCACATCCCGAGCCTTCACCACTCACCTCTCGTGAACCCTAACGTCCTCGCGTCCAGCATCTCCATCGCCATGTCGAAAGCCTGCGTCCCGGCCGGACGTGCACACACTAGGTAGGTAGCTAGACGACCAACCCACGACACAACGCACCCAGGGATATCGATGTTGGGACTACGAGGACAGAACCTTGAGTGCGCAAAACATCCAGCAACTATCTGGCGGATTATGGCCCGTTCTTTTGCTGCCACATCACCTCCCTTGCCTTCTTGGTCACTCCATCTTACATCTGGATAATGGTTTGTATATCTAATATGGTATGGCGTCTGCCAGATCACCTCCCTTGCCTTCTTGGTCACTCCATCTCACACTGGGTGATGGTTTCATTTTGTATGTCGCATGTCACATGGCGCATGTCATATATTATGATGTACGGAGTACGTCCGGCAAGCGTGCCTGTCTGCTCTTGGCCATTACTCCATCTTTGTGATCTCTGTTCCCTCCGTGTCATCACCATCCATCGAGTCCGTCGCGACGCAACTTCTAATATGCCCTTGAGCTAATACCCTCGCGAAAGACCAGTTGAAAGAACAAGGCGACATCGTCTCGCTATTCTCACCGTCTCCGTTCAGTTGAGAAGAACAAAAACAAACAAAGGTACGTGAAGCTTCGCTCCCTCCCTCTATTTGAACCCATTCCGCCGCCGTTCAGCCCTTCTCTTCGCTTCGGCAACGCTGGCTGGGTCTCGGACCGCGTACATGAACACGCCCAGCGGGATGAGGAATGTGGAGAAGAAGCCGGCGAACTGGAGATGGTGCGTGGAAGCGGGCACGGCCGACGGTCTCCAGGCCCTGATGGCGTTCATTTTTGGTGTGGGAGAGATGTCGATATGATATCGGTGGCTGGTTGTGGTTGAGGTGTGGTCGGATATGATATAGGTGGCTTGTTGTTGGTTGAGGTGTAGTCGCTCGGTATGATCTATACGATCTTTATTAATCTGTATGTCCTGTACGATCTGTGGATCTATATGATGTGGGCTGCCGAATGATCGTGGATGATTGAGGATCGGTCAAGTGATATTGGAGTGCCTTGTGTGTTCTTTTTGTTGTGTTCGCTCTGTTCACTTTCTGTTTCGTTTGTGTGCCTTTCGTCTTTTCGGTTGGATGATTGGAAAGCTGGAAATGAAACGAAATGAAAACGAACATCGAGTTCAACGCCGAATATAAATGATCCGTTTCTGCATTCGAAGTGCGGTTGTATACCGTTTACAGTATATGGCCATGCCAGCCGGCCTTCAGAAGCCCTGCCTAAAGGATCTTACAGGAGAGCGTCACGTTACCGTGGTCTGATACCTGACGTGTACGGTACTGTAACCGTGGGCAAGTCATACCACCACCAACACAACCACACCACATCGCGCAATCGGACATAGTCCGCCACACCCCCAAATGTCATTCGATGAGTAACCTGACGTTACCTAGGTCTATAACCGGTGTGCATAATACGGTATGAAACGGTCCTTTACGCCCATCAGTTGCCGTGGTGGTGCGACTTCGACAATGCGATGACGACGAGGCCGGGCATCACCGGCAGCCAGGGATGAATACATGTGGTCAGAACTGGATGTTTACCGGGAGAACGAAGACTCGTGCCCAACTTGACAAGGACAAACAAAGTGGACTGTGGATGTTACTGCTAATTAGTTTTGCTTGAGCCAGGGACCGAGTTGAGTGGTGAGTACCAAGCGAGCGGATTGTCCTGTAGTATGTCTGAAGTACTCCATAAGTTGGCCCGACTTATGTAGGACACAGAACTACTTTTGCTCTAGCTATGCATTATGCCTTCGCGGCAGTCCCTTTCCTTCCGTTGATTTCCTTGCCAACGCCCAAGAGACGGGAGTATGTCGTGGCCTCATGTGCCTTCTACTCCGTCCCGCACTTTCTAAGCAGTGACTGCTGAGGTGCTTGGTGGGCACATAAGTTACTCGCTCGCTTCAATGAATGCCTTGCCCAGCACACCAGAGCATCAGGCCAGATGTACAGAACTGTTGATTCTGCACTCCGTTCAGTTCGCGTACATTATGCTTGCGTGCCGAGATGACCCTGGCTCGTCTGGGTAGTACATACCGGGTACATTTACCTACCTGGTATTGCCCAGGTGTATGACTTCACTTAGGGGTCCACAGCCTCGTCAACATCGATTCTCCATTACCGAGTACGAGGTACGGTCTCCGTACCAGTCACGGCTAGGACCTCGTCGGCTGGGCTAGGGCTGCAACCTGCAGTCATGGAATTCACATGCTTGGTGTTGCTTGAGATGGATTCCTGGCAGCTCGCAGCACCGAACACGACTGGGCAGGTCATTGAAGATATATTTCTCGCACGTAGACGCCATTGCGGCGCGTCCGCGTAGCAGTGGCGTTGACGATGCAATCGGCTGGATATCCCGTACGCATAATGCGATGGCAGTCTAATCATCCCTCACGAAACTGTGTATCAAACGGCCTCACCGATCTTGGCTCAGACAGAACTCCTTCAAACACGTCGCCAGTCTCTCTTCACCTTCCAAGGCCAAGCTGTGCCCGCACTCGTCAAATATCTCCGACCTGGTCACTGTTTCCGCAAACCTCAAAGCACACTCCTGTACCCGAGGACCAAAGAACTCCGGCGCACCGATCGTCATGACGGGCAGTGTCAACTTCTCTCGTGCCAGGCCGCGGTTGATCTCTGCATTCTTGAAACCTGCGCGATACGTCTCGAGAATACCCCTCAAACAGCCCGGCTGCTTCACACACTCAATCCAATGATCAAGAGCATGTGCCTCCACTGCTCCGGGGTCAAAGCACTCCTGCTTGATGAAATGCTCCCAGAACTCACGTTCATGACCCTGGATCAACATCTCTGGGACATGGGGGATGAAGAAAAACCCCAAGTGCCAGCACCAGACGCCTTGCTGGCGGAACTGGGCTGACACGTTCTCCGGCGTCCAAAACGAAGACTCCTCGAGCCCGAAGCCCGAGAGAAGCATTTCGCCAAATGAAAGGGAGAGGGCGCGGTCGCGGTACAGCGCGGCGAGGGCATAGGCATATTCGGCACCGCGGTCCTCGCCGTGCACGTGGTACTGCTGGTGGCCGAGCTGGGACATCAATTCGGCGATGTCATTGGCGTTGGTCCTGCAATCATACCCATCGGCCGTGGGCGGTTTGTCCGAATCTGGATCCCGGCCGCCATCAGTCTGGAATGAAGAAAACATCTGCCCGACAAATCCGAGAATGAGCAGAATCGGTACGTGACCTACATCCGAACCCCCGCAAGTCAGGCGCCACCAGGGTGAAGTGCTCCGTCAGTAAAGGGAACAACTTGTACCAGTAGTAGCTGTTCTTGGGCGTGCCGTGCAGGAGTACCAGTGCCGGTCCCTCGCCTGCCGTGATGTAGTACAGTCGGATGTCATTCACTCTGGCCCGCCCGCCCCTGACGGGGGCGCCGGTGTGATCAAGGACCTGAACCATTATGACTCAAGTTGCGGGAGAGGTACGTGTCTTGGACACTTTGAAGGGGAAGAACGAAATCGAACCCGGGGAGAGGGGAGGATATGCCCTCAAGCCTGAGCACAGCGCAAAGAGAAACTTCAAGGGCTGCGTGTGAACCCCGCTCGCGAAAGGGCAAGTGGCCTTTGACGATTGCATCACTGATTCCCTGTTCAGCGAACAGAGCAGAGCGCATCTAAACATGCATACCTGCGTGTTTCTCAAATGCTGTGTAGCCATGCGGAGGAGATCTACGATAGACGAGAGAGATTGGCCGTAGGAGGCAAGTACTCTGTATCTCCTTTACTGTGTACGTCGTTGCGTTCCAGCGCTTCGCTGGCTTTACTTGTACAATGCACTTGACGGCCGCCTATGGACGGCCGAATGGGCATGAACAACCCGACGGTCGTTGTTAATTTGTTCCCACTCCCTTCAGGGATTTGGTGACACCAATGGCTGTGACTCCGGATACTGTCTAGGCTGCGGCTCCTCTCGTCCCTGTGCTTAAATGGCACGTTGGTCTCCTCGCCACCAACAACCTTGCGAGTATGGCTATTCCAGCTGCCACGGAGGACGACAGTGCGGCCATCGAAGCCAGGACAGCGAATCAGGCGCAGTAAAGCTGTTGATAAGTGGGTTGGCGACGATGCAGAGAAGTCAGCTGGAGCCGAAGGACAGAGTGAAGGTTGAGCACCTGGTCGTGAACGATAACAAGTGAGGGGGATAGCGAGTATGGGATGGACAGAGAGTACGAGCTTGAGAAAGAGCAACGACATGCTGGGAAGGACCCGGAACTGCCGAGTTACCAGGCAGCCACTGGTAAGAGGTAGACCCTAGCTGGATGGATTGGTGACAACAGGCATCAGATTCGAGTGCTTGGATGTCTGCCCCCTTGACTGGTATCTTCATGTGTTCGAGTGCGCGGGAGCGAATTTTCGCTCGTGAGCGTACGTCGTTCTGTGTCGGACTGGCTCGCCCTTGTACAAAGTCCTGCTGCAATTGGCCCTCGCGAAGACCGGCCTTGAGGAGAAGCCTGTGAGTCGGGGCATGAGCGACGTATCCTAGCTCGTCGAACTGGAGGGATCTCTTGTACCCGACGGCACTATGCACAGCTGCAATGGAGATGGGAATGACTGTCGTTCCCAGCTTCCGCACAAAATGAGTAGCGCACTGCTGGCGCTGCTTTGTGCAATCATGCAATGCCCGTTCAGTACTGCGCACTTGTCGAGCCTTCGTTCCTTTCCACCAGCTCGCCCACCCCTAGGCCCCTCCCAACCTTCACCTTGACCATCTTCTCCGTGTTGCCAGCCTCACCGTTGGCCTCAGCCTCCTCACCCTTCTTGCCCAAACTGCCTACTCCTTCGCCCTCGTCTACGTCCTCCACCTCCGGCACGTGCTTGATCTGCAACGGCCGAAGATCCATTCTCATCGCATAAGCATCCTCCCCGTCGCCGTAATACTTGCTCTCCACCTTTTCCACCTCAAAGCGCAATGTATCCCGATAGAGATGCAACGCCGCTGTGTTGGACATCCTCACGTGCAAGCTGACATACTCGGCGTTGAACACTTCGGCCATGGCCCTCTGGCTCATCCTCATGAGTTTCTCCGCTATGCCCAGCCGGCGATGGGTGCGCATGACACTTAGACTGGTAATATGCCCATGCTGCACCCCATCAGCCGGCTCTTCTTCCATCTTTGCGAGCACGTAGCCGACCACTTTTGGATATTTGGGTGGTTTTGATCCGGGACCGCGCACGACGGCGACGAAGGAGAGTTGAGGCCATGTGAGGGCGTGGTAGATGTAGTACTTTAGAAAGTAATTCTCCGGGAGGTTGCTGAGGTTACATTGTTGGATCGAGGGGAGGAGGGAGATGTGCGAGGGATACGAGGAGACGGGGACGATGTCGACCATGTCGATGGGTCTCTAAGGACGGGCCAGAGATGACAAGGACAGAATGATGGCCGCAAATCTGGGTGATGCTGTGTATTCAGTGTTGGTCAATATCCGTGATATTGTTCTGTCAGATACCAAAAGTTGTGTGCGGATGTTCAAATGACGCGCATCTTCCGTGTCATTTCACTTCGGCCTTGCCCGAGGTTGGGTACATAATATTTTATCACTCGACGCTCAGCCCGCTCTGACTTCAAACTCACGCATCTCTCAGCCGTGACTGACTGGTTCTTACACAGTTAACTCATCATGCTATTGACATCTTCATGCCACCGTTTGCACAGATCACGCTTCCTGTCGTCCACCCACTCTCTTCAGAGCAAAGCATGCCAACCACTCCCGCGATCTCGTCTGTGAAAGCGGGCCTCTTTCCACCCATGCCCTTAAGCACGATATTATCATATTCTTCAGGATCACCGCCTGCACGAGCTCTAACACCATCATTGCCAGCCGTGTAGTTCATCAGCGGAGCACTGTCCACATACTTCTGGTTTGTCTTCCAGAAGGCTTCTCCTGCTTGGGAGTACATGTCTCCCCACACTGGCCCTGGGTTGATCGCATTGACTGTACAGTTCTCCGCCAGCTCCCTCGCCCATACTCGTGTCATTGCCTCCACAGCGGCCTTGGTGCCAGCATAAATCGACTGTGACTCGCACCCAATCGATGCGGATACACTCGACACATTCACGATCCGGCCAGAGCGATCCTTGGGAAGATAAGGTTGACACGCCTGCACCAGCAACAATGGCGCCAGTACGTTGACATTGTACTGTTGGTGAAATTGTGTCTCTTCGATTGGTCCCAAGTCCGGGTCGTTCAACAGCTTGTTTCCTGCTATGCCTGCGTTGTTGATAATGATGTCTACCTGGAATGTCCCCGTCCGCGGATGCGCGAAATGGTTCTTTGCGGTGGCTAGGATATGGGGAGCGGCTCGACTCGGATCCGCCAGGTCAGCTTGCACCGGAACGCAGAGGACGTCGTTGTCTTCGGAGAGTTCTTTGCAGAGGGCTTGAGTGGGTTCTGTAGACGAGTCGGAGGTGTAGACGAGGAGAAGAGAGCATCCTTTGGAGGCGAGATTGCGAGCTATGGCTGCCCCGATACCTGCAATGGATTAGAGGCGTGTAAAGAAAGGTGTCGATCTGGAGTCGCCATGTACCTCTTGAACCTCCGGTCACGATACCGACCTTGCCCTCGTGCGGGCGATACGCCATGCTCTTGGGCATGTTAGTCGAGGAGAAGACTCTCCGGGAAGGTGGTCGATCGGCCATGTTGTCGCTACTCAAGCTGATTGCGAGAAATGTGTCCTGGCAAGTACTCGTACTGAACTCTATGTACTCCGCAAGCCGTGCTTGCTGTTATTTTCTGGTCCAGAAGGTGGGATGTCAATGTAACGGGCGCGGGGAAATTTCAGGCGCGCGTCCGTGTCCGTGTCCGCCTGCGCTGCGCCTGCATGGCCTTTGCGGCGTCAAATGGCCCGCAATTGAGGACAGTTTCACATGAAACTGAGCAACGGTCTACCCTCCGAGGAAGTCGTCTGTTGCGGTCACCAGGGCAGCTCTATCAACGTCGATGGACTTTCTCAAATCTGCTGTCGCTTCTGCCATCGCCAAGTCCAGCTCCTTCCCCGTAACCATCGGAGATAGAGTCGACATCGGGGATTCCATATGGACGGTGCATAATGGCATCAAGAAGGTGCGGCGCGACTCCCGGTACGGCAAGCTGGTCCTTGATTGACATGAGTCCAGGACGACGGCTCCGCCTGCTGTGTGTTCAACTTCGACATCAATGCAAATAAGTCTCGCTTGCCCCTAGCGAAGAATGCAGCCCGGAAACTGCGAACCTTGCGACACCCGGGCGTCATACGAGTCATCGACGTGATCGAGAACGAGACCAACATATACATCATCACAGAAAAGGTCACTCCTCTTGGGTGGCATGTCAGGCGCAAGAGTTTGAGCGACGAGACCATAAAATGGGGGTTGTACAGTGTGTCCTCTACCCTCAAGTTTATCAACAACGATGCCTCTTCAGTGCATGGTGCTGTACGGGTGTCGTCAGTATTCACAAGTGAGAGCGGAGAGTGGAAGCTGGGAGGGTTTGAAATACTCAGCTCAATGAACGAGGACGACGCCATAATTTACAATTATGGAAGCCTGCTGCCAGACTCGAATCGATATGCGCCTCCCGAGGTGGTCAACAGCGGCTGGTCTGCCATCAAGAAGAATCCGCTGGGAGCGCCAGATGCTTACGGGCTCGGCGTGCTGATCTTCGAGGCGTTCAATGGGGGTTTCATGGGGAACGACCAGCTGGCACAACCCAGGAGTATACCTGGCGACATGGTGCCAAGTTACAGGCGGCTCATCAATGCCAATCCCAAGTTGAGGTCGAATGCTGGACAATTCGTCGATCTGGGCAAAAAGGCTGGAGGTTTCTTCGAGACTCCTCTCATTCATATCACAGAAGGAGCAGACAGCCTAGGCCTGAAGAATGAACAGGAAAGGGACGAGTTCCTCGGGTAAGTGCCATGATCAGTTCTGGAATCTTGTAACTGATGCGGTTGTAGGGAGCTTGAGAGTCTTACAGATGACTTTCCAGAAGACTTTTTCAAGATGAAGATCCTCCCGGAGCTGCTGAAGTCAGTCGAATTCGGGGGCGGAGGCCCCAGCGTCTTCGGTGCCATCATGAAGATCGGCCTCAAAATGTCTGACGACGAGTTCGAATCACGGCTTGGGCCTGTCATCATTCGCTTGTTCAACAGTCCCGATCGAGCCATGAGGGTATGCTTGCTCGACAACTTGCCCCTCATGATAGATCGCATACCGCAGAAGGACGTAAATGGCAAAATATGGCCTGCGATGACTGGCGGTTTTACTGATGGCGCTCCGATCGTGCGAGAGCAGACAGTGAAAGCTGTTCTCTCCGTGATCTCCAAGCTATCAGATCGAGTTATCAACGGAGAACTTTTACGATTGCTTGCCAAAACTGCAAATGACGAGCAACCTGGCATTCGGACCAACACTACGATCTGCTTGGGAAAGATTGCCAGGAATCTTGGTGTCGGATCGAGATCCAAGGTATTGATCGCAGCTTTCGGACGATCACTTAGAGACCCTTTCGTGCACGCCCGGAGTGCAGCTTTGCAGGCGCTGAATGCAACCATTGACGTCTTCAGTGACGATGATTGTGCCACCAAGCTCTTACCCGCGATATGTGTTAGCCTGGTCGACAAGGAGAAGTTGGTCCGCGATCAGGCGAACAAAACCGTAGACACCTACCTAAACAAGGTCCGCAAGTATGCGGCGACCATGCCTGAGACTGCTCTGCCGCCGGAACAAGGACCAGGAACCACCACTTCCGCTTCCGCTGCTCCAGCAAGAATAGGCAACCAGAGCGATACAACTTGGGCTGGCTGGGCGATTTCTTCATTCACAAACAAGATGGCTGGCGCGAAAGGAGAGATGGCCCCTGCCGCTACAGCAAACGGGGCCCCTCTGCTGCAAACACAATCATTGCCAACGTCCGGACGAACAACTCCGACCATCAATGTCATCCGCGAGAAATCGACCGCAACTTCCTCGAGGCTGCCGACTTCGCAAACAACAAGCATGCCAATACCACCTCCAGAGCAGGCCGAAGATGCCTGGGAAGAGGAAGGTGACACTTTGGACGCATGGGGCACCATGGACGACGAAGGAGATAGCTTCTTCGACGCACCTTCCGCCACAAAATCGTCAACCCCTGAGCCCGCCGCCGCCTTCGATGATGGTGGTGAGCCGGATTTTGCTGGGTGGCTGGCAGCGCAATCAAAGGCAAAGTCGCAAAAAGCACTGCCGAAAGGTCTAGCTAAGTCAACAAACGCAGCCTCGACTTTGAATGTTCGTCCGATCGCTCCTGCCAGAAGCGCATCGGCTGGTGTTGGAGCTACGAGCGCCAGCTCCAAGAGACCGGCCGTCACAAATACCAAAACCACAGCACCTGTGACTGCCAAGAAGGAGATCAAGAAAGAGATTTCCAAGCCCAAAGAACCTTCCGTCAACGACGATGACTGGGGTGAAGCTTGGGACTGAGTTGAGGGAGCATCGAGCGACAACGCCTCGACTAGATATTGTGGATGAAGCAAAGGCATCGGGAGCCTCAATGCACAACCGACGGCCTTTGCAGACATGTCTGGTAGAGTTCTACCAGTGTGGCTCACAATTTGCTAATGGCACACAAGGTGGTTCGTCCGCGACCGGACTTGCCTCCAGAGATAAAACACGGCGACCTTGGGCAGCCCGGGCGTTTGGACTGATAACAGGAGTGAAACAGACCTCCACAGTGCGCTTGATTGCACCAAACAAAGACAACCGTTTAAATACTGCTTGCTAACCTGCAACGGCTTCGGTGGCTCGACAACTACAACACCTGTCAGCAAATGAACGAAACAGCACAGGACCATGTCACTACTCCCGTATTGGTTGGGACTTCGTCCCATGACCTACACATCGTACGTCAAGATCAGAGGTGGTGGAAACAGAACATCACCGACTCCCTCGACCTATGTTGACGAGTCTGGTGAATCCGAATCCTCTGGTTCTACCATGGAAGTCTATTGCAGCCAAACCATTGAAGGGCCAGAAGTGGCCTCACGTAGTGGATATGCACAAGCACTTGAGGATCTCGACACTCCACCAGTGGATCTGTTTGAGGAGCCCAACCCACACGTCGTACGCAGAGACCTCCATATCCAAGCAGCACGACAAAATCGGATACGCGTGGAAGGACTACGGGACCAGGCCGTGCTGAAGGCCAAAGAAGCCATTGACGAGCCTATGGTTACTGGCTCGCAAGCGGTTCCCCAGCGACCGTCGAATATGAAGAAGAGACGGAACAAAGGCGGGACGAAGCAGAGAAGCCAAGACACTCATGACCCTGCCCTTTCCCCACGTTCCCTTGACCCTCCTCTGCCACGAGGAGCGCTTGATGAACAGCAGCAGCACGCTCGTCAAGTGAGAGGTCTCCAAGTTCCACCCTCCCCGTCAAAATCATGTCCAGTTGGTGGTCGAAGACAGGCACGTCAACACGAACGACGCAGAGTAATGACCCACGCGAAGGACCGGGGACACCACAGATCCTTTGCTCCGCCGGCACCAACGCCACCTCCCGCCACTAAGCCGAGTACTCCGGATCCGATCCCCAGTGCTAGAGCACCCGACGCATCATCTCCTTTAGTTACAGGTGGACCTTCATCCTTGTCGTTCTCTCGCACGCCATTAACCCGAGGCATCTACGGCACCAGACATACCGACCAATCTACTTTGACGTTCCCGACATCTCCACTCAGACCATTTAGGCCGCACCTCCCTCCACAGGGCCCATCATCATCCCCCCCTCGTAAATCGCATATGGATACAGCCGAATCCGAAGAACGTGACGCTCGTGGGCGCAGAAGCCAAGCCCCAAGCCCAACACCGCAGCACCAGCAATTGCAAGAGGCAGGGCCGCTCCCCCAGCAGCAGAAGGAGAAGAAGGTCGAACAAGCGTCCGCCGAAACCAACGTAATGAACGATCCAGATCTCGAGGATGTCTGCTGGGAGGTTAATTTTCTCAGGACGGTCGTGATGCGGTGGCTCGGTATTGACTCTTCACACTATAGGGGATGGTTGGAGGATGAAGCAAGGCAGTCGAATCAGGGAGGAAGAGGGACATGATAAACTTTCCGCGTTGGGCGATAATGGTGTGGGGATGATGAGCTCCAGAGCTTGTGTTGAGGCGAGCGAGCGACGGCGACGGCGACGACGACACAGAGCTCCTGCTGTAATTTGAGACGGTAATGATGATGGTGATGGTGATTGTGGCGGTGGTGGTGGTAATGGCAAGACTGGAATCCTTGCACTTAGCAGATCGAGTACTGTGACTATAGCTACGGTAGCTAGCCAGAATGCTGCTGTAGCTCGTTGGCTTAGATTTCCTTGCTCACGGTTCGTCATGTGCGCTCGTTGCGGTAATACTTCAGCACACTCTCACACATGATACAGTATGTATGGTGTATATCCCGTTCTGGGTTCCCGAGGTCAGTTTGAGCCTAGAGCACCATTCCGGCCGAGATGTATACTTCCAGACCCGGAAGTAAATGAGTGTGTCCGTTATCAGCTTCAAAGCTTTATGCCATTCTAAACGATGATTCCGATTTTCCAATAAAAATCGGTCGTCAGGCCATACATCATATTACGGGGCCCCCCCACTGTTCGTGGACATGGCATCCCCCAAACTCTGTCCCTTCCCACGATACTGACATCACGGGCTCATCGTAAATCGAGGTGTAAAGATCCAGTCGCCTTGGTTCTTCGTCCTGCGTCCTCGGTAACCCCGACCATAGACTCAGAAAGACACCCACTCCTGCGTCCAGACCAAGCCACCCGTTCCACTCTCGTTCCATCGATCCTCGCCGGTCCATAGGCCCGTGCCTCGGACGCGTCCGCCCTTGCCCTCCCTGTCCGCGTGGCAATACCGCAGCAAGACCTTCCTCTCGTCCAAAAAGAACGTAATGTCCACCCACTTGGGCTCCAGCTCGTCCGACACCGCCCCACACGCCGTGACGGCGTGCTCTTCGATCGACGAGAGCTTCTCCGCAATGGTGTACACGCCCAACGTGTCCCAGACGTGGTGCTGGATCTCGCTCTTGCTCAGCAGCGACGTGACCTGGTGGCGCACCTTGGTGGACCGACAGCGCGTGGCGCCGAGGTACAGGGGCGGGCCGATCCCGCTGTCCACGCTCATCGAGTGTTCGTCGTGGGCGAAGAAGCTGGCGCGGTTGAAGATGGTTTCGCTGAGGATGAGCAGGCGGGCGAAGTGCGCGTTCAGTGCCTCCTTGCGCTCCGCGTAGTTGCGGCAGCTGCGGTGGCAGTCGCACGTCTCTGGGGGGTCGCAGAGCGGGACGATCACGGCGCCCGTGTCGGGCGAGTGGAATGCCATTTGGGTGAGGAGCAGGAGGTACGCGGCTTCGCGGTAGGCCTTGAGCAGTTGTGCGGGGTGTCGGTCTTGCGGGTTCGCCCGGGAGGCTTCGGTCTTGCTGTACTCTGCGTAGGCCATGCTCCATCGCAGGAGGCGTACAATGTGGGTCTGGTGCCTGTTCCACCCCAAACCCATTAGGGAGCCCTCTTCGAGGAGCGACCACGTGTGCCAGATCCATTTCGCTTCGGTGAAGAGCACATCTCGGGCCTGGGAGAGGGAGGAGAATGCGTGGGGGATTTTGTACGGATTGGGATCGGGAACTTCTGACTGATAGTCATCCGTTTGCGAGAGCGGCGTCAGATATGCCTCCTGAATGGAAGGTTCTGGGTCGCTGAGAATCGTCGCCAGCCCGCCAAATAAGCGGACGGATTCTAGCTCGAGCTTCAGGAACAGCCGCCGTAGGCTTTCGTAGCCGATATCCACGGCACGGTACTGCGTGTCTTTGTAGGTCGTGCGCATACTTCGGTTCAAGAGCCCTTTCAAGGCGTTCGTCATATGCAATTGCGCTGCATCGTAGTTCCCCTGGAAGGTCTCGAATATGCTGAACAACTTCATTACGATCATGTTGATTTCCGCGGCATTCGGGTGCGAAACCATGTCGTCTGACAATTTTCGCAACGCCTTCTGGTATAACTTGTCGGAAATGTCGCAGTATTCGAATGCTTCGCGCGAGATACCGAGCTCGAACCGTCGATGAACAGCACCCACCGCTGCTGCTGCCGCGGCGACGGTGGGATGCTGAAAGCATGCTCGTACAATATACGTCCGCCATACCGAGCTGTCGAAATATGCCGCAAACTCAGGACCCGTCCTTGAACGAAAGAAGTCGAAGCAGTAGAAATCGTTGTCTGTGTCAAATCGGAGGTTGGATAGTAGGGGATAGATCTTGTTGCTAGATGAAGCGTTCTTGTTCTTTGTTACCGCAGGAATGGCGACCTTGTTAGCGGAGATTTTGACGCGCTTTGCGCCAGGTTCGGAGAGCGAGGGTGAGGACCCTTCCGAAGTGGACGTCTCGGGGGTAGGTTGAGGGCCGTATCCATCGCATTTCCGACCAGTACTGGTACAGCGCCGACCTGATGAGTTCAGATTTCGTTAGCTTCTCGCAATCTCAACAGAACTGAATGATTGCGTCAAAGACGAGGAGGGCCGACGGTGGATCGGGGAACTAACAGAAGGGCCTTTCCTCGTCACATTTCTTTCTTCTGATCCTAAAGCGCCATGAGTACCGGAGCACGTGCGTCCTTCCAGATCCCGCAACTTACTTGCACGTTATGCACCCCGTTCTGACTTTGTGGTGAGTCTTTCGTGTCTTCTTTTGTTTCTCCATGATCGGGAGATTCTCAGTCACTGCGGTTGCACTCATGTCGGTCGATATCTCGTACATGTTTCTCAAAAATAGACAGATCGTCGAGGATGCAAGCTCAGATGCGGGGCGAGAAAGTATATGTATGTAGTCGTATGCGATGCGGCCACCTTTTTACCGAATACGTGCATGGAGTTCCTGACGTCTGTGGTCCATGGCGACGATTCTCCCATGTCGCTCTGGAGTGCCTGGCTAAGACCGCAACCCGCCGTGTGATTGGCCTGGGCGTACCTTTGGACCAGTTGAGGGCGTTGCTGACATGAACGACCAGGCAGCTCCAGGCAGCGAAGCCTTCTGGAAGCTCTCAGATTGGTTCCAGCGACCTCGGATATCCATGACCGAGCCTGGCCGCTTTGCTGACTCCGCTGCATGCTCTGATCTGACCCTGATGTTGGCATCAGATTCGCCAGTTTAAAAGCAACTTTGCGGCCAGCATCGGATATCGCATTGGCGATGGAAAGCCGATCAGACGAGAATGGAAGTTCAGGGTAGAATACCGTCACCACAGTATGGAGTGTTTCCTTTGTTGCTTGATGTTGATTTTAAAATGGTGATTCCTTCATTGTTCTCCCACTCTCAGGCAAAGAGCATAACACACGCACATTTCGTCCGGCAGAAATTCGTGTCCATGGCCTTGGTAAGCTCGAACAACAATGGTACGACCGACCAGAGTACAACAGTAGCGCAGCTACGCAGGTGTGAACAGGTGATGGACAGGTGATGGACAGGTGAATGAGCGGTAAGCGGCAAGTGACACGCTCGGAAATGCGTCGGTATCGGTGTCGGCATCGGCCTCAGCAAGCTGCGGCAGCCGCCCTATTCCCTACAGTACAGTAGTTAAGAGGAGCGGCCTCCGGGCCCTTCAGGCGCTTGGCCAACGGTAAAACGCCCCCGGAGCCCCGCAAGACCCAGAAATTACTCCATTGTGCCCATCAACATGGACGCATCACCACAACCCCGCGCGTACGTCGTACAAAATATATCTCGGGGACACAGAACACAGCACACAGGACAGTAGCGACAACTCATTCTACTCTGACATCAGACACAGAGCGACCTATTTTCCGCCTCTTCGACCGAGAACCAGTCTCCCTCCGTCTCCTAGCACCACCATGGCGAAGCTGACACCCTCGAACAATCTCGCCTACACCGCGCCAATCAACCCTCCCTCCGTAGAACCCAAACTCACGATTGCGCAAATCTGGCGCGGTCTGGAGCTCAAGATCCGCGCAGGTCAGGACTTTGTCGGCGGCGCTTTGCTCTCCACGGACATCATCTCCGAGTCACAAGACGACCAAGGGCGTCCCGTCACTGTACGCGAAGTCGTCTTTCGAGACGGCAATCGACGGGTGCGGGAGACGTGCATAGGTTTCGAGCCCATGAAGGTCGAGTTCCACCAGCCCGATGGGTCCAAGGTGCAGAATGTGATTTCTCAGGGCGCGGGGGAGGAAGGTGTCGACCTGTACATGACATATACGTTCGAGTGGCTGCATCCGGAGTGTGAGGGCGAGGCGGGCAAAAAGCAGTTAGAGGAGAAGAGACAAAAGGAGACGAAGATTGCGAAGATGGCTGTGGAAGAAACGATCAGGATCATGAGGGAGATGGTCAAGGATGGGAGGATCAAGTGAGGCGAGCAGATGTGCCCGGTCACTGGGTTTACCGACACTGGTGAGACTTTTATTCGTACGGCTTCTTGCGACGATGGCAACACGACTGATGAAGCGGCAATGATACAGGCACAAGCTGTCGTATGCTGCAGTATGCCCAATTGCTTTAGCATTGTCTCGAGGCATCTACAACTGTACAGTAAGTATCATTCGGACTGCTAGCTGCTTTCATGACACAGCGAGGTCGCCTCATCACTCCACTGTCTGTGCATACTTGACTGAGTCTCTCTACGTTGTTGTGTCTCTTGAGTTGTCTTTATTTAGCAGTCGAGATAACGTTGCTGTATCGTTGTCTTGGCTGCGACTGGAAGCAACAAGGCGACTTGCGCAACGTCTACAGTGATCGCATGCCTGGCATCCCGCCATCGATCGATTCCCTCGACCCGGCTGTATGACGCCCACCTCAGGGGAAACATGATGAGGACTGCCAACAAGAAACTACAAACCGCGCTCCATTCTGCTCAGCATGCCTACCAACTCATAGGACTCATGGACGAAGCTACGAAGCGTTTGAGGAGGTTGCATCAGGACAAGAAAGCATTAACATCAGTCTTGGGACTATCGTCCAGACAGAACCCAGAGTCAGAAGAGCATATGAAGCTATGTACTTCTCTTGTGAGTTCTCTTGCTGACATTTCTACTCGAGCTATGTTACTCCGGTTCGCTGTTCTGCAATCCCTAATCTCGCCACGGCCTTGCTTGTCCTTGATGTTTCAACTCGAAATCTACTCCCGAAACCAGAAGGAAGTGGCCAGTACTCGAGCTCATGTCGGGAGTTACGACAGAACAATTGCCGCAGCCGCAGCTATTCATTTCTTCTCACCGACGAGAGCATCTAACACATTAGCCATAGCTGCGCAGCGAATTGATTCTTCTTCTGATTCAGGAGCCTCATGTCCTTCACTCGACGCTCAATATTGACGAACCGAAAGCTCTCCTTGCTGGTGAAGAATAGTCCTTGGACGACATCACCATCAACCTATTCACGACAATGGCACAAGCAGTCAGTTTGGCCTTCACTAACACTGTCTGCGCGTGTCACTGCCCATCTCTTGCGCCTATATATCTTATTAGGAAGCACTGACACACAGACGCTTTCTCGTTCGCTCTCATGAACGATTCAGTAACATCCGTCAGAGAGTCCGTTCGATCTCAGAGTTCAGAGGACGACAGCAAACGGCGGAGTACCCGAGGACAATTGATATTGAACAAACCTTTCTGCATATATCCCTACCATGGGCAACACTCAGTCTGGATACTCCGAGATTCGTCGCGGCAATGGCTTCTACCAATCTGGCTGGCGAAGTGGTGTTGACCGTCCCCGGTACATTCGCGGCGATGCCGGTTATACATTTGTTCGACACGGACCTCCATTCGGCCGCAGCAGTTACGACCCCTATCACCCTTCTCGACGCCGGTACGACGACATGTTCGACCGCGACGATGGCAATTCCCGCAGACGTGGTCGACACGGTAGGTCCTCTGCACATGTGCCAGCTCGAGCACCGATGCCACCGAATTGGAACGATCGTGAATACGCAGGGGGGTATAACCCCTTTTACTCGGGACGGCGACCAGATCGACGACACTACCGTACTGAGTCCAGCTTCTTTCCAGACCTTCCTCCGCGTGCACCACGAGGGGTCTTCCTGAGCCCACATGAGAGGTATGGTCCTTTCATGAGCAGCGGTCGGGTTCGGGGTCGGTGATCTTGGTGGGAAGGGTTCGACCTTGGAGCTGCAGACGGCTTCGGCTTTGCACCGCAGACGCGCCGGATGCGGCCGGACTTGCTCCTGCGAATCGGAGAGAAAGGAAGATTGAATTTTCATGGCCGTGGCCAGCAAGACTAGAGATGCGGTAGTGCAAGGTGCAAGAGGCGCTGTGGTGGAAGTGCCGCCATTAAACAAAGAAAGGTATCGCCCGCCAGAGGATGTCAGTGGACAGTGGACATTAAATATCTGCAACTCCCATTGACCTCCTTTATCCATGCCATACTCCCCTGGCTTTGCGTGTTGGGTCCCATGGGAGATTAAGACCGGGCCATAATTGAGATGGTGCCAGTGGAAAATGAACAGTAACAATCCGACCCCGTTTTTGTGTGCTTGATCTAATGTGAAGTGATTCCCATAACATTATTTACTAGGTCATTGGCTTTCACTATCCACCTGACTGGATACAGGAATCTTTGGTGTCCCAGCCAGCCATCACACGGAGGAAGATGACCGCCAAACCGAAACCCGTGGTTTCATCGAGTTGTGTAAGCGTAAACAAAGCCGTAATGACCAAGTCGGTAATCATAATCATTCTCGGTACTTCCCGGGAGCGACGCGGGCAAGATTGGGCGCCGTCGGCGATCATCACTCCCAGTGCCTTTGGGTAAGAGATACGGTACTCCGTACCTTGGAGAGGATGCCGTGTCTAGAGGCTCTTCAAGATCCAAAATCATCGCGTTCTGGTCTGCTTTGTTCAGTGTCGAGAAAACTGCCCACTGGGCACATTTCCTTCACTCTCTCAGTGGAATACGTCCAAGGAACTACCATCCCCCCAAGCGACTCGAAGGTCTCTCTGTTCCGACAGTTTCTGGTCCTTGTACCACAACTCGAACTTGACGTCGGCAGGGTCGATCTTGACGCGGATCTCGTACTTGGCCACGAGATGGGTCTTCCCTTTCTCGAACCAGCCCTTCTTCTTCCTGTCGAACTGGTCGACGTACCGGCGCATGTCGGACTCGATGACGCAGAAGGGCTCGCATCCCGGCTGCGACGTGCTGTGCGGCAGCTTGGCCGGGTCCAGGTCCGAGGCGACCATGCGGGAGAGCCACTGTTCCTCCTCGTCCGGCGTCGTGTCCGGGTCGATGAAATGCACGCCGGGGATCTTGATGCAGTCGGTCGTCGTCAGTTTCTGGCCGCTCTTGATCACCCAGGTGATCTGGTTGCGCGCCCACGTCTTGCCCGTCAGTTGGCTGATCTCGTCCTTCTGGCCCACCTTGTCTTGGAGGAGGTGCTCGTTGGGGTCGAAGACCTTCATGCCCACGATGCCGTAGCTGCGGCGGCTGATCCAGTTCTGGAGCACTTTCGTCGTCAACGACGACGACGGGGGTTCATTCTTGGACACGGTGCAGGGCATCTCGTTGGCCACGAGCCCGCGAGCCACCACCTGTTGCGGGTCGGTGGCTTTGAGAATGGTCATGCCTCGCAGGCACGGACGCGACTTGTTGCAATACCGCTCCTCGAGCTTCTCCTTGACGTACGACGAGCTGCCCAGCCCGCCCGAGAGGACGATGTGTTTCACTGACCGGCCCTTGGTGCGCTGGAGTTGTTCCATGCTCCGGAATTGCCGGTCCAGAGTCTGATAGATCTTGTCGAGGCGAGCGTCAAACAGGGCGGCCATGCTTACGGGGTCGTATTTGAGGCCTTGTCTCTCCACGTCGGCGGGCCCGTGCGAGAAGTTGCGTGCCAGGTCATCGACGGGGATTTTGAATGGGACGTTCAGCCTCTTGCTGCTCGTAGAGAGGCTGCATTTGTTCGTCTGAAACTTGCGACTGGCTGCCATCCTCTTCGCGGCTGTTCGGACGTCGGGGATCTTTCCCGGGTGGTCTCTGTTTATGATTTCGAGTTTCTGCACCGCGTAGTCCTCAAAGTCCTGGTCGATCAGCGTCGACCCGGCCGCCACCCCGTCCACGCGGTCCAGCTGCTCAAGCCGCAGGGGTTCGTTTTCATCGGACGCGACTTCCAGCAGCGCGATGTCTGTGGTGCCGCCGCCAGCGTCGACAACGAGGATGATCTGGCCTTTCTTGAGAGTCGATTTTCTTTCGTGTGCCGTCCCGACTGCTGCTGCCTGGGCCTCCGTCAAGGTCACCTCGGCACTATGACCGCGCATGCTGCCATCGGCAAAGCCGGCCTTCTTGATGATCCTCTTGAAGCATTCCACCACCTCAGGGCTCCAAGTCGTGGGCACGCTGAACACGAACCGGACGGGGCCCTGCCATAGCTCGGGTCTCGTATCTGTGAACCTCGACTTGATGTGTTCGTATATCTTGCTCAGGTAGTCCTGGAACCAGTGCTGGACATCTTTGTGACTCGTGTCGCTGACATATTCAGGAGACTGGGCTCGGAGAACTTTTTCGTCCAGAAAAAGCTTGAAGAACTCTCGGATGGACTTGTCGGGAGCGTAGCGTTCCTCGTCGTCCAGGGCGAGTAAGCCCCAGGACGAGAGTTTCTGACCTCTGGATGACCCAGGCCGCCCTCGACCTTGCTTGCTTGATTCGTATACGAGAAGGGTGGGCACCTTTTGATGCACCTCCGACGGGGCTGATCCCGGCCAGTCTTGATACAATGGCTGGGGCGGCTGATCTTCTTCGCATGACCACGCTACTCCTGAGACCAGAGTTAGCAGCTGCATAACCTGACCACGTGGCTGGGAGGGAGGAAATACCTGTAAAGGTCATGCCAAAGTCGACGGCAACGACAAGCCTCTGTTTCGGCATGTTTGCTGGGCTGAGAGGATGGAGGTCGTCAGGGCCACATCTAAGTGGTAAGTGGTGATAGGTGCCAGCATTTATAGAAGATTGGTTGAATGTTCATGCTGTTCTCTGAGTGGAAACAGGTCACCACACTCTAGAGCGTGGCTGTTGATGCCTGAAAAGGCAGGCTTGCACGGCCTTCGAGGGCCTGGTTCGCATTGAACCATCGACCAATGAGACAGGAAAATGCACCAATTCAGGCAGCCGGCGCAGCATGCACAATGCCTTGTAAGGCAGAAAACGGGTTGTCGGAGGCACTTTGGTTAGCTGAACAACTCCCACGGATTGAAATCTGCCTGGATGGCAAAAGTCCTCCGAAATGGACAAAGTATTTGAGTCATCGCAGAGCCGTGGTGTCGTCTTTCAAAGTTCGAGTGTTCGTCGCATTCGGACGCTGTTCACCGTTTCCTACGATCACGATGTCGTATGTCCGTTCTGGCGAAGGCGTGAACGGGCCAGCCCTGGCTCACCGGTCAGGCCGACCCCAGCAGGAGTCGCATGGCCTGCTGTCACGATGGTTCTCGTTCAGGGGACCCGAGCAGGTCACCAGCACATCGCAGCCTCGACCGGACAGACCGACATACAATATCGCGGACTACTTGCCTCCCCCTCTCGAGGACCGTACAATTCAGAAAATCGTCGACGAGGTCAAAGAACACCTTCACAACCACGTAGAGTTCTTCTATATCAGCTCGGCATCAGACACGAGTACCGCACACACACATACGCCAGGCGAAGCGCCCGGGTCGAGCCAGTATGACCCACCGGAGCCGCCCGCGGCCACGTACGACATCAGCATCAGGGCAGAGGTCAAGAGAGTGATTGCAACCAGGGTAATCAGGGGGATCCAGCCGTTCGATTACTCAGACGAGGCAGGATCTCTTCTGCCGCACGAGATCAGTGATTTCTTGGCTCGCGTACCGAATCCAGCACTCGTCAAGAATGATCCGGGTAGGTGATTCTTGCATCGCTGTTTCGACCGCAGCTGACCGACGAGCAGTGTACGCCAGTATTTCAAGCCAATGGCGGGTGTTCGGTTGGTACATGCTCAGCCATCCCGAAATCAGGGAGGACAATGAAAGGGTCTTTGAGAGGCGACTTGAACGAGAAGTCCAGAGCTTGATCCTGAACCTCGAAGAGCAGCTGCAGCCGTACGTTGACAAGTCAAAGGCTGAAGAGGCGCGAAAGGAGCACTTGGCACAGCTTGTCCGTCTCGTCGCTGGGCTTGGAAGAACCCTCTCAGCACAACCCGCATCTTACGACTTCGCCTGGGACTATGTGCCGGACGACCTCGATGAGCCGGACTCGGAGCCTCAAGAGACTCGCAAGGACCGTCGCGGTAAGAGTCGCGCCACGGACGAGGGACGCCGGAGCAGGCCAAGGGCGTACTATGAGTATGACATCCGGGTCATCTTTCCCGCCCTCCTTAAGAAGAACAACTCGCCAGGCCCAAAGTCACACCGCCGAATATGTGTATGCGAACCAGAGCTGGAAAAGCTCCAGATCAAGCCCTTGAAAAGAAGGACGACAGGCCAGGTGCCCGCGAGGGTTGCAGATAGATAGTACAGTAGATTGTCACTGTGTCGGTGTGGGCACAGCGGAAGGATCTCTCGACCGGCTCCTTCTGCGCATGTCTTCCGACCTTCTGCGGTTGAACTCTTCCCCTAACCAGGATAGACCTCCTTGGGGACCGCCTCTGGGAGCTTCGGGGGTAGTGTTTACGTTCTTGTTGTGCGTATGGTTGTTGCGAGCGAACAACTCCCCCAGCCAGGGCATGGTGTTTGATGTGGGCTCGTCGCGCGGCCCATCGAACGAGATGTCATGATTCTGGATGGTTTCTTCATCAATATGTGTGTTGTCGTCGTCATCGCTGTGAGCTGTGGCTGTCGAGCTGGCCTGGTGGCCGCTCGCAACAGATTCGAGGATCCCGATCTCTCGTGAAACCTCTGCATGGCTCATGTACACCCTGGGCATGTAGAGCTTGATGGAATCATTGTCTCTCAAGGTCCACAAGATCCGCCGGTATATAGTCACTGTCCCAAATCTTTCCACGTCGTCTAGGCTCTGCTGGTTGGGTTCGGCGACTGCTAAGATAGCCTCTCTTGCTTCGACCATCACCCTCTGGACTCTCGACTTGCGGCGTGCATCCAATTGCGGCCACGTCGACCGTGCAAGGATGCACAGGTCGTCCAGCTCGCGTTCGAACTGCTCGAGGTATTTCTGCGCTTCACGAGACTCGGCCGAGACCGCGATCAGCCTGAAGGCATAATCGATGATTTTCTTGCCGGCGGTAAGGACACTCGTTGGATCTGTCATCGGAGGTACAGCACGGAGGGATGATCTGCTCTCTGGACGAGTTTCGTTGGCCCTAGAGTCGACCTCTGAGTCGAGTCCAGCCGCATGCCAGCACGAGCTGGACAGCCCAAGGGAAGATGAGGCTCCGAAGCAACGACGAGCAGCCGGTTCCGTCATCACTTGCAGAGACTCGACGCAGCTCGGCTACGATCGGCATGTCGACTCTAGGCTCAAGCCAACCACCGCTATCTCGTGCTCTGCCGTCTTGTGACTTCTGTCGCTTGCCGTGGGCTGATTCCAGGCTGCCAAAGGGCAACACCACGGCACTTTCGTCGGTTCGCATGTATGTTCAAGGATTTCATACCCAGAACTGACATTGGCAGAACCACCTCGACTGCCAAATTGGAGCAAATTATCCGCAAGCTGTTGCCTTCTCTAGGCATATGTCCGGTGATAGCAGAATTGTTGGCCACGGTAGACTCGCTCCTTTGCCTCTTAGGGCTTTCTCGCTACCATTCTGGTTCGGACTGGACGCAAAAGTATTCCTGTCTAGACATTTCACAGTGCCACTATCCTGGGCTATGGAGGCCAACACCACAAGCCACCGCCGGACGCCGTTCGCTGATGCAAACATTTGACAAGGCCTTGTACACTCACTCTCCCTAGTGAACCAAAGGCCTTGACTTGATCATGCACTGCCAAGTACCATTGCTCCATGTTCAAAAAAAGCGCTTCATCACATCAACACGCCGAGTGCGACAACCCAAATCAGGATATACCACCAAAGACCTAGAGTGCCTCCGAGCGCAATTCCACCATTCGTCGTCCCCGCCGTGCCACAACAACTCGCTCGATCATAGTTGACACCGTTGGCATCGGCAGCAACTTGAAAGACACTCCCGTTGAAGCTCCCGATGTTGTAATAGTCCACAAGCAAGAATGTCGGCGGACGATCCCACATGGTGGTGCAGTTTGCCACCGCCCAGCCCGCGGAGCCGTACCCGTCAACCGCATTCGTTTCATTGAGGACTGGAAAGAACGGCACATCGATGCTGGTTCCCGCCACGGCAACTTGGAGGTTCAAGTTATGGTTGGCCATGTACATCCTCTCCTCGCGAACACGGCGTGCCTGATCCGGCGGCCGTTGTGGTGTGCATGGGAAATCTCGATCCGTAGGCGAGAACGGCGTCTCCCACATCTGCGAGAATTCGTCAAGGAGCCACGGGATGGCCGTCTGGTTTGCCTCGTAGTCCAGCATGACGACGGCGCGCTGGTTGCGGAAGATCATTTCCGCGAGCGTCGGCCAGCTGTCGAGCGGCATGGGCTGTGTAGGCGGCGTGTAGACAAAGTCAATGAGGCCCGAGTTGACTACGGGGACGGTGAAGTTTCCCGGCCTGATGACATCGTAATTGCCCATGAGTATGGCAACAACGTCGTACGGGTGCGCGCGGAGCCACTTGGCAACGGTGGTGAGGTAGTCTTCCAGCGTGCCGGCGTTGAGAAGGTCACAGGATGTGTGGCAGAGGTATATTGTGCCGTTCTGTAGGTGTGTCTGGAACTGTACTGTGGTTCACTGTTAGTAATCGTGAGGGCTTTTGGAACCTTCAACGGCTGCCACCTACGCATTCGAACGCCGTCGTTGAGCTGGGTTTCCACGTCCAGCATCTGGTTCGCGGCAAGATTGCCAGGCCGGACGAAGGGGCTATTGTGAGCCCCAACATGGGTGATATTGCTAAACTTCCGGTTACAGAGTGCGGGATGGCCATTGCACGGGACTGTATTGGTAGGCTGCGCAGACGTCGATGTGCGTGAAGCCGTGCCGTTCGTCGTCGCTGTGCCGTTCAGAATGGTGGTCGTCCTTGCACTGCCAACCAATATAGTCTCGGTTGGACTTGACGTGGTCGTACCGTTGCCCGACCTGGTCGTCGAGGATGTTGCGGTCCCATTATCGGTCGCGAAAATGCTAGAAAGGTCTGTGATGGTGGCAAAGTTGGTGCTCGCCGTTATGGTTATGGTGCTCGACTCATCCGCGTATGTTGTTCCAGAGGTGGCATAGTCTGCGCCCGTAGCCGTTGGCGACTGTGTGGTCTCTGTTGTTCCGCTGGACGTCTCCTCATCAGACTGAGCATATGCTCTCAGTACAAGTCCAGAGACGAGAAGCCATACGGTCAATTGCATGTTGGAGGCACTCTCGCGGTGAGAGATCAAACCCGACCATGAGCCAGAGACGGAGAAGACTGAAGCCTATTGTCTACTAGAGGATGTCCGCTACCAGATAGACAAAGTTCTAGAAGCTCAGCGCTAAGTGACGGGAGTCGGGCATAATCAAGCGATGAGGACTGGACAAATACGGAGTACCGAGTGTCTCGATCGTCGCAACAGCGCAAGACACTTCCGAACACATGTGAATATGGCATGTCACTGGTGGAGTCTGTACCAAAATCTTTGACAGGGGAAACGACGGCGATGACGCGTGGATGTCTTGGGACAGGGCCTTACCGAAAACTCTCAGCTGAACAACACCCTTAGGGTTTTGACCTGCAAAGTACTCCGTACTGGCAGCCTTGAGCCTCGCCATGAGGGACAAGAAGAGCTCATAAAGTTGGCATTTCTCATGGTCTCAGGCCTGATTCCACGACGTGGCAAGACGCCGTTTGCGCAGCCTCTCCCAGCTTCAGCAGGCCGTTGAGAGGTGACAAGAGCCTACACAGTACGGTTTACCCAGTACGAGTACTGGGATCGTGGACTGGGTCTAATGGGTCTTTGTGGTCTGTGTGCCGGCAACGCGGCGATCGGAAGAGCTTCTCGATTCGTGCCATTGAAATTGCGCTTTGCTAAATATGGTTAGATTGTTCTGATCTCCCCACTCAGTGGAGACAAGGCTGCCACATTATGTCATTGGGACCCGCTTTATCCGCCCAAGCCACCGTGCCACCCCAACAGCGTCTCGCCTGTCTCGCCCGTCTGGCAACGCTCGTGTCTGTGCCGTGCAACTTTTGTGATGGGAAAACCCAATATGGGGCCCAAAGGCTGAGCTGGAGCTCAATCTGGACACCAGTACGGAGTAGTCGTAGAAGTGCTCCTCGCCCAGACGTTCTGTCTCGCAAGGCCCACGTCCTCCCTAGATTCCTCCACGTCCTGCACATAATTACGCATTTTCTCAGTATTTGTGCTCAAACCGACCACTGTCTTCACGGAATCTCCAATGTTTCTGCTTTCGTTCTCGCTTGCTGCAGCTGTCTAGCCTGTAGCCGTTTCGACGTGTAGAGACGGATATGAACATCGCAGACACCTAAGAGATTGCCCCGAGTGAAGGGTAAACAGCAACGCAGACCTCGTCGAGTCGGAAAGTCCTCTCTCTCCCCCGCCCAACAATCAAAATGCATGTCTTCGGACGCTCAAAGTCGAAACAGCCTCACGCAGAGGACTCGTCGTCGAACAAGGAGATCAACGCCGAGAGATCCGGATATTCAAAAGCACCCCCAACCGGGCTCCGCGTCTTCACCATAACGATCTACACGCTCGCGACGGTCTTCCTGATCCTCGTCCTGATAGGCAACATCAACAACAATGCCGTCATCCGGAGTACATATTTCCTGAGGATCGAGCTCGCCAACATCATCCCGGCGTCCGTGCCGTACGCAGTCTTCATCAACAGCATCGCCCAATCGATCGGCTTGCACGATTTCTATCAAGTCGGACTCTGGAATTTCTGCGAGGGATACAATGGGCAGGGTATCACGCACTGCTCCCCGACCGAGACGCTCTACTGGTTCAATCCTGTGGAAATCATCCTGAACGAGCTGCTCGCCGGGGCGTCGATCAAGCTGCCAAGCGACGTCGTCGACGTGCTTGAACTCGTGAGGCTGGCCTCGGCGTGGATGTTCGCGTGTTTCATCGTCGGCGTGTGTCTCACCTTCCTGTGCGTGTTCTTCGCGCCGATGGGCTTCTCCAAGCACCCGCGCTGGCAGCATCGGACGAGACGCATCTTTCTCCGACAGTTGCCCATCACGATCCTCAGCTTCGGGGCGCTGTTGTTGACCGCGGCCGCCAGCGTCATCGCCACGGTCATGTTCGTCATCTTCCGCAACCAGTTCCAGGGCGCTGCGGACCTCAACATCCACGCACGTCTGGGCCAGCCCATGTTCGCGTTCATGTGGATCGCCACGGGGCTGAACCTGGTGGGCTTCCTCATGCAGGTCGGCACATGCTGCGGCGTGTGTTGCTGTACTGGGAGGCGCAAGGCCGAGAGACGGAGTCAGAGACAGAATCACTTGGATGTGGATGGTTCTGGCCGAGAGGGAGGCGCGGGCGGTGAGGAAGAAAAGGCAGGGCAACACACCGGTACAAGCAGTTCTACTACAGGGAAGACAAGGCAGTACAGCAGTATGAGAAGTTCGACCACAGGCACACGGACGCCCACGCCCGGCAGATTCGCAAGCCAATTCAGGAAGAGATGAGGAGGCTAATAGCCATAGTAGCTAATTTAGGAAGGGATAAGAAAGGCTGGCGGTAGAGAGGTACAGTATCGCGAGGAAGCTAAAAGCCACGGCCCCTCCAATCGCGCGTAGTAGTGTGGTATACGGAGTATCGTGAAGCAAAAATGAAAACCCGGGTCGGGTTGGTCGTCTCTTCCCTTTCGCTTCCACTTTAGCATTCACGTTCACATCCACAATCAATTGCAGTGCCATAATGCTTACTCTTGCCACTACGTCCCCGGTCGGGTGCTTGTTGCACGGAGCCTAGAAGGTCGATCTCACGTCGATATGCCCCTTTAATACAGTGCCGAGTATGGAACGAGTGTCCACAATTAATTTCCTGGGTTCGCCTTAGATGGAACCGCCCAGGTGCTTCGTCCCGCCATTTTGGGACTTCAGGACTCTGAAAGATGAGTAGTCATGCCTACTAGACGAGGAGACAGGCATACAGTAGAGGTAACTGCAATAGCGCGTAGTGAGTCTTGTTGCGAAGGCGTAGGCGAAGGCGAGGACAAAGACTCACTCACAGACACATCCCCGAGGACTTGGAAAGACACAAACCACTTCGATATGACAGTATATCCATATCTGTAGTGTTGCTTACTCCACATTGAGGATATTCATCGTTGAGATCGTGCTTTTTGATGCCTCCTCTCAAAGACCGACGGCCAGCCCCTGCTTCCGGAAGCCTTATCACGTGATACAGTGGAATGTACTCGTGGTACGGAGTACTGGGTTCTCGGTGCAGGGTGTTGGGTGCTGTTTCTGCGAGCGCTGACGCTGACGACAGGTTGAGAACACCTCTCAACGCTCTAAATCAACCTATCCCTCTACCCCTACCTCTACCACGGCTCATGCCTTGGCATTATCTCCGTTGACTTCTCCATTCGTCGCTTCAGCCCTAGGCATGGGCACAGGTCCGCCCGGCGAGGTCGGTAACCGGGCCGTCAGCACCTCGACGCCATCCTCGGTAACCAACAGGGTATGTTCAAACTGAGCGGACCGGCTTCCATCCGACGTCACGGCCGTCCAATCATCCGGCCAGGTCTTATCCTTGTAACTCCCCAGGCAGATCATGGGCTCGATCGTGAAAGTCATTCCGGGCTTACATTTGCCGACGGCCTTGTTTTTCGCATAGTGCGGGACATTGGGCGCGCAATGGAACAGCGAGTTGATACCGTGGCCACAGTACGTCTTGACGACGCTGAGATTCTGCGATTTGGCATGCTTTTCGATGATGTCGCCAAAGTCGCCGATCTTGACGCCCGGCTTGACGTGCTCGATGGCCTTTTCTAGGCATTGCCGCGTGGTCTCGACGAGACGAACATTGTCAGGGTCGGCCTTGGCTTTCTCGCCGATGTAGTACGTCTCGTTCAGATCGCCGTGGTAGCCTTCGTGGTAGAGCGTCACGTCGATGTTGAGGATGTCGCCGTCTTGCAGGACCCGCTGGTCGGGGATGCCGTGGCAGATGACTTCGTTGGGCGACGTGCAGACCGACTTGGGGAAGTGATTGTAGTTCAACGGGGAAGGATATGACTAGTGTCGCACGCGGTCAGCCGGGGTAGAATGCAGCCACAGGAAAGAGGATTTTCGACATACATTCCGCTCCAAACACGCATTGTGGACAACCTCGTCAATATAGTCCGTCGTCACGCCAGGCTTTGCAGCGGCAGCGGCGATGTCGAGCACTTCTCTCGCGAGCCGGCACACCTTGTGCATGCCCGCAATACCCTTCTCATCCAAAACCTGGATCTGGTTCTTTCGCACATACTGATACCGCGGGATGCCGTCCTCCGACCATTCGGGGTGCGGTATCGACTTGGGAACCACCCGCTTCGGCGACAGAGGGTAGACCGGTCTTAACGGGCCGGTAAAAGGATATGTGGGGTACGGGTTGAAGTGGCCGGTTTCTTGATCAACTTTAGACACGACCTTGGGAGCGATGAAATTGCGCAAGGGATTCGTACTCTTGTGGAGGGTCTTGTGTTCAGCCTGCGCGGGTTGCGGATTAGCATTCTCTGCGCTCCTTCGCCCATTGCAGTCTTTCCTCACAAAAGACCAGAGGTCAGCCTACCCAGCTCCGCTTGAAGCATTCCTGTGAGCAGAAGAAGCTGTCCACGTCCATCTCTTTGCACTTGGGGCATTGTAGCGACGAGGCATCGTTTTCGCAATTCAAGCCTGGGCATTTTCGAGGTTGCGCAGCGGCTTGGTCCATACTGATACGGTGGTCTGAGTCGACTCGGATGTTTAGAGAATTGCTCTCCGCTGAGGTGAGAATACCGAGTCTCTTCGAGGGTGTATGACCAGCAAGTCCTGGCTGATCCAAGAACGAGAGGGCAAACGATGCAGATGTTTGATGCTGGACACAATATTCTCATTCGGCGACAGACAATTGCGGAGTGACGGCCTGGCGCTTGGGGGATACGAGGAATCTCCGGATTAAAGTTCCGCCGTCCCGACTGCGACAAATCTCCACGCACTCGAGGATGAAGAATTAATGCCATAATGGACACAGTACGGAGTACAGCTAAATGCTATATTAATACTTACGAGATGAGGAAGAGGAATGATCAAAGCGAGCGAAAATACTTTGTTTGGCGAACAGGCACCAGCAGCTCGTCCTCACGCCTCGGGATAGAGTTATGTCACTCCTCAGTATTTCAGCTGGACTCAATGCTATCATACCGGAATCGAGCCTCACAATGTACTTAGGTTCGGGAATTATCTCGACGATTCGGGGGAGCCCACTTGCACCTATCCAGCCTGAACGTACTGATCCGACGATCTGCGCGCTGTTGAGGGTGATTTCCAGCATCTACTTCATGAGAGAGCGTGGGAGGGAAACAGAGCGGCCAATTAATATCTCGAGGTGGCCGGCATTTCCTCTTCCTGTGCGTCGGCAGTCATAGCACTCATACGTGTACCCTGTCCGTGCCTGTCCTAGCAGCTGCGTTGGATGGATTCGCAGCATGCGCGCCGTTCGCCAGGAAGGGCGTGGACTTCACGACCTTCTGTCCAGCCCTTTGATAAACTGGTGGTAAGGCGGGCTTCGAATCCAGACAGTCTACCGGCAGGAAAGGGCCGAGGTTTGGCCAATCGCGCGCAGAGAGGGTCATAGAGGAAGTTGCTGTGCGACTTCGAACGCTCACAAGTGCCGTGTCTAGCCTGTTTCCTCCCTGAGCATGACAGGGGACCATTTCGCCTTGCGGCCGACGACTTGCCTCCACTTCGGAAAGTCAGAGCATTTGTGCAAGTCCATTGATTGTCTCTCCCCAATCAGCTTCCATGCTTCCTCCCACGCCTTTCTCACTCTGTCGTCGAACATATAGTCCCACCAGATAAATTGCTCCATGCAAGTCTTGAACGTGTCCCAGTCGAGGTCGAGCTGTATTACAAGCCCAACCATCCTGCGCAAATACCAATCTCGATTATAACCGGAGTCTGACGCGACGGCGCCCAAGACTACAGCCCAGAGAACGAGCTCTTTCAGCTCGTCGAACCGAGCGGCTCCATCACTGAAATACTCCCTCAGTGTCGCCAACAATTCTCGACACAGGCGGTCTTTCGCATGATACGTCTCTGCGGCAGGGAAAAGGACGAGATCGCTGTAGATCTGAAGAGCGAGTCGGGCGACGTTCGAAAGTGGATCGCGGCTGAGATCTCCCGCTCCGAGTATGGGGTTCAGCTCGTACAGATCGTGTTGAAAGATCGTGGCGAGGATCCCTAGCTCTTTTAACGAGAGATGTTCTGGGCCGTGGCGGTGAGTCTGGTCGAGGCACGCTGTGAGCCGGATCGCATACAGCGCGAGCTTGAGGATATCGGGGTGGTCCTGTTGCAAGACCTGCCAGCCTCGGCCTGTGGTCAAGAGAAGCGCAACGGCTTCGCCGTCGAGCTTGGCGGCTTCGATGTCGCACATGCATTGGAAGTCTCTTCGGATTGGAAAGCTGGGCCGAGTACCTAACCTGGCGGCGACACCGATGTCTATCCTTCCACGCTTGTCAAATCATATCTCGAGCCGCGGCAGGTTTGGTCATTGGTGCAATCCACTCACAATTGAATAGGGTGGCCGACACTGACGCTCAGTGTCTCCAGGCCACCACGCTGCTTGACTAGCTGGACGAGCGCCGAGAACTGAGGCAGGCTCGTATCGAAGCGGCCATATGGTTTCAGGGCGAAGGCGTTCGCAAGTGGCGTCTCCGGATATTGCGAGGAAGTCGAAAGACGAAATGTGTCTCCGCCTTGCGCCGCCAGCCGCATAATGTCCGCAATCAACTGCTCTGGCGCCGGGCCTTTCATTGTCTGAAGGCGCTTCCTGACAAGCTTTACCGCCGCAGTCTGATGCTTCAGACGTATATCCATCAGCGTCAGCATCGTACTCGGCTCGGTGCTAAGGGCATAACACATGGTGGTCGCGTTGAAGACTTGTGCATGGAACTGTAGAGGATCCTCGATCGCTCTCCTCCGCCACGTGGTTTGCATCGATTTCAGCGTGAGACCGCTGACGGCGGGGTAGTTCTTGGGCCAGAGTACCGTGTATACGTATTCGAGACTCTTGCGACCAACGCTTGGTATCTGACGGGGGCCGCCACCATTGAATGGATCAGACCAGGCGTCTCCGATGATGCTCCTCGGGGAGGACAGAGCCGCCACGCTGAGGTCTGGATCGGGTTTGGTGATCGGAGATAGACATGGTTCTCTTGCTACGCACTGTTGCGCCTTCTTCGGGCTGGCTTTTGGTCTCTGTCTCGAAGAATGAGATACCTTGGCCGCGTGCGAACGAGCAAAGGCCTGTTGCAGCTGGCGTTCTTTGGTGGTTTGGCCTCGCTGAGTAACTAGGACGAACTCGAAGGTTGCCCCGCTAGGCATCATGTAATCTTAGCATCTTGGACGATAGAATGCAACGATCTCTCTCATGGCGCAGCGTTCCGGGGTTCCTGGTTGACCAGATATGTAACTCCTGGTTCCGTTAACATTTGTGCATATACGGCGTACGGCATGAGACATGCGCTGAGGCAAAGGACCAAAGAGGAAAACGGCCCAGCCAGCCGCTCGCTCCCCGTTGATACACCGTTTGTCAGCTTGGCAAGCCCTGACCCAGTTGCATCCTCGCCCTAGTGGAGAGACTCTGTAGCCCGCGCATACGGGGCTTCTACGGCAGGCAGCTCGGCGAGCGTTCCATGGGATAGTGACAGTGCCCTCGTAACCCAGTAGACACATCTGCCATCCGTCGTGAGGTCATGCCACCACTGACCAGAGGTATCGTAGAGTCCGGAAGACCAGTCAGACTTGCATCTGTCCTTGCGTAAGCAGGATACAAGGGTTCTATCAGGATGACGAATCATGGGGATGCCGTGATTGGAGAAGCAAAAATCGGGGCACGTTTCCACAAATGTCGACGAAGCCCAGATAAAGGGGAGAAGACCCTCGGCTGTGACCAGGGCAGACGAAATCATCTGTCATTGCGCACTCTCTGCCGTGAACTTCGTTCGTCCGTCCGCCTGCATTGCAGACAAGCTTGACAACCCATGCTGAACCGTGTCTCATGAGAGAGGCGAGTGAGGTTCAAGCAGGCGAGCAGCAGATAACAAGGTCTGCTGGGCGGCTTCCAACGGACGTCCACCTCGAATCTGGGCAGGACGGACGGCCATGATGCTATCCAATGAAGTCGTCACCACCAGCCGCGAACATAGTCGTTGATTGCAACATCCCCAACTCCATTACCGCCATGTACCTCGTTCATGTGGGCGTAGCAAGGACCGCTCTCTTCCGACCCTGTTATAACCGCCACGTATTACCCATGAGAACTGTTGAGGCTTGAGGTCCAAACCGTAGCTAGACGAGGCATCTGCATTGAGCATGTCGGTGATTCGAAGTACAGCACCATGGAGCTTGTCAGGTGGCCCGTAGTACAGGAGGTGGCGCTTTGAGCGGATTGTCCGAATGGCCACCTGCAACTCCTCAATTGCTGTGACCTTCTGGTACGCATCTCCGTTGGAACCAAGAGCTTGATGCCATAGGCCTTTGTCGCCGTCTTGCAGGATTGTCCCAGTGGAGATTTCTTTTTAAGAAGGTGCGGGCACTAGCAACTTCTTTGGCACGGTCGCCCTCGACTTTTAAGAGTCGTATTGAGCCCACTTTCGTAGATGCGGAACGATATATGCTGCTCTTTCCAGGACTTGCTTCGTTCGTCGATGCAGCTTTTCCAACAACGATAAACCGTGCGCGACACTTTGACCTGGGCAGTGTAGCAGAGTGACAATCAGCTTTCCTTTCCCCAAGATATCCATCGCCTTGTCATTCAAAGAACACGCGAGTCTACCGTCTGCTTCATCTTCAAACAAGGCAGTGGCTTGGCTCGCTTACCCGTGGTTCTCGAAGGAGGTGTGACATTGAAACTCTCACCGGTCCGTACTCCTTGAGGAGTCTGTGCAACTCCCCGATCACTTTATCAGAGGTGGCGTGGTAGCTCGCGGCTTCCATCTTCACGTTGTGTGGTTTGTCATTAAAGTCGGTGACCGCTTTTAGGACATCGCCAGCCGTTGCCTTGCTCGGGACACTGCTCAAGATCGAAGTCCGTTCGAACGGGTTGTGGCCACCGCCCCGACGACCCTTTTGAGCCCAGCTGCTGCGAGGAGTGGAGGCACCGAGGAGCTGCCGGAGACACTTATATGTGCCGTTGTTGAACCGCTGCACCGCTCAGATGGCGATTTCTCCATTCCCAAATCTAAGTCTCACGCTTCTAGTAGCTCTGTACCATGACAGGTGGACCTTTCTGCAGTTCACGCGCTGAAGGCTGCCTGGAACAAGACTGACTTTTAGGTGTCCGTGGCTGGTCTGACTCTCGATCTCTTTGCAAACGACGGGTCAATGAGAAAACCAAGTTCGTGCAGGATGCCGACCACTCCTTGACTGGTTGTTCTCGGTGGGAGTCCTGTGATTCGTGCCTGAGAGAGGTCGGTTGGCAGGGATATCTTGACCACGTGGCCGAACTCGTTGAACTGCACTGATGTACCCGCGATATCCCGAGAGAAATTGTCGTCTTGTTGTTGGTCCTGAATCAGCGTCAAAAAGAAATCTCCGTGTCCCCAGTGGATGTTGACTTGCCTGTTCGGTGATGGTGGAAGTGGCAAGAAGATCAGTGATCTTGTCAACTTCCTGTGCCACCGCGGGATGAAGGTATGGGCAAGGGGCCCTCTGACAACCTCCTGGGAATGAGAGAAACTTGCAGGGGTTGCTTGAGCGTGGGTCCCATGCTACTGAGCTTGATTGTGCCGCCTGAGCGCTCAAGCTGAGATCCGAGGAAGCTGCGAGTTGTGGATGAGGATAGCGACAGGCAGTGCCTCTGTTGCAAGATCCTAGCAGGAAGTACTTGCAGATTCAGGCGATCCCCAGCAACGTCAGCTCATTGGCAATCTCACAGCTCGAAGCCCGCCCATTCGATGGGTTCGGCGGTACGGCGAGGGATACTGTTGATGCTGGTGTGAGGCTGCGATGCCTTCGATCCGCCTGACATAATGAGTCGCCCATGGCTTCCCAATCGGAGCAGGTTTCGATATTGTCATCGCGTTCATGGTTGGAGGGGCTTGGGATGGCCGCGATCACAGACGTGGTGACAGAGAAAGTCCTGAGCATCAGGGATCAACACCATGGAGCTGCATAACGAAGACTCCGTATCGAGTAACTCCGTACTCCGTACTTCGTCCTGTGTCTTTGGCTACTAAATGCGGGGTGTCCTCCTTCCCAATCAAGAAAGCCTCCTTCATCTTTCATGACACAACAAACACGTTTACGTTAAGGTCAGAGTTTAGGTTCAGCTGTTAGACTTGATATGCATATCTTCCAGCCGCGGAGCTGGAAAGCTTGGGCTGTGTCATCAATTACGCTCTTTTGCTCGATGCAAAGGACGCTCGAATGACCACTGTCAGCATTGCTCCCTCAGAGCAGATTGCTTCCGACACTGCACTGCATGCCTCAATCAACAATATGCCTGTCGCACGATATCCAAGCTCTGAAGTGCATAATCGGCGGCCGTCAAAGTGATGTGCTGCTGCGGATACTGAAGTTGTATGCGGTGGTTGGTGAGTGCCGCAAACCTGGGGACTTTGTGGAATAGTGAATATTCGAAAAGGACGCGCACCGTCCGGCTCGTTGAAGCAGAGATATAGCGACGCACCTCTAAGAAACGCACGGATCGAACCGCTTAGAAGATGACTGATCCTTGACGTGGCAGGCTAGACGGCGGGATCGACTTGCAGCAATCAGCCTATGGAACAGTAGAGTGAGTGGCCTCGCAATCCTTTGCCCAAGCGGGACGCATTTCCATTATTCTCGGGAGTCGCTGTTCCGCACATCCTTGACAGCCTCGACCAGCAATGCACGAGTTCGACATGATTTACCACCCTTGGGCGACAAAGTCGAGCGTGGGCTAGGTGGATGCTTGGATGTTGAATTGCCATATAGGGAGAAGGGCGTTACTCCGTGCAATGTCTCATGACTGATCCTGAGCTCTGAAATGGTTGGTTTTGGCACGAGCGACACATGGAAAAGAAACGACATTCAGTTCGAATCTGGCTCTGTCTGCTGCAGACCTGCCGATCAATGAGAAAGTGCACTGCTCTTCATTCTGTCTTAACTCTCTGTGGAACCAATGACACTTCCAGGCACTGATGAGCATCAGAGCATGAGTGACCCATCGGGACGCCGTCAGTCCTTGCCGATATACCTCCTCTTGAGCCAAGGAATGCGAGTAGAGTAGAGCGGCCCTCACTACTTCGCCACCATTCTTGTCCTTCTTCTTCGTCGCCGGTCATCGATCTATCGCGTTATGCCGCCAAGGATTGTGCCCGACCCGAAACACTCAGGCCTTGGATATGCTGCATCGTGCACTTGTCACAGTGGTGGGAGTCGACGCGGTCACAGTTGTAGTGAAAACCTCTTCCTAGAAAGATTTGTCAATTGCACTCTGCCAACTCGGTCGCCGCGAACAAACGGTGAAGCGAGGTCTTAGGTGGAACAGTCTTACCACGAAGATGTGGCCATACGGCAAAACGATGATGTCTTCACAGCCATGACAGTCATAAATCGAAGATGTGTATGTGGTAAGAGAGTAGTAGATGCTCGTCGGTCCCGCTTGAAGGACCGCTGCGGTGTACGCTGTAGTCGTGCAGCCTGGGATGGGTATGACTGACACGGTACTGCTGGGCGTGCTGATGATGTCAGCCAAAGATGCGCCAAGAGCCAAATTGTCGATGTTCCGCAAATGTGGTGTACCTGAGAACTGGTGTAGCCAAAGCTTCAGCTTTGATGGCCACCGGCGTCTTCCACGGGAAGATACCTAACAATGAGAAGAGGAGTACGACGATGAGCATTGTGGCTGCTGCTCTCAATCCGACAGGGCGGGGTGCTTCCTCACAACTCGAGTACTAAGTACTGGAATCTTTCAAGTATGGATGGCGCTGAGAGCAGACAAATGAAGTGGTTTGTCTAGACAGAGAGACTTTGATCCAACTGACAGAAATATGACGTCTGAATACTGGAGGATCAGGTCGTGCCTTCCTCACAGACTGCATTTCGACCTGGGAGAAGCCATTAATAAGGACTCGAGAGGTCTGCACCTTGAAAGACAGCCAAGCGAGTCTGAGGGCAGGACATAGCAAACGAACGATAAGCAGGGCAGGTTTGCTACTCTGTGAAACGGTCACGTACAACATCATTCATCATTCAGAGGATAACAAACACTTTCGAGTGCAAATGTGTTGTCGTGTCTCGTGCAGCCTGGAGTGTATCGTCATGCCATGCCACAAAATGAGAGCTTTTATTGTACAATCAGTCCATCAGGCTGTGTAAGCCCGGTAATGCCGCCTAGCAATACGAAGCAGCCATAAGAAGGTAATTCGTTGGGTTTCATTCCGTAGTGTAGTGTGCACCATCACATCAATGCAGCGATAATCATTACCACTCCATTCATCATCAGACCCCATCTTCAATCTCGCGCGCTTCCTGTCGAATCGTCCATGTTCACTTGCCGAGCTGGTTGAAAGAGGCGGGTCGCACAAGGGTCTTGTTGTGTTGTGCGGTTCAGTCTTCGTCACCAACCTGATTCAGTCAGCAAGCGCCTTTAGGCTTCGCCGTCATCACCAACTCGAAGAGTGCCTTGTTCGCCAAAGCCATGAGCCCAGAAGCCCTCGAGCGAAGGAGAGCTGTGGAATTTGTCAGTGAACTCAGTAACTTCAGGACATAGGCTCAACATACGTGCTTGCCATGCTGTCGTGAGTGAACAGGAGCCAGAAGCCGAAAACCTGTCAACCGGTCAGCAGATGTTAGAGCAGAGGGGTGAACATGACCGACTGGTTTGGCGAGGATATCGAGGACGGCATAGGCAATGATCTCGGAATCGACATTGATGATGTGGCCACCCTCAGAGAGACCCCAGATACTGTCCTTTGTCAGTGACGAGCAGCTACAGATCGCCAGTGTACTCACATTGGGTAGATGGTCCAGAGAATCAGGGTGAATCCGGCGATGGAGGCGTAAAAAGCCTTGGTCTTGCTATCTTTTCGAGCAACAGTTTCGCGGCCGCCGATGGCAAGTTGATAGACGACAACGAGGTAGGCAATGCAGCCCCAGGCATACCAGCCCCACTTCTGGCTGTCCTTGCCCTGACCAAAGGCGGCGAAAAGACCAGTCAATACCATGATGATATCGGCGACAATGGCAACAAGGATGTTGGCACCGCTGAGACCGGCAAGCAGAGAAAGATCGAGAAGCAAGAGAGGGGTCGTGATGCTCCAGTCGACATATCTTGCCCAGTAGATCTCGCGCTTGACCTCAACATCAATGCTCGGGACTTTCTTGTGATGTTCAGTTTCGGTGTAGCTGGCAAAGCTGATGCCGTCGCCAGTAGCCATGGCGAAGTAGGACAGGAAGGCAAAGGTGGTAATGAAGGCGGTTATGATGTGGAAGAGGCGTTTTTGCTAAAGCTGTTAGATGCGGATGAAAGAAGCTTGTGTGGAGTGACGTACCACTGGGACGCGGAAGGCCATGCCATAGAAGGCGAGCGACGAAATGGCCATGATCACGACCACCACCCTGTTACTGTGTTAACAATGGACAGCTTTAGCACAAGCAACATGAGCATACCACAACGTCCTATTGCCGACATCTCCAGCTGCGACAATATGAGGAGGGGTGGGAACGATCGTAGGGATGGGAGCCACCGAAGTGGACGCTGTTCGAGCCGTGGAGGTCTTCATCATTTCTGGGCTGACAATCATGTTGACAGCTGCTGAGAAATCTTTGAGAATAAATGCTGGACCAAGAGAGGTATGATATGCCGTGCTTCAGTTCTTGTGTGGTATGAGCAGGAGGGTGCAGCGGTTGTGAAGAACAAGAGAGGAAGATGAGACGGAAAGATGTTTCAAGGCAGCAGTGAAAGAAGAAGTCAGTGGTACAAGTGAGGAGCTAGGAAGGAAACTGTCGTTGGTCGAAAGCAAGAGAAGGAAGCTGTGATGACGACAAGGTACTCCAACTCACCAAGGAGCAGGGTACATGTATGATTGGCCCATCACTTTGGTGTCAGAACGTGCAACAGAAAATAGTTGCCGTGTGATCAGATGGCTCAGCTCCCTGGGGGTGTGAGTGGATTCCGAGCTCTCCAGAGGTTTCCTAGCTCCTCACCACGATGCCTGCACTTGATCTGGACTGTCAACGAAATGTACACAAGACTCGTATTTTGTACAGGATGCGGGGCAAGCGCGGATCGACCTGGGCGTTAGCGCCACTCTTTGCATAGCCCCATGGGCGAGAGAACCAATGAATGTCGCCAGCTCCCACGACAGCCACTTGTCCTCGAACCTTAGTAGCGGCTTCAGCCGGCGCCAGACATGCACAAGCGGCCGGGCCTCAGAACTGCTTCATCCAACGATGAGGAGAAGTTGAGGCACGAGAAGAGATGCACATCATGCCATTGCTCAACAGAGAGATCTTCCACTGGACGAGGAGGCAGCCATGCCATTTCATTAAGGCGTCACGTCCTCCACAATGAGCTCCATGTCAGCAAAAGTCGGCTTACCCTTTCTTTAATGGGAGTCTGGAACCTTGAAACGTGTGACTCCAGCTCAGGCTGCACGCTAGTCCACAGAGCTATCCACAAAACGTCACTCCATGACGTCGCAAGCCGCCCATTTCTTGTCCCAGATGCTCGCTGCCTCGATTTGCGGACGACGCTCAAGCGTACGAGGTACCTTGATCCGATCAGCACGAGCATGCTTGCATTTTGTGCCCATTCATGATCCGACAATCAGCAGCTACGAGTAATTGACCTGTGGTTGATAAAGTGTCTTTCCCTCACGCGGTCCGTGCTCAATTGCTCTTAGTCATCAGACAAGCATAACCCCGCAATGTGCATCCTAGCGTGCGCCTATGGGTTGTATGTCAACCTCTGAAAGTCCCATGACCATCGAGGCAAAGTCGCATTGTGGCGTTGCGATCGAACATGCAGCACGAGCTGCAAGTCGATCTCGGGCGTCAATTTCTTGAATCCCCCACGCCAAAGCTTGCACTTACTACAGGCCCTCCGCTTGATCCGGAATCCGTCGTCCTGCCGTGCTTCCGAATGATGGCTATTTGACAGAGATTCGACCTATTGGTACTGGTACAGGGGTATCTAAAAAGCTGCAAGTCCCTATGTTCGCCCTTGGAATTCCGCTACTACATCGGTGCAACGTCCACAAAGCAACAGGGCCTCTTCCTCACCATTTCTCTTCTCCTGTGTTTCGACCACATACTGCCAGCATCGACTACACTTGAGACTGGAAGGACTCTTGACAACAGCCACTCCAAGCTTCTGACCGTCTTGCGAGACAATGTCATTTGAGTATGACCAAGTCTCAGGTGACGCTCCATTGTCAGCTTGCTGCGCATCCTCTTCGCCTTCTATCGATAAGACGTCAACATTTGATACAACCAGGAGCTCCTTCCAGGTATCTCCAGGTAGACTGGGCATGTCAATATCTTTTCCCAGGTAGATGACAACATCTGATGCCAGCGACTGTCCCATGAGTTTTCGAGTCCGAGCTTGCTCCTGAGCCGCTTTAACACTTGTGTTGACAGCAACAAGCTGAGGCCACAGGGCGAGTAGCGAAGGATCGTACCATTCTTCTGGCACCGAAGTCCATACTCGTTTCAGCGGGTGCTCTAATAATTGCTTGTAGGAGTTCGGACTGTGCTCCCAGCTTTCTTCGATCAGCAGTGGGGTGAGTGGCCCAAGCATATTCTGTAACTGCGTGAAGATGTGATGCAGTGCCGTTTGAGCACTGACACGCCTATCGCTCGTGACGCTGTCGCAATACAGCACGTCCTTGATAGCCTCGAAGTAAAAGCTCGATAGGTCGCTCGTCACCCATCGGTAGAGGGCAGCATTTGCTTTGTGGAACTCGAAATCCGTGTAGGCCTTGCGAACAGAGGAGAACACTTGGTGTAGGTGCAGCAATGCGATTTGATCCAGCCGGGACATGTCCTCATACGGCACGATTAGCTTGGGGTCGAAGTCGGCTAGCATGCCGAGCAACATCTTCATGGTCAGACGGTATTTGTCGAGCATGCTGTGGACTGACGAGACGACTGTCTCGCTGATGACAACATCCTTCGTCCATTCGCTTGACGCAACCCAGAGTCGCAGGGCGTCCGGTCCAAGTGGATGAACCTCGCGTTTATGCTTCGTCTGCTTTGCGGGAACTCCCAGTCCAGCAACAATTTGGTCAGGAGCGATCACGTTGCCAAGGGATTTGCTCATCTTCTTCCCCTGAGAGTCCAAGGTGAAACCGTGTGTCGCAAGGACGCGGAATGGAGCGTGGACTTGCCTTCGAGGCTGGGAAACAGGATCCGGACTTGATTGGGACGCCTTCTGGTATGCGATATGTGTGAGCAAGCTGGACTGGAACCAACCTCGATGTTGGTCTGTGCCTTCAACATAGACATCCGCGAGCGGTGTTGACTGGCTTTCCACGTCCTTAAGCATTAAGCTCCAACTGGTTCCGCTGTCGAACCAGACGTCCATTGTGTCTATGCCGCGGACATAGTCTGACGCATCTCCCGGTAGACCGGGAAGAACCCACCTTCTGTCATCAAGAGCATCAGACCACCATGCGTCGATACCGCGCTCATCAATAACTTTTATGATGTGGCTGATGCTATCGGAGGTCAATACTGCTTCGCCAGTGTTCTTGTGATAGATTGCCGGGATGGGGACTCCCCAAGCGCGCTGCCGAGAGATGCACCATTCACTCCGATTCTCGACAAAGCTTCGCAGGCGCGTCTTGCCTGTCTCGGGCAGGAACGTAACCGCCTCAAGAGACTCGAGGGTGTCAGACTTGATCTTGGAGACGTCGGCAAACCATTGAGATGTGGCACGAATGATGATTGGTTCTTTAGTACGCCAATCGATCGGGTACTTGTGTTTGTATTCATGTTGATGAACCAGCAAATTGCTTGCCTGCAACATCTCCAACACGGTCTTGTTCCCCTCCCTGAACACGTCCTGCCCTGCGAGTACGCTGGGATCCTCGGGTGAGGCTGTCTCGTCAAAACGGCCAAGACTGTCGACCGGAGCTTTGACGGAGACAACAGAGGCTCTGATCAAGGGTTGTAAAGCTTCATAATCTTCCATGCCGTGACCTGGAGCACAATGAACCAAGCCTGTACCACTCTCGGCAGACACAAAGTCGGCATGAACGATAGGTCTGCCCGCGGCTTCGGACCCAAATTGCTGCAGGCCGGAGTAGGTGCTCTGCAACAGCGTTTCAATTGGTATGTTGTCCATGATGACCTTCAAGTCTTCTCCAATGGTCTCTTGTAGGTACGAGAGCCTGGACTGAGCCACAATCAGCAGGCCGTGGGTGACCGACTCGACAAGACAGTATGACACAGAGGCGTGCACCGCAATAGCTTGGTTTGCTGGCAGAGTCCAAGGTGTTGTCGTCCATATCAATGCATGAATCGTATCACTTCCAGACAGTCCAGAACTGGTCAACTGGAACTTGACCAGTGCTGCGGTAGAGACATGATCCTCCTCATACTCTAGTTCCGCTTCTGCCAAAGCAGTGCCTGAGGATGGCGACCAATAGACTGGTTTATTCTTGCGATAGATTAACCCGTGCTCTGTCATTGCTTGAAAGACCAGCAGCTGTCGCAGCTCAAAGTCCTTCTGCATGGTCTTCCAGTGGTTTTTCCAATCACCCATGACGGCCCACGATCGAAAGTCGGCCATTTGCTTCTCAACGGCCTTGTATGCAAACTTCCGGGCCGCGCTACGGATTGCGACTGGATCAACGCCTTGTCCTCGGGCCCATCCATGCTTTTCCAGAGCTTTGAGCTCGATCGGTAGCCCATGACAGTCCCATCCAGGTATGTAGTCCACCCTCCGGCCTTCACTTAGCCTGGACCTGCAGATAATGTCCTTGACAATCTTGTTGAGTGCGTGCCCGGCGTGAAGATCTCCATTGGCGTAGGGGGGTCCATCGTGAAGGACGAATGTGTCGGCAGCCGGCCGCTCGCGGCGCTGCCAGGCATAGAGGTCATCTGTACATCTTGGAAGATATTTGGCAAGGTCGGCCGGCGTTGGCCGCGGCGGGAATGTCGATTTTGGGAGACGGAGAGTGCTCTTCAGGATTTTAGCGGTATTTTTCAGAGCTGCGGGCATATCACTCTACCAGGCACTCCGCGAAGCTGGAGGGCTGTTAGGTGGCAGCAGCGCGCAACCAAGTCCACGAAGAAGCCTAAGAGAAAGACAGGCGTAGGCGGTTGGGTGACCGTCATTACCTGCACGAAGTCATATGTATCGGAGATAGTTTGGGATGGGATCGCGACATCTATCGCGTGTGTCTTCCGCAGGCGAAAGAAAAACCCGGTCGAGCACAACTCTACAAGACGCAATGAGCGTCAGGCTAAGGCATCGCTCACGCAGCTCACATTCTTTCGTGTGCAGGAGTAATACGAGGCCACGGACGTCATATTCATCGCTCATGCTCGCAAAGAACCCGATATATACGAACAGAAGACAACCCCACCAGTGCCCCAAGTTGCTAGTCAAACACCGGGCGCCTCGCTCCTGGAAGATGCAGTGAATGCAAGCCAGAATATCACTCTGTCGATAGGCGCGAAGACTTTGGCGAACTCTCTGTGGAGGACTTTCCTCGATCCGAGCCCTTTCCTTGAATCAAACCACTGCTCGGAGACACTCTCGAGGCCCATTCCCTGCGACACGTTAGCAAGTCTACCGGTCTGACTTGGTTGGTCTCAAGAGATACTCACGTCCAGCTCCCGTCGTAGAGTCTTCGATCATGCTCCGTGCCAAAGTCTGCCTCCTTCAGGGCAGCCTCGATGATAGCTGCCGTTACCCCCGTGCCACAAGTGGTAATGAAAGGTGTTTGAGGGTCAAGCTGCTTAGACTCGAAAACCTTTCTCAACTCTTCACCCGGAAGGAGCGTCTTCGTGTCGGGATCCAGCAACTCCTGAAAGGGCACGCTCGTAGAGCCAGGCATGTGTCCGCTTCTGATGCCTGCTCGTGGTTCTGGCTCGGTTCCTTCCCACCTGCCCTTGGATCGGGCATCAAGTATCTGGATGTCTTCCGAGCCCTCTTTCCCATGGTCATAGCCTATGGTCTTCATTTCTGCAAACTTCACCACCATGTCCGTGTTGTAAGCGGGCACGGCGTACTTGGTTATGTTCGGAACTTGTGGGGGCCCGGTCTCGACGGGGTATCCTTCCTGGACCCAGACACGGAAGTTGTTCAATACGTGAACTTTCGGATGGCCAAAGACACGCATGGTCCATGCCACTCGAGGGGCGGAGAACAAGCCGAGCTCTTCTGTATCGTAGATGACCACTTCGTCTTCTCTCCTCACGCCCAGCTTCGACATTGCATCGGCGAATGCATCGCAAGTCGGCAACATGTGTGGCCATTCCGACTCTTGGTCTTTGATCTCATCGATATCGAAAAATCGCGCTGTCGGAATCCTCTTCTTCAGGAATGCTTGTAGACCTGTCCTCTTCTCTGGATCGTTGGGCATAAACCATGCGGCACATATGGGGATGACCTTGGGAGCTGTGGAGATGGCAGTGGGAGCGTTTTTCTTCAAAGCTTCGTCAAGCTCTTTAGGGGTGACGAGGTACGAGGAAAAGCCGCGACACCGTAAGGAGGATATGTGATGGGCATGGCTTTGCAGTGGGCGAACCGCTGCGGGGCGCCAGAGAGGCACGAAGCCCGTCGGCGTGGGTGCGCGCATTCTGTTCGCTGATAAGTAGGTCAGATTATCGTGGCATTGTTGCGACCGAATCTGAGAGAGGTCGACCACTGTCTCCAGCTCAGCAGTCTGAATCGTCACAAACTTCGCTGGACCAGAAGCCGCAGGAAGATAGCGATTAGCAAGAGTAACAGCTGAGCAAAGAAATCTTCGGGATGGTATCAGTTCCTCTCAAGAGCTTCCCGAGCTTTTCCTTTCGACTCCGCATCTGACGTACTGTAGCTAACTGCGAGTAACTAGCGCCAGTATCTAGTGTGGGAGCGAGGACGGGAATGCCAAAGGACACGACGAAACACCAATACCTGCCATCCTCAAGTCTCCAATCCTCGGATCGGCGACCTGGAAGTTGTGACGCGGCGATTGACGCTTTGACACGCGACAGGCATGTGAAGCAATACTCAGTACACAAACAATACATTTTATGTACCACCCACCGTTTCAACCTTGACATCACCACATCCTCGCCTTTCATCACCACACGCCCAGCTGCACAACGAGGTAGCCCCCATGAAGGTCAAGATTCAGAAGTGGCACGCCGTCGCCACATGGCGATGGGATATGCCCGAGGATGAAGTCTGTGGCATCTGTCGCGTCCAGTTCGACGGCACTTGTCCTACATGCAAATTTCCAGGCGATGACTGTACCCTGCTCATGGGAAAGTGTGGTCATTCGTTTCATATGGTGCGCACGTTGTGTCCTCCGTCCTCAGACCTTGCTAACGGCAATAGCATTGTCTTTTGACCTGGATTCAACAGGAGTCATCGAAGGGTCTGTGTCCGATGTGTCGCCAAAGTAAGCCCGACGAGCCACATGCAATAGCGCTGTTACTGATACCTGTAGAATTCGAGTGGAAGCAAGGTGCTGGACAGGAGCAGGTGGCGAATGTGACAGGACAATAACAGTTGCCCACGAAAACATTCCCGCTTGAGAATTATCGACTATCAAATATGCCCAGTTGCTTCCCACCAGACACCATCTATCGCAAGGAGGCACTGCTTTGAGAATCATGCCGAAGAAATGTTTAGCCTCTGCACCGAGCTCTAGTAGCCTGACAATTCGACAGTTCCACAATTACAACCTCCGCCGCCGACTGTTATCCACGAGTATTGCTGGTGCAGTCCAGATTCGACCACAGCACTGGACAAAGTCGACGTCGTTACAAACACGCAGGTCAGGCAACGTGGAGGCATACCGCCACAGCGAATGAGGCGGCAGACTGAGTTAGACAGCCCTCGTTGCCTCTGGACGGTGAAGAACCCCTCCCGTTCTATGCTAGTTACGACGAAAGAGCCTACAGAGTGGTGCCCGATATGCAATAGACTCTTTCCGGCGGTCTCGTGTTAGCCTCGTTGCAGGCTCTGCACACCTCCTACGACCTGTTGGTGACTATGGGTGCCAGAAATCAATGTCCGCACGAGAGATCGCACGCCATGTCGCACTGAACATGTGAAGTACAGCCGTGACCAGAGTTGTTTCATTGACGCAGACTACGGACGTGTCGATGTCTCCGAGGCGCCGTCTCAGTACCAAGTGAAAGCACTGGATGATACGCGCCAGTGGCTTTCTTAATCAATCGCATCATACCGAACGTCCCTTCACCTGTTCGTGCGAAGTGTACCAGACGCACCGCTGCTTAGTCGGACCAGGCGATCTCATTGTATCGAAGTACCCAGGCAACACGCACATATGTACACGCGACGACCACAAGCATGCAAATCTGGCCGTTACCGCCAATAAGTCGGCCCTCGCCCCTTCAAGTACACTTCCCACGCCTCGTCCAGCACCTTGACCACCTCATCCGGTAGAGGTCCCTTCTCCAAGTCCGCCAGATTACTCTCCAATTGCTGTAACGAGCTGACGCCGATAATAACGCCGTCGTTGCCGCCATCCTTGGGAAACTTGAGCATCGAGTGGTGGATGCACCATCTCAACGCGGTCTCGAGGAGAGTGAGCCCGTTTTTCTGTACCACGGGTTCGATGTGTTGTAGGGCGAGGAACGTGTTGTCATGGAAATACCGGTCTCGGTACATCTGTAAACGTGTTAGATATCGTTACCCAAGTTTGGGGGCATCCCTCTCGACCAGTCCACGTGCAACCTCTATCGATAGAATGATCACAACTGAACATGGAGCAAGGAAAAGTAGGGATTTCGATCCCACAAATACATACCTTTCCTGCCCGGTGCAAGTCTGCAAAGCGACCTTCGCTCGGAACTTCCGATTTCGACTTATACTTCCCGCTGAAGACCCCTCCAGCAAGCTATGGCCACCAGTCAGCGAGAACAACGGGAACTCAGAGAGCTTGGCCGCCGCTGCAAGTTGGACTTACCGGGTTGTAAACCACCAAGTCAATGCCGTACCTGGAGCACTCGAGGTCAGCTAACTGAATGCCGTAATTCAAGTTCCGGTTCACGGAGGAAAAGCAGAACTCACTTCCTACACGCCGGGACCAACTCCTTCTCAATATCCCTCGTGATAGCATTGTACATGGCCTGATAGATCGTGGGCTTCACCCAGCCTCGTTCGTTGGCGATGTTCCACACCTCGGCGACTTCCCAGGCCGCGAAATTCGACAGGCCGAGCTGCACGAACTTGCCTTCCTTGAACATCTTGTCGCACTCCTCCAGCGTGTCCTTGAAGGGCACAGATCTGTCCGGCGCGTGCAGGTAGAAAATATCCACAGTCTCGGTCCCCAGCTCTTTCAGACTCTTCTCCAAACTGGCTCTCAGCTTCTCCGGCGCATGATCGCCAGGGTTGACCGGGTAGCATTTCGTCGCGAGCGTCAATCCCCGGTCCTTCCACTTCGCTTCGCGGGTGAACGCCTCTTGGTCGCCTCCGATATACGCCCGCGCCGTGTCCACTTCGTTGTAGCCTCGCGACTGGAAGAAATCGAGATTCTTGTTGTACTCGTCCAACGTGGTGATTCGACCGCCCTTCGACTCCGTGCCGGGAGGACCAAAGGTCATCAACCCAAGGATCACACGTGGCTTCTGGGTGCCCATTGAGGAAGTGACGAGGGGCATTTTGCCGATCGCCGTGGGAGGTCGCAGCTGATGTGTGAGAGACGTGAGGCGCGTAGTGGTGGTGGTGGTGCTGCTGCTGGCGGGGAGCGAAGCGACAGAACGTGTAACCGCTCTATTCCACATCAAGAGGAAATGGAATCACTTGTCACGTAAACTAAGAAGTGGCCTGGAAAGATAAGGTGAAGAAATGTCGTCTCAGAAGTCGCGATCCCGACATCGGATTTGAGCCCGTGTTGCCCGATGACAGCATTGAAGGCTTCTCCAACGTGGCGGGGAAATCAAACACTGACGGGGCACGAACACGGGGCTCGACGATGGACGCAGTGACCTCCTAGAACATGGACCACGGGAGCCTTTCTCAAAGGGCACCGGCGTTGGCACGTGTTGTACGGCATGTTGCCGCCACGGTTGGAACCCGCTACAGCGAAATGATAAGAAGTCGGCTTTCCCAATTTTGGACGACATGTGACTGCTTTAACGGTTCGCGTTTGAGCTAAGATGTGGGACGTGAGGCTGGACGGAGTATGCTTGAAACAAATGGGTATTCATCGGATGTCTGTGGTGCATAGGTGGATGTCGGCAAACCATCGAACTTCGATCTCAAGCCCTGCCTCCTCTTCCCCTTCCCCTGCCCCTGCCCCTTCTGGCTCTCGTACCAAAGCGGAATTTCATGTCGTCGTCATCATCGCTGTCGTCGTCTCGGACACTCGTGACAGGCAAGGTCTTCTGGCGTTTGGGCTTGCTGGTGTCGGCAATAGAGCTCGCAGGCCTCTTGCCTGTCCGCACTCCTATTCTTCTCTGGGTCGGGTCGCCGCCTTCCGTGTCAGAACCATTCGCGCTGGTTCCTTGAGTCCGGTCTGCGGCACGGGTCCGTCTCGGTACGGTCGGATCAATTTCGTGCTCTGCGATCTCCGCTGCTTCGCGCTGCAGACGAGATGTTGCTGGGCTGGTTTGCGCGATTACCCTGTCTTGACCATCCTCTCCACCAGAAGCATCCATGTCTTCTTCGTCGTCATCGTCAAGCACTACTCTGGCCTTCGATCTCCCACCGCTGTTACCACTCAACTGTTGCGTCTCACTTTGAGTCGTTCGCTGACTCCTCGCCTCCTCCTTGCGTCTCCGTTGCCTTTCGACCTCCCTGTCCTCTTCGCTGCGAGGCCAGTACTGATCGCCCAACCCGCCGCTCTTGATCGGAACTTGCTCTAGCGGCACAATAACTTTTCTCGCATGGGTTCTCCGCTGTGGCGGGTCGCCCTTGCGACGGAATCCCTTGAAGTTCTTGCGACCGTTCCATTTCGGGTCCCACTCCGAGCCGTATTCTCCGTTTTCACGATCTTTGGTTTTGCTCTTGTCGCGGACAGGAAGGTCCAGAGTTACAACTTGGACCAGATTGGCAGGTGCTCTGTCTTCAACATCTGGTAGGCTCAGATGGGAATCATCTTTTCTGGCTTCCTCTTCCTCGAGTCGCTTTCTCACCGCTTCACGCACGTCAATGACCTTTTCCTTCTTGATCTTCTTGACCGACGATTTTTGCGGTTGGGGCTCCTCTACATCGAGGCGACCATTGGCGGCTGCCTCCGCTAGCTTCAGTCTCTTCAGACCGGTTGCAGCTGGAAGGAGATCGTCAATCTGGTTGGCAAAAACATCAGCAGACTCCTCAGTAAGGGAGCGTCGTCTCTTTTTAGCCGTCGAGACGGGCTCTTGTTTTATGTGTGAGACCTGAGTCTGCATCCCTGGCTGTGTCCGTGGTGCCTGAGGATCATTGGGCTCTTCTTCTTCGACGACCTCATCGTCGACGTAATCATCGACAGCGTCCGGGTCGAATCCATCGTCGAAATTCTTGAACTTGGTGGCCTGCGAGATTTTAGGCATAGAGAACGGCCGAGGAGCGGGCTCTGTAGGAGGACTGTTTTGGGAGTTATTCTGAGCCGAAGTCTGCGGGTTTTGGGCGGCTGATGCTCCTTCGTTTGTTGCCAGTGGTGTATCTGCTCGGGGAGCACCACTGATATCTGATATCTGAGATCCGGGCACGCCGTTTGTGCGGACCGATGTTGGTGTGAGCGAGACAAGAGAATTAGCAGCAGTCGGTGCAGGCGCAATGATACTATCATTTGTGCTCTCAAATGGCACCGTCTCCTTCAAGACTCCAGCATCATTGGACAATATGGCCTCCAGAAATTCAGATTGGTCAATGGCCCGTTGATCCATCTTCAGCACAGTCTCATTCATGATTTTGTTGGTCCATTCCTGTAGAGCGTCGTCCTTGATGGAAGGACGAACCAAGACGACCCCGCCCTTCGATGGGCCGATCTGCGTATCGCCATACTTGCGCCCAGCTACATTCTGCACGAACTGTAGGAGGTCGTCGCCCGTTGTCTCAGCGTTGACCACCTTGAATACTAGCGCCTTTCCATGCCCGTCTGTAACGACAGGCATCAGATTATCATATTGATTTTGGTCACAGAACACAAAGGTGTAGTGCTCGAAGACACTGGCTCGAGCCGAATCTGGTTGATAGGCCTCTGGTGGTTTCACGGTGGGTTCCTTTCCAGGAAGAGGAAGGTAGTCTTTTGGGTCGGGCCAGTTGACGTCGAAGTCGATCTCTAATGGAGATAGATTGACATCTTGGCTCAAAGTTGTTGGGGTGGTGGCATAGTCCAGAGCATCCAGATATGCCTCGGTCACAAGGTGTTTGCCGTTGACCAACGCCTGCAAACCCTTGGGTGTATTCCTCTTGGCGGCAACGACGTGAGTGGTGTGATTTGAGAATTCACTGACACCTTTGATATCATAGTTTCGCACTCTTGCCTGCTTGTCCTTTAGCACGCCAGCCTTGATCTCTTTCTTGAGCAGGTTGAAAGTGAGCACACAAGGCTGCCATGTAAGAGTAAACTCATACGGGCATGTTCCTGGTCGGATTGAGTTTTCAGCACGCTTCAGCTCCGTGGAGGGATTCGGTTCCGCCTCGTTCTTTGGATCCTTCTTTTTGAGAGGCTCGCCGTTGACGAAGGTGCCGGTCTTCGAATGATCTTCGACTCGTATCTTCGTCCGAGCAAGAATGTTTCCCACATCGCCTTCTTTTACCGGGTCGACGGAGATGGTAAAATGCTGTCTAGACACCGTCTTGTGATCAATGGCGAGCATGACACCGTCTTTCTTCACCCGACCAAAGAGGTACCGCTGTCCAGGCTTGAGCCACATACGCTTGCCCTGCATAAAGTCCGCATTGCTGTCGAGGATCCACATCTTGACTGCATCGTAGAGAACGAGAGGGAAAGAAGAGGGAGGCGCTTTTTGTAGAGGCTGAGATGAGCGTTGGAGCAGGCGGCAAACTGCAGGCTGCGCAGGAGTACATGTAATTATTGTGACGCGCGACACGCTCTGACGTTCGACGCCTGGAGGAGCTGCAGGCAGTGGAAACTAGTGGATTAGCGGCATGCTGCCTAGAAGGTTGCTCCCGCAGACCTTGGGGGCCAGGGGCTTAGTTAGCGGGCATTGATGATGGAACATCCGGAGGGGTCCCTGGTGTCCCGGTTGTGCCAGCCTCACAGGGTCCTGGCCAAGTGCGGGGCAGCCTGGACTCATTGCACGTCGGATCAGCAGGGCCATTCCAAAGGTCGCCAACTTGCTTATTGTCATTGGCAACCGGCTTCACCAGGGGCCAGCCAAGCAGATAAAGCGGTTGCAACCCAGTCTCATCTGTTTATACCCTCAGCTTCCGCTTTCCGTCCTCTGCGCCAAACTTCAGAGCCCATCCAGCAGAAGCATATCGATTGCAACATGTCCAACTCGATCGACGAGAACAAGCCCGACCTCAAGGTCGACGAATCCCCAATCTCACCAATCGAGCGCCGCAACTCGCTCGAGAAACACCTGCAGTACCGGCCTGACGTCCAGGACTTGAAGAACCGCAATATCCTCTACGATACGAATGCTGCACCGTAAGTCTGCTTCGCTCTCTGGAAAGGCGATTTCAGGTGCTGATTTCGCACGCAGGTCCTTACAAGCCAAGCAACACGAACTCGAGCGCCAACAACAGTCGGACAGCCTCAGGAAACACCTCGAGAAGCGTCCGGAGCGAGATGAATTGGTCGAGCGTCAGTTTTGGCTCGCTTTGCAATAAGAACGCACATCTGACTACACGATAGGAAACATTCTGCCCGATTCCAACGCCGCCCCCGCCCTTCAGGCTAGCCAGAAAGCATTGCAGAAGCAGATGCGAGCAGACAGCCTGGACCAAAAGATCCAGCATCGGCCGAAGCCGGAGGACTTGATCAAAGAGGGCATTCTGGAGACGGACGAGGACCCGACAAGGGCATGAAACAAAATCGAGTGTCGTCAAAGCAGTTCTTCTTTATAAAGTTTATTTAGGTCGACAGGGTCGTGGCTATCTCTCAGTGCAAAAAACCGAGACGTAAAGATGCTTCAGTAGCTCATACAATAGCCCAGCATTTGACTACAAACCGCCCTATGTCCTCGTTGAGCGTTGTCCCCGTTCAATAGCTCTCCACTGCCTCACTCTCGGCCCCGCCCCTGGTATCGCTGTCCGGCCTCCAACCTTTCGGCCTCTCCTTGCCCCGTACGATCATCTGATAGACGCCATTCTCGACCTTCTCCACCGACTGCCTCGTGGTCTTGAGTTTGGACTCGAATTCCTTTGCCAAAGGGTAGACTTTCCCGGGATTCACTCCTTCGAAGGCGGCTCGGAGATCTTGCATATCGGTCAGGATCGAGGACTTGGACGGCTTATCGTCTCCCGAATACGTCGGTAGTTTCCCGTTCGTGGCCATATACGTGATGGCAAACCGCATCAGCTCGCCGGTCATATCAAACAGGCCCAGCGCGTAATCCTCGTAGGTGAGCATGATACCTTCGGGGAGTTGTGCCGCTGCCTCATCGAAGCTCATGATCCGTTGAGTCTCCAAATAGTGCTGAAATGACACCGCTTCGATGTACTCCTGGATGCCTCCTGTAATTCTGTCTCGGTACCGATACGTGTTGATGCTCTGTAGATCTGGGACGACGCTTTGTAATAGGTTGCGGATGGTGGTGTACATGGGAGTAGTTGTCTTCGATATTGAAGGGTGGATAGGCTTGCCCAGTTCACGGACTCTGTACTCGTGTGAGCCAGGTGGCTTGCCCATTTTCTGCTTGTGAGGGCAGCGTCTTACCTTTGTAAGGCGAAAATGCTGCGGACATGATTTCAGTGGTGGCCACATCGATGAACCCAGAACGCCAACTCACATCTTCTTACTCTGAGCAGTCACATCTCTGGACGCTTTGGTGATATTCTCTCTACGGTCGTGGTGCTCGTCGAGCTCTGCTCGAAAGGTTTCGAAAATGGGAAGAAATGGGGACTTTGTTTCTTCAGGTGTTGCGGCTGGATCGTTTGCCATATCTTCAGGTTTTCTTTTCACGCCTGCCATGATGAATTCTGAGATCTGAGGTGTGCTAACACAGACGAAGACACAAACCTTGCACATTAACAGACAAGTGATGGGAAAACAAGGGAAGACAAGGTTGAAATATTACGGTGAAGTTGATCCAGTTCCCACGCTGCTTGGAGACGGGATTGCTGGTTGCTCAATCGAGGTGACAGGCGCGAAGGCCTTCTCAAGTTGATCGCTGGATGACAGTCCCGACGCAAAATATAAGAGAGAAACTCCAGGTCTCATCGACTACATGCTTGTCTATCTGTCATTATTGGTTGCTGCTGGAGCAAGGCTGGTGAAGCTGACGTAAATATGTTCCTGGCTCAGGCGACTCTGCCAATATCGGCCGCTAATGCAGCAGCCCCTTGAGAGCTTAAATCGCAGGTGTAAGGGTTATGCGGCTCGTGCCCGTCACGCCCGTCAACTTCGAAACATCACATTCTGGAGCGACGGTGGTGACCCAGAGCTGCGGTGGGCTCGGTATTTGTGAGAGAAAGCGTAACTTGCTCGGGCACATCGAGAAGCAGAGGAGATGCAGCTGGCGCGAGAGCCATGGGGTCACTCATTGAACAACTTGTCTCGACGCGAACCTTCATCTTCGTCGCAGCACTCCTCTTACGCACCATCCTCCTCGTCTACGGGATTTATCAAGACTCGGTCTCGGCCTTGAAATACACGGACATCGACTACTATGTCTTCACAGACGCCGCTCGAGCCGTGTCAAGGCACTCTTCTCCCTACGACCGTGCTACCTACCGATACACTCCGTTGCTGGCGTGGATCTTGTTGCCCACCAGCTGGGGAGGGCTGTGGTTTCACTTCGGCAAGGTGTTGTTCGCTCTGTGTGATCTGATTGCCGGAGGACTGATTCTGAGGCTACTGAAGAGTAAGGGACTGCGGGAAGAAACAGCGTTGAAATATGCCAGCGTGTGGCTGTTGAATCCAATGGTCGCGAACATCAGCACCCGTGGGAGCAGTGAAGGATTCCTATGTGTATTGGTCATGGCACTCCTTTGGGCGTTTGAGACGGAAAAGGTTGCATTGTCGGGACTCTTGCTCGGATTGTGTGTTCACTTCAAGATATACCCCTTCATATACGGTGCGAGCATGTTATGGGCACTCGATACTCCCGCACCATCAAGCGAATCCTCGAAGTCGATCTCGCAGCGCGCATTGCAGCTCATCAATACCAACCGCATCACCCTGGTTGTCACCTCAGCACTCACTTTCACAGCACTCAACCTGTTGATGTACAACATCTACGGCATTCCTTTCGTTCAACATACCTTCCTGCACCATCTGACACGAATCGACCATCGGCATAACTTCTCCCCTTACAACACGCTCTTGTACTTGTCCTCGGCCCAGTCTAGGAGCACGTCCGGAATTGAGCCAACACGCTCCGTATCGTTCGAGTCCCTGGCGTTCATCCCGCAACTCCTCCTCTCCACAGTCCTCATCCCTCTCGCCCTGGCGAAACGAGACTTACCAACCACCATGCTGGCCCAGACATTGGCATTCGTCACGTTCAACAAAGTCTGCACATCACAGTACTTCTTGTGGTACTTGATCTTCCTGCCCCTGTACTTGCCGGACTCATCCCTCCTCCGCCGGCGGTGGCTAGGTATGACGGTATTAGCGTTGTGGGTACTGGGCCAAGCTCTCTGGCTGCAACAGGGATATCAACTAGAATTCCTGGGGAAGAGTATTTTTGTCCCAGGGCTGTTTGGAGCAAGCTTGCTCTTCTTTGGAATCAATTGTTGGATACTAGGTATTATCGCCGGGGATGTGGTACAAAAGACGCCAAGGTTGCAGCCGCGGTCAACTTCGACCACGGAGCAAAGGCAAGCAGTCTCTCCACCAGCCAAGAGTTCGGGAGACACGACAAACAAGACGATTGCCTCGGATGTCAAATCAGCGTCAACCGCCACTCGACCGCGTGGAAACAGCACCATCGATACCAGCAGTATCGCGAACGTCCATCTCGGGCCGCGGAATCGTGTGTTGAGGAGTAATTGAGGCCCCAAAAACCTACCAAGATGCTACTGGGCCTCTCGTCGCCTGTCTGGTGCTGTGTTGACCTACCCCACACAAGTTGAGTTGGGGAGCTTTGCCGTTGTGACCTGCTGCATGATTTGAGCCCCGCAACTCCACTTGCATGGAGAAGCTGCTCTACCATGGTGGGTGCGGCGTCGTGACATGGATGTAATGTATATTAGGGCCAGGTGGGTTCCAGGGAAACGCGATGGTTGCGCTATTGATTATACCGGCGTCATATTTTGTGCCTGATCATTGCTGAGCCAACCTGCCGTGTCGCGACGATGGGCGATTCAGATGGAACTCTTGTAAACGGAACTGGTCTTGCCACCGGCGCGAATGGCACCCTTCTCGATGGCCAAAGTGGTGATAACCCACCTGGCCAACAGAGGGACAACGTTATTGTGGCAAGTAACGGTCTTATCGAAGCCGTGGTTCTTATGCTGACGTTGTCTAGGTTGGCGCAGGCCCTGTCGGCCTGCTAGTCGCTCTTCGTCTGGCCAAAGCGGGCATCCCAACAACCGTCCTCGAAATGCTCCCCTATGTTGAACAGTCGCCTCGAGCAGCAGTCTACCACGCCGTCTCTGTTCGAGAGCTCGACCGGGCTGGCGTCCTAGAAGATTGTCGGAAAAGAGGAACTACAGGCTCGGATGTCTGCTGGAGAAAGCTCAATGGTGAGATCATCGCGGAGATCGACCGTAGGCCGGACCCCGGCGAGTATGAAGTCCTGGTCCTGGGACAACATGAACTTGCGGAGGTCATTTTCACGCACTACAAGCGATGCGAGGGTAGCCAGGTGTTGTTCAACCACAAAGTCACTGGGGTCCAAAACTCGGATACCGGAGTGGAGGTGACGGTTGAAACCTCCGAGGGCGTCAAACACCTCCATTCGAGGTATCTTGTCGGCGCGGATGGAGGTCGGAGCAGTGTCCGTCGTCTGCTTGACATTCCTTTCAACGGGTTCACATGGGATTTTAACCTGGTTGCCTGCAACGTCGTGTATCCGTTTGAGAAGTATGGGTTTCAGGGCGGTAACTTTATCGTTGACAAAGACCACTGGTGTCTCATTGCGAAGTTGAGCGAGCCGGGCTTGTGGAGGTGCTCCTACGGCGAGCTTCCTGGCTTGACACAGCAAGAGCTGTTGGATCGACAGCCCATGAAGTTCGAAGCGATTCTTCCTGGTCCGAGACCGCTCAAATACGACTTGAAGATGGCGTCACCCTACAAGATCAACCAGAGATGTGCAACCACTTTCCGAAAGGGCTCGGTCCTCCTTGCTGGGGACGCTGCGCATCTGTGCAATCCCTTTGGGGGCATGGGTCTCACTGGAGGGATATTGGACGCTGGCGCATTGAGTGATGTTCTAATAGCAGTCTTGAACCAAGGCAAGTCGGACAAGCTGCTGGACAGATACTCTGAGTTGCGACGAAAAGTCTTCCTCGAACTGGTCGACCCCAGGTCGCAGGCCAATGTGCGGCGGATATCGCAGACCGACCCCGAAACCGTGGGGCAGACCGACCCGTTCCTGAAGATGCTGAATGATCCGGCGATAGACAAGACGAAGCTGCGAGGGTTGGAGGATCTGTATGTCGACGTTATGGCGGGATACGAATAGGCCAGGTCGGCTTGCCCAAGCCTTCCTTTACTCTCATGCCGCCGTTGAGGATAGAACCCCCGTCTACAATAGAAAACACAGCATGGAAACTGAAGGTTGGGTGCGTGCGCAATAATAGTCTGCGGATGATATGAAACAGCTTGCGAGTTCAAGCCGTCACGCACACTTCCTCAGGCGGCAGCGAGGGTGGCCGTGGCAGTGCAAACGGGACTCGTGCTTGTGGCTGTGCCTCTCGCAATCAAAACGCAACCGCCTGATAATCAAACCACCCGACTCTGAGTTGCCAGCCTCCTCAGCCCCCTTCAGTCGTGTACAACCTGTCCTTGTAGCCAAATGCCGGACATTAAGTGAATGACCCCAGTCCGCCGTCGCGTTTGCGTCCAGCATATTTTCCCACGAGAACGTCGATCCTGCAAGCATCAAGTGGCGGCGACAGCAAAGTTCGTCTGAAGCATTCAGCTGCTCCGCATTCCACCACCCGAAACGCAGCAGACCCAGCAACCGGCCCTGATCGTCTACACCAAACAAGCATTCTGTGCGTGCGTGCAGTGAGTGCGGCCTTCGAGGCCGGCACGATCCCCCTACAATGCCTGTGCAAGAAGTGGTCCTCGACAACCCGGCTGCGGCGCAAGATCTTCAAGGACGGCATTCTGTACCTCCGTCAAAGGTCTCCCGCTCAGACGTCGCCTTCCCCCTAATGACGCTTCGGAAACGAGCCCCCTCCGTGGCAGACGCCCTCGAACAAGTTGGGAAAACAATGGGAGTTCTTACCATACGGGGGACGGACTCGCCAGTCCAAAGTACGGAGACAGCGGACACAAGTGAATTCCAGGACGACACATCGAGGCCTCCAATGTCGCTGAGTGACCTGCCACTGGAAGTCCAGGGCAAAGTGCTCGACTTCATCTTTGGAGACATGCATTCAGTGTACGCCGGGTCGACATCACTGCGAGGAAAGAGCGTCTCGTCCCTCATGCGACATCCACGGAGGAAGGCCGTCTCAGACCTTGCCCTGGTTTCACCAACCTGGCGCGACCTGGTGCAAGAACGAATATACCGACACATCAAGATCAAGGGCACAAGAGCCGGGTTGAAAGAGTCGGAGGAGTTCTTCTGCAACCATTCCCACCTCACGCGGCTCGTCCGACATATCGAGTTCTGGGTGCCGGTCTGGGGAGACAAAGCATCTCTTGACGACCATGCCTTGAATCCTTTTCTCGGTCCGGGGCTGCTCCTCGACGGCAGCAATGCATTCCACCAGCTCGCCAATTTCCCAGCACACGAGCGCGACCTGATACCCGCGCTCGACCCGCTGAGCTTCAGCTTCAAACTATGTGTCTACTCGGCAACGCTGTCGGAGATCTTTGCGCACATCAACTGTTTCTTTCCCCACGCCCGTGTGTTCACTCTCGAAGGTGGCCACTGCAAGAAGTCAAACATGATCCGACAGTTTCCTCAGACGCTGTTTCCCAACCCGAAGCAGCGCCTGGAACCGTTACCGAACATCCGCACCTTTGCCATGCGAGGGGCATGGAACATTATGCGCGAGTACACTCATTGGGCGACCATTGAGAAGGCCCTCCCGAACGTGGAAGAATGGCATTGCGGCTACGCCAAACCGCGGTACGAGGCCGATGTCACGATCAACGAGATTCTCTCCCGCCTACCCTCTCAACTTCGACACGTCAATATCTCCCTCGATGGTATGTACAGCAAAGATCCGACAACGCTCGGATCGAGCTTCCCCGGGTCGCCAAACCCGCACGGCCATCAAATCCAACATCTATGCGAGAGCCTCGGCCAGGTCCTCCCTCATCTCGAATCGCTCTCATTTACCGGCAAAGTCTGCGAATGTCTCTGGACCAGCGCAATCTCTGCGCTCTCGTCGCGGAAGGAAGAGCCCCGGCTCAAGCACCTGGAGATCGTCGTGAAATCGTGCTGCCGACAACGCGTCAGGGAAAGAGACCCCGACACAGGCGAACCCATCACCCATGAGTTAGGCGGCGTGATCGCAGACGGAGCGGGCATCACGAATCTCGTTTTCATCAAAGCCTTTGAACGACTGGTGCTCAAGACTGTGGAGGCCTTGCCGTTATTTCCGAGCCTAGAATACGTGAGGATACGATTCATCGACTTGGACTCCCCCTGCACTTTGCTCAACCCATACTGGCTGCTGGAGAAGACGAGAGTCTACGGCATTTGGAACGAGGAGATTGTGGAACGGCTCGGCGAACTGAAACCCGAAGTCGGGTACGTCGAGTTGGGTGACGGGATTGAGTGCGCAGGTGCAAGTTACCATAAGCGGTCGTCTTCGAATCCCGCTTCCACAGGCCCTGGCGCTACGGCAGATGGATTCGGTACCGTCGCGGTCTCAACGAGCGTTGGATCGAGCTGCAGTCTCTATCCCAAGTCGAAGCCTAAAAGCATCAAGACAAGTTCGTACAAAGTGGTTGCGGAGGCAAGGGGCCAGTGAGTGGGTGCTCGACAACGCGACAGCCAATTCGTGCAGAGGCCGAGTCGTGAAGGACGGAGAGTACGCGTGCTCAGGGTCAGTGTCGCTACAGTATTTCCCGAGCACAAAATATCTTTGGCTGCCTCGCGCGGAGGCGTCATTGCAGGGCACATTACTATTCCCCCATGGATTCAGCTGTCTGGCTGGCTGGTTGATAAAAGTTTGTTATTCTACAGTAGATGTATGGTTGCTGGATGATGGGTGGAACATTTGTTCGTCGGTTGAGATCTCTCGAATACCGTTCCGTGCCATTGCATCTCATATGGGAGCTTTGGATACTGTCCAGTCGACGACATACGGGGTACTCTACTGGTTGATGATTAACATGTTTCTAGCAGGGAGTTAAAGGCAAGTTGTCGCGCGTGGGGTCTTGCAAATTAGAGAAGCATTCAGTCAGTGAAGTGCGTTAATAGAAAAAGCAGCTCGATCCTGGTTCGCCCACACCACAGGACCGAGTACAGAGGCTCAGAGGGCGCAATAGGTGTGAATTCGGTCAGGAGATAAAATTCTCCAACACGCTGTGGCTCTGTCGCCTGCTTCCTCCATTGCAGAGTCACCACTGTCGATGTTTTCGCTTAATAAGATCCTCCTCCACGTGGGGATCGGGGCTGCCAAGGGCGCCGTTGACTCGGGCGGCCCCCTAGGCCAACGCCCCCCGCGGCGCCAAGCCGTTACCCACTCGTACTTGGTACTCGTAGGCGGCGCGTCGATCAGCTTCCAGACTCTAAATCCGTAACTCGAGCCTCATTACACCGCGACACTACAACGGCGCCTCGCATTCACGCATCAAGGACACAGCCGAACATGAGAAATTGCATCGACAGGATGGACTCGGACTCGGACTCGTCCCGCCACTCACCCTGCACTGGTTCCCCTTGCGGTTTGAAGATGCTTGTGTGTAGGGTCGCTGCCTTCTCGGCGCCTCGCATGGTTCGCATTGAGGGCGGCGAGGCAGGACGTTTCGGCAGCCTTCTCATCAAGAGTAAAGCAAGTGTGTAGTGGCTGCGGCTGAGATGGTCTCGCCCCTCATGCGCACCATGCGTCTCCTGGATCTGCCTGCCTGATCTTCGATGCCTTATATTGTTGCGCCCTGTTTTCCATCCTTCTTTGGCCTCGCTCTCGACGCGATTTCTCAGTCTATTTCCACACAGGACTTTACCGTCGACACTAGTTTCGCTCGCTACTGCCAGCGCCGCTGCTTCCTCCTTGAAGTATGGGCTCTCCAATCAGTATCGGCGGCTTTATCAGTGTCTGCCAAGTCGCCTACACGGTGAGTGATGGCCCTAGATCAGGCCACACCGGCCCTGAGCTTCTGCTTGGCTGAGTCCAATGAGTTTATCGTCGCCCTTTCGCTGACTGCGCCTCAGATATATGACCGCTGCAAGTCCTCCGTGACCGAGTTTCGAGAGCTCTCCAGGGAAGTAGCGAGTCTTCAGATCATCCTCGATGACATAAATCCTTCTGGAAAAGAAAGGAAGAGCGCGGCCATGCCTTGCCAGAAGACAAACAGATACGGCTAGGCTCGCTATGCTCCGGGTGTGGTGAGGTCCTCGACGATCTGGGAGCCCTCCTCGTCAAACACCGACAACTCGGAAGAACACAGAGCTTCAGAGAAAGATTGAGATGGGCACCCAAGGATATAGGTCCCATGCGCAACAGGCTCATGGCTCAGACCATGTACCTGAGTTCATTGCATGCCAGCTTGGTGTCTGTTCCCCCCGTCGTCTGCGCCAGAGATTGGTAATTACTAACTACCTGGTAGGGCTTCATCCACCGCAGATGAGCAAGAAAGGTCGCAAGCCCAGATCCTACTAGCCGTGAATACCATACATAAGGGATATGAAGACGGAACCCGGAGAACTTCTGCCCTCTCACAAGCCACCGTTGAGGACATTGACGTCGATGAAAGCGATGCCTGGGAAGGTATCACAAGCGAGATTCAGCGGGAAAATGTCGACAGAACCGTCATCCATGCTAACCGAAACTTCATCAAGCGTTGGATGTTCCGCGTTATGCTGGCGGATGTTGGAGAGTCTGACGAATACGGTGCCGAACAAGAGGCACCGCCTACATCGGTCACACAGCAACCAACGTCTCCACTTGCTGAGACTGAAGACATGTATGGCGCTCCCGAACGGACAGCGTCATGGGTGTCATCTCAAAGCCGGCCCCAAACCGAATATGATGTGATATCTTCAGGAGTACCAGATTCGAGCGATCATCAACCGATGGAAAGGACGCCCAGCTTCGGCTCGCACCGAAGCAAATCCAGCGATTGGCGCCCAGTGGCCGGACCAAATGCCGACTATGTGGAATCACTACTCGCCCGACTTTTGTCGTCGGATGAAACAGTTGAAAAGAATCGGGAACATGTGACCCTGATCGCGAAGCGCATGTTCTGTCAACTCGACTTCTCCGGCCAGGGACATCTCTATCATAAATCGGTCGAGAAAAGATGCTGGGCGGCCATACAAAAGAGCGAGGTCAAGCTTGAAAGAGCACATCTAAGGCGATTGATCAAGGCCGGTGACAAGGACCATAACAACAAGATCGACCTTCATGAATTCATCACATTTGTCAGGGAGCTCTTGACGGCTGCGCAGGCCGCCAAAGAAGCTGGATTCAGAGATGCCATCGAGGCCAGTAATGAGGAAGGGCTTGACTATATGAGCACATATGTGCAGAAGCGCTCGACTGCAGCACTACCTTGGAATTCGAAGCGCCCAACATCATCACGTGCAACTTGGATGTTTGCAACTCGACGGATGACCACCCTGTTTCGCTCGGATCGGCCGCCACATGCTGATCTTAGCACATTTGCCAACATCGAGCTCGCCGCCAACCGATGCATTGATGTTCTTGGAGCAAAGAGATCACAATACTAAGCAAAGAACAATTCGGTGAATATCAGCAGCCATTCAGGAACGTCCTCGAGGTCGCTGCCCAATTCTCGCTCTTCAGCCAACAAGACCCTGAGGGCACACTGCATGAGCTTGACCGCTTCGACGAGGTTGCAGCACTGGTTCCCACGGAGGAGGATGAGACGTATCAAGACTGTCCGATCATGGAACTCAGGCTCCTTAAGGATCAGAGTTTCGCGCTGCTTCGATCTCTGCTCGGTTTCGTAATGGTGCTGGATTCCGGGACCGGTGCAAACCACGAGAAGACTCCATTAAGTCTTGAGGATTGGAGGAAGTTGCGGATCACAGACCGCGCCGATCGTATACTCCAATCCTCGAGTTTCTTCCTGGGAGCGAGGCGAATCGTGGATGAAAGTCGCCAGTGGCTGAGCAGCCATCCGCAATTGACCGGAGCTGCCTCCGAGGGCCTAGAGACCGCCTTGAGGCTATATCGTCAGCAAATTCAACTTGAGCATGCGAGGCAGACGGCTTCCCACATGGTGCAGCTACAGTCCGAAAATATGGTCACCATCGAAATTGTCAAAGCAAAAGGGTTCCCCAAAAAGAATCGGATCCGTATGTTGCTCTTCTTGAGCCGAGGCACGTGCTGACAGCAGAGCAATAGGAACGCCCAGTGTCCTAGCTAAGTTGACCGGGCCCCCCATGACCAGGGTCTCTTTGTCGACAAATTTCGAAAAGGGGTGTGATCCGGAGTGGAATTTGAGAGATCACTGCGGGTAACATGCGAACTCTACACGATACCGGTCTCGACTGTGAAAGCTAATCTACTATAGGCCCGTACGATTGTTCGACAGGTTTAAGATCGAGGTCATTGTTATGTATGAGGGCATCGGCGGGCAGACGTCCACAGTCTGGGGATACCATAACTTCTCCGCTGCCCAGGTAGTGCCCGACCTCAGCATCTCGCAAAGACGTCAGTGCCCTCAACTATGGTTGATCTTTCTTCGTTTCCCCATCTGCTGACCGGGTCCAGATCAGAAATCTTTCCGGTTGCAGAATCCTAGCTCGAACAAGCCTGTCGAAGGGAAGATAACACTGGCATTTACACCACACGCCGCGGACACCGCCGAGATGCCGCGAGAGGAGAATACGGTGTTTTTGCTGGTATCCGGCAATTGTTGAAGAGTGTGTCTCAATTGCCGGTCCCGCCTGGGTGGGAGATGAAGCACACTGTCGACGGCAGGGTATTCTTCACTGGCAACCGAACCCATCACACGTTCACCACAGCAGCGGCTTATGTGGAATGAGATTTGCGTTGCGGTTGTGTTGCTTGGTCAAGTGTGATGTTGCTTCGTCAAGTGTGATGTTGCTTCGTCAAGTGTGATGTTGCTTCGTCAAGTGTGATAGATAGGAGGTCGTCCATGTTGATCACTAATTTGCGGAGCTCATACATATATCTAGCTTGAGATCTGCTGTAGAAACCAAAATATCGGAATTGTTGGCACAATCTCCAGCATTCGACTATGCAACTTTACGTACTGGAGGTGCTGTAGATCTCATCTTTACCTGAGTCGCGACCAAGTATAGAAGGAAGGCTTTGTAGTACTCACATCTACGTCCTCGCATACGACGGGTCAGATTGAGAAGGATCTAGAGCTAGAGGTCACGCTCCCCTCTCTACGTTACATAGGGCTTAAGAGGATATAAAGCACATGGGCATCCGGCATGGTACTGCATACTGTATACTGTATTTGCATGTCCATTCCAGCATGCTGTACTGTCTTTGATTACACCAGCCAGTCAGACGGGTAAGTATGAGTCGCTGCAGCCTGTCAGACGGGTGAGTGAGTGTACCTAGGTAGCCACATCCAGGGTGAGTCTGGGTCTCAGTCTCAGTCTCAGACTCGGTCTATGTTCAATACTACCTAGGTACCTTTTCCCTTTGACAATGACTGTACCCTGCTACCTAGGTCAACATATCCGTCCAGTTCAAAGTCAATCCGAGTCAAACCCGGGCAAGGTCCTGTCATGCTATGCTATGTCATGTCGAGTCAAGCAAGCGTCAACCGTCTGTCAAGCTCAATGACGGCCACACTCCATCCCTCCCTATCTTTGTCCCTATCCCTGTCCCTATCCCTGTCCCTGTCCCCCTTCTCATCACTAAAATCATTCCTGATATACACGCGCAGACACAAACAGAGAGAGACACAATGGATGCCCTACGTCTCTGCTCAATGAGTCAAGGCATAATCTTCCTTGATCACCGCAAAATGTACCTCCACAGAATACCCTTCATGCATCTACTCAACCAGTCAAGCTATAATCCTCCTTGATTACACTACAGAGTGAGCTTCATACCTCCACTCAACAAGTCAAGCCGTAATCCTCCTTGATCAGCAGGCCCGCCTTCTCGGCAAGCATAAACACGGGCCCCTGTAGATTCACGTCCGGCAGCCTGGGAACGGTACTCACATCGGCGACACGCAGACCCTGGACGCCATAGACGCGCAGCCGTGCATCGACGACGCCGCCGTCCCGCTCCGGCAACATCTGGCACGTGCCGCTGGCGTGCCAGTTCGGGATCGTGTTGGCCTGGATGTACTGGAAGATGACGTCGTCCGAGGCGTTGGCCGGCACGTGCGCCCATCCGGGCTGGACCTCGCCGTTGGCCGGGCCGACCGTGTACTGCGCGAGAGCCGGGTGGGCGAGCAGTTTGCGCAGGTCCTTGAACGCGTTGATGGCCACGGCCCGGTCGGTCGCGTCGGCGTAGTAGTTCGGGTCGATGTTGGGGGCGTCGGACATGGACGACGACTTGAGCGTGACGCTGCCGCGGCTGAGGGCCACGAGCGGGGACGCCGTCAGTGAGATGTACGACAGGTTCGACTGCGGAATGTAGTATGCCTCGGGGGAGTTGGGGGTGGTGGGCGGTGCCGTCCAGGAGCAGGAGGCACTGGAGCCAGAGCCAGAGCCAGGACTGCTGGGCAAGAGGGCCACGTTGCTTGGGTAGAAGACGGATTCGTAGAGGAACTCGACGTGTGATTGGTTGACCAGGCCGGCGTCGAGGACGGCTTGGGCGCCGATGGCCTGCAGCGTCGCGTTGGAGAGCTGTTGGAAGGCGTTGGTGATGCCCGAGGGGGCGGACCAGGGGCCCGTTCCGTCTGTGAGGAACTGTTGCTCCGCGGCGGCGAGGGTGCTGTCGTTGATGGCTATGGAGCTGGTTGACGCCGACTGCTGGACCGTGGCCATGATACTGAAGACGGAGTGGTCGTTCATGCTACGAGCACGGGCGGTCAGGTCAGTACAGTACAAATGCGGATTCAAATGTAAATATATGCGCAGGTGACAACCGCATTCGAGTCGGAGACCTACTTTTGACCGACGTTCTCGTTGATGTATACTGGCTTGATGCCGTTGGTGGTCAGCTGAGCCTCAGGCCCAATACCCTGTTCGAAGTGGTATTAGCAACGAGAGTCCCGCGGCTTCATACATGCATGCATGCAGGCTTACGCACCGAGATCATTAGAAGCTGAGGTGTGTTGAAAGCTCCCATAGTGATGATGACTTCCTTGGCGGCATAGACGTTGATGAACTGCCCCGTCGGCTGGTCTGTAAAGGACACGCCTGTGGCGGTAGACGTCCCGTTGCTGCTCTTGGTGAACTGAATCGCCGTAACGGACGCATAATGGAGGACGTCGAGGTTTGTGCGGTTTTGGATCGGCACGTAAAAGGCCTCGTAGCTGGAGCTGCGTCTGAGTCGACTGTCAAAACATCCGGTACCCTGCTTGACGCCTGTGTTGTTACCATTGTTGAGCTCGTCGACGATAGGGATGCCGATCGCTTCGCCGGCTTGGATGAAGCCGACATTTGAATTGGGGACGTATCCCTGGAACGCGATCTGGAGCTCTCCATTCGAGTATGCTGTTGGATCCCACGTCTCGAAACTGTGGTCGTTGGCGTCGTTGAAGTTGGGGGCATTGAAGTGTGTTTGCTGCACAGTTTAGCCATGATCACAGTTTCGTGGCCACCGCTGTGGAGGCTACCCACCTTGACGGCTAGAGGGTAGAGGTCATCCCATCCCCAGCCTGGGTTGCCAAGCTGGACCCATTTGTCAAACACGCTGGCGCTCCCTCTTCCGTAGTACAGGCCGTTGATTGTCGAACTACCACCTAGCCCACGGCCTCCTGCGCGTCGGTCAGCACCTCCGTTATATTTCTGGCCGGACAGCTGCATGGCGCACACATACGGTGATAGGGAAGAATCCGATTGTTCAAGTTCTTCTGCGGCACCGTATAATAGTTGTAGTCAACCGCCGTTCCTAGGGAGCGTAGTGCTTAGTTACTGGAGCAGGGATCGATGGACAGATCGTAAGAATTTACCAGCAAGATACTGATTGCCGCCGGGAGTCTTTGTGTTGGCAACCACATCTGGGACTGGCCCGTTTTCGAGCACGAGCACTCTGATATCGGGGCATTCAGTCAATCGATTCGCGATGACAAGCCCTGCAGTGCCGCCTATGGATCATTAGCTACCATGCAGGCATGCCAGCACCGAGACACTCCAGCCTAAAGGTGTTGTCCTACCCCCGGCGATGATGAAATCGTACGTATCTTGAATAGTCTGTCGTTTGATCTGTTTGATGGGTTTAGCACAGACCAGACTAACGGCCACAATGGCAATAATTGCAGGAAGATGCATGGCTGCAAGATTCCTTTGAGCAGCCCTCTCTAGATGAATGAAAGTAGCGACCGAGCCAGGAGATGAGGCTCCACGTTCAGCGTTGATTTATATTTCCCCAGACACCGCCCAAGAAACGACACGCACAAACATGGGTCGCCCAAGCCCCTCCATTGTCGTCATGGTACGGCAGCCACGAGACATAGTATGTTCAGGCCAAGTCAGCTCGACGACCAGACACTGTGAGGTCGATCGTTATAGGTATGCGGAAATAGGCTGCTGAAACGATCGAGTCGATCACCATCGTTCTTGCTCTGCTGCCTTACGGGGCCTGTCCAACAGGTGTTCGGTCCTGAGGGCACTCGCATGACAACGTAATATCATACCGAGGGGAAAGCTTCGCTCTGACAGCAAGGAGCCCAGAGAGAGATCGCAGCCCATAGGATTGCTGACTGTTGGAGATCGATGCTGACTTACTGCATTTCCTGGGCTGATCGGTGTTGGAATATCTGTGAGGTCCGAATAACATCGTGGGGAGTTGCGGCGCTCCGCTTGGGCTCAATCTGAAAACAAGACTGTGTTCTCGATGATCTCCTCCCATGGCGCAGGAATTCTATGCTAAGCGAGGTCGATTGACGAGTTGCTCTAAAACCAGACTGCACTCGATTGCGAGTGTGATGCTCGAGGGCCTCACAGCTGGACCGTGGGTACAGTAAATGCATTAGTAAACGGGTTGATGCTTCAGAAGTTGTAATCCCTTTCCGTGTTCGGATTCTGTGTCCCACTTCCCAGAGCGGTTATATCACGAACGTCTGCGTGTCGTGCTTATGTTGAGTCCCGAGTCCGGCGCACGGGCTCCACTGACCTAATCAAAAGCTCCCTGTCCGCGAGTTGAGCCTCGTCAGCAAAACCACCATGCCGATCGTCGCCCAGTGGGTTCTTGTGTTGTCAGCCACAACACGGCTCGGGGTGGCTGGCTGTTTTCCATCTTCAGTAGCGAGAAGGAGCATGAGGCAACCTGCCACAGCCGATTCCCGTCCGACGCGCTGGAGCACTGAGCTTGGCGTTCGAGCCCTCATGGTGCGAGTTCAGCACCTATTCGTCTTTGCCGTCGATCAAGAGTCTGAGCATTGTCGGCACACGTCAGCCTTGTGTGAAGGAGCTGCTGAACCAGAAAAGAGGCTGCAAATCATCCCAAGGGGACCACTGTGAAGAGCCTCGTAAGATCGCGACTTGTGACATCAGGGCGAAATGTTGCTGGACCTCGCGTGCCAGTCCACCTTACGCTTACTACTCGCTCCTCGCCCGCCATTCCAGCGGCGACCGTCGTGAAGCTGAACCACATCAATGAGCGGTACATGCCGGCAGGAGCAACTGACAAAGAGCGGCGTGAGGTCTGTCTGAGAAGGATCCCACTGCCGTGTCCGTATACGTCTCGCTCCTGAAAATGATGAAGTCATCCTGCGCATGTACACGGACCGGTCTTCTACCGTTGCAGGTAGGTATCATAGACCTTCGCGACTTGGAATCTCTCGGACACCAGAAAACCAGTAGCGCTATGGCAAGTAAAGATTCAATACTTTGACGGGCAATTTTCTCCTAAGCGGATTGTTCACATGCCACAGATATATGCTTGAGCTAGATACCTTCGTTGATGCAGATTGAAAGCGATGGAGCCCGGACAGATTGGCCACGCAGGGCTGCTCGTTATCGAGCAAGGACTGTGACATCTTCTCAGACAGATTGCCATCAAGAGCTAGCTCTTGAAGTCAGAGTCAGGCACTATCGGCATCGACAAAATCCAGGCACGATACGTGACGGGTTGAGCTCACTGCATGAAGGTATTCGAGGGTACTTCGTATACACTCGATGCTTTCGAAGCGGTCATCCGAATGTTTCAGCTTGAGCACAGAATTTTCTCATCTGAAGAAACGATTGACTGGTATGGGAGCCTGAACCGGAGTCAGGCCGCCCATCAAACCCCACGATGGCCGTCAGCAACCGAACTTCCCGGCCTGACATCGACGCAGGACTGCAGTTTGACCCTGTCCGTCTGGTACACCTACATCTGCAACGCTCTACAGCTGAGCGCTGAGGTAGCGCCGGGCAAGGATGGCGCTCGATCCGGAGCATGTCGACTATCTCGGCTCGATCTTGAGTTCCGACGAAATCATCTTTCCCTCGTCATATCGATACCGCGCTGAATCATTGCCATGGGCGGCTCAGAAAGACCAAAAGCCGGTGTTGGTGATTCGCCCAGCAAACGTCGAATCCTTGAGCAAGGCCTTAGCGTACCTTTCAACCACTGATTTGGGTATTGGCATTCGCAGTCAAGGTGTGGGCTCAGCTTCGGCTAAGGATGTCTTGATTAGCTTGACAGCCTTTGATGGCATCGAGTTCGACCAGCAGAATGAGACCGTCACAGTCGGCGCCGGACAGAGTTGGGGGGAGTACTATGAGAAGATGGACAAGATCGCGCCGGGATATGCGAGTGAGCTGTTCGTCGACAGTTATAGTAGATGTGCTGACGTCCTCTGCAGCTGTCTCTGTGCGCACACCTTGTGTAGGCGTTGGTGGAAGTATTCTCGGTGGTGGATACTCCTGGCTGTCCTCGGAATTTGGGTTGACTTCGGATCCGGTCAATTTGCTTGATGCCCAGGTTGTCAAAGTCGATGGCACCGTGTTATGGGCGGCCGAAGATCCTGACCTGCTCTTTGCCCTCAGAGGAGCGTATGGCTTTGCTGGTAGGAGTTCACACGATGCGGTCCTGGTGGAAAGCTGATGCCGTGACAGTGGTTACCCAGTTCAAACTCCGAGCTCGCACGTATCAGCATGAGATATGGGGAGGTAACATCTTCATCCCAAGGACTCAGCTAAAAGCAGTCGTCGAAGGCATCGTGGCCATGGACTCGAGACCACCCAACCCCAAAGTAGCCTTCTATCTGTTCATGATGCGAAAAGAACAACTAGCCTTCATACGCGCGGAAGAAGACATGTTGATGATTCAAGCGTTCGACGCATTAGGCGCAGCGCACGGCAGAAGTCCTGGTGGCTTCAAATGGGCGCTTGACTGTCCTGGGGCCGTCGACAAGACCAAGACCTTGAGCCTCTCAGAACTGGCCAAGTTGCAAGGTAGGTCCCTTGTTTTTGATTCGAGGATCCCAGATTGACAGTTCCGACACAGAGAGCATTGGAAAGATCAAAGGCACAGCGAACACGTGGTGGGCACCAATGGCCCTGTCCATCGTGGATGATGCAATACTTCTTCGAGCGTTCGACTGGTATGACAAGGCGGCGAAGTCACCTGGCACCGTTGGGGAACGTGTGGCTTTGTTCTTCGAGTTCTTCACCACAGTAGGCATTTGATCCGCTTGATATTTCGGCAGAGTTAACCGAATGTCCCAGCGAGACTCTTTGACCCCGGATATCGAGTCAGCTTGGCCACGTCCCAGAGGCTTCCAGCACAAGATAACGATCAGCGCTGGGACAGACATCGCTGCGTCTGACAGAGAAGCCGATATGGCGAGAAGTCTTGTCCGCGACGGTGCGAAACAAGTGGTGAACTTATCAGGTCCCATCCAAATTGTACCCAACGCCATAGAGGACTTTCATGACCCTGTCGCCCAGGTGAGTCCGATGCGTGATACGAAGGCGCGTTTCTGAACATTGCCCATAGATATATCGAGAACACTATCCACGACTGCAAGAGTTGAAGAAGAGATTCGACCCCGATAACAAACTGGGAGGTCCTGTCAAGTTGACGTCGCCAGTGCGATTTTGAAGCCTGCAGACGACCTGGCCGTGGAGTAGCGGCCAACAAGTACTCTTCTGCGTTGCGATTCAGCGCCGCTGGATTGTGCTCTGGAACTTCTTCGCACCGTGTCCTTGATCAATTTCTTCAAAGTATGGCTTCTTTGCTGGATGGAACCATTGCGGCGGCCCGAAGAATGGCTCGATCAACTCAGTGTCTTTCGATGGTATTGGGTGAAAGTCATCTGGGAACGCCACTGCCACGTCAAGGCCTGAGAGCTCACAGTTCACTTCAATTGGTGTCTCGTCCAGGAGTCCATGGCGAAGAGTGTTCATCGACCAGCCGAGCCACTCTTCAGTGTCATTTCGCTCTTCGTTCTCATCCTCATTGTCCCAGCCGTCGCTGACCGTGTTCTCCTCACCGTCAGAGTCCGGTTCAGCCATTGTCCAGAAATCACGTCTGTCAAAAAGCACTTGATAGTCAGTGTGGTGCTTGCTTTGGTAATATTCGTCTTCGGTAGTGAGGGCATAGTAGGCCTCCGCTCTGCTAATCCTATCGAGGACGAAGCTTGCCTCCCATACAATTTCTGTTTCAACCCTGCCGAAATGGTCGTAGAGAGCCTCCTCCACGACTTCTTGCTCCGAGGCGAAGGGATAGTCGAAATCATCATCGAGGTCCCCGTGGAAAATATCAACGTCCTTGCCCCCCAAATTAGGATAGGAAAGCTTTCGAGCTTCGTCAAGCGCTTTTGGCGAAGGATTGAGTCTCTCCCCTAGCCACCCAAGCGGCTGCTTGAAATCAGGAGCCAATGGATCTTGAAGTGCTTCTCCTAACGAGCCGGTTTCGATGTATGACGCGATTCTCCAGTCCATCTCGTAGCGGAATTTGTACTCGAGTTCCAATGCGCTGTACCTGTGCCGATCACTATTGTGGAGTGTGCCACCATGGTTGTTCCTCCGTTCGACCAGCTCATACTGCAAGGTCCCCAGGTTGTCAAAGAAATCGAGTATCCTCCTACGGGCTCTCGCTGCCCAGCCCACCAATGCTGGATCTTTCCTCGGCAGACCCCGGGGGTCAACCTGAAAAAGCACGTAAAGCACCGGAACATGAATACATCCTTCTGTATGAATACCCTCCTCGAGCTTTATGTCGGCCAGAGCGGCAGCTCTGTATAGACGCGGGGAAACTTTGAAAGGCTGATCTTCAGGGTACAAGAAGTACTCAATGGCGAGGGTCTCGCGCAGCCAATGCGCATTGCGAGTTGCCCGTAGGGCTCGTTCGTCGAGGAGTTGCCAGAAGTCCAGTGACGGTCGCTGTTGTAAATCCTCGGTATCAAACCCTATCATCTGTGTGACTACATTGCGAAAGGCATCCGTATGATGCAAGTTATAACTCTGTGCCTTCTCATCGCCGATGGTCAACACCCCCAAAACTCGCATCTGACAGTGGAAGATGAGCTCAGTGTCCCAGTCGGCGGTATACGCATTCAGATCATAATTTTGCTGAGTCACAGCGTCTTTGGACTCTTCATCCTCATAGATATCACTGTCTCTCATCAAGCGGATATCCCACATGCACATCTCTAGTGCCAACGAGCGGTTATCCTCGTCGGCACCCGACAAGCACCGGGCCAGCAGAGTTTCTAGATCGTTCGGTCCTCCTGTGAACCGGCAGAACCAGAGAGGGAGACTTCTCTGCTTAGAGACGGCTTGGAACTTGGTAATAGCGTACGCCAGGTTATCTGCTAGCCACATCCTCACTTGGCCCCATGTACACCAGGAGCTGTTCAGCACGGCTCGGGTCATGCTTCTGACATCCCAACTGGAAAGCGGAAGATCAAGGATAGGAACAAGGTAGTGCAAGTTGTAGACGCTGAACATTTTATCAACATCATGGCTGTAGAAAGTCAGGAGAAAGGCAGCACGGTAAACGGCTTTTGTTCCTGACAACTTGACAGCAATTCGCGGCGAAGCTGTGAGCAGGTTTCCGTTCATGGCAGTGAGGAACACCTGTTGTAACAACTCATCCGGCAGATTTTCCAGGTGACAAGATGCGGCGATACGAGTTTCTGTTTCCGTCATAGCTCTCCGACGTTTATTCGCGTGGCCGTTGAGCTGACGCAATGTTGAGGTTGTGTCGGAGTAGATCGAGCCATTCCGCGTTCGCTTCAGAGAAGACGTCCACTCCATGGCCGTAGAACTCTTGCCCGTGGCTGTGATGGGCGCCTTGCGTCCTGCTGACTGTGATGACTGACTGTCAGGAAATCGGAATGTTGTCCTTCAAGGAGTGGAAGCGAAGTCTCAAAAGTAATTGGTGATTAAAGACGCGTTCACCCTGACGCGCAGTCACGTGTATTCGAGTCACGTGCGCGGGAGGTCGATTAAGACGAATACTCGCCATCAGAGCGGAAGATATCATGGAGCGACTGCAACAAACAGGTGGGGAAAGGAGATCTAAAGGCCTCATTCTAAGGGACACTCTATCCCAACATCATCAAGTCATGTCTCGTAGTCTCGTCCTCGTACGCGTCGATATCGTCATTTCGTGTCTTTCAACTCCCCAATGCTTCGCCCACATGGCATGCTCGCTTGTTCGCTATGCAACCGCTAGATTCCAATCCGCATAAAAGAGCGACTCCTGAACTTTGAAAAGCATGCCCTTCCCGATCACAGTTATATAAAGCTGCCGGTCTCCTGGAGAGCGATTCTGAGATGCTCACGATGGGTAGATGCTGTGATAGAGATGAGAAGACAGGTAGACAGTGCAATGCCACGCAGCGCCATGCTGGTAACGATTCCATATCCAACGGTGTAAATTTCGTCAAATGCCCAATAACTCCTCCCCCAGATCGGCGGCAAGATTTCCCATCGTTGCTCTCATCTTCTCCGGCTCCTTTTTATTCTCGTTGTTTGGTGGTGGCGAGTTGGATGTGTTTCTATGCTTCTTCTCCATCCAAATAGCGCGTCAGCGCATCTTCGACCTACTCTTGCTGTTGTTCCCAGCCAAGAAAATAGGGGCAAGATTGAAGGGAAATCAGTAGTCGCTCTCGCGACCGCGACTCACCGCACGTCGAGACCTCGAATGCCTGCTACGGGTGTCGTCGTAGTCCGGGGAGACACCGCCAGTTTCTTCATATATATCTCTTGCGCGATTCGAATCTTTGATTGCGAGTCTGTCGTCGTAGTGCCCACCGGCGCCGGATCCACCTCCACGGTAGCTTTCACTACTCTGGGGTACAGGGCCATCGTAATACCAGCGACCGTCACGTCCCTTGTAATAACCGCCATGCTCTCGTGCTCGGGCACGGCGTTCTCGCTCCAAGCGCCTCTTGTGGTGTTCCTCCTTTTGCGAGAGGAGTTCCTTGTGCTGGCTGTGTTCTTCCGAAACTTCATTCCATTCACTCACCGCACCCTTGATGCCCAGCGCCGCGATACCGATCGCGGCAGCGTCCTGCCATCGGGACGCCCGTTGCTGCTTGTGAGCCTCTTCTGGAGACAACTTCCCTTCGCGGACTTTCTCCATACGTTTGTCGTGCGACTCAATCGAGGAGTACACCTTCGAGGCGGCATGAATGGTAGCCACACTGGCCAACGCGGCGGTTATCCATTTTTTCCGTTGCATCTTGGAAATGTTCTTCTCTTCTTCGGTCGACGAAACCAACGAGGAGGAGGAGGAGGACGACGACGACGAGCTCCGTTTGCGGCGAGAGCGACCAGCGGACGATTTTGCACGTACTCGAGAGCGCGGCGGAACTGAGCCTTCAGAGTCGTAGTAACTGTCTCGATGATGGTCTCGATCTCGGCCTCGATTGTAAGCAACTAGAGCCCCAGCCCCAGCACCAGCGCCGGCTGCTCCCACTGTTCGAGCGTTGTTCATAGAACTGGATCTCCGTTGCTGACCGGGACGACCGGGTCGTCGAGGCAGGATTTCACCCCTATGTCGCACCACTTCAACAATCTCTTCGTCCGAACCCACGTCTCTCCGGCGCCGCAACACAAGACCTTTCTCTTCCATTGTTCTCCTGTCGTAGAGATCGGGATCTCGTTGAGGGCCCTGTCCACGCATTTTCTTGTATTTACGGTGTAGGGGATCGAGAACCTTCTCCTGATGGGTAAGGGCGAGGTTGACGCCATTGAGGCCGATACCGATAGCCTGATCCATTTTGAAACTAGCCGGGTGTCACACTGCTGGGGTCTTGTCGTGGCCCTTCCTGGTCTTTCGGCTTTGCACCTCGTGCAGCGGAGGCGCAATGGGGGTTCACGGACGCCTTGCAGCAATCTGCGCCCGGATTGTAAACGGCTGAAGGGCGGTTCAGGTGAAGGTGCAGGTTGCAAGGGCAAATTGACCTATTGGCTGATTGATGACCCGACCTTATGCTTGATTGGGATGCTGATCAACCGGCCCGACGCAGAGCAAACATTGTGCAGGTACACAAAGCAAGGCTGGACTATCGATCGCGACGTCGACGAGATCTCGTAAGCGGTTATGCTCGCACAGAGGCTTGGGGTTGCGGGTGAAAGTCAGAGGACAAGCAGACAAACGCAGACCATAAGCAAATAGAAGTAATAAAGCGCAGAGTCTAGCGAGAAGACGTCATTGTGTAGCTTGCTACACCGACTTTGCAGATACTCATTGGGCTGCGGAAGGTATTTGAAGGCAATAGGCTGGATATGTACGGAGTAGAAAGGAACAGAAGAAGCAACGGGCAAGGGTTTCGCGGGCCCTTATAGCATTGGACAAGCAACTCGGCAAGTGGCGCTGGACGGGGACCGCAAATGCCCCTGAACGGGTTAGCTCTCGGGGGCAGGCAAGAATGCCATCTTGTCGTGGCCCACTTCATAACGGCAAAGCGCGAGGACTCATCGCCCGAACATGGCAGATCCTCCGCAAGGAAAGCTTGAGCGGTATGTCAGGGTCGATCCGGTATTTCTGGATCGACGACCATGCGGCGGCCGCATAACCGAGACGTCGAGATGGCCAAGACGAAGCAGGAACAACAGTGCTGCAACAAGAATCCGGTGGTCTCTTAACCTGGACAAATCTCAGAGCCTTTTCTCCCTCAAAAACAGGATGATCCTACGAGGTGGCGCTCCCGAAACGGAAGGCACGAACCAGCCTCCTCGATCGATGGCTTGGGCGAGCTGAGCTCTCAAGCCGTTTTCAAGAAGCGGATCGGGGCAAAAGACAGCACCTGATGCACTGGAGAAGGCGATGACGTCGGTGCCTGAGCATCGGCACTGTCAATTGGTTCCCGGTTGACGCGCGGTCATTCTGGTGACCCACATTTTGGCTAGCCTGCAATGCAAATATCTCATTCGTTGAGCGCCTCGGGAGTCCCATCTGCCGTTGACGGCAAAAGCGAATTCCCCCAGATCCCCTTGCCCAATGCACCTTTGCCATGTGTGCACAAGTGTACGAGTCGATTCGATGACGGTGGCAGAGCGTCAGAGACATCCTGCGCAACCGATGAGGAGTGTCAGGTGACAATGGCAAGAACTCTAGGAGTATCATCGGAAAGATTTGGTGCCCAACACGGGAGACTCGAGAAAACTGCCCACTAAGCCTGTGTACACAGTACGTTTACCCGGACCTCTGCATCGGGTGAGTACCATGATAACAGCAGACTACTCAAGAACGAGGCTTTCAAACCATAGGTCGCTCTATTGCATTGGCGAAGGCGAGAATCTACTCTCCAGGACACGTGAAGTACTGTAAAATACTCTGTATTCTGGCGAGAAAATGGAATAATTTGGGCGTTGATGTGCGCCAAACATCATTTATATTAGCGGTAGCGGTATATGTATGCTCGACCGTAACAGGACATCTTAAGGAAGTAATCTGAGGCCTGTCAATTGTCAATGGCGAGCATTCGTATCGATCAATTTTAGCACATCTTCGGCACAACAACAGTCAATGAAAGCGGCTGAGTTGCAATTTGACATCCGTGCTTTTGCGTCATCTCAGCGGCAATGTCAACCTTTTCCATGTTAGTTACGGGTTTGCTGGCAAGGATTTGTGGGACAACGAGAATGCCAGGTGATTTGTCCTATTAGTTGTAATGTACACGTTCCGGTGCTGATATAGGCATTCATAGTTCGCCATGATTCGTGACATTGGTCAGAGTCCGGTTTTGACCACCAAAACCTGGGATGAGACCGCTCGCCTTGATCTCAACCCAGGACTTCTTGAGTTCCTCGAATGCAATGTCGAATCTGGCGCCTGCGAGCCACGCAACACCCAGCTGTGGCACGTTAGCGTGGCCATATGAGTGAACAAAGCGCACCTACCATGCAAAATGTGATGAAAAGCAGCATGCCTAGCACCCCGCCCAGCAGCATCAAGGTCTCTTTGGTACCCGCGGTGCCTGCCTCCTTCTCTTTCTGTGCGAGGGCGGCTCGAGCTTCGTCGGCCTTGTTTCTGGCCAGAGCATCCTCTACCTTTTGTGACGGGAAAATGGATTCGATGAACTGTTCCACCTTGCCACATGCGATGCTGATCTTCAGGAAATTGGGGTCCTGGGGTCGGTTTTTCTTGCGGATGGAGTGGATGTGCCTCCGGAATACATCACAGGCGATCTGGAGATTCTGAGTCGACTCGGTCATGATCTGACAAGCCTCGCCCTTTGTGATCTTGATGTTTCGGAGAAACATGTTGTAATTTCTGAAGCAGAGATCCAATGTCGCAATCGCCATTGTCTGCGGAATGGCGCAGAAGTTGAAGACGCTCTGCTCCCTAAGCCCAGCCATAAAGAAGAGGCATTCATCGGCATGGTTGAGCGCGTTCAGCACCATCTCCGAACTGCAGTTTAAAGCTTGGTCCTTGTATTCTGGCTTGAACAAGTCCCCAAAGTCATCGACATGTTTGGACCAAATTTCCTTGGGCCAGAATATCCGCTTGTCATCAAAATCTTCTCGCACGTCTCGGATGATGTTCGTCTTCTGCAGGAACGTACCCATTGAGTTGTGAAGATGCGGTCTGTCGAGGAGAGCTGGGTTCCCGAACTTGGCCTCGACAAACATCCTCGTGAGCCCTTCGCCCACGAGGCCGGCCACATAATAGCAGTACTCATCATACTCGGCGATGGTGTTGACCCCAAACTCGTCGTTCTCAGACTTCAGACAGTAGTCGGCCATGCCGTTCCCCATCCTCTTGGCAATATCTTTGATTATGGCTTGATAGGGCGCCTTGATCTTCTTGAACTCCTCGATGACGCATCCATAATGAAGCATGAGCTCGCGGTCTTTCTCTTCCGGTCTGTTCTCGGTAAATGTCCATCCATCAATGTCGAGAACGTCGTCGAAATTGCGCAATAGGGGCTCCTTCTTCTTCGCAGGAATCGACGTGTCATCCTCAATGGTGTCCAACCCCCGCAGGACAAGGTAGAAGAGAGTGACAACCATGAGGAGTTCGGGATGTAGTTCCAGGATGACGGCGCTGAAGGAGCGACTCGTCTTGTTCAAGTATTTGAAACATTCTTTCGCCGCCGGTGTATCTTTCGACTCATCTCGTTCGTGGACTGGGTTGTGCCAGACTTTCCTACGCCTCGTCAGTCTATAACACAGCCGCACAGAGCCGCGATCGATCTACCATTGGATTATGGCCCGCAGCTGATTGGGATGGAGGAGGTAGAATATAACCTCGCTAGCTTTCGGCATGACTGCGTTGGTTGCGCTGAGGCAGCGTGGCAATTGAGCTGGATCTCTTTTCCTCACTCTACGAAATAAGCAGCAGGAGAATGAATCACTTGAAAAACGAGCGACAGGGGAACGAAGGAACGAAAGGGAGAAAAGCTTTCTGGGGACCGCACCGCGCTCTGTGCGTACTAGACCATCTCGTGTCTGTGCGTTTGGGATGAAGACAGCCGAATGGCACGATCTTTACCCCAAGGAATTAATCAGAAGCTGCCCAATCGGGTTCTAGGCGCTACCCTCGCCTGTCGCTCAGGGTGAATCGCGCCCGAGGGCAACTTCACAGGTGCGGCCCAGGCCCTAATTCCGGCCATCGGGCAGGCGTCGCAGCCACTGTGGCTCAGCTGGAGGGAGACATCACCCAATATCGCTCATCCTATGACTTCACCGGCGGCTTCCACACGTCGCCAAACAAGGCTGCAATAAATCTTAGTACGGAGTACTCGTACAGACATATCTTCTTACGGTTGCTCTTCTCATATTCCCGGGCATCTCCTGTCACTGCGATCGAGATGGTCGTCGATACATCATATTACGATGCCCTGGGCGTCAAACCAGATGCCACCGAATTGGAAATCAAGAAAGCCTACAGAAAGCTCGCCATTACGACTCACCCCGACAAGAACCCTGGCGATGAGACTGCGCACGCCCGCTTCCAGGCGGTAGGAGAAGCCTACCAGGTCCTGTCCAACAAAGACACTCGTGCCGCGTACGACAAGTATGGCAAAGAAAAAGCGATGCCCAGCCAGGGCTTTGAGGATCCCGCCGAGTTCTTCAGCATGATCTTTGGCGGAGATGCGTTCGTGGATCTCATCGGCGAACTGACCCTCCTGAAAGACCTCACACATACCATGGACATCACCATGGAAGCCATGGAAGAAGAACAACTCTCCAAGGAAGCGGAAGAGAAGCTGAATATCCATGAATCCCAACAAAAGGATGCCACTGCCGCACCCGCACCCGCGTCAGAGTCCGCCACTGCGGGCATGGGTGCAAAAGAGAAAGAAGCAAAACAATACTCAGCATCAGAATCTTCGTCCGCACCGCCTCCGCCGTACGTGTCAGGCGCTGAGGAACCGTCCTCATCAACACCCAAACCCTCCGGGTCCGGCACAAGCACACCGCAAAGACGCTACCTCGGCCAACAAGCGATAATGGACCGCTCAGAGGAAGATGCCCGCATGGACGCCGCCGGTCTCACCCAAGAGGAGAAGGACTTGCAGAAGAAGAAGAAAAAGGGCGGTCTGACAAAAGAGCAGCGTGAGAAATTAGAGGCATACGAACGAGAACGCCGGAAACAGCGCGAAGAACGAGTAGACACTCTCGCCAAAAAGCTCATCGACCGAATCTGCGTGTGGACAGAAACCGACAAGGGCCACGAAGTCACGCGTGCGTTCCAGGAAAAGACTCGCTTGGAAGTCGAAAACCTGAAGATGGAGTCGTTTGGCATTGAAATCCTTCACGCTGTCGGGCAGACATACGTCCAAAAGGCCACCTCATTCCTCAAATCCCAGAAATTCCTCGGCATATCAGGCTTCTTCTCGCGCTTAAAGGATAAAGGCACGCTCGCGAAAGAAACATGGAACACCATCTCCACCGCGATCGACGCCCAGCTGACCATGGAGGAAATGGCCAAGCTAGAGGAGAAGGGCGGTGCAGACTGGACAGACGAGAAAAAAGCCGAATACGAGAGGAAGGTCACCGGCAAGATCTTGGCCGCTGCGTGGAAGGGGTCACGGTTCGAGATCCAGGGAGTGCTGCGCGACGTCTGCGACAAGATCCTGAACGATAAGAGCGTTCGCTTGGAGAAGCGGGTGGAGAGAGCACATGCCCTGGTGCTCTGCGGGACGATATATCAAAAGGTAAGTCCACGACACCTCGTCACATTTTATCCTCTGAAACTGATCTTGCAATCTAGGCCGAGCGCGACCCCGAAGAAGAGGGCGACTTCATGGCCTTTGAACAACTCATGGCCGAGTCGATGAAAAAGCAAGAGAAGAAGAAAGAAAAAGAAAAGCAAAAGGACCCCTCACATCCTGAATCACAACCACAGCAACCGCACGGCCATCGGCACAACTTTTTCGGTGGTGGGAGTGGCGAGAAGGGCTCGCCGAGGGCATCGACGTCCGAAGCGAAGTAGCTTCGAGTTAGATTGAACGCACTGATCTCTCTGCGGTATGCCACTTGATTTCAGCAAATGAAGGGCCCTCCTTCAGATAGATGATCAGAAGTGCAGAGCAGACGATGAGCACCAGCTACAGCGGAGCAACCTGGGGCAGTAGTGCTTGAAACATGGGCGTCAAAGCAGTGGTCTCGACGCGACTCGTTTCGCATGGAGCTGTTACACCATTGGACGCTGGATACCTCGGGTACTCTGTGCTGAGTGCAGTGCGGTCGATCAGCTCTCTGCTCCTACTAATCTATTTCGATTTTCTGGCCCGTCGTCGAGCAGCGAAGACAAAGCACAGGCAAGACATGCAGCAGGGCAGGACAGGGCAGGGCAGATTTTCCTGGCGTTTCTCACTTCCCAAACTCCCATTTGTCGCGCCTCTCTGGATGCGAGCGTAGGAAGGATAGAGCTCGACGGTCTGTGTCTCTGTCTGTGTTGTTTCACCCCGAACTAAATACCCTAATGCCGGGCGAGGCTATTATAGACTATCATTCCACCATTGCAAATGTACTCGCTGTTATGCCCTGTCTCGACTCTGCACGACAATACTTCCTTCGGCTGCTGCACTTGACTTCAGTGTCACATAAACCAGTTACGCAGTTAGCCACTGTACTTGGGACGCCCTGGTCCCATGTTCACGGTCCCCGGAGACGTAGCAGTGCAGAGGGAGCACCGTTCTTGCCAATGTTGGGGTTTAGGGTACTGTCATAGCAATTGTAGATGAGGTGAATCTAAGCACCGGACCACTGGACCACTGGACACTGGACACACCTCCAGACACACATTCATATTAGCTGTAGTGTTTCCTTTCTACCTGCTCCTTCTTCTGCTCCTCCTCAATTTCCAATGGACTTGAACTCCTAATCCAGGACTCCTTGACGGATGGGGTATCATTTACAATCTTGCAAAAACCGCTCAGGCTCTCAATCTCTTTCTCTCAATCTCTTGCTTTCTGACTTGACTTAACTTGATTCTGCTTCCCTTCCTTTCACTTAGTCCCACTCCATTTGGCCAAGCCGACTCTCCGTCCAACCAAGAACTTTCTAGATTCTGCAACGAAAGCTAGCCCAGCTAGTTTCTTCGTGCCCACAATGCAAGGCCGTAACAATATATCGTGCGTCGTAACAAAGGAGATAGGTATGTGGTTCGCAAGATCAAGGGACCTGCAATACCGCGTTCACGGACTCGAGCAGATCAGTGAGCTCGTCCAGCGAGGCGATGGCCATTGCGTCTTTTGTAGGCTCTAGCGCTCCTGGCGACGGCGGCGGCAGTTGCTCGACAGCCCAGAGCTGCGCGTGATCCAGATTTGCCTTGGCGACACTAGGACTCAACAGCCCCTGCCTCGCCTCCACCTCGTCGACTCCGGTGGCCAAACCCCGCTCGTCGAGTTCGTCGTCGTTGAGAACTCTTCCTCCGAGCTTGACGTCGCCGATCCCAACTCTATATTCTAGAGCCTTATTCCCTTCTCGGATTAAATCATCGGTGCACGTAAGACACCGTTTTATGCTCTGGCTGAGTTTCTGGGAGTCGATAAGGAGTTGTTGGTGGCGGGAGAGGTCTTGCATCAAGCGTTTCTCATCTCGTGCGCGTTGCCGGGAGCGTGCGGAGGGGCTGGTGACGGAGCCGGAGTCGTTGGAGAGGAGGGAGGAGTCTTCGTCGTCGTGGTCGGAGAGGTCACTTTCTTCCTCGAAGTCAGACAAATGCTGGCCCTCCCCATCGATTTCTGTGACTGTGTCGAGGCTGAGGTTGGTTTGTTCGGAAACGGTTCGTGCGCTTGGGGCGATGGAAAGTCGCCCGGATCGCGATAAGCGGCGGTAGCGCCGTAGCTCGGTAGACTGTTTGCGGAGTTCCCGCTCGAGAGTCTTGTTGATTGCTAATAGGGACGAATTGGATATTTCGAGGTCGAGCACTTTTCGCTCTCGTCGTGCGTTGGAAGCTAGATCCACATTCGGCTGAACGGGGGTCGCCGGTGGCTCTGTTTTCTGGTCGGAAGGCGTTGCCAAAGGGAGCGTGGCTTGTATGGCGATCTCTGATAAATCCGTGTCGCTTGTGACGGAGGTGGGGATGGTGTTAGTGGAGGCGAGACTGATTGACCTCGGACTTAATGTAGTTGGCGATAAGAGATGGCTCGCTGCAGTGCGTGGGGACAATGTAGGAGTGAGTCGCAGATCTAGCGGCTGAGGCACCTGTGCTCGAGGGCCGCTCAGTTTTCGAGTCGGCTGAGACGTCTTCGAGTCCGCGCTCAGGGATTTTCGATGGCCTTGGGTGCCGGCTTCGAAGGGGCTGCCACCACTGGAGGTGCTCTTGGGACGATCAGCTGTTGTCCTCGGTGCTGCTGGAGACGGTGTCGGCCCTGGGTGGAACTTCCGAGGTGAAGAGGGCTCCGCCAGTATCATTCCGTGGCTTTTCTTAGGCGATTGAGGCGGAGTACCTCTACCCGCTGGACTGTTCAGTCTGTCTGTAGCAATGTGAGGAAGAACTGTACGTTTTGATTGAGTGTTTTGAGGTATATCATTGGCCCTGAAAAACTTCTCATCTGGCTCTGACCTTCCTTTGACATTGTCGCTCGTGGCGGGCAGAGGAGGAGAGCCGACGAAGAAATGACCTGGTTTTGGCGTGAACCGATGGCTTTCTTCTAGTCCTGGCGATCCGATTGTGGATTTGACATCGCTGGCATGGAAGAACTTTGATGATACGTCCTTGTTCCCCTCGACCGCACTCTTTGCTGCGGATACTCTCCGATGAACCGTCACTACTGGTGTTGAAGAAGGAAGCCCAACCTTTGCTAGTGTAGGCGTGCTTGCAACAAGGCGTGGACTGGTGATCCCGAGTCCTTGTGCAGGTGATTTCTGCGCCTCATTCCCTGACGATGCTCTTGATCTCCGGCCGTTTGGAGGCACCCGTGGTTGAGCTGGAGCCAGCGGTGACTCTGTGTCAGCCCGTGACTTTCTCGCAGCAGATCGGGGCGTCATATTCCCACCCAAGGGCGTCGTCGTCTGATCGGGTTTCGCAGGTGACTTGGCTCTGACGAAGGGTTGACTCGGCGAGGGAGTTGGCGAGCCGGCAACCCTTGGAGTCAACGGGCTCTTCACATTGCGGAAGTTGGAGCTGAGGGCTGGTGTGAGCGGTTTCGAGGTGTTCGACTTAGTCGGTTTGTCGGCGGGCATCGTGGTCGGGAGGGGCGATCGGCGAGAGCGAGAGACTTGAAGGGGCTGATTGCGGTCTCGTTCTCGCATGGCAGCGATGTGAGCAGTTCATGCGTGGCTGGAAGAACATGGTCGACGAATGCAAGTGCACACGGTCTCTCTCAGCGTGGTCATGGCAGGAAGCGGGTGTCGAATGAATGTCAACAAGACATGCGAGATGCACGCTCCGAATGGTTTAGTTACTTAATTAGTAGTTTAGCGTCAAGGTTCATCGTTAACGGCGAGTCTAAACACCCTTAAATCCCGTGACTTCCCCAGACACGCTCCGCCCACGCTCAACACGCCCCTCAACGCGCCTCCTGCAGTGTCGCGTCATCTGACTTTGTGCTGAACACTACGAGCAACCCGGACTTTTTCGAGGAACACGCCATGTCCACCTCCGCCGTCGCTGATGTATTGCCATGACCTCAACTGAGACACAGAATGCCTCTTCTCCAGACGTAAATCGAGCCGGCGACAATGGCCACGACGATGCGAACCAGACCGAGCCTGCGCAGGCAGCCGTGCCACAAGCATCCCAGCACCATTCCTTAAGGCACCATCTCCTTGGTCCGTCCTTGACAAAGGCTGGTCAAGACGGCGTCGATCAGAAAAAAGTCTCTGAGATTATCTACGAAGCCTCGAAGGGCTCGAAATATTTCAATAACGAGGAGGTCAAAGACAAAACCCTGACGCTGAAGATCGACCGCATTCTCAAACAGAAGGCTCAATTGGAGAAGCTGGACCTGAGGTCAGACCAGCGTCGAGCAGATGACTATATTGCCTCTCTCGAGCTATCAAGAGACTTGTCACAGTATGTTGTGCACATTGATTGTGACGCATTCTACGCAGCTGTCGAGGAAATCGACCGCCCCGAGCTGAAGACTGTGCCCATGGCTGTTGGCCAGGGTGTACTGACGACGTGCAACTACGAGGCTCGCAAGTATGGATGCCGCAGCGCCATGGCTGGCTTTGTTGCCAAGAAGCTCTGTCCCCAGCTGATATGTCTTCCGTTAAATTTTGACAAGTACACCGCGAAGGCAAATGAAGTCAGGGCCATATTAGGCGAATATGACCCGCGTTTCGAAAGTGCCAGCATTGACGAGGCGTATTTGAACATCACAGACTATTGCAATGCCCATCACATTGACCCAGAAGCTGCAATCGAGCAACTCCGGAACGAGGTCCGCGAGAAATGCAAGATCACCATCTCTGCTGGCATCGCACCAAACGCGAAAATGGCCAAAATCTGTTCCAACAAGAACAAACCTAACGGCCAATTTCGGATTCCCAATGATCGAGCTGCCGTCATGTCATTCATGTCGACTCTTCCCGTCCGCAAGGTCAATGGAGTCGGCCGAGTGTTTGAGCGCGAACTTGAAGCCATCGGCATTAAAACATGCGGCGAAATTTATGCCCAGCGATCCTACTTGGCCAGACTATTTGGAGAAAAAGCATTTCAATTCCTGATACAGACTTATCTCGGTTTGGGTCGGACGGTGGTACAACCTGCAGACGAATATGAACGGAAGAGTGTTGGTACAGAAAGCACATTCCGAGATATCAGCAGTAAAGAAGAGCTCCGTGAAAAGTTACGGCATACCGCGGAAGAGCTAGAAAAGGACATGGCTCGCGTCGAAGTCAAAGGGCGAACGCTTGTGCTCAAGGTCAAGCTTCACACGTACGAAGTCTTCACGAGACAGTTCGCTCCACCCAAAGCGGTCCATCTCGCAGAAGATCTGTATAATTACAGCGTTCCAATGTTAGCTAAGCTCGAGAGGGAGATCCCGGACTTCAGGCTCCGTCTGATGGGGCTACGCTGTACGCACCTCGTCAGCACGAAGAAAAACACGGGTGACTTCTTCCGTCGGAAGGTCAACACTACGCAAGCTAACGAGAAACCGAACGATGGCGGCGAATGGGAAGTCTGGCCAGACGCTGAGTTTGAGGACGCAGCACGACAGGAGCGACAAGAGGAGATGGAGGAGCTCGAGCGATTGAGCCAGGAACAAGAACATCGGCAGCAACACGCCGATGAGCCAGGCTTCGAAGCCGACTTGGGAGAGGGATATACTTCCACGGCGGATTGGCACGAACCTTTCGGGCGATACAAATACGGCAGTGAGCCCAATTCCCCTGCTTCAGTCGCCAAAGCCGGGCATTTGAGGAATCAAGGTGCAGCACCGTCCGCACGCAAGCAGAACGCCACCCAGTTATGGGAGTGTCCGATCTGCCAACTTCCGCAACCAGCCAATGACCGGGATTTCAACCATCACATAGACCTGTGTCTTTCAAGGCAGACAATCAAGGAGGCTGTCGCCGAAACTGACGGACCTTCTCGCGGCACCTCTTCCCGCTCATCGCCCGAGGTCGTGGTGCCAGGGAGGTCCCGCTTGACGAATACAACCAACGGCAAGGCGAAGAGGAAGGCTGCCGGCAGCATATCTGTACCCGGCGAGGTTGCTCCAGGGAGGAAACAGAAGAAGTTGTTTTTCACGTAAGATGCACGTCGAGATACCCAGCACATACAGTAGCCAGCTGTTCATGAGACACGAGAAATGAGACTGCATTCAAGTATTGTGTAGAATTGACGAGCGTGGCACATCGCGATCAGTCAACTGCCAAAAGAACTGCCCAGTCAACGCATAGGAATCTGCTTCGAGGGTCCTTTCGTCGTAAAGGTAGATGAGATGCCTCGCTTAAACGCAGCACTGAGTGCAGTCTGATGTAGGTAGTGTACCTAGGTAACGATATGTACTCCTCCTCCTCCTCCTCCTCCTCCTCCTCCTCCTCCTCCTCCTCCTCCTCCTCCTCCTCCTCGTCATTTTCCTCCGCCCGCCTGAAAGAAGGTAATCCTACAGGATATGAATACGGAGAAGTCGGCAGTGGCAGTGGCAGTGGCAGTGGCAGTGGCAGTGGCAGTGAAGCTCAATCCATACTCCCACAGAGTACGGAGTAGCATGTAAGTGAGTGAGTGAGTGTGTGACTACACTGGTTCCCAAGCTCGTCCGTTCCACCCCATCCCTGACCGCCCTCTGAAGCTTGAAGCTTGAGGCCCGTGCCGTGTCTGCCTCTGCCTGGAACACTGCGAGACTGGCCGACGTTGTAGGTCGGGCCTTGGACGATGGGTTCTCATCGCGGTATTCGCGCTGTGGAGGGGTCTCATGCCAGGTATGGTGACAGCCTTTCTCTTGAGGACGTTTCCGATGGGTTCGTGCGCGTACAACTATAACTCTGGTAGAAATGAATAGATACCTCAGGTTGAAAGCCCTAGCTGGAGATATCGGTGGACAGCACTGCTTAGTGGACATGAAGCCATTCGCTCAGTACTGGGCTGCTGGGTCGACTGGTCGTCCGGTCGTTTCGATTACCCCAAAGGTACCAACGCCGGGTCGCTCTGTAAGGATAGCCTCGTTCGTCCGGTCAGGTCAAACAAGTCGCCCATGCGGATCGATCCTGGCAGCCATTCCCGATATCTTTTTTGTCGGCATAAAGTTATGTGAATGCGATGCAACCTTGCCAGTGATTGGGTAGACCTTAGCCTTGAATGTCACCATACTGGATTTATTGACGCGTCCCAGTTGGCTCGTTATTACCCCCGACTCGCCCTCGGATCGGCACCTAGTTCAGCAACAGGAGGTTTGCGCTCCGGCGTGTGATCTAGTTCCGCGAGAGACTGGTGATGCAACTCGGCCGGCTCGGCAGGGTAAATCCTTCTGTTCTTGGTCTCGTGCGGAAAAGAGGCCCCATCTTGCCCGCTGTAGGGGGTTGCAAGTTCCTGGACCTGCCTCTGTCTCTGTTCTCGGGTGTGTTTTCTTCTCCTGCGGAAGAACCAGAACAGGATGGCCGCGAGGGCGAGGACCGCGATCGCGACCGCAACACCCACGCCGGCGGCTGCACCGCTCGAGAGACCGCGAGACTGCTGTGTGGGCGCCGAACTTGTCGTGGGGGAAGATATCTGCGTTTGCGTTTGCGTCGGCGTTTGCGAGCCCGGTGACGTGGGGACGGAGGTGTTTGTGGATGTGGATGTCGCGCTTCTCGTCGTCGACGTGCTGGCCACGGGGACGATGCCCGTGGAAAAGGCAGGATCGTCGATCGGCATGATGGATTGGAATCCCCATTTCACCCCTTCCTCGGTCGTGTCGTCGGTGAAGGCCACGGTGTTGGACTCGTTCACGAACAGGTGATAGTCCGAGTACAGCGGGTTGGAGTTGCTGAGCTTGATGTCGAAGGTGCCGTCTCCGTTGGAGGAGAGGATCCATTGTCGTTGGATGTCCGCCGCCGCCCCGAGGGCCATGCATACGTCCGTGTCGTCGGGATTGGCGTCGGTGGGTGCCGTTGCTATGCAGAGTGGTTCTGATCAGCTGGCTGTGCCTCTCTCTTTCTATACACACAGGAAAGCACCATCTTCAGGAGGGGGGGATTCGTGACAGCAACTATAACAATAACATACTCGACGTCAAATGCACACACTGCGACATGTACGCGCCCGAGCCTGTGATCTGGGCGCGGAAGTTCCACCCTCCACCACCACCGGAGACGGGGAAGATCTGCCATCGCTGCTGCGGCGACGTGAGGTTCGTCGCGAACATGTAGATCGCCGTGTGACTGTCGCCGACTCGCAGCGAGTTGACCTTCGGGTCGAACAGGTCGTTGGAGATCTGATACCAGACATTGGGATCGATGTTGAATTCGTTGGCCATTGTTCACAATGAACGCGCAAGAGGCGCAATGAGCCGTTGACCGACAGTAAGGACGGACGGACAGTCAGCTGGGTAAAGCCGGGGATACGAGCTCTGGTGAGAGAAAGGGCGACGGACGGAGGAGAGAAGTGTACGTTCCTAGTACTGTAGGGCCACGTCGTACAGAGCACACGACCGGGTACCAAGGGCGTCGAGACAGCCGCAAGTGGAAACGCAAGCAACAGCTTTTTACAACGTACCCAGTATTTAGACGTTCCATGGCAAGGCCCAAGGTTGCGCCGAACTTGGGCTCCATAGAGGCCGCACAAGTTGCTCAAACGCCCTGCCAGGCTAGGCTGGGCTTGACCTTGTCGTCGCCCCGTTTGCGAGGCCCGGCATCGCGAATCGAAGCCTCCAACAGTCTCCAGTCCACTGGCGGAGACAACTTGAGAGGCCTGATTTCTGGCAATTTCGCCTCCATTGTTGAACAGGCTGCGCTTCGAACGGGGTCGAAACGGAACGCCTGGCTCTTGTCCATTGGCTGATCTGCAGCTTGTCGTTTCTGAGACACCCAGGGCGCCTTAGTGCTGGCACCGGCGGTTCGAGGCGGCGACAAGGGCTAATTATTGTGCGAAATGCTGGACCCAGTACGGAGTATCTGTGGTACTTCATTCTGGTTATGACCGGGGCATGTGGGACACAAGAAGACACTACTGTGTAGATCCAGTATATGGAGTATCATACTCCGATCATACTGGGTACTGGGTACACCGAGATGCGCTCTCCTCCGACTGGCCAAGCTGCCCAGGCATGATCATACTGTCAAGCTGTGGATGTACTCCCACTCATACCAAGAGTGTTCATCTCATGTCTCTTCAGCCTGGTCGCCGATGAGTATCATCCGGTTCTCCAAGCTTCATATGGGCACCGAAAGAGTCTTGCTCAGACCTCGTTCACGCTATTCAGGGGTTGTTACGGAGTACCCAGTACATACAGTAAGTAGATCACCAACGCCCGAGGCTGAAGCTTCCCCGCAACCGGAGGGGGGCATGGGGTTGATGGGCCTCGCATACCCGAGCTTGCGTGCTCATCTCAGTCGCCGTCTGGCAGCCACTCGGCGAAACGTGAGATCTCGAGAAATGGGAGGTCGTTGTCTTCGAGAATGGGCGGGATCTGACATCTCCTTCCTCCCTCGACCGGAAGCTACTTGAAGCCGCCGACATCCCCTTGACGTGATCAACTCACTGAAAGACTCTGGGCAAATCAACTGGCTGGTAACCATGAGCGCCGTTGCAGACCGGCCCAGCGGCCAATTGCACCTGCTTTTTGTTCGCCATGGAGAGACACAGGACAATATCGACAAGATTCTTCAAGGTCTGCGAGACACTAGCCTCACCGAGAAAGGACTCAGGGAAGGCGAGGCTCTGGCGAAGAAGCTGCAGAACCAACGGATCGACGCCGTCTACCACTCACCTCTGAATCGAATCGTCCAGACAATCCGACCCATCCTCGCCGATCGATCTGATATCCCCGTTCACGCCGACGCTGATCTGACGGGGCAGTCGCTCGGTCAACTCGAGGGCGGCTCGTACGATACTATCGACATGAGCAACCCACGAAGCGCGGACGGTCAGCCCGGGGTCGAGCTCTTTGATGACTTCGTCCGACGGCTAAAGAAGGTTTTTGCCGTCATCGTTGGCACCGAATCGCGGCACGTCGGCGAGCAGGACAGGACGGTCCTGATTGCGACCCACGGCGTGGGCATTACTTCGTTGTTCAAGGCACTCGAGGCGAGCCCCTCGTGTGAAGGATTCAATCCCAAACTGGCGGTCCGAGGCCCTGAGGCGTATGAAGTGAGATGGACTGACAGCGACGACGTGGCCAAGATCGTGGTCCCGCGACCCAGAGACCTGCCCGTCAAGGATGGCTCTCTGGACTGGTCCGCGCTTTCGGGTCAACCGTTTGTGATTGAGCGCTGGGGCAAGAGAGAAAAGGCATTGTAAGGGAGCGACAAGATCCGGGACAGGGGAAGGGGGTCAGAGCAGGGGCATCTGTTAAAGCGGCAGGCATTTCTGGTGATAACGATCTCGACAATTACACGTTCTCACAAGTAGACCTTGAACATCACGTCCCACTGTACTGGACTGTACTGTACACCGTCCCATGTAGGTGCCTGGTAAGGCGTGGTGCCGTTGCGCAACGCCATGAAGCTCAGCTCCCTCGCTGCGTCTTTACGTGAAACCCGGAAACACCGACGCTGCGACGCGGGGATTGGGTATCTTCGCACTGCAAGATGCAAGTCGCCATACACGGTGTGCCCAATAGGCGCGTGTCTGGAAATGATGGCCAGTCGTGGTTTGCTTGTCTCTTCGTGATCACCACATGCCACGTCGGCCACGCACAGAGCTGAAGCACGGCGATGAATGAATATCAATCCCGCAGCTCGCCATACCGACATGACCACGGTTTACCACTAACCGCTACGCAAGGGACACAGTCATGGAGCACACCATCCTTCCGCCGGACCAGAAACACATTCAGATCACCTATAACGCCCGGGAGAAGGGATACTACGACCACAGAGGCTTCGGAGAGTATCCCACCAGACAAGGCTACAGTAAGCATGATCTTTCAGGCGAGAATGGATTTGGCGGCCGTAACGCCGAAGACGTCAAACAATTCTTCCAGACATGGCTGTTTTTCGGGCTCATCATTGAATTCTTTGCCGCTTTCGGAATGAATGTTACTACTGAGCAATTCTTGGCTCCGAGAACAGGCACCGAACAGAATCGGATAGTCGACACCAGCAGCCTGCCGGATGTGCTCGTAAAATTGAAAGAGTCTTGGGCAAAACCGAAGGATCAGCCAACTGCAACGACTGTCAGCCAGATGTTGACTCTGGCGCAGGACACCCTCGACCGGTTCTGCACATATGTCCCGAAATCATCCACAGCCATCGACACGTCTCGGCCGTCGTGGCCGGTGTCAGACAGAGTGGCCATGTCGATCATGGCCATCTGCAGCACGCTCCGAGCGGCTGCTGCAGACATATTGGATATGGTGGTTACTCTCGAGGTTGATAAAGGCACAGCCACCTCGTCACTGCTGCGTAGCCGGCTCGAGCAGAAATGGTGCAAATACGACGTGGCCGTGACCATGGACAACTTCGAAGTGGATGGACACTACTACCTGGCGGCCGCGCCAGGCCAGTCCGATGAATATCTAGCTGCGCACGGCAGATGCACAGAGGACGGGTGTGTCTTCGTCATGGACGAGAAGGGTTACCTCACCCGACATGCGCCCGAGTTTCACAAACCCGGATGTGAAGAACGTATTGGATGGGGCGGTCAACTGGGCCCAGAGCGAACAATGCACAGCTGGATTGACGCCGTGTGCCAGATCATCGACCGGGATGCCACTCCGTACAGTCTTTGGGTGGCGCAATATCGCAAAACATGGTCCGTTGAGTATCATACGACGGGGAAAAGGAAGCCACCGTATGTGGCAATCTCACATATGTAAGTGTCTGGCCCTGTCAAGGCGGGAATGTCGCTTGTTGCTCCTGCAATCGTCTGACAAACTCTCCGTCACGCCGCAGCTGGTCGGACGGTCTTGGAAACCCAGTCGAGAACTCGCTGCCTGAATGCCAGCTGGAGCGGATTCAGGGCATGGTCGACAAGATCAACTATCCGGGCCGCAACGGCGAGAAAACGGTGGGCTTTTGGATGGACACCCTGTGCGTCCCCGTCCAAGACCAGCTGAAAGCCTACCGCAAGAAGTCGATTGCCAATATGCGCCACATCTACCGGAATGCCGTTGCTGTGCTGGTTCTGGACCCGTGGCTCCAGCAGATCCCATCTACAGCGACGACGCCCGAGATCCTCGCGCGGCTCTGCCAGTCCGCTTGGCTCCGTCGACTGTGGACTCACCAAGAGGGATTCCTGGCCAAAAACGTCTATTACCAGTTTAAAGATCAAGCCCTGCATATGAAGGACATTGAGGAGCGGAGGATACATTACGAGGACGAACTAAAGGCGAAAGGGATCTACTCAAAATTCCTGAGCGATGCGCAGATCCAGGCCATTGAACCATATTCCATGCTCAAGATGGCCATCGAATATGAAGATGATGGCGATGGGGTCAGGACGTTACCGGAGGATGCATTTGAAGCCCTGGTCTTGTCGCTCGAGCTCCGCCGCACAACCCGTGCAGGGGATGAAACTCTCTGTTTGTCCAGCATCCTCAGTCCCCTGGGCCTCGATGTCAACACGTACCTGGATATCGTTGGCGAAAATGTGGCAGAACGTCGCATGGTCCAGTTTTACCAGGATATTCAACGGTTCGATCCGAGGATTGTGTTCAACACGTATCCCAGGCTGAATATCGACGGCTTCAAGTGGGCGCCGACGTCGTTGATAGGACACCGATCCGAGGAGCTCATGCGTAGAGGTGAGCACAACGAAGGCGAAGAGGTGGATGTCGCAGAGGAGTTCGCCCAGTTGAAGCAGATTGATGGCAAATGGGGTCTGCCGGTGAAGTATCCTGGATTCATGTTTCGACTTGCCGGCGCAGCTGGTGTGCGGACATTCGCCATCTCCCACGGCTCCGCCACTGACGGTACAATCGGCAACCTCCTGAACAGTTATCTCCCTGCTACACCAGCCAAACTCTTGGAGAAGGCGGCCAGCAAGACCGCGTCGAGGTTTGGTGGAGTCTTGCCGTCGAAAGTCCTGCCCTATCTTCCTGGCCGAACCCCGACGACAGCGGCCACCAGCGAGCACCTTCTGGTAAGGCTCTCCCATGTCGATAATCAGTGGCACCCTGATCCCCATGAGTCCTACGGTCTGATCATGGCATGTTCCCTGAAGCAAACGCTTGTTGGCAGTCGTGCAATTGCTGTCCTCGGCTCAGTTGTCAAGGGCGCTTCTGCCGCCGGAGAGCAGTATCTCCGCCTGAGCCATGTCTGCCATGCGACTGTGCAGAAACGCGGCGGCGGTCCTCCAAGTGATGTGGATTGTGTGACGGCAAACGAGCTAGGTGAGGAGACCGAGTGGTTCGTGGTGTGAACTGTCGACGAGGCATTGTCAGCATCATGTTTCCATAGTACTTGTAGAAGATGAATGAGATCCCACGAGACCGTTTCGCCTCCCGCTCCCTCACGCGGTGATCTGTCAACCCTGTCTGCCGCATGATGTGCATATTGCCTGCCGACCTACCGAACCTGCTGCAAACCTGGAGACATGTCGGGCAGTGGCATGTGAAGTGTCAACCCACGCTTTGTTGGGCAGCTAAGCCCAGGCGGGAAGACGGGTGGGATAGGGGGTCCAGTTGGGCGGCTGGGCGTGCTCGCTAGAGCCCCTGTGAGCCCCCATGAGGCCCCGCCCCCCCGCTAGGCAGGGCCCGTCAATCGCGCAGATGATGGAATCGTTTGACCTCGACGGCGCTGAGAAAATGGTGCAATATCTCTTCGCTTCGTTCCATTTGTTAGTTTGCCCCGATTGACGCTGCAGGCAGACACAGACACCGACCGACACATGTTGCGAAGCCTGCTTAGCCCTTGGTGCGCTTCCTATCACGCCCGCCTCCCGAGAGCTGACCCACCGCCCTCGCACGCACCGGTGCACGTATTCCTCGACGAAGTGTCACCCAGTGACCCCATCTGGTGATACTAGCTGCCTCCTTCAAATACCGCATGCATGCCACCGTCACCGTCAGACCGTAGCAGCGACTCGTCTGGAGGGGACCTGATATACACGCCTGCCGGGACCGAGTCACCTTTACCTCACCATCCCTTTTCTCGAGCCTCCGTGCGTCCTGCGAGCCCCTTACGGCTGACGTCGCTCCCACAGCCCATCAAGGAAGAGTTTCGGGCAGACCGCCAGTACGGCAAAGGGGTGCACTTCGAATCCGATGCCGAACCCCAAGAAGACGGTGCAGACGACGACGACGACGAAGCAGACGATCCACACATGGCAGGACGGACAAGCATGCACCGGCCCACGGGCCCCGAGTCGCATGAACCCTTGTTGGGAGAAGACAAACAATCGTTAAGAGGCAGGCCCGCGAGTCCCCATGAAGCCGGCTCAGCACGACTCCCGCTCTCGCGGAGGAGCACGTTCCGCTCGCGGTCGCCCTCGTACACGCACTCGGAGGACATGGTGCGGCGGAAATACATCTACGCCTCGTTCTTCCTCGTGCTGTCGCTGGTGTCGTTTGTCGTCCAGACCGAGACGGCCGTCTACATCCAACACGAGCTGGGCTGGAACAAGGCCTACTGCATGATGTACCTGACGCACGGGTCGTGGATCTTCCTGTGGCCCATCCAGCTCGTCTTCCTGCGCATCCAGAAACGCAAGCTCTCGTGGCCGGCCTTCTGGCGCCGACACGTCTACCTGGTCCGCAGCACCGCACAGATGGTGCGCGCCCAGGAACTGCACCAGCACCTGTCCAAGTCCCAGGCCATGACCTCGCCGTGGCCGTACATGATCAAGACCACGGCCTTCATCACCACTTTCCTCACCATGGCCGGTGGGTCGTGGTACGTGGCCGTCAACCTGACCTCGCCCTCCGACTTGACGGCCATCTACAACTGCTCGGCCTTCTTCGCGTACGTGTTCAGCATCATGCTTCTCAACGACAAACTCCGCTTCGACAAGGCCCTCTCGGTGGGCTTGGCCATCATCGGCGTCCTGGTCGTCGCATACGGGGACAAGGACGACAGCACGCCCGGGCCGGGCAAGTCCAACCCCGGCGCAGAAAAGGGCTTCGGCACCAAACTCATAGGAAACATCGTCATCGGGATCGGGTCCGTGGCCTACGGCTTCTACGAGGTGCTGTACAAGAGATTCGCATGCCCGCCCGAGGGCACCAGTCCCGGGCGGGGCATGGTCTTCGCCAACTCCTTCGGCAGCATGGTCGGCCTGTTCACGCTGACCGTGCTCTGGATCCCGCTGCCCATCCTGCACTGGACGGGGCTCGAGAAGTTCGAACTCCCCACGGGCCAAGCGGCCTGGCTTCTGTCCATCAGCACGCTTTCCAACGCCGTTTTCTCCGGCAGCTTCCTCGTCCTGATGTCGCTCACGTCGCCCGTGCTGTCGTCGGTCGCGGCGTTGCTGACCATTTTCCTCGTCGGCATCACCGACTGGATCGTCACGGGCAAACCGTTGAGCGCGGCCGCCTTGTCCGGCTGCGGCCTCATCATCGTCGCCTTTGTCATGCTGAGCTGGGCGACGTACCGGGAAATGAAAACGGAGGAGGCGAAGCGCGAGGGCGAGGAGGATAAAATCTTTGATGATGACGATGAAGACGAGATGCCCGACGAAGGAGCCGCCGGCGTTCTGGGTGCGAGCGCACGGCGGAGAGACAGTTGATTTAGACATGTGGACGGATCATGGATGATTTGACGAGGTCCGTCAAACGAGGCCGTACCGTTTTCTGTTGATATTGCATCCTCGGCAGGGCTGGTTAGGCGCCGCTTTGAGGTTCGGACGCAAAGGCGATACGGAGGGGAGGCTAGATGCTGGGCTAGTAGTCACCGCCCGGATCCTCTGCCTCGCATTGAACTCGCATATACAGTATGTGCGTGATGCGGTATCGGCGTGATGCGGGACCAGCGTGGCGCATACGCATACACACATATGTATACACAAGAACCAGAAGTACCACAAGTACGAGTGCCTACCTATTATATACTAGTACTACCACGATGCCATACCATATCATACAGTACCATCCGAATCATACCGAGGACGTACAATATCTGACGGTCTAACATCTAGACGTATCAAGCCCGCACCCGCGAGACCCGGTTGATATGGATATGCTGGCAATTGTACGGAGTACTGTCGACCCGAAAACTCGCTTACTGTGTACTCTGTACCTGTATCAGGGCAGATGCGCTGCCCAACAACAGCCGTTGAGAACGAAATGGATTTTTTCTTAGCCAGGGACACGGACCGGGCACGAGCAGGACTTTTTAGAAGATAGTAATTATCCTCTCGAGGTGGGTAGGGGGAAGGGAATGGTATAAAGCCATGATGGCAGGGTGTCCTTCCTGATCCTTGCGATCCTTCCATTGACGCAGGCAGTTTTCTCTTTTTCTTCTTCTTTCCACTCGCCACCATCTCTCCTCGATCCATCTCTCCTAGATATGGGGCCAAAGTAGGTATATGCTTACCGAAGCAGTCTTCATCCTCAGCCTCGTTCAGCGCGGATATCGTTTAATGGTCTTTCAGCCCTTCCCCGTTCCCGGTCGCTTTGAAGTCTTTGTCTATGGCGGCAGTGGTTTGAATTCTGTCTATTCTATGATCCTCACGAAGCTGAGACTAGAGTAAAACTAGAGTAAGAAAGTAACGCTCAGCCCTCCCACGTGACTGCCAACCAAGGCAGTTGCAGGTGCAACAGTCTAGATCCGTGGTGTTTATTCCCAACTACCGAGACATCATGATCGCCACGTCACACTATCCGATCCGTTCCCTTTGCTTGCCTGACAACTTGGTCCGTGCTCAGAGAATAATGGCAGGCTCGGTGGTCCACTAAAGACGGTTCGATGGTTGAGGGCGTGGTTGAAAATGACAAGGTGTATCTGCGCCTGAGTCTGGACTTATTATATGAACATGTCCAAGTTATGACCAGCACGCTGGGTGGGCTGGTGGATACTATATTTTAAAGGAGTACGTTGTTGTCCCCATACACACGCTCATCAAGGTGCCGAAAGAGGCGATGCGGAGTTGGGAGCAGTGGAGCAGCCCGGTGAGCAGGGGAAGTACTGTGTAAGAATGCGTCCTAAGCTGGAAAGCCATCGTTGCCCGGACAGTTGTGCTTCTCAAGCTACGCCGTGCCCCTTAGAGTCGCAAGTTCGAAAAGGAAGAAGGGATGGAGTTGAGTTGTCGTCGATACACAGGCACGGGCTGAGCTTCTCTCATAGCCCTTATCTTCGCCCAGGCTGCCGACACAACCACCGCTATAACCTCCTCCAGCGACGAGAAACTCGCCTGCGTCAAAGCTACATGCGGCACTGACCACACAGTCAAGTACAAGACGACTCCAAAGTAGGCTGCTGAAGTGCAGCGCGTGACTGAAGGCGAAGGCGTCGACCACATCGTAAAATTCGTGGGATTGGGATGATCCAGCAAAGCCTCGAATCCGTTTGCATGGGCGCAATTGTTTCTGCGGACTGAGATCTGACGGAGGGTGCGAAAGGTCAGTTGCTGGATGTATATTTCCACGCCCTGAAGAACGGTGCTACTCTTCGTGGGATCTTGGGTGGATCGAAGCAGCAGTTGCAAGAGGATCGGTTCATTGCGAGCCAACAATTGACGGTACCTGTGTCCGGCACTTTCGTGCTCGAGCGGCATGAAGTCGTGAAGACTTACGAATGCGTAGTGCCCTGCGAGCATGTAGGTAAGTCCGTATCAGGCTGGATCAGGGATCGCTTGCTAGGAGTTGTAGACCGGCGGTGATGGCTTTGTCGAAGCCAAGCTGAGCACCCTCGAAGATGTTGGCCCACAGCTTGATTACATCGTTGGCCATGGCTCTGACTTGAGACGTGTTATCTTCAAGTATATTTGGCATCTTTGCAAGGGGAGTCTCCTGGATGATGCCGCGGATGATTTGCAGGACACTCTTCTCAATCCTGCGGAGTCCTTCGACTCTGGAAGAGCCCACCGCCATTGCAATCAGCTCAAGCCAATCCTTGAGCAGCAGTGCACACTCAAGACTGCACAGTGAATGCTCAATGCTGCGAAATGGCGATGTGATTCGAGCAGTCAATTCCCGGCTGAGCCTTACGGACATGCTTAATGCATGTGTAGCGTGGAGAACAGCTCGGTGGAGAGAGAGGGAATGTGTCAGTGACAGTTGAGGACCGATGATGATGTTTCGCAAATCCTGTGAGACAAGTCCTTGGTCAAGGCTGTAGTTGGCATTGAGGCGAATATAGGCAAGTCGCAGCAACGCAGTGGCGGTGAGCCCGAGTGGTCCATTGGATGACAATGGACCCCGGGTGAAATCGCGAGTCAGTTCCCAAAACCGCTGCCAGGCGCAAAGAGCATTTTCGAATGATTTCATGGTTTGTGGCAGCATTGGCCCTGGCCATTGTTGGCGCATCAGCAGGATCTCCTGGAGAATGCCATGGATGAGCACGTAGAGGGCAAAAGAAGATAGGGGCGCGTCCGTCGAGGTTTCTTTGCCGTCTAGCAGATTGCGAAACACCTCCTGGAAACCCTGATCGACCGAGCGACGGCTTCGGCACCATTGGCTTGCGGTAGTCGATTTCCACCGTTCTGCGTCACTTGGAAGAAACAGGTCGACTTCGTGACTTCGGATCAAAGGCGGTCTATTGAAGGCGATACTGTGAATGTTCGACAGCGTGTATGCTGCATACAATGTCCTGCGCCTCTCCTCGAGAGCGACCCATGATGACCACTCGGCATCCAGGGGAACCTGGTCCGATTGTGTTGGGCTGTTCTGTCTGATCAAACTTGCCAGCTGACTGCTCATGGCAAATGCTTCCGGCAGGATGTCTTGGTTCGCCCAGGACGCAAAGTGGACGAGCAGAATGAAAGTCTGGAGGTTTCCTAAGTTGTCTCTCTAGAATCGAGGTCATAATCACTCTCTGCAGTCAACAGATACGACGAAAAGGGTGGATTCTCGCGTCGTAGTTTCTCCAAAAGGATTGCTCGAGCAACGGAGTACAGCTCCGAAGCCTCAGAGTATTCAAGCCTGTTTAAAGCGCCCAGGGCAGCCACTGCCCGGACGAGCTCAACGTCTTTCCGTCCGGCTGAGAATGTCGCGGGGTGAATGAAGGGGAGAAGTTCCTGATTACACCTGAAATACGCTTCCATGTTTCGAGCAAGAGTCTTTCTAGAGGGTATTTCATAGCCATCGTCAAGAACTTCTGAATAAGCCTGGACTTCCAGCTGCAGTTTCTCGTGTGCAGCGCCTGAAACGGACCAAGGCACCGCACTTTCGATAGCCCAAGCTTCCAGGATGTCGTTAGCCTCTGGCGTATGCTCAATGCCATCCATGCTGGGCAGGTGAGAAGTGAGGGTGGGAAAGGTGTTGGAAGGTACAGGCTGAGTGCTCGGGGCTGCATCATTCATGATAGTGCTGTCAAAGAGCGCGATTGGAAGGATGTCCTGCATGAGAAGCTCTGGATCCCAGCAGAGATCCGTGTCTGCTGTCGCGTTGCCAGCGGTCGTCTGTTGTGTCGTCGCTCCCGCATTCGGTATTGCAGCTTCTTGTGCCGTTGAATGTGCTAACTTGTTGTGCCGCGATAGCACGTCTCTGGCAGATCGTTACGCACAAGCTGAGGACATACAGCTGGCAGGCTCACCGTCGAGTGAATCTCCGTCCACAATCGCAGACGAATGGCCTCTCACCCGTATCTGTTAGCCGTCAGTATACCCGAACTTGCCTCCAATAACGGCTATACGCGTCCGCTCATGGCGGTACAAGTGCTCCAGCCGCCTGAACAGCTGACCGCAGTACCGGCAGGGCTCAACCGCGGTCTTAGACCTCCGTCGGGTCATTATAGGGCTCTAGTAAAGACGCTGTTTTTTGAACGAAAGGGCTTCCTCGTGGTGCCATCAAGGCCTCACTTGGGTCGCCATGACTATGACTCGACAGCTTGTTTCCGTTCTCGGACGATGATGTGGTGCGTGTGCGGAGGACTCACCCACCTATTCTGGGTGTTATCAAAGTCACCAGAAGTCGAAGACCAAGTGACATAAGCATGTCGGCGCATGTCTTGGCACCAAGCTGAGGGCGTAATCATCGCTTATCGCCACGTGACCTTCACCCTCCTATCAGTGCTTTTACCGAGGCTTCGGCTTCGGCCAGGATCTTGACTATCTCGCCGTCCGGAGTACTCCATACTCATGAGAGATCTCTCAATGGAGCTGCAACCAGATCCTCGATTCCCGGGGGCACTCTCTCTTTTAGTCCAGCATTTCTGTACAGGCCTAGTCTCAAGTGAACAAAGCGTTGCGCGATCTCAAATTTGCATATAGAAAGTACTCATATCAACTATCGAATCCTTTAAAGCAACTTTGCTTGCGCCAAGTGCAACGGAACAGGACGAACGAGATCGGCTTTCCACCTCTCTCCTGCTGTTATGGAGATCCATCCAGATTTCAACATACCATGGTGCAAAGCCCTTCTTGAGTCGAACATAACAGACATTGAAATTCCCACCCGACGTCGACTTGATCCGGATGAGAAAATCTCCAACAGCATGTTCCAGCAAACCCTCTACACTCCATTCGCCATCCGTGCCCAGGTCAACTTCAGGCGACCGGCACTCGAATCCGACTCCATTATGCCCTGGGAAATCTGCAACTTACTTTCCCTGGGCTCCGGGATCGACGGCAAGTCAGGGCGAGCACACGGAGGATTTAACGCTCTAGCATTGGACCAGATAACAGGCATGACAGCCTCCGTGATATCAGGTACTTTGGCGCCGGCGACGGCGACCATGACGGTGGACTATAAGGCGGCGATCAATACGCCGGGTGTCGTGCTCTGTCGTTGTTGGGCGGTGGAAAGGCAGGGAAGAAAGACGTGGCTGAAGGGGAGGATCGAGGACGGAGAAGGAAATTTGCTCGCGAGCGCGAAAGCGTTGTTCATTGACCCCAAACAAGCAAGATTATAGACTCGGCCGCTGGAAAAGCCCCAAGATTGCATCTGTCCTGGATCGATCCGCCTAATTGTGAAAGCTGGTCCGCGACGGAGTCTTCAAGGAGCTGAGCGACTCCACCCACAGCAATCAGTGAAAAGCATGAGCCGATGGCAGCATGGGATGTGCACATCTATTACCTGCATTTCTTGATCGCTTGATCCATCAATGTTGGTTTACCCATTCTGCAACCGGTAGACGAGGTTTGTAGTCGGTACTCCGCCTTCTGTCGAGCTCTGTTGCGGGTTCGAAAATGAATCAGTACCAATTGTGGTAGTTGAAGCCTCGCCAACACTACACCAGCACAATGATACGATTGTGGGGGAATTGAATCTTCGACAGGTCCGAGTGGAAGACCACAAACACCTCAGCATGTTTCGCCTGCCGTGCTTGAGTTCCACAGCCTCCGATTGTGGACGATGACACAGTTAGGATTTGTGTTGCTTCATACGCCACGACGTGAATACTATGTGCGGCAGTGTAGGCGAACTGCAAAAGCGCTCAGCGCTGGTGTGTGTACGTCATCTAGATGTGACAGCTCGCTTTTGCTGGCTGGCAAGTATCAGGATGTTTGTCTTCAACCAGAAGATGTGGCATCCGAGTTCCCTGTGGCTGGGTGGTGGCTGTGGTGGCTGCCGCACAGCGATTACATAAACCACTCTTGGCAATCTTGGTGGGCTGGATGTGTGCAGGCTGCCCGACCTTTGACTTCGTTGCGCATGAAGCGAGTGCTTCTCGGGAGTGACAGTTACCGTTGCTGCGGTCTCAACTCGCTTGCACCTCAATTCCTGCTCTTGCTCAAGCACTTGAACTAGAAGACACCAGATCAGCACAATGGCCGAACCTCCCATCGGTGCGACCCCTCCCCCAGGTCCTTGCGCATGGAACTCCTGCTGACACAGGGATCGCAGTTCTCGATGGAGGTACCGGTTTCCTCAAAGTCGGCTATGCCGCCCAGGTATGTCCGGAAAAGTCCTCTTACGCCGCTGTCGACTACGGATCGAGCTAAGCAATCACCGTCCAGAACTTCCCAGAACACCAATTCCCCTCCATAGTCGGGCGGCCCATTCTACGATCGGAAGAGAAGGCAGGGGACATCGTGGTCAAAGATATCATGTGCGGAGATGAGGCTGCAGCGGCGAGGTCAATGCTGCAGATAAGTTATCCTGTACGGTGGACAGCTCCTGAGCCAGTCTATCAGTCGGCGCTGACAAGGACATCTGTTGGTAGATGGAGAACGGCATCGTCAAGAAGTGGGACGACATGCAACATCTCTGGGATTTCACCTTCTTCGAGAAACTGAAGATCGACCCGACAGGCCGCAAAATCCTGCTGACCGAACCGCCCATGAACCCGCTGAAGAACCGAGAACAGATGTGCGAGGTCATGTTCGAGCGCTACGGCTTTGGCGGCGTGTACGTGGCGATTCAAGCCGTGCTTGCTCTATACGCTCAAGGGCTGTCTTCGGGAGTCGTCGTCGACTCGGGCGATGGTGTCACACATATCGTGCCCGTATATGAGTCGACAGTCCTGAATCATCTTACCCGCCGCCTCGACGTCGCCGGCCGAGATGTAACACGCAACCTCATCGCCCTTCTGTTACGAAGAGGCTACGCCCTGAACCGGACCGCCGACTTCGAAACCGTGCGTCAAATCAAAGAGAAACTGTGCTACGTTTCGTATGACCTGGCGTTAGACCAGCGGCTGTCGGAAGATACGACTGTGCTGGTCGAATCATACACGCTACCAGACGGACGGGTGATTCGGGTCGGCTCCGAACGATTCGAAGCTCCGGAATGTCTCTTCCAGCCTCACCTCGTTGATGTCGAACAACCCGGCATCGCTGAGTTCCTCTTCAACACAATTCAATCCGCCGACGTAGACGTCCGCTCGTCGTTATACAAAGCCATCGTCCTTTCCGGTGGTTCCTCCATGTATCCCGGCCTACCCTCTCGCCTGGAGAAGGAACTCAAACAGCTGTGGCTGACGAGAGTCCTCGGTGGAAACCCCGAGCGATTGAGTAAGTTCAAGGTGAGGATCGAAGACCCGCCTAGACGGAGGCACATGGTGTTCTTGGGAGGTGCAGTTCTGGCAAATATCATGGCGGACAAGGAGAATATGTGGGTTAGCAGGCAGGAGTGGGCAGAGCAGGGGCCGAGAGTGTTAGAAAAACTGGGACCCAGATAGCGAGACAAAATGATCTGCTGCATGATAGAGAGGATAGCATGGCCGGGCTCAGTGGGCGCCGAGAAAGCTGCCAAAGCAAAGCCCTGTCTCCAGCAGGACTGGTCGGAACGAAATCACGCCCGATCCAATCGAGGGTCTTCTCAGGCTTGGAAGTCCAAGAAGGCAGACATACAGCCCGATGGCCTCCGACACGAGGAGAGCATGAATGAGACATGGGGAAGCCTTCGCCCGAGGTGGCTGTTGCTGGCCTCGGGGCCTCTGGAAAGCGTTTACGTACTACGTATGTGGATGGAGCCGCATTCAAGCGCAGCCTCGTAGCCTCGTAGCCTCGCAGCCTCAGCCTTGCAGCCTCAGCCTTGCAGCCTCAGCCTCGCATTGCCAGCGTCTCCCCCCACCTTCTCCACATCGAGTGACTGGTCAACTTTATGGTCTGCCTTGCATCACCAGACGCCTTCGCGGTTATCGGTACCTCTGCTTCACATGCAGCGACATCTGTCAAGATGTAGTACCCCACCACCGACATTGACAAACTCTGTGTGACATGTCCCATCAGCCCCGTCAAGTCCCTAGTCACTCCTCATCGCCGTCGAAATCATCCTCCCGGCGAACGACAAGCGGCGGCGGTACGAGCACTCGACCAATATCTCAGCCTCCGCAGCAACAACCCTCAAGCACTACAGCTCCGCGCAGTCTCCTGCCCTCTCCGCACTTCGAAGACGACCCGATCGTTGCGTCCCACCAGCAATACAGCAAGCGCCCCAACCTAACACTCAACGATCCCGAATACTCTGAACACGCCGTGGCCGAATCCGAACACTGCAGCCATGGCCTTGGCTCGGCTCATCCGCAGACTGCCGAATCGATCCCGTCCTTCCAGCCGTTCTTCACCCTGATCGAAGACAGCGTTACAAATGAGCACTATCACCCTACCGTGCATTATATCTTCGCAGACGATGACACGGACATGATCACCGAGGCTGCGTTGAGGAGTCTGGAAGTGTTGGATCCAAGTCAACGAGCCGCGGGCACACACGGACAGTCACAGACGCAAGGACATGACGCCGACCACGAGGATAGCTTAAATGCATCCCGACTTCCGCCCCCGGTTGCAGGAATGCGGGAACACTATATCGTGCTCGATGTGCAGCCCCAGGCTCAGCCTCCTCCTAGCGCGCAGCAGGAAGACAGTTCCGGCACAGCTACCTCCGCATTCACGTACGAAGTTTCATCTGCACATTCCCTAAGTGCGGAATGGCAGGTCCTCCGTACGAGCATATCCACTGCACCTACCATTGGTGACAACCCATCTGCGGAAGACGAAGGCTTGATGCTTCGAATCGAAGGGAGGGGAAACACACCCGGTAACATTATGGGGAACGAAAGGGGAAAGGGCAAAGAAGCCGACGCGGAGAAAGAGAAGGAGAAGGAGACCCTGGAGGAGATGATCGAGCGGTTTCAGCGCCGGCTAGAGGATGTCAGGATGGTCATTGAAGCTGGTGGCGGGACGTCTGGTCTCAATATCGGAGACGGTGCCGGTGTGGAGGATTGATGCCGCGCAGCTCAACGACTTGCCGGGAGATTGATAGGAGGATTTGGACTATAGGAATGGGCGTACCGGGTGTGACTCCCCTCTGGACGGGTGAACTAATCTAATGGGCGGTGCAACGCAAGGCCTCACGGTGTCCGGAGTCATATTTGGATAGCGCTGGCCGGACTCTCGATGGCAGAATAGGTATCTAGGATTCGATTTCTGCGAGCCGGATGAACAGCACTAGGAAAGACAGAAGATATAAGAGGATAGCGTGCAATCGCACTGTTTCGTCTGGTAACTCGCCTCCGCATGGGAGGTTCTTCCCCTGAGGCTCCTAAGGTTGCTTTCACCTCACTCTAACCCCCACATCTGACGTTGATGTGAAAACTGAAGGCGTTCCTCCCATCAGAAGATCATCGCCATCTCCAAGCAATCGGGATTATTGGCTGGCCTTCATCCCATGGGACCGACGCCTTGCCAGACTTCACAGCGCAGAAGAGCAATGTCGCAGCCACGCTTTCGGATGGCATCAGATGAATTGTATCCGTCCCATGATCCGGTGTCTTCAGGTCCACCATCCTGTTTGTTTGCGATTGAAGCGAAAGACGGCCTCTCAGTTTCCTCGCCTTCGAGCCATCGTTCTGACCCGTCCATCTCTGTGCCACTCACTCATAGTTACGGGCCTATATCTCAACCTCGCCACCCTCGACCCAAGCCTTACATTGCCAATAAAGCAAATCATGCTTCTCTCCACACGCCTTGCTTCCGCCTTCGACACCATTCTCCCGCCTGTGACCCGGCATGTCCGTCAACACCTTGACCCCCATGGTTTCTTCCTGACAATACGCCAGGTACCGATACCCACTGGGATACTGGCTCAACCGACGCTCGTCGAGAACAGGCACCTTTGCAGGATTCACGGCGATGAGTTTATCCTGAGGCACAGCACACCGTCGTTGTTAGCCGTGGACACATGTGCTCCGAGTGAAGAAGTAAGTAAGGAAGTAAGTAAAGTGAAAGTAAAGTGAAGTAGAAGCGTAAGTCTCCCTGAAGCACATGTAGAGAGAGAGAGAGAGAGAGGGAGGGAGAGAGGAGGAGACAAGCCTGTGCACTGTGTGTGTATACTGTGTAGGTACATACCTTCTCATACCAATGCCTCACATACCTGGCCCTCCACTCCCGTTCACTCGCGTCGGGCATCCTGATCCAAAAGAAACAAAACCGACAATCACTCTCGGCGTCGACCTCGCACCCCTGGATCGTGAACCTCTGCGTGATGGTGGCTTTCATCTTGGTCACGGCCCGGGTCGCGTCGGGGGAAATGTCCGTGCTGATGCCGTGGCAGCGGTGCATGATGAATGCGCCGGCGTCCATTCTGCGCGGCACGCGCGGACAGTAAGTACTTGAGTATGTGGGGGTAGAATAGAACAGGAGATTGATGTAAACTCATTTTCGCAACGCGGCAAGCAGAAGCAGAAGCAGAAGCAGAAGCAGAAGCAGAAGCAGAAGCAGAAGCAGAAGCAGAAGCAGAAGCAGAAGCAGA